CTACTACTCTAGCTAGTAGGTATTTCTCCGCCCATTAGCCATTTAGCTTGTCGTAGTCAGGGGAGTGCGTGCCGTCTGTCTGAATTCGCTTACAATCCCATCAGACGAGTGAGCGTTGGGAGTGGGAATTTCCGATCGATGCATCATTAGTGGGTGAAGAATATAGAGAGAGTGTGTTATTCCGTAGTCATCACCGCGCATTACGGGTCGGATCTCATCCAGTTCGCGGGGGCAATACTTTGCCTGTCCGTCGGACGAGCCAGAGGTATGATGAATGACGATCATGTATCAGGCGAAAAGTCGTGACACAGTCGCCCATGTTGAGGATGTTTGAGAACAGATGGAACCGTTCCCTAGCTAGTCGTCTCAGGCTTGTTCTTGCTTTGCCTCTACTGGGCTTAAAGGATACGGTCTTACCTACCCACATTCCACAGCGAACGATGCTGGTAGGCCAGGTTCGGTCGGAGCGTTCCTGGGCGAAGGGCCCGAGTGGCTGTTGGCATCTGGCAAGGCTGGGAGGTTTATGATAGGTGCGGCTGGTCGGCTGGTGAAAGATGGCCGAATTTCAAACCTGCAGACATCAGTCTGGCTGCGTGTCCAGCGACTGGACGATCTCGTTCGGCTTAGGAGGATGATGTGCGTCTGATCAGTGATCGCCGGCCAAAGCGCCTGTCGGCTGCTCTTCACGCCGCACCTCCCCCTTCTCCACTCCATTCCTCATTGAGCATGGGTGAGTCGATCTCTGAAAAACGGGGTTAGTCCCTGTCCGGCCAGTCAGTCCCTAACAATAGTACCAATGAGTAAGTCCTCCCCCGTACTGCAGGAGGGAGACCTTACAGGTACACAGTGTCTGTATGTGGTGGGTGACTGAGGCTTCCATTTCCCGACTCTCGAGATTCCGCGACAACAAATACTTTAACCGCCTCAAAACCTGCACCAGCCCGGCTTTCATTTCCAGCCAAACAACCCAGTTAAGTAAGCATACCGCCTTCTACCAACTCCACCCTTTCAATAGGAGGATAGGCACTTACTGAAACTTCTCTTGGCTCTCTCGAAGGGATCTAGTTACAGTATGGTATGAATGAATGAGGCGAAGTGTTATGTTTTGGTTGAGGTACTTTTTTTTCAATTTATGGTTTCTTATCATAGATTGGACAGGGAATGATGGGGCATTGCCTGGGGGTATGTCCGCGATGAACCATGGTTCCAGTCAGGCCATAGCTTATCCTCCCATTCTACTTTGGGCAAACGCCGCGCACATTCAGGTTTCTGAGTTTCTGATTGTGTTTGATTAAGCGTCCTGCAATGTTAACTACAGGAAGCGTCTAGACAAGCTGGGACGGAGGCGACACTGGGAAAGACAGTCATCCAAGAAATAGCTCTCGCTTACTGGAGGCGCTGTGAGTTGTTGCCTGTCTGCAGATAAAACATGGAAAAAGAAACGATGATACAGTTTCAAATTATTCATGGTGGTTGAGGAGCCATCTGCAATTCAGGCCGGGTTCGCACAGACCAAGCAGAAGCAAACGTTTGGAAAGTGATAGATGATGAACGTGAGCAAAGCGGACCACCAGCGGCGGCTGGATTCTCATGTACGCAGGAAAGATAGAAAGAAAATACAGCACTCCCCACGGAAGCCCTGGGTGAGAGTCGACCGATCCAGATGGGTTCGTTCTATCCGTGGGATAAGATCTCCACGGTGGGAATTCCCGAGACGGGCTCCAGTCACCTCGGGTTTCTCTTGCTGTGTGGGGATGGTTGCATGAGAATAATTGTCCGGTATTGATTTCTTTTTCATGCCATTTCCCTCCCATCTCTGCCCAATATTCCAGGTTGTTGTTCTTACTAGCTCTCCGAGATATCGGTCTCCCTTCTCCCTTTCCTCAACCTTCTGGGGTCCGTGAGTGAGGCAAAAGGTAGTCAAAGTAGTTTGCTAGTTCTTGGTGGACGGTGACAGCACGCCGCCGACTATGCGGGTTTCCTTCTTTGGTATACGGTCACCAGGCATCTGACCGGGTGGAGTCATATCCTTGATCAATGGTCCAGAGAGAAAAAACGTTCTGCCTGCAATGCCGATATTGCCCCAGAGCCCTGCTGCACTCGATAAACGTACAATAGTCTCTCATTGGGTCTGAGACGATGAGGGATTTGACAGTGGTCTAGACGGTGGCGTTGAAACCAGAAGACGATCGATGATGATTTGGGAAACCTGTGGCGTCAGCCTGGAGGACCGTACCTGGCTGGTGTGCTAGAAACTGCACTCGGGGCTATGAGGGCTGGCAAAGTGAATATCTAGTGGCAGCATGTAAGAATGGGGAGCGAAACCGTGGTATCGTAGCTTAGCTCTGTGGTGTGGAGTATCGATGATAACGCTGACGATTAAGGTGCTGCTGCCCCAGCCTACCGGGATTATTCTTTCTGCCATTGGTGTTCTTGCCATCGATCTCATCTGATGCTTGAACGCACCTTATCATTCGTAGAGGTTTCAGTGCAACGCCGAAACAAAAACCTCCTGATCCACATGGTGATTCAGCAGGATTGCCGATCGGACCAGTCTCCAGCGACGGCACTCTTTCGAGGGTTTGACGATCGTGAAACAGACCTCAGCATTAATCTAGTTGATAGCGAGAGGGTTGGTGGTACAAGGGTTTCATAAGCCAGGTAAGATTCGAAAAACGCATAATTATTGAATCTACTACCATGGTTTGTCGTAGTCGTAGTCAGATCCATGGCATAACTACTCCGTACTTAGCTTCGATAGCCCGCTAAGAAATGCCCGGGCTTAGCAACAGCAACAGGCTGGAGCGGTGGGGGGAATAGAGGGAGATCCCGAGCATCTGGAAGGAAGACTGGAAGATTGACCGGCGGTGATCCATTTCCATGATCCGCATTAAGGTTTAGTTGAGTTTTAGTGTTAGTGTAAGTTATTGCCTGCCTACCTTAGTTACCCACTTAGTCAGGGCTCAGGACTCTTTGAAGCTAAACCTGCCCCTAGTGTTCATGATCCTCTGACGTTCGAACATTCCATCAGTGGTTCTTCCCCTCCCACATCTGCGCCCTAATGCATTCTTTTCTTTTCTTTTTGTTTTGTTTTCTTTTTAATTGCTTTTCTGTTGGGTCTGGTTAAGTCTGGTCTGGTTCTGGTCTCTCTTTCTCCTTTTTTTTCCTCTCTTTTTCCTTGACTCTCGCAGCCACTCTATTGGGTTCTTTTTCGCCTCCTCTGCCGACTACCCATTCGCCGAGGCATAACGGTCAGTTCTGCCGTATACCAGCAATCCGGGATGAGGGAAGGGGAGGGGAGAAAGGCCCGAGATTGGTGCATTGCATCTGCCAGAAGTAATTTATTGTCGTCAATACAGTACAGTCTGAAGTAAGATTCTTACCATCATGATCTGCTGGCCACTCTCGAGGTGATGATTCGAGGTGCATGAGGCGGACCCATTCGAGCCATGGGACGATCCACTCGACCGGACAGAATCAGACTCCCAGACCTCTGATCATATTGTGATTTCCGGAGTGGACGTCGACAAATTACACTACAGTTACAAACCAAGGAAACGGGTCCAATAGGACATAATAGGATTATTGGTTTTAATCTTTTGGGGGGGGGGGAGGGTTTCTTTGTCTCTTACTGCAGAGTTAAAATAAAACTAGAATGATTGATTGATTCCGACATACTTAGTAGGTATCAGGCAACAAGAAGAGTTTGACGAGGAGTAAAGTAGATTGAAGAGTCGAAAAACAATTTGGGGTAAATAACCATCAACCCAAACAAAATAAAATCAAAATTCTCACCACAAAATAAAAATACATACTCCCAAAGAATTTCTGAGCCCTCCCCCCCCCCCCCTCCTTCTTTTCCAAGTGAGGGATAGGGCGACAGGAAAGAAGCTCACACTTGCACGCTGTTCTATTCTGCTCCTTCACCTAATGTAGTAACTCGGTCATATAATAGAATAGATTTAACCTCCCACTGAGCCTTTTCTCCCCCCAGTTTCCCCTGCCAACAAACCATCCCCTCCTCCCCCTCGTCCTCCCCGCCAGGAACAAACCCTTCAACCTTGGAACATCGATTGCAATATTAGATCAATTTGCACTTCTATCGATAGACCTAAGACATCCCTTCAGTCTACCTGCGTCTCGAAATCAATTGACTCCATCATCCCCTTGCTGGACTGACCTGCCTTTCCTATAACTACAACATCCCTCTGCTGCAACTGAGACACAGACAACCCAGTTCGGTCTCAGCCTCTACGACTTGCCGCTTTGCGAGGGAACACAGGATCGTGAAAACCGCGTCTACAGGGCGACTTATCGATCCCCATCCATCTCTCCCCCCCCCCATCATCGCGGTGATCTCGTCTATCCCCATCCTCCTCTCGTCCACCTCAACCCTGTTCGTTTGTCTTTTAATCGAGAGACAATCGCGCCTCCTAGGAAACGGATAGGCTCAAGACTGGATTTCTACCAATCGAAGACCTTCTTTGCGTGTCCCTTCTGGCGGACTCGTCGCGGTTACTAGAGGAACTCTATAGTCTACATTCCTGGCCTTGCGTAGGCCCTCCCAAAGGCACGCGACGCGCCACTTGATTTTGACTCTGGTCTCTTACTTTGCTGCTCCTTTGGGGACTAGCTAAGCAATGACTTCTACTGGTGAGTGCGATCGGCTTTTCCTTGCCCTACACAATATATGACTGAGAGATTTGTTTATTTCACCTCGCCTATCCTCCTCCATTCCCCAACCTCACATCCTCTCTTTCTTTCTCAGCTCTATTCCCAACCCAGGTTGGCCTTCCTTCATTCTTGCTACTGCTTGTGCATCCCGCCTGTTGTCCTTCACTCTCTAAGGAACGCATCCTCATTCACTTCCACTCCCTCACTCACTCACTCACACACACTCTCTCTCTCTCTTGAGCATCGCCAAGAATTGTTTGTTGATCCATCGTGGTCTCGGTTGCCGTTCTTTCTACTTGTATACCATACCATCCTCATCGGACCTTGCCACATTCCCTGATATACTAATAATAACCCAATAATCCCGCGCTTGTTGTGTCATATACCCGCACCTGACGCAGGACACATCACTCTTTGATTTCCTTATATTGTTGCCTTGTCCCAACAGCGCGGAACCCCCCATCTGCGATCATCTCCTCGCATCACTTTGGTGACGTTGCAACAAAGACTAAACAATACGCCGGACAGGTGCTAAACTCGAAACCCCTCCCGCCCCGCCTCGCAAAGACTGTGAGGAGAACGAAGAAATGCGACCCCAGGGTAACATGTCTGATCGCCTTACTGTCGAAGTTGATTGCACATCCCTGGGCTCCAACGAGTGCCCGTCCATGACTACTACCTTCTCGCCTCTTGATTCACCGAAGACCACCCCGACCAGTGTTTACAGTCACGGTTCGTTGCAGTCTCCTAGCTGGCACGAGGCAGGAGGATCATTCCCCGGTCAGGCCTACGAGCGACACACCGGATCAACACCCATGAGCAGTGCATTTCGCTTGGCCACGATGACGTCGAACGATGTGATGGGTATGCCCTACGCCAACATCGAGCCCCAGGAGCGGATGCCCATGACCGATTTCTTGTCTGGATATGACGAGAATGTCGAACAGTTCTGGATCCCCTCCGAGGCGCCCAAGGCATATGAGCATGGGGTACAAGGGCTGCCATACCCTCCCCAAATGCACCACTACGCCCCAATGGCCCGCCCCAACTATCGCCAACACCCTGCACCATACCTTCCTGAATCCGCAACCAACCCTTGTCTATCGCGTCCCATCTTTCACCATCAACACGAGCGCATCCCAACGTCCATGTCGATGGGGAATATGATTCCTTGGATTGCGCGGCCGGCAGATTCGATCGCTCCACAGACCATCGCGCCCTCTCAAGTCGCCCCAGTTACGCCACCACCATCATATTCAGAATTCGCGGCGCCGCTGGGTGCCTTCAAGACACACACACCCACAACCCCCGTGCGTTCTTGCTCACTGGGTAGCGGCTCTGGATCAGACACTCCCATGAGCCGACTATCAAGTAGCATGGACTACATGGATGAGTTTAGCCAATCCCCCGTCTACCGAGACGGTCTGGGCCGGATACAGCGCCAGCCGTCCCGCAAGACTGCCCGGAAGCAAGCCTCAAAGCAAAACCTCAGCCTGGAGAACCTACCCACTATCATCAAACAGGTGCAATTCAAGTGCAAGGAACCCGGGTGCAAGGGTCGCTTTAAGAGACAAGAGCACCTCAAGAGACATATGAAAAGCCACTCTAAGGAGAAGCCACATGTTTGCTGGGTCCCTGGATGCCATCGGGCGTTCTCTCGCAGTGACAACCTCAACGCACATTACACGAAGACTCACAGCAAGCGAGGTGGTCGCAACCGCTACGTCGCCACCCTGGATGAGACTAGCCCCGATTACAACCCAGAGTATCGCGGTCAGCTGACACCTGATGGGCGACCTCTCTACGGCCAAAAGCACGACGACACCATGCCTGGCACCCGTCATATGAGTGTCGAGTGGGACGATTAGAACACGGGTGGGAAGAGTAGGATGGGCGGACCAAACCATGATACCCTTGGCAAGCAGGTTGCCATTTCTCCTTTTTTGGTCTTAGATGGGGACAGACACACACAGGGCCAGGCAGACCCGGTCGGCGCTTCGCGGCGTTATTTTGTAAAACATACCTGGTTATATACACCGGATAATTTCCTATGTTGGTTCTGATCTTGCATATTGTTTCTCTTTTTTCGTCAACTTCATTTCCTATCTCTCTTTGATTTTCCCCATCCATTGCTCAAAAACGTGTTTTGGAATGTTGAGGAGGCTTATTCCTTATACCTGAATAATAATGATGCATTGAAAGCTAAAATGGACGGGAAAGTTTTTGTACGCTTCAGGTGATCGATTGTGTCTGCAATGTTCTTGATCTGATTGATCTTCTTGACTACCGACACCTTAATGGAAGCTAATAACAGATGAGCTATTGATGGAAGTCGTGGAGGAAGACTATGAAATAACCAGTGGGAGGAGAACCAAGGAATGAAAGAACTATTTTTTTTGTCAGGTCTGATGCCGTGTCTTTTCTTTCGTCTTTGTATTCCGATAGATCAGATTTCGATCGTCAAATCCTACTACATTGTATTATATGTACTTTCCAGTGGATGTTCGATGGCTTTAGCGTGGTTTTGACAATTCCGTTGAGTTGATCTGGGACCCGTCACACCAGCCGTGGGGAAGAGGGGCGGGATAGCAGCATCGGGCCGAGGTCAAGTCCGCCTCAGAATGACAGTCCGGTGAATTCCAGGAAGGGAAAGAAAAGAGAGTGGGTGGGCTTGTAGTGGAATGGGGGTCCAAGGTAGATGATGTATCATATCTGCAGGCGAAGTACTTAGTAGTAAGATGGATGCAGTGGAGTTGAAGTTACAAGTAGCTTAGTGTAAGAACGAAAGGTGGACACGCATTCATCAGGGCGGTCAGCTCAGACTCACTTCTCTCCACTTTACCCACATTCCGCCCACCATGGCAGATTTCCTATTGGCGGAAGGTTTGCCGCTCCCCATGGGTGTCGGCCATCTTACAGAATACTTCAGGCAGGCTAGCCCCAAAGTAGAAAACAACAACACCAGCCATTTAGTACCTTAGTTTAGTAAGTCTGAATGGTTTGAAGAAGACTCGAAACGCCAGATCTTGCCGATTGCTGAGTCCCTGGTACTTGTCTCCAGCGCTAACATGCAGTGCGTCTGCGGGTATCATCTACATTCTCCTTTTCCAGTCCTCGACCTACCCCCATCACTTTTCTCGCACTGCCCCCCCGGAAATCATATCATTCACGGAGCTCTCATCGGCTTCTTTCTCCCCACTTTCAGTTCCAGCTACCTGGATGGCCTCAAGCATCTGAAGCCCAAAAGGCAATAGTTTCACATGCCAAGCCCCGTGATGAGTGATGTCTGAAGATGTCCTGATCCAGCACAGCAGTAGTAGCATTTATTTTTGGTGCCTACCACCGAGCATACTTCCGCCTCATGGGGTAGGTCGCATGGAATGATGACTTCTGACTCTTTCTCCCCGATCCGTTCCAGATCACTGGGCCACGACACACCGCTAATCGAATTCCTGCCGTCCGATTATACTGTTCGATCGGGAAATACACGCGCTCTGAACTTGGGGGACACACCTCGGGTTCCATGCAATGAAACATGCCGTTCCTCAACATACACTCGTCGTCTGTCTTTGATCACCGATGCATCTGTGAATAGTCCCGAGAGACTCAATATTGTTTTCAAATTGACCCTTGACAGAGAACCAGCAGGTAACTATTTAGCTATCTTCTCTGATGGTACGGAGACAGCTTGCTCGATATGCGCGCCTCCTTTTGTAGATCGACCCTACTCCCCAGGCAGTCGACCAAGAACAGAGAGATGGTCGCACATCCCGAGCATCAAGACAGACTCATCTCACTCACAATCTGTCGACGTCCTCTCAGATCAGGAAGCCAATGCTGCACATGACAAACGTGAGATTCGCTAATTACACAAATCGGCTCAGCTCCAAGCTGTCCTTCGTGCGACATACCTTCGTGAGATGCACGCTGTCGATGACCAACCACGGTTTCAATGCGGGTGCAACACTCTGTACAAGATCTTATGTTTGCTGATTGATTACCACCCAAATCGAGATGGCTGCAAACTTCGAACGAGGAACCACTCAATAAACAGCCATCGTCGAATGTGCATCTGCGCCAGTCAACGAATGCGCTCGGCCGCCTCGTGCCCGCGGAACCACGGATATCGAATTTGTGCTACTTTCCTGAAGACTCGGCCTCGATGAAAGTACATATGTCTTCTGTTTAAGTTCCAGCCCACTGCGCGATTTTTTACGCAGTCAGAAATACCACCCTCTAGTCTGTGGCCATGAGATTCGCGGCAGACCCACGAGGTATAGAGGTCTTACAAAGGTACTGTACATCTCGACTGAGGGAATATGCTGCCGTTCACGACGTACTAAGTCTAAGTCGTTTGTGTCTGGAGTTTAAAGTGCGTGGGGAATTTAATCCATCCCTGCCCTTGTGGGGGGTCGGGGGGGCGAGATAGTGCCACCAAGCGAAGATCAGTGCAGCAACTGCCCCGTCCACATTGACGACTTACTGTAAGAGGCGCTGCCGGTCATTGGGGGGTCTGGCCTTGGCATGAATGTTTTACGAAAAAACTCACTGCGCATGCATGTCCTGCAGAACCGCCCCGTTCTCGAGGACTTCGCATACGCTTGGAAGCTCCTGAGCGGTGCAAAGTTTCGGGGGTCTCAGAAGGCTTCGTAAGTCTGGTTGAACTCGCCCAGCTGTACTGTACCTGAGCAAAACTGTTTGTGGTTCTACCTGCCATCTGCCTGGCCGCTCAGGTATGCGCATCCACAAAAGGGTAGACGATGCGGTTAGCCAGCCTTGTTCTGCGAGACTTCAGCCCGTCAGCCCCCCTGATCCAGCCTCTCGAGCGCCTGCATCGAATCACAAGTACTGTATCAGGTTGTACACTATGCTACCATCCTTCTACCACCCTTAGATACTACGTCGGAGATCCACGTCCTCGGGCCAAGCGCTTGAGGGGATTTGTTCTAGATGACCTTGAATCTGTCATGGGCGATCTCCGTGGAGTCGTTGTGCTTATGCATTGTAGCGTAGCGCGATGAGCGCGAGAATCGTACTTTTTGTCCCCACATCCTGTCCTTGTTTCGCACCTGTTTGTGGGACGGAGTACGACTTACCCACGTATACGCCATTTCTTTCTCTACAGTGACTGGCTAGTATGAGTCGCAATTCGATCACCATCTCACCGATCACACGAACTGCTTCTAGACGTTTCTAGTTCGGGTCTTGTGACCTTGACCATGTACGTGACCTAAACCATGAGAGGCTGCAGTTCACAGGGGCTCATAGACAGTGTTCTTGTTTGGAGGAAAGTCTGAAAATAGACATGTTCATAGTTAAATGCTGCAATCTCAGATGCTCGAGTACAGCTGCGCAGCCCGACGAACCACATCAGCTGTAGTTGTCATCCATCCGCCCTGCTTTCACGGTATTGCGGGCTACCCCTCCAAAGCGGGACTGTGGGATGGCACGATAGCGCATACGAAGTGTCCAATCTGCCTTTGGTTATCCGGCCTCTGATTTCTAATGTCAATCCCCTTGAACAAAACCCCCGTTTGCACGGTTAATGACACCTTTCACCTGGAGGGCCATTTCAGCAGGCGCCCACTGACCTCCACGGAAAACAGCACAGCCTATATTGGAGCCTGGTCTCTCTCTGGAGGTGCAATGCTAGTCACTACCCCACCGAAATAGTATCTGCGCGCCTGCCATGGCATCGTCATCTGCGGTGGCTTGCTACTTGGTACTATCAATTTCACGATAAGTAGTCTGTGCTTTAGCGTATAAATGCCTTGATCTCAGCTTTGCCCCTCTCGAAACAATCCAAGCCATACCTCACTGCGGTCTGTCTCATAGCCCCAACACTGAAATGAGAGGTAATTACCTCTAGGGCACAAGACGAAGGTGATGTGCGGGATTTGGAGTCAACAACATCATATTTATTGAATTGTGGCTCGAGGTTGCGAGTCAGTTGGTGGAACACACTTCATGCAGGCGGAGCAGTAGTTGCTGTTGAAGAATATTGATTGTCAGGGAAAGCGTTTCTGGGTGTGAGATATCAGATGCACTTGATTCTCCCCAGAAAAGGGATGAAGGTCGTGAGTGTTTCGGCCTCAGGCTGATTTCAGGTGTCTGTGATGATCTCATCACTATCCCGCACGGGCCAACGCACTAAGCCCTGCTTACCTAACATCGTATGATTTAAACACTTCTCCTGCGCCAAACTCCTCACTTTCTTTTGCTTCCTGTTGCTATTCTTGCCATTGTCGATGACAAGGGTGGACTGGTCATGTATGGGCCAGCACTATATCATCTCACTTCAGTCCCCTTCTCTACATGATGTCTGTAGAAGCGGCGGAGGGAGATTGCGGGGTCGTTTAGCGGTGGCGTGGAGGGAGGTTGTCTATGGTTCACTCCACAGTTGAACCTGGGTCGATTGTGTGTTTGGATATGTTGTCGCTCACTTCGTCGCTCGAACTATGATGACTCTTTCTCTTTGGCATGATGCAGGACTGAACAAACAGCCTGCTATGAGTGCTCCATTTCTAATTATCAAGCTCAACAGTCTGAGTTCTGAACGGACAAGTGGTTGGACAAATGCTGTTGCAATGTTTGTGAGGGAAAGCGATATTAACTACGTCTTTGAATTGGAATTGTTCATCTAGTATATGGCATCAATACTTATTCTCCTGTAGTATACTATATCTACGCAGACATTATGCCAATTAAACCGAGTCAAAGAACTCGACGGTCGCAGTCCGTCCACGCGAACTTACACCCAAGCAAACAAACAAACAAACAAACAACATCTACACCACAAGCCATACCCACTCCCACCATCCACACTCACTCACCTCAAATCCAACCCCAAGAACACCGTCTCCTCAACCAAAGGTGTCTCATAGTACGGCCCGACGTTCACAAACCCCGCCGCCCGATACAACCGTAACGGGCCCTCCATCGTCCGCAGCGTATCGAGTCGCATCGCCTGATACCCGAGCTCCCTAGCCCTGTGCACCACGGCGTCCACCAGCGCCTTCCCCAGCCCCATCCTCCGTGCCTCCGGAGAAACATACAGCCGCTTCATCTCGCAGTATCTGATCCCAGCGTCATCGCCCTCTGGACTGGATCCTCCGGGTTGTTGCTGGTTCAGAGTGAGGGCCCGGAGAGCTACGCATCCGAGAGGAACCCGCTCGTCTATGCTGTTGTGGTTGCTGTAGGCGAGGAGTATGTCCCCCCCGTGTAGGGCGCCGTATTTTCCCGGAAGGGAGTGCAGCTCCGTTTCGAAGTCCTGGAATGTGAGGTCGATGTTGAGCCATTGGACGTAGGCGCGGAAGAGCGTGCGGATGGCTGAGAGTTGCTCTGGGGTGTGCGCGGGGATGATGCGGTAGGTTGGGGTCGAGATAGACATTTTCTGGGGAGTATTGGGTTGTGTTGGCTTGGTTGCGTCTGAACCAGGAGTAGGGCCTTGAATTGAACATGTAGTGGCTGAATCAATGGTTTTCATGGTATTCGTCTATTCGGCCGAGGTCATCTATAGGGCGGCGTTGTGACTCAATTTCAGTTGTAGATGTGGTTGATGCCCCACCCAGGTTGAAGTACCGCCCTGTGGGACTCCGCACGAACCGTCTACAGAACATTACGTTCTCCTTACTCTCTGCCTGTCGGCTGGCCTCTTCTTCTATCTACTTCTCTATCTACAATCAATTGTCATGCTGTGCATGGTGGTCAATCGCTCACATCCAACAGACACTATCAGCATGCTTCTCACGTCATACAGCTATCGCTCTCGGGGTCCCACGGCGCCGCTTCGATCGCTAGCTGACGGACTATACAATGGGTCTAGTATTTGGTCTTATCGAACAATATCTTTCCCAATTTCGCTCAATCTATCATTCTGGCATACTCCGACACTCCAAAGTATCGATCACAAGGCACAACCGGGGAGCTCCGACGCCAAGTCGTCGCCGTTATCATGCTCAATACTCTCTTGCATGAGAGTTTAGCGAGCCAACACCTTTTAATCTACGCGGCCAACAACTGAGATAATCTATCCCGTGGGAGAGCTTCCATCAGCATCACCGATCACAATGGTTGGCCTCATCTGTTGACACGGAATCAGCCAACATGGCTCCCCAGACATCATTCGTCCAGCCTGGTAGATGAACAGATGGGGCTCATCAATTAATTCGTCTCCCCAAGCTGAAGATCTTCGCGGCAGAGCGAATCAGATCGCCAGACGAGTCAACGGGAAGAGCAATGCAACCTTCCTAATGCATACTATCCAGGCCAATCTTTCTGGATGGTCTGGTAATCCGCTCTTATTGCTCGTTTCCGAGGGAGTCCCATCGTAGCTTCATCTAGCCTCCGGCTGCAGAATGACGCCGCCAAACCCAATTGGCCACTGCCCTTCTGCAACACCCCAGTCGCGCCTGCGGGTCCTTACAGCATCGTCCGACTCCGTTCGAATATCGGTCGGTCCTGACGAATCAGTACCTTCTTATCAGCACATGCGCTATCAACCCCATCGAGATGCAGAGTCGGACCTCAGCTCTCTCCACTGTCAACTGAGGGGTGCTCGGGATGAGCGCGACGGGGTAATCGTCTATCACCGGGCCTATAAGTAGTGTCAACCCCTCTCCTTCTCGTCTATTATAGCTTCTGGTTCTATCCGTCTAACCCACATCTACAACGCTCCAAGCAGACTCCTCTATTCAGCAAGATGCCTCAAATGTCCCTCCCCGCCATGGGCGTCTTTGCCCTGGGTGCATTCAGCTCTGGTGCCCTGGCGACGATCGGCACCTGCTCCGCAGACAGCCCGCTCAGCTGCCAAACCGACAATGAGGCGTCGTGCTGCTTCGAGTACCCCGGAGGATCGCTCCTCCAGACCCAATTCTGGGACACCGACCCATCCACCGGACCCAGTGATTCCTGGACCATCCACGGTCTCTGGTACGATCGTCACCGACGGAGCACATCCATCAAAACTGCGCTGACAAGCAAAAAAAAACCCCAGGCCCGATAATTGCGACGGCTCGTACCAGCAGTACTGCGACGATTCGCGCGAGTACAGCAACATCACGGCGATCCTGGAGGCGCAGGGCCGCAGCGAGCTGCTCGAGTACATGGACACGTACTGGGTGAGCGACGACGGAAGCGACGAGAGCTTCTGGGAGCACGAGTGGAACAAACACGGTACGTTTAACCAGCCAAATCGTACACAAACAAGTTCCAGCCATTGAACGCATCCATCAGGAACCTGCATCAACACCATCGACCCTAGCTGCTACGCCGATTACACCGCCCAGGAGGAGGTTGGCGACTTCTTCGCTAAGACCGTGTCGCTGTTCAAGACCCTGGATTCTTACACTGTGAGTCGAGTTGTTTCTCTCCCTTGACACTGCCGGACAGCATCCCGAATGGAGCAAGCTAATCAGAAACCAGGCCCTCGCCAACGCAGGCATCACCCCCAGCTCCAGCAAGACTTACGAGCTGAGCGACATCGAGGACGCCCTCGCTGCCATCCACGATGGCTACGCCCCCTACGTCTACTGCAGCAGCAAGGAGCTGTCCCAGCTCTACTACTACTTTAACGTCAAGGGCAACGCCATCGACGGGACCTATGTTGCCTCGGAGAGATGTAAGTCTTCTATCAGTCTGGTTCGGAAAATGGGAGATGCTAATGGTTTGTGCTCGCCAGTGGCGACGACCAACTGCCCTAGCTCGGGGATTAAGTACCTGCCCAAGTCGAGCTCGAGCAAGCGGAAGTAGAGGGGCTCCTTCAAGGGATACTGGTAGAGCAGATGTATGGGAAGGGATGAGTGGGCGGGGTGGTACAAGCTCGAGAGATATTATTATTGTACAAGCTTGTGTGACCTATAATTGAAGCATAAGATGCGATGGAAGTAGCAACTTCGACTACGAGAGATTAGGCTCCATTCATCCATCTCATTCGACCTACACATGTTCGCTGCGTGTAGATTCATTGGACGAGCGACTTTTCGGTTTGTCGTTGTAGCCCGGTCTTTTATTCAAAACCATGACGAGACCATAGCGCGCTGGCCAAGGTTGGCGGCTTGACTGGCTTGTATGTAATGCATGTATCCGGCCCAATAGAGGGGATCTGCTTCTTAAGCGAAGTGTGTGAGGCGTCCAAGTGCGGGATGTCAATTTGGTTGACACGGCTTGGTGGGTCTTCACTGTTCACCGCGGGTGTAGACTTGTACTTTTGTGTCACATGAGCACAAGTGTGCTCACTCACTTGCTTGCAGGTGTAAGCGATGCCTCATGGGAAGACGGCCAGTCAGCCCATGGCCATGGACGGGCGTGCCAGGGACCCCAACAAGGCTCTTCGAGTGCGCGTGTCGGGTATGCCCAGTCCCATTGGCAAGTGCCACCTCATCTTGAGGAGTCATCCATACGCCCAGCACACGATATGCATATGCACCGTATACACAGTGGGATAAACGATCCACAAGCCCCAATCACAGCCCCTTCAAACGCGCATTCCGCCTCTCCTCCTCGATATTGGCACCCACACGATCCAAGAACTCCATGCGGCCATGGAAGCCCTCCTTCGCCTTGCTATGGACCTTAAGCTCATCTTTGAGCCCCGCCTGATCGACATACGCAGCCCAGTCAAGTCGCGACTTCTCGACAGTATTGATCTTGGGCCCGCGGGCGTTCTCATCCTGGCCCGTGATCTCGGCGGCGGGCTGCTTCTCCCAGCTCTTCTTGATCGCGCCGGTCGGGTTGGGATCGAAGCGCGAGACCTTGCGCAGCGGACGCCGTAACTTGACCATCAGGTCCTTGTTGGAGGAATCCTCGGCCACTGTCGTGTCGGTTTCCTCGCCTTTGTTGGCCAGGTACAGCTTCGCTTCGGCCGAGTCCCGGGGCACCAGCTTCTCCTCCGTGATCATCTCGCCCGCGAACTTGTACGTGCGCTTGATCCGCACCATCTCCTCCGTGTACTTCGACGGCGTTTCCTGGCCCGAGCTTGAGGGCTGTGGGTGCTTCTCTGCCTGCTCGTCATCCTTCGTCGTCGTCGTCGCTTCGTTTGCATCCGCCGCCACCACCGCCATCTGCGCCGTATGTAACCCATTATGATTCTCCGGAGCATTCATCAGCGCCCACAACGCATCCACATCGACAGTCGCGCCGTCAATCTTCGCAAGGGGTTTCCGCTCGTCTTGCCTAATACATCCCCCGGACACACGTTAGCATCGTCCTCGATTCGTGTGTGTAGCAGCTGAAAACATACGCGCGCATCTTCATCGCCCGCGTCCGCACGAATCCCCCCGTTCCTCCTTCTTCTTCGTCATCCTCATCAGCAGCAGCATTCTTCCGCTTGGCCTTCTCTTTCCGGATCGTCGCCTCGTCGCCGGAGTCCAGCTCGTCGTCCTGTGTACCTGCTGTTGTGGTAGTCTTCCGGCGTTTGACTTTCGGTTGCCCTGCTGCTGTCTCGTGGGTTTCCTCGTCCTCGTCTGAAGAGGATAAGCCGGCGTCATCTTCGTTCTGGGCGGCGTCGTTGTCGTCGAGTTGGAAGTCTGAGTCGGAGTCGGAGTTGTATTGGTCTTCATCGAAGGCGAGTTCGGATACCCCCGGGTTGAGTTCGGGGTCGGGGGCCATTTTGGGTGTCAGGTATTGTGATTTCTAGTGGGATGGTGAATCGGGAGCGAAAGTATAGGAATTGCGGAGCGGAGGAGGAGAGGAGCAGGAAAAGACATGCGATTCTGCCGGGCGGTGGGCGATAACCTCGTCTGAGCATCCAACCAATCAGAGCGGGTGGGGAGAGGGAACGGGGGCCGAGGCTGCGGACAGTGACTTATCGAGATAGATAAGCTATCAGTTCCACTCGATTCGAATGATGGGAGGAAAGGAGTGAGCATACGACTGGGGTCGTGCTGGAACCAGACTCGGCTTGAGAAATGGGCTTGCTCTCCGAGTTCTGACTTTGACCAGGCCCGTTAAACCCCGCATCGCATCCTACAAATCCCCAGGCGTGGGATGACGAACAACGACAAATCATTATCTCGCAGCCGAGGATGCGATGGATCGACATACACCAGCTATTCAGCATATAAGCAACCGATGAATACCAGCATCCCCGCCATCTCGAGAACTACAAATCACCTCTCCAGCCTACAGTTTCTACCAGATACCGACTGAACAATGGCCTCGCGCACCAAACCCGTCGCCCTCATCATCGGCGCATCAAGAGGTATAGGCCGACAAATCGCCATCGACCTCGCGAAGAACAACTACACCGGTATGCCTTCATCCCCATCCTCCAGCAGCACCTCTGTACCCCTGGACCCCCCATACCCCCAAGGTCCAGACCCAAACAGCTAAAATAAAAAAAAAAGTAATCATCGCCGCCAAATCGACCACCACCACCAAAGAAACAAATCAAACCCCAATAGACCCCAACTCCCCAACCTCAACAATCACAACCGTAGCCCACGAAATCAACACCACCCACGGACCCAACACCGCCCTCCCGATCCCCGTCGACGTGCGCTCCGCAGCCCAGATCGATAACCTAATCGCGCAGACCCTGGCGATGACGAACGGCCGCCTGGACGTGGTCGTGTACAACGCCGGCGCGATCTGGTGGTCGTCTGTCCGGAACACCCCGCTCAAGCGGTTCCGGTTGCTGCAGCAGGTGAATCCCGAGGGGTTGTATGCGACGCTGCAGGCGGTGTTGCCCGTGTTTGAGCGGAATGGGGACCGGGGGAGGATTGTTGTTGTTTCGCCGCCGGTTTATTCGCGGTTTTTTAGGGGGAAGGTTGGGTATGCGGTTGGTTTGTTGCCCTTTTCTTTTCTTGTTTGTGTTCTCGTGGGTGGGGGGGCTAGAGGGGAGGGGAAGGACTGGGGTTGTGCTAATGCTTGTGAATAGGGAAGGTGGGGATGAGTGTGCTCACCAAGGGGTTGGCGATGGATTTTGTGCGCGAGGGGAAGACCGAGATGGCGATTACTAGTGTTTGGCCGGCTGCGGTATGTTGCTTCCCCTTTTCTTTCCGTGGAGCCGGAAAGTTTGAAGCAGAGGGGGTGGGAGATGTGATAATGTCATGGATTCGTGAAGATTGTCTAACGCTATAAACCAGGCCATTCAGTCCGCAGCAACAGAGATGAACCCCGCGGCTAACGATGCATCACGCTCGAAAGCGGATTTGCGGAAACCGGTGAGAAGATATACCATGCGACTTGGATCCTAGGCTTTCGGTTTCAGTTGAGATACTAACAGTAGGCTGGCTCCATCAGACAATCTTCTCCGATGCGATTCTGGGCATCCTGAACACCCCGCCCCACATCGTCAACGGTATGCTGGCGCTCGATGAGGACTTCCTGCGTGATTACTGCGGCGTTACCGATTTCTCCGGGTACGCTGTCGTGCCTGGCACCAATCCCAGGCGGATGATGCCGAAGACGTTGCCCGTGCTGGAGGTGGAGGAGCAGGATGATGAGGGGGTGAGGATGGATAGTGCGAAGAGGGGAGGGTCGAAATTGTGATGTCTCGATCTGGCTTGTTGGTGAATACTCTATCTGATCTGTGAAGAAGCTGAGTATACATCAAAGGAGGCAATAAGGGTGGGGGATGATCTGTATCACCGGCAAATTATTTCAGATTATCACTTCTCCGCTTGGGCTTGGATATGAACGCCAAATAATCAACAGTACTGCACCTATATTCCCGCAAGGTACTATATCTTATCCCTCTCACTACATACATGATACCCCCTGGGCCAGTCTTTAGCATACCAATCATTCAGTTTCATCATCAGCCATTATCAGCCATCACTCTCAGGTCCCCGGATACTGATCGACTTTAGTATCCACCATCCCCACCATCTCCAACGAAGGCTTCTCAGTCAGCCGCTGCCGTGACACTGTCCGCTCAAGCCAGAAGCCTGCTGTCGCGACGATGCCCATCACGATCTCGAGTCCAATCGACACCCCCAGCAACACGAACGACACGTGAGTCACAGTACAGTCCCGCGCGAAATGCGCAGGGGGACTGATATCTGCATCGCTCGACGACTTCCACTTGCAGGCCCAAGAATGGATGGTCTCCGTGTGGTTGAACCCGCCGCGAGCGTTCGCGCCTGGTCGGTAGATCACGAACACAAAGCCCACTAGTGCAGTGATAAAGCCTGCGACTGCTGTGACTCCGGCGAGGAGGTTCAGGCGGCGGATGTGGGAGTGGGGCTAGGGTGATGGTGGTTAGCATGATACTGAAGAACCGATCGAAGAGAGCTAGGTAGGTGACTAACAGATGGAAGGAGGGCAGTGATAATGTAGACCAAGTTCTGAAACGCGATGACACTGCCACAGGCTATTAGGGCTTTGGCTGGATGAAGGTCGAGATTGAGTGGCCAGAGGTAGAGCCACACTTTGCTGTAGGTTGAGGTCTTTCGGTAGTGCTCTAGGGCAACGGCCTCGCAGGCGATAATGGGAATCGCAACGAAGAAGATGAGAAGTGCCAGCCCAAGTCGAATGTAACGGAGGAAGCGAGTGCGGGTCAGAAATTTGGACTCGGCTTCAAGTGAGGCATGAGACGTCGATGTGAGGGACGCTGCCACGGTGGACGATGCAGAGTCCATGGGTGCGGAAGAGTGATGAGAAATGGGGAAGAAAGCGAGAGGTTGCAGCTCTTCAGCAATAGCCAAAAACTAGAGGGCAGAATGAATGCAAATACTTAAACAAAATCGGTCTTGCCAGCAAGCCGGTCAAGCTCATCACAAAAGAAAGAGACGAGACTGAGAAGCGAAGCGTAAAGATGCCTGAGGGACTCTTGCAGGCAGTGGGTATTTATTCCTGTCGCGAGAAAGCAGCTGTCCCTCTTCGGTTCCAAAAATAATCCAGCGGGTAAAGGTTAGAGACCCTGAAAGCCTTCTCCGTGCTGCAGGATCGGCTTTCAAAGGCTGTTAGCCGCCCGGCAAGAATTGAAGATGCTCATTTGCTCGTCGCGATTCGCTTTCCCCTGAAGAACCATTCTTCAAACAAGCAACATGCAGCCTTTCTTCCCGGGCGCTTAGAGGCGGGTCAGTGCAACACCAAGACCACGAATAGGCAACGCAACATTGAGAAGAGGGGTGTTTGATATGCACCAGGTTATTCTATCTCTTGCTTGCGGCGGACAGAGGATGATGATTTGTTTTGACGTGGAGGACTGTGCTTGTGAAGGCAGAAGCAGATATCAGCCATAATCGGTGGATGTCGAATAGGAACCCGTTATCTTGCAGGGTCGTGATGAGAGCATGTTCTCCATCACTTTCAGGCTCTCACCTTGTGAGAACCTGCTTTCTGAGCCGACTGTCTCCATCTAGAAGGATAGTAATGGTCATTGATTCGTCGCAGCGAGCGAGAACACGGGGTAACGGCCTCGAAGCAAGAGCCTCGAAGCGAAAGCATAAACTCGATCTAGGCTTAGCAGCACATTAGCAGGTGCCAGTTTATTCCAGCTTCTGGAGCTGCTTATCCGTCTGTGTGACAACATACATGGGGAAGGCCTTGGCGAGCTACTGGTCCAGGTCGATTGAAAGTGCTTGGGTAGTGATTCAGAGTCCCATCTCTTGTCTGGTCGACCGGTACCGCAAGGCGCCTAGATACTTCCTAGTTAACCCAAGCTTTTATATCGAGAATGTGTGTCATAATCAATAAGACGACACCGCTGGAGGGCCTTCGGTCACTTTTCTGGTGCTTGAGACATGGTGGTGAGTGTGACCTACTGTGCACTCTAATTCCACCGTTCAGGATACTCATCGAGTCTCTGTGTGTTTAACAATCCGAAGCTCCTGATCCATTGACTTCTGTTCACTCGCAACATGACCAAGGACTAAACCTTGAAGCAAGACAAGAGATCGAAACCGAAGAGGCTTGAAGCTTCTCACATGAAGCGCGCCAACCCTTTCCAAAAAAGTCGACACAATTTGTCCTGGTGGATTGCTCTCATGCCAAGCTGACTGTAAGTCCAATGCAAGTAAGCATCTCGGGTCATCTGAACATCAAGAAGCTGGGTCGCGACTTGTTGTAGATAAAAGAGACCGCATCTACTGGAGGTCGAAGAGGAAGTCGCTATGCATGCCGCTCAGTCCGCCTTCTGATAGCGAAAACCAACATGGCAGAATCAAAACACCTGCATTTCCTGCAAGCCATCAAGCCCTAAGCCAACCAGTGCCTTAAGGCACTATTTCACCTTGTGTGGGTGACTCAATCAAGCTAGGTCTATACAACTGAGCTGCCCATCGCCACCTCTACCCCTCCCGAAGAATAAGACAGCTCAACACGCCGAACCAAGCGCTACTCACCACTACTGCTACCAAACTCCTACGTCCTCAGAGTACTGAAATACACCAGAGCCTGTATGGTTATTGTCACAAGCTAGCCATGCTTGCCCCCTCCCGCCGCTTCCCTTCCATATTGTCTGCGGATGTTCAGCCATTCAACGGCGCATTCATTTCTCCGTCCTTCTGAAAGATTCTCCATATGAGCCAGACACCATTCGTCCAGTCCCCCCTCACAATAAAGAATCATTCGTGTCTAAGCCAGCGAATTCGATCTGTCTGGGACTAGCCCCTGTCTCGAGTCTTGGCCATAACGCGTCCTTTGCCCTCCTCGCAATATCGCCATCTGTCCAGGGAAGCAATTGAACAACATGAGCAGCGCTTGATGCCACACCCCACAACATCCCGGACTCGCATAAGCATCTTGCTTATTGGACACGTTTGATCATGATCGTTTTGAGGTTGGGAGAGGCGCTCTGGAGCAATCAGCAAGCCTTGTGCGATCCCGTGCCACCCCTTCGCAGTTGTACCTTGTTCTTTGTCCGCCAACGTATGCGATTTGGCTATATCTGCGGGGAAAGTTGATTCAATCTTCTTGGCGAGATATATGATCGGCGTCGCCCTCAATCAATCTCGAAGACTGAGATCCCGCACTTGCTCAAAGCGGAATTTATCCCTGTCAGGACGTCATGTCCATCAATGAAGAATTGCGGAGCTCATAGAAATTCAACTTTCAGCTAATGTTTTCACAAGAAAATGGTTTGATCTTAGAAGCTTGTGCAGTCGCCCTGACGGTCGACAAATTGTCAGCCTCATTGACGGCGATGGCCAAGAACTATGATCTTGCCTGCGCAGCACGACCTGAGCACCTATTCAAGCCCCGTTGGTACTTTGGTTCCCCGCGTCCTTGCCGAGACGGTACATGATGCTCCGTGGCTCCGTCGAAGTCTGGGCGATAGCGCAAATAGTCCCAAGGTTGAGGGGATCTAGACGTGGTGTATGATATATGGCGGATAAAGATTCAGGCCGGGATCCATCTACGGCGCAAGTCTTGACTTTGGTCAAACCCCAGACAGCCAATCAAATAGTTATCGATACTAATAACACGCGTCCTCCGGGCGAGAGATATTGCTGGGATGTTATTTGGCGATTCTTGGCAGGTGAGCTTCATTGCAGGGTCCCCACGGTCTTATGTCTTGGCATGTGGGAGGGACTCGTCATCACTCATCCCGTCGACTGTATGCATCAAGCTTAGGGATTTCCTCCGAATCTATACCAATCAGGCTCAGGCAAGCCAGCAGGGATGAACGTATCTTCTACACCAAAGGTGTCTTCGTCGGGAGACCGTCGCAGTCTCGGAGAGCAAGGTCGCTTTGGTCAAGGAAATTCGTCCGTACAGCAGTAGCGATATAGGTAGGCGGAATGATGAAGCTAGAGTGCAGCAAACTCTCGTTCAAATTTCACGATGGACAGAAATTCTATTTAAGAGGCGCGCAGTCCGGTGCAGAAGATGAACAGACAAGCAACAACTCTCAGTCTATCCAGCGACAACTTTCTCTTCTCATCTTTCGAATATCGTTCTTTTGCTTCTGATTTCCTCAGACTTCTCCCAGTGTCTCGAAATGTATCTCAAGAACATTGCCAACTTGGCCATTGTGGGAGGTGCGGTCCTGGCTATCGCCCACCCTGGTCATGAGGGAAAGCGTGCTGCTTCTGACCTCTTGGAATTCAAGGCCAACATGCGTCGCGGGCTGGAGAAGTGCGCCGCTCGATTTGACAGCAGCGGTTTGAATGCCCGTGCGGAGGCTCGCCGCAGAGCCCTGGTTGACTCGCACCGCAAGCGTCTCGCTGCGCGGGATACCTCCTCGGTGCTTGCCACAACTCACAACGAAACCGGCGATGGGATCACAGCCGACTCATCTGAGAGCGAGATCTTTGGCAGCAGCAGCAGCTGTGTCCTCAACCCAGAGGGCGAGACAGGCCCGTACTACGTTCCAGGCGAGTACGTGCGCTCAGACCTGCGCGAAAGCCAGGCCGGCGTGCCAGTCACTATTGAGGGTCAGTTTGTGGACGTCGAAACCTGTGAGCCCATCACGGACCTGTACTGGGACATCTGGAACTGCAACGCCACCGGCGTTTACTCCGGCCTCGTCGCCACTGGCAACGGGAACACTGCCGACACCTCCAACCTCAATGCTACCTTCCTGCGAGGTATCCAAAAAACCGACTCTGATGGCGTCGTCACCTTCAGTACTCTCTTCCCTGGCCACTACTCCGGCCGCACTACTCACCACCACATGGTGGCCCATCTGGATGTGACGGTCTTGGAAAACAACACGATCACTGGTGGCACTGTCGCCCACATTGGACAGATCTTCTGGGATCAGGACCTGATCAACGCTGTCGAGGCCACGGCCCCATACAACGAGAACACCGTCACTCTGACCACCAACGCGGAGGATCGTGTCTTTTCCGACGAGACGGAGAACTCCACTTCCGACCCGGTGTTGGACTATGTTTATATTGGCGATGACCTGAGTGATGGGCTTTTCGGATGGATCACCATTGCTGTCAACGTATCTGCCACTTATGACCCGAACTACAGCTTCATCTATACCTCCAGCGGTGGTGAAGCTGTTGATGACAGCTCCTCAACTGGCGGTAACTCGCCCGGCGGTGGCCAGTCCGGCTCTGGGGGACCAGGTGGAAGCGCCCAGTCTAGCGGTGGCCAGCCTGGTGGTTTCTGAGGCTGAGACCGTTGGTTATCTCGATAAAGCCGGGGGGTAAAGTACGGACAGGCTTGTTTGTGGAGTGTTGTCGCGCGCGGGACATTGCTGTTTTTATTTACAACAAGCGTGCCCAATCGGTCGCTCGTTTCGTTTGAGTTTGTTGGTTTGTGCTTTTTAGTTGCCTTAGTCCTGTGTCAGTCTTTTCCAGAATAGCTCAAATTGTCTAAGTCACTCTCCTTCCTAAGCATCCATAGAACCGAGGAGCAGCTCGGAGTCCATCGAGACTGATCCCGGAACCGCGGTTACCTGATGCGAGAGAGTGTTCTAGCCCTGTACCGCTTGAAGAACTGGTTCGGTAAACTGAAAATGCCCGTACTAGGTAGGAATTTCGTAGTCCCTGTGCTCTATCGAGCTTTTGAGAAAGGTGGGGGTTTAAAGCAATAGCGCGTCATGATAATCGAGTTCTCGTCGAACTGAGCGGAGCTGGTTCCACGCAAGCATCCAGCACATTTCTACTTGCGCAGCCTTATGTACAGTACCTAAGCCTCTGTAATAGGAAGGAGTATACAAATGATTGCCAGGAGATCTCAGGTGATGCCAAACACCAACCCGAAACCGGAGCCACACCGCCCCGTGACATCACCCCAATCCACGAATCACAGTCAAGGCGGTCATCTCCCCCACACCCAACGCGATTAATTTTGGCGGGGAAAAAAAGCGGCCGGAGGGCGGGATACCACCGACTTCTCTTTTCACGCAATTGCATTCTGCTGCATTGGAAGCTCAAGTTGTTCTCGGAAGTCCATGCTGCGGTCTATTAGTCGTCTCTGCTCTAAACCCAAATTGATTGTGTCGCCCGGAATCTCGACCAAACGATACCAGTCCGTCATGCCTCTCTCTAAGCTGCAGGGCGTGAAGCTCCCCGCTTCGGCGGATTTCCATGGTGCGTTTTGATTGTTTGGTTGAAATGAATTGCAATACAGCATCTATTGGATAGGGAAGGCAAAGTAAATGCATATGTGCTAATTTCTTGTTACGGTTGAGAATAGTCCATCTCCGCGATGGCGATATGATGAAGCTCGTGACCCCCACCATTAGACAGGGCGGCGTCAACACTGTGTTTGTCATGGTAAATATTCATCCTTGATTGCTTTCTCTCCCTTCTCTCCTAGCGTTGTATGAGGGGTGTATGGTGAAGGTTCTAAAATGAACGCCCCGAGAACGTAATCTGATAATCCCTTTCCGCGCTCTCTCTGCAGCCGAATCTAGTTCCCCCCGTTACCACTGTGGACCGGGCACTCGAGTACAAGAAGAGTCTGGAGGCGATCGAACCCAACGTCAACTACCTGATGAGCTTGTACCTGCACGAGAGTGTGACGCCCGAGACGATCGTTGAGGCCAAGAAGCGCGGCATCACGGGCGTCAAGAGCTACCCGGCCGGTGTGACGACCAACTCCTCCTCCGGCGTGATCGACTACACGCAGTTCTACCCGGTCTTCGAGGAGATGGAGCGCCAGGACATGGTGCTTAACCTGCACGGTGAGGTGCCGTCCAAGGGCGACGTAACGGTCCTCACGGCCGAGGAGCGATTCCTCCCGACTCTGCTGCAGCTGCACGAGCGGTTCCCCAAGCTCCGCATCATCCTGGAGCACTGCACGACCGCTGCGGCGGTCGAGGCGGTTAAGAAGTGCGGACCCACTGTGGCCGGAACAAGTGAGATGAAGACACCATCCCTCCTGGAAGGAAAGCGGTACTAATCATTGTAAAAATCAGTCACGGCTCACCACTTGTCCATCATCATTGACTCCTGGGCGGGTGATCCGTTCTGCTTCTGCAAGCCCGTCGCCAAGACGCCCGCGGACCGCGACGCCCTGCTGAGAGCCGCCGCCTCCGGCAACTCCAAGTTCTTCTTCGGCTCAGACAGCGCCCCCCACCCCGCCGTGTCCAAGAGAGGCGGCGACAAGATCGCGGCCGGTGTGTTCACCCAGCCCTACACCACTCAGCTCGTGATCGACGCGTTCGAGCAGGCCTGCCAGAACGGCGTCCTGAAGGAGGAGGACATCACCCCCGAGATCCTCGAGGGTTTCATGAGCAAGTTCGGCCGCCAGTTCTATGGCATTGGCGAGGAGCAGAAGGAGTTCATTGTCATCGAGAAGAAGGATGAGAAGATTCCGAACATCCTGCAGTCGGACAAGGTGGATGTTGTTCCTTTCCGGAGGGAGCAGCAGACGTGGAGCATCACCTGGTCATCATAAGATTGCTCCCCGGTAATTGCGCGAGATAAAAGAAAAGAGTATTCCCCGAATAAAGTAGCACTTCATCGAGAATCGCTATCTTCGCTTGTTGTTTGCCCCGCTAGTCTGATCTATTTTTGCCTCCCGCAAGTAAGCTCATGACAGACTCAAGCGCCTGCGCTTCGGCAACGTTGACTTTGCGGCCGCCGATCACGGGGTTGCCTTCGTTCCCAGCGGCCAGTTGACCGGCGCGCTCGAGATGCAGTCTAACCCTACTCTCAATGTAGTCGCGTCGTGCATCAGCCTCGGAGTCCACCTCCATCTGATCTTCGGACTGTTGCAGACTCGCCAGCTTGGGCCGAAGTTCTTTGATCAAAGCCTGCAACGCCGGCAGTTGCGACAAGATAAACGTAGTGTTCGTTGTGAGGGGTGTGTGCTGAGTGTTCGATCCGGCCACAGCCCCAACCCGCAACTGTCGCGCAGCCGCGCTCGAGGTCAGGAACGACAGGTCCAGATCCTTGGTTTTCGCTGGCGCTTCGGTATCCGCTTTTGTGGCGTCGTCTTTCGGTACGTTCGACAGCATGGACCGCAACTGCGCAATGATCGCCTCGTTCTGGGCGCTCTCCTGTTTCAGGGCCCGGTTCAGCTTCTTGGTTTCGTGTAGCTTCTTGCGCTGAGCGGAGATCGTATCGGGAGTAGGCGCGTCTTCGGGCGGGGTCAGATCTAGATTCTGTTGGATAAAGTTGTCAGCAAATATACACAGGCGATGAAGGCCGACACGAATGGGGAAACATCGTACCTCATAATGCTTGAGCCGAATCCAGCCCATAAGGTCCTCGGGGACCTTGAAGGTATTCCGCAGGACGAACAGCTCGAATTTGTCGAACGTCTTGTCGACGGTCGCCTCGAGGAGCGTCTCCAGCTGGTGCAGGCCATTCTCAATCTCCAACTGCGCCTCCGGGTAGATCACGTTTCCATCCTCGTCGGTGTCGGGGATCGTGGAGCCGTTGGCGGCGTGCGCGAATCCTAGGCGTTCCGGAGGGGTGTTGAGTAGGCCAGTCTCGAGACTCGAGATCGCTTGGTAGATTAAGTTGTTGATTGAGTTGATGATGTCGTCGATGAGAGACTGGAAATGAAGTCAGCGCTGGGTTGGTGTCGTGTTGAGTTGTGCTCGACGGATGGGCTGGGCGACACGCGCGCATCGGAAGAGAGATGCTGCGGCAGAAGATAGGCGTCAAACTGACCAGAGGGGTGTAGCTGAAATGCTCCGTGAGCAGGGAGGTTGTGGCGTCACTCATGTTCGGAGGGCGCTGGCAGGTAGGCGCATTGTCCGCACTCGATTCGGGAAAAGAGAGAAAAGATGGTGTTGTTTCGGTCTGTTGCGGGTGGACGCGTCAGGCGCGCTCAAGTTGCCGAGGGGAGCGCTCGGGAAGAACAGCGGAGAAGATTTACAGTACGTCAAAAATAAGAAGGCTCTAAGCCATCGATCTCAAGGTTCTTCTAACTCAAATTAAGTATCCGAACTATTCTCTCAATCCGAATTGGTTGTAGCTATAGCATATCGCCTGCCATACATACCGCGCGGTCTTCGAGGCAGAAAGGCGACTGACTGTACGATGCGCGGGTGATATGCAAGACGAGTCACTCGAGGGTTCGATTCTCCTCGTCGGGGCTTAATTCTTTTTAGTCTCTCTATCCTCACTCTAACAACCACCCCACTTTCTGTTTGCTCCATGTGATTGCTCATGATCATTTACTTTTGCACTCTGGAGGGTTTTACTGTTATCGTTTTACCCTATTTGCCACAGTGTCTGTTCCTCTGGTGAGTCATGTAGTCTCTACTCGTGCTGTTGACGACTCAGCCACTGTCCGATTGAGTCACCAGTACACAGAACACAGCCAGCCATTGGTTCGAAATGAAACCAAGGGTCACTCATTAGTGAATCAATGCTATCGCAGTTGCGGCCCTAACTCACTTCGTGCTATTATCGCCGGTCTTGGGCCGGTGACCCTCGCCTCCGGCTAACGTGAGATTTGTATGCAGCCTGGAGGTTGCCTAAGAAGGATTCAGACCCCATACTCTTAGTCCAACTACCATGAACACCTGTACTCATATTTAAGAATCGGTCTACCACTGCCATTGATATCAATATTAGTATTACCAAAATACAGCTTTCTTTCTGCGACCCATTATACACAAATACTCACAAGCATGGCTCATCAATCTCCGGAGCAGATACTACAAACTCCACCTACTATGGACATCTCACCTTCGTTACCCTCACTAGCAAGAGAGTCAAGCTCGTCATCGCGGCCAAGCTCCCCAGAAAGAGTTGCAACCTTGATCTTACAAGGAGACAAACACAAGCACGCCCGAGAATCCTTCATGAAGCCCGCGCCGGTGGAGAATCGGTTACGACCTGCTGCAGGTAAGCCCCCTGTGTCTTGCTCAGCCATCTTATAATCAGATATTGATGATGCTAATGCCCAGGTTCAAGATATCATCAATCGCATCATCTGGGATCCTAGTTTTGATAGTGATAACTTCGTGATTGTATACGAGGACCGATTCGAGGGACGCCTAGAAGCTAGCTTCAATACGTGGAAGAAAGAGACGACGCATGACGAGTTCATCCCACAACACCGCGTCCTTCATATTAAGCGCCGGTCAGACGAGGAGATCGTCTGGGATCGGAGGCGGAGGATAGACAAGATTTTCTCGAGTGGCAATTCTGCTTTCGATTATCTGGGCTTCCTTAGTTGAATGAAACCAATTTCGAGAAGACATGCTATTGATGGTTGTTTGGTTGGTAGCTGGCGTTAGACCGCGAGGCAACACTGCGAGACCCGAGAGGTTGTACGAAGTACTTTCCCTCTTTGCATTGGTTGCGTAGTTCCTTCCTTAGCAACAAGGACGGTTTGCCGGAGACGGGACTATCTTAAAGTACTGCCTAAGGGAAGAAGTCTATGCCTTTTTAGCATCCAGCCCCTTCAGCAGCCAGAGCATCCATCCATATTCAAGCTTGAGATTTGTTTTTCGGGTACCTTTGGCTGTTGATCTTACAGCGCAATGACTCCAAGACGCCGATTCGAGTTCTCCTTTCGCAAGAGATACACCGGTCCGTCCACGTCCTCTTCGAGTATCTCTCCAACGGTTCCTGTCCTTCAATCTCCCATGGCCTTTCAAGCGCTAGGCTCGAGAACAATCTCTGAAGCGACCTTGAAGCAGAAAAATAAACTGGACAGAGCGCCTGTCAGACCGTCCATGTTTCTTGAAGAGAAGGACGACGATGAGAATCAGATATACCCCCTCAAGCCTGGTGCTCCTGCCGAAGTCAAGCCCACTCATCTTGAACGCAAGAGTATGGAGAACGAGTCTGTCCTCCGTCCCAGAACCCAGCATTTCGAAGATCTCTTCACCACCAGAGGTCCTCTATCCTCGCCAAGATCTCAAGTCAGCCATGACTCTGTGATTGTTGTGGAGGTCAAGATCAATACCAGGGTAGGCTTTCAGTTTGTCGTGAAGTTTGTAGACAGATGAAGTAAGGCAAGGACACTGATATCGATGTCAGATCAAAGATGACGACATGCTTGCTTCGATGATCACAACACAGATGGCACGAATTTTCGAAAAGTCTGAGGCCTGCATGATGACCACAATTCAGCAAGATGCCTGCCTCTATTTCGCGAACTCGAATATGCCAGCGTACTTGATGAAGGTTTTTGCATTGCCGTACCTCATAGCACCCATAACCAATCTCCGCAGCACCATCCTGATTCAAGTTGCCCTTGAGAAAATTATGAGCATTGCATCTAACCACGGTGTCATTTTGTTCCTTCCAATGCCGGAGGAGAACCTTGCCACCAACGGCGTGACTGTGATGGGTCAGATAGCAAACCTAGAGCGTGGCACAGGGCTGTTCAGAACCATTTCTCGAACTGTGAGCCGAAAGCTCAAATCTGGTAGTGCACAGAGCGCACCAATTTCAGTTGCGACGACATCCTCATGGACATTTAGCGATAAGCTCTCACCAGTATCAGTGACCGAGAGCCAGTCTCATGAGAGCGCAGCATCTAGAGAGGGAAGAACGTTCAAGTTCAAGTCCAAGCCCAGGTCAACAACAAAGGCCAGGAGTTCTGTTTCTTCTGCGGCCGGTGAGGGCGGAAGTCAACCTGGCTCGTCCAATAACGAGCAGTGAATTTGTGTGTTGTTTTATATTTCAATACTGCCCGCTTTGATTTTGTGTCTTTCTTTCGGGTTTGTCTTGGTTTGAGCAATTTTGTTTGTCCTTCTGTGATTGGGCTCACTTTCCGCAGTCATTCACTCAATGCAGCTTTCTTGACTGAGCATGGTCGAATATGACCCTTATTTTTCCCTCTCTTTAGCTCATCTCTACTATTAGCTCTTGAAGTCTTTCTCTGAATAGCAACGTCGTTCCTCGAAGTCAATCCTCCATAAACACATCTCATCCAATCGTCAAGGTAATTAGCATTTTGATATGGAGGCAGAATATGGTCAAGGAAGAATACTGGAGATAGAAGGCAATCTGTTCGATGCCCCAAATGGAGCAGCATTGATCCGTGAGTCATGTCCCCGTGAAGGATGAATTGCTGTCTTCTCTAATGAACATCAGACTCATGCAACTGCCGAGGCGTCTGGGGCAAAGGCATTGCGAAAGAGTTCCGGGGCAAAGTCAGTCACCGGCTTCTTATCCCCAATTTGCTCGCTTGACGTACTGACAGGATCTCATTATGCATAGTACCCCAATGCTTACTTGTTCTACCGAGCCCACTGTCGAGAATACGCAGCGCACCCTGAAGAAGTGGTCGTCACCGGTGAAGCAGGCCCGCGTCGGATCCAGCTGCCAGAGGGAACCGCGCTCCTCATCCCGCCGCAGCCGGGGGATTCCCAGTTCAATGGCGGGCGTCAGCATTGGATCATCTGTCTCTTCACCTCGCCCGGGTTCGGGACACAGGTCTCTCCGGTCAACATCCTGCTGGAGAATACGGAATGTGCGGTTTCAAATCTGAAGAAGGAGATCAATCAGCTACGTGCTCAGGGGATCGCAATGGGAAGCCTTTGGTCGTGTCGATTCAACTCCGGGCTGTTTGGTGTGGATTGGGCTCATTCGCGGGATATTCTGGTGGGATCGGGGCTGGAGGTTACTGTGGTGAGGCCACCTGGTGCGTGAGGTCGAGTACCACGCGATTTGTGTTTGTTGCAGTCAATTAACGTGGAGTGGTGATTATGGCTTTCGGCATGTTTACTCAGTTGCATGGCAGAGTGTACCATTCGAAGCATCCTGCGCTGGCTCTGATTGATATTCTCTGATAATAGGTTCGAGTGTTTTGCAAGCTTTGTAGTCAGAGTTGTTTTATCTAGGCTTGCTGGAATCGATCTTTCGAAGACGCTTGTCCCTTTTTGTATTGTGTTGTTGATGGGCACACCACCTGCTGCTGTGGCTATCGGTCTTGGATACTCGTATAGTCGCAAGGCCGGATCAAGTTGATAATTACTATTCGGGCTTGAATTTTTGGTCCCTTCTGTACCAGTAATAGACTGGAGCTTATGGTTATTTATTCTTTGCAGGGGTCCGGTGTTACTTTCAAAGTTGAGAGTTTTTTGGAGGTAGTATGTACATACAATTATTTGACCCGATGAGGAAATATGTATTTAGACCAGGCATGAAAGTCACGCTGCGGTACAATTGAGTTATCAAGCAATCAAGAACACTCAAACTAATAACCGTTTACCTATGGCGAAGTATGCACATATTCCTCAAATACAGCTATAGACCCCAAGTCTAGCTTATTCGACGTCGTCGAAACCTATCATAATAGTATCACATGACCTCGCGTTTCGGCCCGCGTCGCGAGTGGTGTCTCCCAAGCCTCGATAACCCGTCAGAACATCGCATCTTCGAGAGCAACAGAAACAAGCAAGCTACAACTTCACACAAAATGCCTCCCGAGCGACAACCGACGCAAAAACGGCGCAGACTGCCATTCAAGCCCCCAAGCCGGGCGTCCTCATCCGCACCAGCACCAACAGCAGGGGCATCATCATCCACAGCCACATCCAAAGCGAACAACCCCAAGTCAAAACCAACCACCAAAGCCTCATCCTCCTCCCATCCCAAACGCAAGACGACCATCAACGCAGCATCCTCCTCCTCATCCTCCAAACCGCGCCAACCGCGCCAACCCTCCAAGTCCACATCCACCTCCAAATCCAAATCCGCCCTCCTCCCCGCACCACCCGCCTCCGACACCGCCTCATCCCACGACGACTCCGACCAAGAACAAGACGAAGACGAAGACCCAACCCGCGAAGCGCCACCCTCAGAAACAAGATCCCCCTCCCGCACCTCCACGCCATCCTCGCCCGCCCCGGAACGAGACACAAACCCAGACCCCGAATCAGAACCAGAACCAGACTACATCCTGGCCGAAATCACGCACGGCACAGAGCAAGAGGAAAGCATCGTAACGCGCGAACCAGTCATCCCGTCCAAGCTCCTGACCCGGCTACTGCACCACCACTTCCAGAACCCCAAGACGAAGGTTGCCAAGGACGCCAACATGGTCGTCGCGAAGTACGTAGACGTGTTTGTGCGGGAGGCGTTGGCGCGCGCGGCGTTCGAGCGCAGTGAGGCGGTGGGTGAGGGCGCGGCGGTTGGGGATGGGTTTTTGGAGGTAAGTTTTCCGTCCTTTCCCTCTTTCTTTCCTGTGGGCTGGGGTGTGGGAAGGGGCGTTGGAGTTCGGGCTTGATGAATGTGTAATGTGTATGCTAATGGGTTGGTTTGGTTTGGGGTGTAGGTTGAGGATTTGGAGAAGTTGGCGCCGCAGCTTGTGATGGATTTTTAGATGGGATTTAGCTGGCTAGTTGGTTGTTTGGTGGTTGGGTGCGTGGAGTTTGATACATAGTACGGGCTTGTGGTTTGTTTCTTTCGCTCAAGTGTTTGTGGGCTGAGATACCTGGTTGTTAATTTGTTTTTATAGGAATTATATCTTGGAAGCGCTGGATGGGCATAAGCGATGTGCAAAATTCACCATTTATATACTCGAGTCTATCCACAGGTCTAAATGATCTAAACAAAGCAATTAGGTTACAGTAAGCTATGCCCCAAACTGGGTATAAATGCTATGAGTGACGCCCTTCCTGGACTCCGCAAAAATTTTCAAGATCCCAACGTTTAAGTCATGTTTCAACCGCTCACCAGAGGATCAGGCGTCGCCATGGCTGACACCGTCTTCGAGTCTCCAGAAGGAGTCGCAGACCCCTCGGCAGTAGGAGCGTTGCTGGCAGCCTCGACTTCTTCCGTCTTGCCATTGGCCTTCTTCTTGGTGGTGACGGCTCCCTTGGCCGTAAGAGCTCCAAGCTCCACGGCCTCCTCGGGCAGGGGCCGGATGTGAGGCTGACATACCCAAAAGGGTCGGCCGTATTCGGCGATCGTCGCCTTGGAGCCGGTCAGCTTCTCGTCCGGCGACCGCTCGAAGCGCTCGGGGAACTGGTCGTATTCCTGGAGTCCCTTCTTGACGGCCTTCTCGACGAGCGCCAAGACGTTCTCAAACGCCGGCATGTCCCCGGGATGTGATCTCGCCAGCGCGTCGCGGACGTCCGTGTGCACCGAGACCATGGGACGGAGAAGCTGGAAGAGGTGGCCCTGCATCACGCCCAGGCTGGCAGACGCCCGCTTGCCCTTCTCACGCTTCTGCCTCTTCTTAGGCGGGCCGTCCTCCTCCTCAGCCTCAACTTGCTGCTCCGACTGCTCCTCTACGGGGTCAGACGGCAGATAGAGAGGCATCCGCTCCGGGACCGGCTGCTCCAGGACGTACTTGTAGATCACATCCAGATAGCGCCGCAGCATCGCGTCGATGCGATATCCGCCCTTTCCATCCCTGCCGCGCCAGTACTCCCTGCCCTCACTGCCGATGGGAGGCGGCTTGCTGAAGATTGACGGATCCGACAAGTTTCCCTCGGCGCTCATCACGGCATCCGCGCCGGTAGCCTCCAAACAGCGGTCCAGATCCTCGTAGTTCAAGTTGTTGCCATTGGCGAAGATGACGGTCTCCGGAGGCAGGTTGTCGCGCAGGTAGCGGATGTAGCTCCAATCTGCGACGCCAGTATTGTGACCCTTCTGCTCCCTCCGACGGCCGTGAACGGCGATTATACTCGCACCGGCAGAGAGAATCATTTTCGCATACTCCAGCGTCTTCTCCTTGGTCTCCTGGATCCGGAACTTGGCGGTGACGGGGATGGACAGCTCGGTGTGCAAGCGGTTGATCAGCTTGTAGATCAGGTCCCAGTCCTCCTGGAGGAACGCCCCGTAGTGTCCGCGCTTCGCGATCCCCTGCGGACATCCGAGGTTCAGGTCCACCGCGTCACAGTACGGCGCCACATGGCGGGCCGCCTCGAGGAAGTCGTCCGGGTCGTTGGCGCAGAATTGCACGAAGAGCGGTCGGTCAATGGCCGGGTTGCCGTCGAGATATGGGGACTCGTCGCCTTCTTCTTTGCCGGCTGCCGCGCGCGTCGGGTGGAAGTGCTGCGCGCGCACGTTGGCCTGCTCCCGGAAGAGCCGGGCGTGGTACATGGGCGAGTAGGCGAGGATCTGCTTCTGCTCGTCCGGTGGCAGGAAGGACCTGGTGAGCATGCGCCATGCCTTCACTAGGATGTTAGTTTTTATTTGTCGTGCAAAAGAGCCTTAAAATGCAAAGATGACCAGTGGGAAGGGCGAGGGGCGCTCACGAATTCAGATCGGTCCACCATGGGCGCGATGATGTACTTTGGACTGCCTATGCTCTTGTAGAATTCCCTGCCGAGCAGCTTCTTCTTCGGCTCGGCTGTGATGGTCGCTGGCGCATTCTGGTCGGCGACGCAATTCTGCGGCGCGGGCGCCGTCTCGGGAATCGCCATTTTCGGGGTTGGACGCAGTGTCGGGGGGATGATTCGCCCCAGCCAAGGGGGAAGAAGCCGTAAGAGCTTTATCTTGAAGACGGAGCAGGAAAAGCCTTTGGCGGACGAAGTAGCCGCACTTCGCAGTCACGAATAATGCGCATACAATCAAGATAGGAAGACCTTGGGGTACAGTAGCGGATGGCGGGCATCTTTTTTCCAGCGATAATTTATCTCGGAACGGAATAAAGCTGTTCCTCTTATCTTATCCAGCGACAGCCTGGAAGATTGACGTATCACTTTTGGGGCGACCTGCAGGCTGACATCGTCGAATGAGGCATCCTTACTGTTCTTGTTCTGTCAAGCAAGGAGGATAGTAACTGCCTAGCAACTTGAACTTCTTCAAGCTCATTCTATTGTGACTGTGTCTGTTACGCCTAAAACAGGGCGACCATGCTAGAGCTTACATAATCCAATAATGAGGCCTTAGCGCTTTTTCGCGAGTGGGTTCAATGTTTTGGGAGAAACTTTCGATATGTTTGTCAAAGAAAGCTTCGCCAATCTTGAGTTCAGAGACCCAGGATATGCCGAGAGTAGTATGTCCAGGGTATCAGGAAGTCAAGATTCTTTTTTCGTGAAACTCTAGCGCCGTGCTCTGAGAGCTTTCGAATTTACAAAGCAAGCCTTCATCAACAATGGACGCCGCAGGGGCTGGTGGTTAGTTGGGGCATAATACCCGACAACAACGATAGCACGATGCTGACATTCCTAGTCTCCCCTTCGATATCATTCTCCGAGGATGGGGACTATGCTGCACAGCTGAATGGCAAAGAGCTGGTGGTCCATCTCAACCCCAGCTCTACAGACTTCAAGGAAGTACAGATCGTGAAACTCAAAGAGAACGGCTCAAAGTTCCTAAAATTCTCCCGCTCAAAGCCTGTTTTGCCATCAAGCACTCACTCCTATGGAGGGGTGAGCTTACCGGAGAGGCGTCTGCTGTGTGCTAATGACGCCCGTGTCTCCGTCTGGCAGTTGGAATCGTTGCAGCTGCAAGCGGAGATCGAGAGCATCGAGCCGGGAGCTACATACGTCGACTTTGGCGGCGATGAGAATGAGATCGTCTATTTCCATGCGTGGAACACCAAGATTACTGTCTTTGGGCTGGACACAGGCCGCAGCCAGGTCATCAAGGCACCCAAATTCTCAAACAACCACGGTTTCGGTTATCGCCCGAAGACCAGGCAGCTGGCCGTTCTTCTCAAACCAGATGCTACTGACTTGCTGACCATTCACGAGTTTCGGACTTACGAGCTGATTGGGCGGGCGGTTCTGCCTACGATGGATGCCCAGGGGCTGAAGTGGAGTCCGGATGGCAGATGGATCGCCGTGTGGGATACTGCGAGTGCAGGCACGAGAGTACTCATCTTCACGGCTGATGGGCAGCTTTTTCGGACGTACACAGGACTTCCGGAGTCTGATAGCTCTTTTGATCTGGGTGTTCGAAGTATCGAGTGGAGTCCTGTCGGCAGTGCACGCGGTGTCTCTGAGTTTCTGGCTGTTGGGAAAGTGGATGGGTCTGTGGACATCCTCAAGAGCAGAACTGTAAGGTATTCTGTTTGGTGCTTAGTTCTTGCACGCTGACCGAACCAGTTTTCTTGTTCAACGACTCTTTCGCATGTTTTCTCAATTGAACAGAACTCAGCCAGTGTCTGGAGAGAACGAGCAACCGAAGATGGCACGCTGGAGTATGCCGAAGCGTCAAGCTCTTCAGCATTCGCTGCCAACTCTGAAATGTCTGGGCCGCCTCGCGGTGTCGCAAACATGGCGTTCAGTGCTAGCGGCACCCTTCTCAGCACTGTAGACCAAACGCGGCCAAACATTGTCTGGATCTGGGACATGGAATCCACTCCAGTCCTTCTGTCTGCCCTCGTCCACGAACATACCATCAGACAAGTGGTGTGGCATCCCACAAAGGCGCAATTGCTCATTACTACTGCGAATACTGCATACTCTGCCGTCCGCTATTGGTCACCCTACAGTCAACCCCTAACAGTGCGCATTCCTATCCCACGGACTGAGACTGGCAAATACGATGCAAGGTGGCTATCGACAGATCAAGACAATGACTCGAGGTTCTGGTTCGGTACACCGGAGGACTATGTGCTTGGCTTCATTGAAGGGGTCGGTGAAGAGCCGCGATTCCATATCCTTAATACAATCCGCAGCAAGCCCGCTGCGGGTAGTTCTGCTCCCTCCGCGAGCCGTTAATCCGAAGGGGCTTTCGAACTTATGGCGTCACGATCTATGCTTTACGAATGTGTATTCGGTTTTCCTGAGCGACGCTTGGAAAGCGGTCAAACTAATGTGTTTTAGTATAAGCATTGTATAGTATCTAATCTTCATCATCTGGACATCTAATTGGATGTGACCGTGGGACTAGTAGCTGTATCTGCTCCAGTCTTGGCTGACAATACGCCCAAGTACCTAATACATATATAAGATTTATTGCTTAAGAATGAGCTTGAAACATTTTGAATGCATCCACGACAGCCATGAACATACTTGCAAAGACATCTAGTATATGAGGCCATACACAACGCCGCGCAGCCAATCACAGCGGCTCCCTGGCCCCTGCTAACCGAGGGCGGCGACAGGCAGTCCAGGGTTTAGGGCTACCCACCACGTGACGCTGAGTCATCCCCCACTCGAATTTCGCACTTGGGCACTCAAGTTTCCGGCCGTTCGCTCTGTTGTGCAGCTCTCCTCCGTCGAACAGCTACATCAGATCGTCAAAATGGTGAGTATAGGCCTTGCGCCGGCGACTTGATGCAGTCGCAGCGACAACCCCAACCTTTATAACCAGACGCAAAATACTAACGACTGTTCCCATCAGGCTCCTACCAGAAAGAAGTGGTCCAAGGGCAAGGGTACGCTATCACACTCCATCTCTCCCCATTCACCCCCGATGCGATGAAAAGTGGTCGGATATCAACCTGTGCAATTCTCGACAATGGTTCTCGGGTCATCGCACGAGTACGATCGCAACGGCGAAATGAATATCGATTTGGAAATCCTGCAGAAGACGCACACAATCGAGACGAAGATTTCGAACAACCCCGAACTGACTTTTGATTTTTGCGGAATATAGTTAAGGACAAGGCCCAGCACGCCGTCGTCCTTGAGAAGCAGGTCGCCGAGCGCCTCAACAAGGATGTCCAGTCCTACCGTCTGATCACTGTCGCCACCCTGGTCGATCGTCTCAAGATCAACGGCAGCTTGGCCCGCCAGTGCCTTGCTGACCTCGAGGAGAAGGGCCAGATCAAGAAGGTTGTCAGCCACTCCAAGATGACCGTCTACAGTATGTCTTCCCCTGGATACTTTTTACGGGGTCTGTGAACGCTAACGATAAATTCTTGATCAGCCCGCGCCGTCACCGCCGAGTAAATGTCTTGACGCTATGAAATGAATTCCTCGCGCGTCCTGTTTTTTACTTTCAAGTGTGTGTGCTACGAATGATATCAAACTCAAGCGGAATAAAACCTCATCTTCGGAAATTTCTTTCTTGGGAAGGGCCGGATGGAGATGATGTATAGGCGTCAAGTAATATTGACTTCTTGAATCAAATCGAAAAAAGATCTGTTCCATTTTTTTCCTGGTGGATTGCGGTGTTTCAGTGTAGGATGAGCAATAATTGTCGACTGGTATAATACGCCATGCGTAGGACAACTGTTACTACCTCTATGAGTTTTTATCCGACATACAAAACGTCACAGCGTCGCTCAAAACTAAGCCTGCATATATCAACAACCTGATATCCCCAAACTATATAGCATACAATCCATCCACCCCACCCAACACCAAGAAGTCCACGAACAACCTACCGCTTCCCAGCAGCCAAAGCCTCAACGACCTGCTTCCTCGTAGGCCTCTGCTGCCTAGCAGCCTGGCACAACTCCCTCTTCTCACCCTCTCCGGAAACCTCCAACCCAACGACCCTCCCGACCTCAAAATACCGCTTATGATTCCTAAAGAAATTCTGCCAGTGCGACACGGCGCGCTCGATACGGCTCCGGGCGTAGCGCACGTCCTGCTCGCGGCGCTTCTTCCGCTCGCCGGACGACAGCGCCGCCAGCTCGGCGGGATCGTCCACGGGCATGAACATCTCCTCCACGCCCGTCAGATCATGCGTCAGGTCCTCCTGGAAGCAGCCCGTCACGAACGCGCGCGTCGCGTCCCGTCCCGCGAAGAAGTTGTAGTGGCCGCCCGGCCCGTAGACCATTGGGTTGGCGCTCACGTCGAAGATGGTTCCGTTTACGGAGACGTAGAGCGGGAGGGTTGGGTCTGTGCCGTTGTAGAGGGAGAGTTGGGCCGGTGTGAGGGTTAGGGGACCTTGCTGTTTTGTTTTATTTGATGGGCTTGTTAGTTGGATTCTACGGTTGGGGATAGGGGTAAACGCAACGCACCAGAAAGCGCATCACTACTGGCAGGCGTGTGAACCATGGCCGGTAGCCCCAGAGTAGCGATTCCGAAGACGTCATGTAGTAGGATAGGCCGCATGAGGCGATTACCAGTGTCGCTAGCACGCGGATTAGGTCGAGGATGCTGATGCCGCCGCGTGCATTTTTGGGGGCTTTGCTGCTGGGTTTCTTGTTGTTGTTGCTGCTGTTGCTGCTGCCGCCAGCTTTGTTGGATTTCTGGCGTTGGCGGACTTCCGACATGGTTGCTTTGCAATCCGGTTGTAGCTGGTTGTGTGGTTGGTTGGTTGGTTGAAGAGGGGATGATTATTAGATCTGTGCCATTGAAGCTCTTTCGTTGAAAGGAGAAAGACAAAATATTCCAGGTTTAAAAATGTATACACGCAAATTCAGGAGGGGTGGTGGGATTATGACAGGTGGTTTGGCGGGTTCCGTCCGGGTGTTTTCCGCGCTCGCTGTTTGATTTGTTTCGCCCGCCAATGGTGTGACTGCGGAAATTGCCAGGACCATTCAGAAGCCAGATATTGTTGATTTGTGATCTATTTCCCCTGCTGGATAAGATAGTCATAAAGATCAGGTATTAAACCAGGCAGGCAAGGGTGAGACATTTATGCTGAGGTGTTGGTCTTAGCAAACAGACACGTATCTATACGGACCCAGACCAGTATCCGGAAATATATACTGGGATAGCTACAGGCATTCATAGTCCATATATCAGCTGCGTTCGTCTGCCAAACCCATCGAGCCCAAGTCTCTCGTAGCAAGTATTTTCGAGATCTCAATTGAGCTGCCAGTTTCATTCCATATATCACACTCAAAGTGTTTATGATCACTACTGGAGTCCCACTTCACCAAGACGTCCCTACACTAGCCGCATGCGGGGCTGGCACCCGGGTTCTCATGATAAATTCCACCAGTGCTTCAAGCACGAGCGGCGTATGAACACACAAGAAATTTACATGATAGTCACAATCATAGTAGCTCAACTTTATACACACGAGCCTCCTTCCAACATATCGACTTACACTTGCTCCTGTCCCTGACCCTGCTCCCAGCTGCGAGAGAACACGTCATTAAGGGCCTCTTGAAAGGTGCGGCAGTTCATGTCGATTAGACCTTTCTTGCTCTTGGACTCTGGATTGCGGATTACCGACACAAGGCACAGGTATCTAGCAGATGTTAGTGACCGCAGCCTCATAACAACCCGGGAAGCATACTTGTTCATCTCCATCAGATGGATCATCGTTTCATCATGCAGAACCACATGGCTTTCCGCCTCCTGGTTCTGCTCGCCTTTGCTTTTGCGACCTGGATTATCATAGGAGTACAGCTCAGATACATCCACAATCACATCGATGTAGTCCGAGCACATCTCGTAACACGACATGTCCACGGGACGAGTGTCAGACGCAATATAGATTTTGCTCAAGACATCAAATAGATAAGTCTTCTCGAAGCCACAATTGTTGGCAAGAGTGTTGATCAGGTTCTCCATGGTCGAGAGATTCGGAATGAGCTTTTGGATGACTTTGCTGAAGGCCTCAAAGACTGAGTAGTCGTAGATAGAGGTTAGATAGTAGTGAACCGGAGCATTCTCATATCCGGCATCGCTGAGCTCGTCAGAGATCAGCTGCACGATGTCCTGGAAGGTGTCTGTGCGGTATTCGTCGGACAGCCCGTCCACTTTGTGAATGAAGACTTCGATGTTTACGGCGGGATAGAGCTGCTGGAGGCAGAGAATGGTACGGTTGAGACGTGAAACAGAGTCCAGGTAGTCGTCCTGAGCATCAATGACCCAGACCAGAGCCCCAAGACCTCCGAAGATGTTTTCGAGATCAAAAGATGGCTCCGTATATTCCAGCTGTCCTGGGAAATCCCAGACCTGAAAATCCATGAACGAGCTGTGAAACATGTCAGCGGGATCTAAGAATGTGACGAATCTTGCTTACTGAATTGAATCTTTTTGGATCCGTGTGGTTGACTCGAGGAACAGCGTTTCATTCGGTGGCATCTTGTGAAACACAACGCTGGCGATAGAAGATTTGCCGCTCCTGTGGACCGATTAGAGCCTGTGAATTAACAAAAAATGAAGCATTGATTTATACCGACGGAGACCCATTAGCATGAGACGCGGTTTGGTATCTGGTGGATTGCCCGTCGCAAGCTGACCAGCCTTGGCCTGAGCCTGTTCAGGCAATAGTTGACTAGATCCCTGCAGCCAAGTTTCATCATTAGCTTCATGCCTATAGTCGTGAGTAGAACAGATCATGCGAAGAGATGATCCCGAGCCAGGCGAGAACAATCATGGCCCCAGAGAGAAATAAATAATTAATCAGTGGCAATGATTCTGAACGCCCAAAGCGAGTTTTGAGGCAAGGTATGGCAATCGCCTCCTGAAGCCATCACAACACGATTATAACAAATGTGGGACGATAATCGCGTAAATCATATGCGGCCAAGTTTAGACAAACATGAGACATGCAGCAATTTGACGAGGTTTATTCCCCTGGATCAAGTTACCACGTCCTGTTTGGTACATGCGAAGGGTGCAACACAGTTCAGAACGTCGCAGCAGCAGGGCATGAATCAATCGGACAGCACCAAGCCCGGCAGACTACGATACATCAAGTGGAGTCAAGAGAAGTAGACAGAGAACAGTCCGTACCTCCATATTGCGGTGATAGCCAATCCAATGGCAAAGGAGATTGAGAACTATAACGATAGTCAGACAAGTTTAGCCCGTTGGGTAGCGGTAGCGCTCGCATGAAACCCACAATTCCAATGACTGTCGGCTTAAGAGAAGCGGAGAGAAGAAGCCTAATAATTTCGGATCCTTTCCGATACGGCAAAAAGCGATATGAACAGTAATTCTATCCACCGAGGCTCAATTTGCATATACAGCTATTGGACCCGGCAGGTACTGTGCGTTGGTCAGGTGACAGTAGTAACTATGCAGGTGAACCGGACACCCGTCACACAAGAAAAAGGGCTTCAAGAAAAGACAGAGGGTTTAGCAGTTGCTGACGTCCATCATTGGCGTAATGATTCAGTTGAAATGGAAAGACGAGGTCACAGCGGAGAGATCAGTGAATCCACCATCCGGCAGCGGATAGTATAAATGGACTGCAATTGGGGAGGCAACGGCTGTCACGTGTATGGCCTTGGAGCAGTCTCAGCAATGATAGCGTTGAGCCTTTCAGAATATGTAGTTCAGAAGGTGTAATATGTGCTCAGACCGGCAGAGTCGATATCACCCGGGGAATGCAGATCGGTCAAGGAAGAGAGAGGAGCAACGAGGAAGAGATACGGTGGTGGGTTGCATTCGATAAGCTCGGCAGGAGATCCGCTTGGCACTTTTGCGCAACTTCATCTTGCCCATCGTTTCCGCCTTGGGCACAACCGACTGCACCATCACAGACCGCCTTGGTGGCCGCCTTTGCAGTGATCGACCCTGCGTCTGTGGGCAGTCATGGAGGCTCTGCAGAGCCTCAACCCAGTGACTTATACGCCCATTCTTTGTGAGTCGTCCATTTGGCCATGGTTAACTATGGAGGACTCGGGAGGGGACCGGAGACGCCCGCGGTGTGAGCGAATTGAAGCAGGTGGTTCCGACACATGGCTTGATTGGTCGGGGCGGGCCCGACCGCCTTCATGCGTCATCACCGCCTCGGCCAGTCCGCCGAACGCTGGGCTGTTGTCTGGCCTTGCCTTTCTTCTCCTCTCCTCGTCGCAGATCAAAACATTGAGATTGTGACTCTGGCACGTCAGTGCTGTCTATCTCGCCATGACCACCCTCAAACCTCGCGAGCCTTACTCCCAGGAGGAGCTGGAACGCCTCTACCCTAGCGACTTGAAGCTTCAATTGGTCCAAGTGGTGAGTTACCGGCATACCAGGAATGACCCGGATTGCGTCTAGACGCTAACAATGGACTATAGTTCCTTCGTCATGGTTAGAAAAGATTATCACAATCCCTTTGTATAGCCAACTAACCATCTACTGCAGGTGAACGAACGCCCGTGTCTTCACGTTTCCAAAATGTATGTAACAGCGTCTCGCAATCAATGGATATACTCAAGCTAATATCGTCAAGGCAGGACTCGCTCCTTGTAAGCCAATCCCTCGAAATCAGCACCATTCCAAGAAATCCCACTGACAATCGTTTGCTTCGAACACAGACTGGTCATACTGCACCGTCGCGCGCCAAATGGTCCAAATGGCCGCCAGCCACAAGGACCTTTCAGCCTGGAACGGATTCCAATGGCGTCGGAAACATGAGTCCTTTGGCAGTAGGGACGAATCAGTCGCTGCAGTTGGTGCATCCGGTGATATCGATGGTATCTGGCAAGTCAAATCAGGCTCGAGATAAGGGAGGACTTGCTGACCGACATACCCAGCCTACACGGCGAGTTAACCGACAAGGGACGGGAGACCACATATGCGCTAGGCCAGCGACTCCGCCATCTGTACGTCGACCAGCTCGGCTTCTTGCCCAAGATCAAGTCCGACACCGAGGACATGTACCTCCGCGCGACGCCGATTCCGCGCGCTCTCGAATCTCTCCAACAAGCCTTCTGGGGATTGTACCCTGCGAGTGCCCGCACCCAGGACTTCCCACCCCCCGTGATCGTCGGACGATCCGTGTCCGAAGAAACACTGTTCCCTAACGAGGGCAACTGCCGTCGCTTCAGACAACTCTCCCGACTCTTCGCGGACCGGGCCGCACTCAGATGTACGTAACCCCGGCCCGAGCTGCACAATGCCGTGTCCCACAACTCACCCCAACCCTCCACAGGGAACGAAACGGACGAAATGGAATACCTGAACAAGCTCTGGTCCAAATGGATGCCCGAGAGCTCTCCACGCGTGGCGGTGGACTCGCACCCGCGCCTCTCCGGCATCATGGACACGGTCAACGCGACAGACGCGCACGGGCCGGCGACGCGCCTGCCCAAGGAATTCTACGACACCAAGGCCCGCGAATACATGGACCGGATCGCAGTGGACGAGTGGTACTCAGGCTACAGCGACAGCGCAGAGTACCGCAAGCTGGGGATCGGGGCGCTGCTAGGGGACGTGGTGGACCGGATGGTGAGCACGGCAGTGTCGCCAGGCGGCTGGCGCAGCGAGGCGGCAGCGGTAGCGGCCACCAACCAACCCAGCAAAGCCATCAAATTCGCCATGAGCGGCTGCCATGACACGACTCTAGCCGCCATCCTGAGCAGCCTCGGCGCCTTCGGCAACAGCAAATGGCCACCCTTCACCTCCTCCGTCGCCATCGAACTCTTCTCCAAAGCCGATGACACCTCCTCCTCCGACCAATCCAGCAGCAGCAACACAAGCCTCCTCTCCCTCCTCCCAACAACCACAAAGTCCGAACCCGAAACCGCCCGCGTCCCCCTCGCCGCCCTCCCGGACTCAGCCCGCCACTCCCTCCGCACCCACTACGTCCGCATCCGCTACAACGACCGCGTCGTCCGCGTCCCCGGCTGCGCCGCCAAGCCCGAGAACCACCTCCCCGGCGACGAGACCTTCTGCACGCTCGACGCCTTCAAGGAGATCGTCGACAAGTTCACCCCGCAGAACTGGAGCCAGGAGTGCATGCAGAATCTGGGCGAGGGGTTGTTCGGCAAGGATGATCGCGAGAAGGTCCCTGCTGGGGTTTAGAGTCTCTCCTGGGGTTTTGGTGGGGCCTGCCCGGGTTGTATAGAGCTTATAGAGCTTTAGTTGTGATGGAATATTGTTTATAGGATTGTAAAATGGATAGATGGGAGATTATTGGGTGTGGGATTAATGTGTCGAGGTGTATAAAGGGGATATTTGATATCATCTATGGGTAGAGTTTGATATTGGGACATAGGAGCGAGCATCTTGCATGCGGGATCAGAGATAGTAGATATTCATAATAATTGATAAGGGTAGGTAGGATATCATCAACCGGGAAGAGACAGGTAGCTCTGGGATCTCGAAAAATTATTTTCATATAGTACTCCGTACCTATGTACATCCACGGTCTAACGTATGATATTATCCATGCAAGAAATCTAATCCAACACCCCTCCCCCCAAAAATGTACTGTACCCGGAAATAGCCTCAAGCCTGCCGTCCCTTCGGGGCTGGCTAGCTCCTTCAGCACCCCGCTCGTGCTCCACGTGCATCAACAACCACAAAGTCAATCAACGCCCAACTAATCAGCCGAGGAGCCATGCTTAGCAAGAGCCAATTTCGCAGCAACGGATTTAGACTTGAACCCGTCCCGGACAGGTGATTTGGCACGCCCACCACCACCACCACCGCCGGCGCCACCGCGTTTCCAAGCCTTCGCATTCGCGGCCTTGGCCTGTCTTTTCTGAGTTTGCGCCTCGGTGACCTGCCGAGCGTTCTCCGCATTAGCGGCGGTGGAAGCTTGTTCCAGGATCATGAAGAGCTTCTCGATGGCCGGGACGTAGGCCTGGAAGATGGGGAAGTCGGCGACACGGACGCGCATGTAGTCGAAGGCGGTGACGAAGGGCCCGCGGTAGGTGTCGCTGGGTGTGAAACCGGGCAAGCTGGGGGTGTTTGCGCCATTGGCTGATTCGTCGCTGGCTACGTACCGGATCACGCCGTCGCCGGTGTTTGCGTCGCGGCCGTCGAGTTGCGGGGTGCTGTTGTCGGGTTCCTCGGTCTCCATCGCGTCGTCGTCGTCGTCCGGGACGTCCTTGGTTCGTAGGGTGCCGGAGCCTTGTCGGCGGTTTGTGGGCCGGGACTTTGGCGAGGTGTCGTCGTTGTCCGAGTCCATTGTGGTGAGTCTCTGATAGCGTTGGCTGAAGTGGGTGAGGAGGAGGGCCCGGGCTTCCATTTGCCGCGCGACCGCCATGGCCTCGGAGAAGGTAGAGTGCTTCTTGGCTACGGCGCTTCCGGCCATGTCGTCTTGGAAGGTGGCTTCGTGGATGAGGACCGTCGAGCCGCGGCCTGTGAGTGCGAAGCTGGGCGAGGGCCGGCAGTCGCCAGAGAATGAGAGCTTGAAGCCGTCCGGGTATACAAGGGAGACGGCCATGGCGCCACGGCAGTGCTGGACTCGGGCGGGTAGGATGTCAGAGAGGCCGATGGCTTCGCGGAGAAGAGCCGAGTGCGGGTCCTGATCATCCTGGAATCTAAGCGTGGTGGTCTTGGGATTGGCTCCAGTCTCCTTCTGTCCAGGATATGTGCCATCGACGCGGCAGTGGCGGTAAACAAAATGAGTTTCGAAAGTACCTCCCTTGACCTGGATGGGATAAGCACTCAAAGCGACTACCTTGCCGAAGCCGTAGTCTTCAACACTGGCATATTCCTCCAGCCAAGTAGTCATCATCTCTTCGCATACAACAAATAAGCGCTTATCTTGCAACACTTTCGACATGTCTTCCTCGATAAAGTCCGTTCGTGGCACACCCTTGGGATAGTTTACCTCATACCAGGCCTTGATCACATTCGCGATGCCCAGTTGATGGTCAGCGTGGAGATGACTGACCCAAATCATCCGCATGTTCTGGAAGACCTCGCGCAGCTTCTCAGGCTCGAAGATACGCCGCAGTTGTCCAAGAGTCCCCTCGCCGCAGTCAAGAAGATAATATCCATAGCCAGGTGCGTAAATAAGGGTGCTGGACACGTTGCGGTACTTTGACGGTACAGACGAGCCAGTGCCCAGAGTTGTGATTTCAACATCAGCACCAGGAAGGTCCTTCTGAAACGTATGCAGTCTTTCCAAGAACGCTGGCGACTGGACCCGGTTGGAGATCGCTCCTAATCGAGCCTTGACCGCATCCGGCAGTGTAAGCTGTGTATTCTTCGGATCATACTGCGGGATCACTTCGGATGTGTTGATTCCAGAAGTGGGTTCCATGTTGATAATCAAACCAGGCTCCAAGGGCTCCAGGGGGGCACGTTCGCTCGAATGACCCACTGCCTCAGTAGATGACCCGGATTGTGGAACGGTTGCATTATCATAGACAGGCATGGGAAAGTTGTCGGGTCTGAGCTGAGCCATCTGCATCGTCGACTGGGCAACCTCTTTCATGGCCAAGTAGTTAGGGCAATAATCTTTGCTAGAAACCGTGTGCTTGCAATGCGACATCTTCGCGACGAATTCCCGCAGTTTGGGATGGTCACCCACGCCTGGTCCCAGAATCCAGATGAAGGCTTCCATATTGGAAGCTGCCGCAGGCGAGTCCCACTCAGGACGGCTAACCAGGTTCTCCACATAGGCCGGAGTAGGCAAATCGATAATCGCGACACCCTTACCGGCCTTGGGGGCACCCAAGACCATATCGGGCGTGATCACTTCACCATCCTCATTCAGAACGCTTTCACCGCTGGTCAATTTGGAATAACTAGGGCCCTTAGGAACCTTCAGAGCCCGGGCTTTCTGGATATCGAACTTTCCTCTGATATCGTGATTCCGGACTATATACGAGATTGCGTCCTCATTCCAGGTTGTCGGAGGGATTTTATCCACATTGGCGCCTGGCCAAGGTTTGCGCACCAGCACAGTAATGTCAGGAAGCGGCTCGCTGCTCCCAGGAGCCGGGCCATGATACCGTTCTAGGTCCTTGGTTTCTGGGTTCCGGACAAACATGACCGCGGGCATCTGCACGTCTGCCAGCTTGCTCTCGTGCAAAGCATCCAGTGACCATGAGGAGTTGAACATATTCGAAACCACGTTCTCCCTGATAACCTGGTCCGCTACTCCCGAAGCAGCCTCATTCTCTTGGAACTCGTCATGGCTCCGCTTCCTGGGGCTCTTGGACCGGACGAAGGCGGTGTCCTGGGGATTTGATTGCGGTTTCGGGCTAATAGACATGACCCAGACCTTGATATTCTTATCCGACCACGTGGGCTCTGCGAATGGATCCGCTGCACCAGGCTGGCGATGCTGAGCCAGGCTCTCCGAATCGTGTTCCTTCATATACAAGGGCAACCCCTGGCGGAAGATGAATTTACGCGCCGTAGCCATCATGTGTGTCAAATTCCTGCCGCCGTGGATGGTCAGGGTCCCTCTCTGCGGGACCAGCTTGCCGTTCTGGGTTCCGTACGGCACTCCGTGGATTTTCTCCGGAAGCGCCTTCTTGGGCATGCCCTGTTCCGCAAGGCGTTTGTTCTTGCTCTCAATTTCGGCCTCCAATGCAGTCGCTTGGCTGTTCAGGCCATCGGCCAGTGTGAGAATCACGCCGAACAGACCGCCAATGTTGCTCATTTCCAGCCGACCAGTCAGAAAGATGTCGGCCATGAGACCGAATTTCACCGACCGGCCAGCGCATGCTCGCTGTGTTCCTTCCGCGATCTGACCGAAGAGGTACCGCTTATCCGGAAAGTGGAGGACGATGGAACTTCCCGGGGTGTCGGCCGTCGGCGTGGTCACCACTTGATAGTAGAACTTCATGGGGTTGATTGCGCCTTTGTCCGGCTCGGAATCGAAGCCCTTGGCTTGATTGTCTTCGGGAACGTAGTAGATGTATTGCTGATCGGGTTTGGAAGAAACGATGGGAGGAACCGCGAGGAGCCTGTGATGGTTGATGGTGTTCGCAAACTTCAGTGAAGACGAAGGAACCGGCACAGCGGGCGTGGCGTAATAGGGTCGTCGATGACGCTGACGAGTGAGTCGAAGATGCGCGGTGGGAGGAACAATGGGATGTCGAGGATTCGATCTGAAGGCAACTCGGCGGACGGCGCTATCAGTCGGCCCCCGAAGAAACAGGAAGGAAGCCAACGTGGTTGAAATGACTGACTGTAAAGCAGCTCTCAGGAGGTATGCATTTGGTGCCTGACAATCATAATCTGGCAAGCTAGAGCAGGGGAATGGGAATGGCGTTGTTGTTGTTCAACGGTGGTTGGAGAGAAGGCAAGCAGAAATTAAAAAAGTTGCCGCCGCGGGAGAATTCCAGCCAAGACTCGGGGCAAGACTCCACCCGACCTCGGTGACAACAACTCCAGCAGCAGCTCTCGCCCGTTCTAAGGTCAGTATTGTTACACCAATACAGAACACTCAGGACTATATCTGATTTCTATATATATATATTTCATGACTTTTGGATATGCTCCTATATTGGTTTGTGGTCTTGTTTCCTATCCGCCAGTATCCAGTACCTTCCGTCCTGTAAATCCATCCATCCCTTGAAGATATCACTTCCAAATAACAGTCCGTATAACCCCATAAGCGCATCCAAACCCCACCATCATCTAGAGGCAGGAGTCCAAGGTAACCAAAGAAAAAGAGTAAGGAAAGAGAAAGAAATAGGAAAGATGAAAGGAAAGCCAGGTCAAGTGCAAAGGCTGCGTTCAAAGCAGAAGATATATAGCAGAAAGTTCATAGGATGAAAGAGAGACATCGGTGTCTACACCCAAGCGTTCAGTTGAACCAACACCCTAGGAAGTGTACAGAATCGAGAACCTCAGGTCGCAAAAGGGGGAATCATGAGAGGTGAGAAGTCATCATGGAAACACGTTGGAAGGCTGCCTCCATGCTGTGGCAAAGTTGAGCAAATCGAGTTTGATGTTCCCGAGGTTGGTTCTCCACCACCAGCTCGAAGGTGGCCGTCGACTTGTCGAAGACACCTTCGAAGGAGGGCTCAGAGGACTCCGAGGAGGTAGTAGCACGGGGCGCGTCAACGAAGAGAGCGAAAGCAGGGTCAGACTCGTCAATCTCAACATCGGGGTTCTCCATGCCGACAATGGTAGGCTCCTTAGCCATCGAGGGGAGAGACTCGAGAACAGGAGCGTCACTCTTCGTACCGGAGATGTTGGGAAGGTAGGATTCCACCATGGTGGAAGCCTTGCCAGATAGAACCTCGGTATCGATCGTCGGCTCAGGGACATCCAAAACGGCGAAGACTGGGGCGTTTCCAAAGTTCATATCGATGCCCGAGTTCCAACCGCCATTATTCAAGCCCATGGCAGAAACATCAAGTCCCTGATTTGGGACCATGACCATGCCAGCCTGAGGCTGTTGCATGGGCGGCTGGGACATGGTTGGTTGCTGTTGCTGGGGTTGGGGTTGAGGGTGTGCAGGTTGTTGTGGTGGCTGGGGCTGGAGTTGCTGTTGAAGTTGTTGCTGTTGTTGCGCTTGGCTGGGAATCTGAACACCACCGACGCTGAGATCATCCAGAACTTGGCCGAAATGAGGGGAAGACAGAAGCGTGCGAACGAGATCTGTCAGGCGGCCGTTCTCCTCAAACAGGGCGCGGTTCTGCAGACGAAGCTCGTGAGCTTCGTTGGTTTTGGCGGCAACTTCACTCTCAAGTTGACCAATGTATTCTGCGAGATAAGTTAGTCACATGTCTTCGCCTCGCCGAATTCTGAAGTATTATTACATACCCTTTCTGCGAGAACGGAACGCACGGGCGGAGACCTTATTACGGAGCTGACGACGCTCCTTGCTGCTGAGCTTCTTGCCCTCTTCACTGGCCAGAAGGCGCTCGTCCTCGTCCATATCTTGCTCGTCCTTCTTGGACTTGGCCATTTGAGGCAAAGACGAAGAAGGGGAGGGCGAGTCGTCGGGCGAACCCATGGCGTTCTGGCGCATTTGCTGCAGGAGCCGCGAGATACGTTCTTCAACAAGTGGGTTCGGCGGGCGAGGAGTCTGGCTATGGGGAGCCCCGTGCTGATGCATATGTTCCTCCACACGACGCTGCTGCTGCTGAAATTGTTGCTGACGGAGCAGTTCATGATGCCTTTGCTGCTGTGCCGCCTTGGCCATGGCTGCTTGTTGCTGGTGCATACCCGGATACATGCGACCGACCTGAGTTGAAGGACCAGCGGGACCGACTTCATGGCCACTCAAGGCGTTCGGATCCACGAATTGGCTCCGGGTGCTGGGATTTGGCGAAAGGAAGTAGGCTGAGGCGGCTCCCATGTTGTCGGACTCCAGGTCCATTTCCGAAGGGTTCCGGGTCGGAGGGCTGTTGAAATCCATCGGAGCATCCTCCCGCTTGAGCTGACTGCCCGCAAACATGTCGCCATTCATCGGGTAGCTGGGGCTTGCACCGCCGAATCCGATCCCATTCATATGATTGAAAGTCATGGCATGAGCCAAGGCGCCTGGTGGCAGACCGGTTTGCTGCTTGTGTTCATCATATTGGTGACTCGGAGCTTGGAATGCGACTGGCGTGGGGTTTGTCGAAGCGAAACCAGCGCTTCGTACATCGCCTGTGTTAAATTCGGTGCTGGGGAGAGTGGGTTGAGTGATCAATGCGGTCTTTGAGCGAGCAGTTTCCGCCGTGGTGTATGCGAGTTGGTCGAGATCCAGAAAGGATTCAATGTCTTGTTCGTAAGTCGAAGGCGCAACGGCCGGGTGTTCCGCCAAGGTAGCCATGATGACGAAACTGTGCTTGAACGGCGTTGAGAAGGCCGGCTACCGTTTGAGAGAGCGAGGGTGCGGTCGACTAGACTCGCCAAAGCAATGGTATCGTGCTTGAGTAGATGGTCCTCAATACGAACGAACGTCACGGAAGCTGTTGTCGATAGTGATAACGAGAGACGATGAGCAACTCGGGATAAGGTTGATGGTTGAGAGATGGAAGAATGGTGTGTGGTTGAGAGTAGTCGATGACGATGAAAAGTGTGGAGGATAGTAGGCTATTGTACAAAAGCGAAAGCAGAGCTAAAGGCAGGGGGTGGGTGGAGGCGGTGGTGGTGGTGATGGTGGTTGTGGAGGTGGTGAGATGGGCAGAGGGAGTTAATGAGAGAAGCCGTAGAGGTTGGCCCGGCTTTGGGGTGGATTGTCGCTGGAGACTGCCAGTGGTGGACGGAGGAAGCCCTGAGCCAGGGGAAGCGAAAAGTCCCAGGAATAGAAATCAGGTAAAAAGGCTTGCGCGTCCTCGGATGACTCAGCGGCGCAGTTGCTCGGAGCCCCCGCTTGAGATGAGCAGCTAATTGGCTGTGAAGGTCAAGCCAGGGCTAGCGGATCCACCTCTTGGCGCTAGGCTCCACTCACAATAATTTAGCCCTGTTTGGGTGAGCCGTTCAGGAGGAAGAAGAGTGAAGTAATTGAACCAGCAAGAGAGAAGAAGTTCAGTGTCACCTGCCAGCCAGTACTGACTGGACTTGCTGTTCCTACCTACAGTACAGCAATCAGGAGATCCTCCGATAAGATCGCATGTTTTGTTTGGCATATCTATACTAAACTACCCATACTCATTCTGCTGCTGTTTCTCTCGCCTTCTAATGCATCGCCCATTCTGGCTTAGTCACATTAATCCCGTCTGCTGGAGGGCCACTTACTATAGGGAAGGGAGGACTCTCCTGCAACAAGGAATGAAGGCCTTCCAGCATGGAAGGAGGAGGTATGCGTGCCCCCAGCAAGATTCTCCCTAAGCCTCCCCTGATTGTCTGCTGCCCCCCTTAGATTAGCCCTCCCTCTCTCCCTCTCACTGCACTGCGACTTGACGGGCCACCACCGGCTTGTCGGCTTCACATTAAACTTCTCTGTCTTGTGCCACTACGCCGCATCCAGATGATTTCTCCGATTGACTGAAACGACGGCCGATGAGGACAATCTCAACGCCAGACATGCTGTGGCACCAATGAGAGATCATCCGGCCACATCGTCCACATTCTGATCCAGATGAATCCCGACTTATGACGTTAGTGGCTCGATAGAGCCAATGGCGATCATCCGTCGAGTAAAACTCCTTCAACCATCTTGCAGCTGCAGTGCAACCCGTGAAGTATCGATAGATTGATATTTTCAGTCCACACAATCGGACTTGATATTCGAATGCAGTGGAACGTCGTCAAGCAAACCGCCCCGACCGATAGGACGAAATTTGGGGTAATGGGGAACCACTGTCGGTCTCGAACAACACAATTAGGCCGATAATCAAAAGGAACCAAGTAAGCCGCCCAGTGTATTGCGACGGCGCCCCCACGATCATGCATTCGCCAACTGAGGGCAAACCCAGCGACCCAAAGAAGTTATGGATTTGGACTCCGTCCTCAGACCCAAGGGCTTTATGTGCAAGCCTTCAGGAGATCAGTTGCGGGTGGATAAACGGCCGTGATAGTCTCCCCTTCCCAGTTCCCACCAAAAAAAGCTTGGCAGTTGACGAGACTCCAAAAGTGCGGGCGAACGCGGGCTTAGCGGCTTAGCCACTCTTCACGAATCACCAGCGAAAGAGACCCCTCGGCCCTTCCAGCCTGTTTCGGACTAGGTTTACTTCTTATTCCGTTCGGGCTCCTGTCTCGCATGCAGTGCGCTCAGGTTTTCAGAAATCAGGACATGGGCCTCAACCTCGGCGCTATTGCTTTTTACTGGCAGCCCTCGTTCTCTGCAAGCCCCACTGCTCACCTACCAGAAGATCCCGTCTTTCCCCCTTGTTCTAGGGCCCGTTTCAAGTCCTAGCAGCGCAAGTCATCCGGCCTTAGACTACTTGCTTGTTGTGACAGTAGGCGCCTCAGCACTCCACGTTGATTCATCTAGGTTATCAGATAACACCTTCCACCAGACCTTCCCGTGCCCTTGCAAAGACATTACGATCCGGGAGGACCCTCGGCCGGCACACTTCATCAATCTAGAACATTGTGCCAATCCACAAAGTGACACCCAGGCTTTTGGCGAAAACCCCACTGAGCCGGAAACTGCGCGTCGTGGAAGAAGTCTGATCCGCGAGAGTGAAATTCTAATTTCTAGTTAAGTTGTCTACCACGGACTCAGATACACACCATCCCAAAAAGTCAGAACATGCCCTGTCCAGCTAAAGTCCAGACCGCCCCAACCCTTCACGCGCTTAGACATCCTTCTAGAAGGACACACTAGAAGGGGCGTTCAAAAGGCTTGAAGCAAACCGAGGCCGGGTCTCGCCCACTTGTAGCTATTAGACTACCCCTTGAGCCTCAAGCCGACCCTTGGCCGCAGCATCACGATAACCTTATTAGGAAATCGAGACGAAAACTGCCGCTTAGTCATTCCATCCTTAAAACCGAAGTACTATGTAAGTAAGTATGATCTAGTTCTAGCCTCAAACCTTTTGTGTTCAAGATCTAGTTTCGACGCTATTCGAGACGATCTGCGGCCGAAGTCGCTCTTTCGCACGAGCAGAGAATTACGTGGTGGTCTTCAGTTGTCTAGAACACTTTCTTTGTCGACAGCACAGGGCTTAGAATCATCTTGAGGTCTCATATTACGACGACGTCTGCACTCTGTAGTCTAGATTTATTGAGTTGTCAGCGGCATCTACCCATAGATAGGTACAGTACCTAGTCTCGAATGGTCCTTCCTCTGGAATCCCGACCCTATAAGGCGAATCCTACGATCATGGATCGGATTGCCCATTCGGGTATATGAAGAACGGGGCCTTCACCCATCGGCTACTGAAGGGTCGCTGTGTATAATGTATGTAGTGCCGTTAGCTTCGCCAATGCATTGATTCATTGATTCGACCGAGCAAACAGAATACTATCCACTAAGTCGTACTAGTAGTTATTAGCTGGCGGCAGATCACGATCAACGGGGCTCAGAGCATATGCTGAAAGAGAACATGACGTAAAATTAGATCGCATAGATCAGGTCGTTCTTGAATATCCCAATCAAACGTAGTGGACGAGCTAGAGTTGGGCTTAGTCCACGCGACTGAGGCTGAGCAGAGCATACGACGACATGCTGAAACTATGCGAGCAGCAAATCACCACCGCATCCTAGACAAGAAAAAAGGTGCTTACGCTGCAACCTTGACCAACACAATTGCAACAAGAAAAGTCTCATCACGAAGGGAAAAATGGTAAGTTTGCTTCGAAGGATGATGATGCGAGTGTGCGATGGCTGAAAACGGCACCGGGAGGGGTGATGTCTTCACGACGTATTGTAGACCCCACAATTACCAGGCCAAGCCTGGAGTATCTTTCTATAATCGGCCACGCACTGAATATCCCCTCAATTGCACTGCACAAACTCAATTCTAATCCTGAACAACTTGTTTCTCTACATAATACTCGCCCGAAACTCATCGAGTTGCCGTATCGCACCGCACGCGGGGTGGCGGATTTTTCTATTCGCGCTATAACCATAATCATACATAATCTAGTCGTACATCGTCACGACGCAGCATAGCATAAATCATCATAAACCCTCTCTCATAATCAATCAAACAAACAGAAATCACTCATTCATCAGGAGTCTCCTGGTCATACTGCGACTTCGAGCCGCCCTTCTGTCCCGCAGCGCGGGCCTTGGGATCTCCAGGCTTGAAGCTTCCGCTGGAAGCGTGACCGCCCTGGGAGGCGATGTCGCGCTGAGATGACATTAGTATCACCCAGACTTCATCAAATCCGTCTTATAGAAGTTTTGACTAGGGCTGAAAACGAAGGTGAGAACATACCTGCTTCTCAGGATCCATACTGGCAAAGCCACCGGAGTGGCTCGATTGGCCACCCTTGCGGGCGATGTTCTGAACCTCCTCGTGGGAGCGGTTGGAGAAGTTTCCTGGGTTGGTGTTGGAGGCCATGGTGCGGAGGTTGTAGAGTGGTTTGGTGGTGATGGTTCTTGTAGAGCTGGTGAGGATCTTGGGCATTCCGTTAGGAGAGTTTGGTTGTGGTGCTTGGTTGGCTTGATGCTGTGTTGCTACTTTATAAGTTTTGGGGTTGGTGGGGATGAAGTCATCATGTTGTTTGTTTGACATCAGAGTTTATTAATGATATTGTGACGTTGTGATTGATGCAAGAATCAAATCACTCACCATCTAGCTGGCTGATCGGTCTCATTCTCGATGTTCGATTGCCACGCGGAGGGATCAGGAAATTGGAACACTTTCCGTGGTTCCTGGTGAGATTAGATACAGTTTTTGGGATTCTGGTCGGATCCATGTCATCGGGAGATGTCATGTTACCTCTGATTTTATGTACTAAGTAACTCATTGACGATGAATGCACAGTTTGTAACACATCGCAGAATAAACAGACGACTACGACGTAGAAGTGTGTATGACGTTGGCGAGTCGTAGGACGGAGATATTAGCAAGTCTACATAGACAAATAAGAGGGCTGCAAGGCTTGTAGCTATGCCTTTAGCCTGGTTATTTTCCATGCTTGACAGAGTGTCAGTGCATGTGCATGTGCATGTGCATGTGCATGATACCTCCCTCGCTGATATTGCTGATATTGGAGACTCAAGATTTGGGTATGTCGATGTTCCTGTATGCGTAATTCGAGTTAACATCTTGGTCTTTCATCGATGACTCGGGAGGTCGATTCAGCCCGAAACATATCAGCTTCCATTAAAGTAGATTTACGACAATCGCGACAGCTCTCAGCGACATGAGAAACACTCGTTTGATTTCTTTCAGCAGGATATTGAACCTGTAGTACAGCAGCAGAGCTTTCTCTTCAAATTAGACAATCCCGCCTATTCTCTACTCTTTCTCTGTGTCTGCCTTTCCCATCCGAAGTTTTCCGACGAACAGGCTTTGTCCGTGTTATGCATCTACAGTGATCTTTGTATGTGCTCATTGTCTAGAGTGATTTCCGCCTGCAAGCAATGCCAAATACTGGGATCTCTCTCACAACCCGGATATCAAGATGTCAAGGATCATCCTCATATCTCCATATCATCATCTATAAATAACATCCAAGACACCACAGCTACCCTGGGCAAGATTTCAGCTGCATCAAACGCCTGTGCACTTCAACTGTCTCTAAACCTTTGATCCGCACAGACTGACAAACTCTAACATAACAGTCCTCACACTATCCAAGCCACAACCATGGCTCACCAGGTCAGCGGAGCTCGAACCACTCGCGTCCACCACGGCGGCCACTACACCACCGTACAGTCCAGCCACCACCGGCACCCCAACGGCGAGCGACGGGACAGCTATTATGTTCAGGAAGGCCAGATCGAGCCAGGGGCTCCGAATCCCGTATGTTCCGCGCTGGGGGGTGGTATGATGGCCGGGGCTGCGGCCTCCGGCAGAGTGACAACGTCAAGCAGGGCTGCAGGCGTGAGCATGGCTTCGGGAGCAATCAAACACTCAGTGCCAGGCGGCCAGACCACGATGTCTAGCCGGGATATGATGCCAACCAGAACGTCCATGTCCACCAGGGACATGATACCAGCAAGGACTTCAGTGACACACCACGATATGGAGTCAACTAAGACTCCATGGTCCACCCATCACACCATGATGGCACCAGCAAAGACTTCGATGTCCCACCATAACATGGCACCAGCGAAAACTTCAATGTCCTTCCACAACATGGCACCAGCAAGTACTTCGATGTCCTGCCGAGACATGGTACCAGCAAGGACTTCGATGTCCTCCCGGGATATGGGGTCATCTAGAACTCCATGTTCCACTCATCATACCATGATGGCACCAGTAAGGTCTTCCATGTCCTCCCACAACATGGCATCACCAGCAAGAACCTCAATGTCCGCCCACAACATGGCCCCAACCAGGACCGCAGGGGCAGCCGGGGCAGCCTCCGTGGCGGCCGCTACGGCAACATACGTCCACACATCTACCACCACAATTACAACCTCCACTGTCGCCACCGCAAGTGCTTCGGCCTGCAGCGCTCGTGCTAGCCGGGGATCGAGAACGCATGCTTGCTGATGCCGGTCGAGAGCTTGGGGTGGGAGCTGATAATGATGCTCGTAAGACGGACCAGGTCGGGGTTCTTCGGACTCTGAGCGTCCGTGTCGACATTGAAAGGTGCTGATAAGTTTTTTCTTCTTGTATTTGTATCGCTTTGTCTATTCTTAGTTGAGAATAAAGTAAACAAACAAAAAAAATCAAATAACCTATAAAAAAAAAGAAATGAAGCTCTAGTAAGTCACTGCTAGAAGAGATCACCAGGGCGGTTTATCTACTATGAGCTTGCTTTTCATAAACAAACTATGATTCCCTACATAAATTCCTTATGTAGCATAGGAAATGTTAAATATAACATTGGAGAGCCGAAGATGCTAAGTTCAGCTAAGCCTCCATCTTCTTGAATAACTCCGTAACCCATGGGTGAACGGCCCGACAGCCAAACTATACTCGAACCAGAAATCAAGGGGGTCGGCCTTCTACGGCTGTAAAAACATCATAGAAGTCTCTAATAACTAACTACTCGTCGTCTCTGACCACCCCATACCCTAATCATAGCACCGGGTGGGTCCCGAGCAAGCATAATCATGACATGCGCACTCCGGCAGGTGTTTGAGACTGAAGAAGGAATTGGAAGCAGAAACACCGGCTTCATGGGGTTCTGGGAGTAGTGCCCTTTAAGTCTGGGTGGGCAAGTTGCCCAATGTCAACCACGTCACGACCATCAACACCTTTGTAGATCTCGAGAAGGTGCTCTTTGGCTGGTGAAGGAAAGCGACTGATGTATTGATTGATTTGTTTGGGGTCCAATTGTCGATATGCTAGCACGTCTCCTGAGCCACTAAAGGATCGTAAGACGCCGTCGTCGCCGAGGTGGACATATCCGTCACCTGAAGGCTCCTTTGGAAGGGTTGCGACAAGGTCCCAGACATCGTTAGTCTCCTGACACATGTTATAAGAATCTTTTTCGTGTCGTATTGTGCCATAATAGACGCAGCAGAAAGTAAAATAGCGAGGGGTAGAGTTGTCTGGATTTTTATGATTAGAAGACTGGTGAAGTGGACTTCGTTTCTCAGTTGGAAGCTTGCTATTAGGCTGCTTTGCAATTGTTTCTCCTAGGAGGGGTGAAGGTATCCTTTATACGGAGCCACGTTATTTGTAGTGTCCATATCCTACCTAAGGCAGGACTAATAAAAACAGAAATACCTGTTGAGAATAGCTGGGGGTCAGATGAGCTGCCAATCGACCGATTATCTTCTAAAGTAGAGATACGAAAATGTGAATTTGGGAACAAATCGAATGCCAATTCCATGGATGTGAGGGATTTAATTTTCTAATAGCCTTTATCTTTGCGGAGAATGAGAATGAGATGCTAGCATGGCTAGATGTCTAACATGTACTTGGTGCTAGTGATATGCATGTCTCAGTCATGGCCCGAAGGAGACATTGTATGATTAGCCTATGCTAGAGCTGGAGGCCAATTCTCTTAGGGAGGCATATAATATGCGATCCGAGCTTATCCGGTAGGGTCCTTAAGGGTAGTTGGATAGCCCTAGCGAATGGCTTACTTACTTTAGTCTGCATATTATCTTTAGTCTAACAGAAATGACACTTGTTTTGACTAATAAGAATATAGCTTATATTAGAAGTATGACAACACGAGGATGAAAAAATACTTCTTTACATCCGGTGCTCCGCGATAAGTATTAAAAAATGGAACGTCTCATTATCTAGCATCAACAGGCTGACAAAGATGTCCGAGTACACTCTTAAGAGGCTGTTGGGACAAGACTTATCCTCATGAGCTTTGTATAAGTAGTCAATGCTTTGCTACCGCCTATCATAGGCATAGAGCCTGCGAAGTTACTTGAATCTATGTTGACTGACCAGTTGTATCGACCTGCCAACGCCTTAAGTTAACCTAGTCAAAAACAGGATCTCTGACATGTCGTAAGACAGAGTCTGTTTCTGAGGGTTCACATTATTCTTTATCGGGCCTATAAAAAGGACTATGGTCCTGATCTAAACGATGGCCATATCAAGCATGATGGAGCGGTGGGTATGAGCGAGTAATCTTGAAAGACATGTTTGATTCATCGTTGCTGCATGTTGCTGCATCCTGTTGATAATTTTCCTCGCCAGCCTCTCAGATGTGTATAGAGATACTCAGCCAGAGCCGAGCAAGATTCATTTTCTACGTGCCTCCGTCAAGTCCGCTACTGCTAACATAATTGTGTCATCAGACAATTGGCGAGAGAGTAAAATAACTTTGGAAGGATTTCCCTGATAAAGAGGCCTTGAAGGTCAATATCATAAGGTAACCTTCCCGCCTACATCACCATAGCCTAAGACTACTGAAATCTATCCACAGACAAAGACATCAAGGTGAACTCCAGTTTTCGGTCTTTATATTAGAGTGGATCTCAACGCACATTATAACAAGATGGTTTTCTCCGACTAGATAATTCCGAAAAATAAATAGTAGTGAGCTATTTAAACGAACCGTTCTTCTCGCACCTACTCAAGGGAAGCTGCACTCAACCAAACCACCAACGTGCAGTGGTCAGGTTCCGATGTCGACCGAAAGATCTCTCCGCCAGCTGGCGTACTACGTCAACTTCCACCCGAGCGAACTCCGCGACAACTCGGTCGCTGTGGAGACGGAGTACGGCCGAGCACGCTGTAAACTATGTGGCGGGAATGGTAGATGTCCCTTCTATCGCTGTGGGTGGTGCTCTCACCACTTCCACCATGACTGCATCGACAGCCTTCGGCGAGCCGAGGGTGAACAGGGAAGACAACTCGCTTTTGGGTGTGCAAACTGCGGTACGCCATGGATGGAGCGCGGAGGCGGAGAACCTCATGGTCGCTCTGAGTCGCTGTGGGCGTCCCTCTTCGGAGAAGACCCAAGCACTGATCGCCACGAAGCCCAGGGCGCCGCCCGATTTGGCAGCCAATATTACGATCCCTACTCACCCACCAGGGGAGGCCGCGATCACCACCCCAAACGTGCACACCCGACACAGCTGGGTAGCCCGCGTCAGCATCCGCACCAGCCTTACGAGCGTCGACGTTCGCAGTCACCCCCTCGACAGCTCCATCGCGACCATCGGGAGCGCTCACCCAGGTACAGTCCTCAACAAGATCATCTGGTCTATCGGGATTATCCAACCCGGTACAGTCGTCGACCATACCATCGGCGTGGCTATCAGAGAAGTTTTCCCCGGGACAGTCCTCGAGACTATCAGGGTAGTTCATCCCAGAGCAATAATCCTCGACAGCATTATCGGGACTATCAGGTTAGTTCTCCCACCGTGATTCGCTGTCCTTTCTGTTTCAAGACGCAACAAACCTGGCTTGACCTAAAAGTGCATTGCCAATGTTACCATCGTGATGTTGGGCCGGTTTGCCCGAGATGTCAGGTAAAGCTCGAGGATTGGCAGGGCTTCCTTCGCCATTACGAGGTCAAGCACTATGTGTAGGCGTGGTGGCTATACCATATGATCCGGGCGGATTACATGTCGTAAGTCGCGCTTATTGGCGAGACTTTCTTTGATTCTTGAACTTGATCGAGGTCAGCAAGAGGAGCAAGGGAGCAAATAAAAAGGAAAATACCACTAAACCAGATAACCAAGAAGATACATAGGGCTTGAAAGCCTCTTATTTTGAACACTATGCCAATTATTCTATCCAAACGCACATTGTGCATAATCTCTAACCTGTAATCATCGTACACCTAGGTATAATGCAGAGAAAGCCAAGCCCCGGCTACCGAGGATGAAGGCCGAAAACACCAGTCGAATCTATTCCCCTTTAGGAGCCCGACTGCCCCTTCCATCATCGAAGGATGAATCAACGCTTGATTGACTCAAATTTTCATTTACTGGGGCGTCCTCAGTCTTCAAGATGGCCTTTGAGTCATCAGCTCTTTTATTCCTGCATAATGAATTCTAATTTTGGTATTGCCCCCCCTCCTCCCAACCCTTGCTTGTGCGGAACTAAGTAGTATGTATAGATGCATGCTCGCTTGCACAAACTACACGATCGAGTATATAAACCAGTAGCGCAGTACATAGTCATCGATAACAACAGTCCCGACTCTTCAGGAAAAACATTTCTGCACTAAGTCTGTTCCATTGATCTACAAATTGTATCTCGACCGTTATAATAACGCACCAAGAACAATGCCCCCAACAATCATCGCAACCTGCAAGCAAACCCGCTTCCATATCCTCGATCAAGCCTCTAAAGAAGTATTTCCCTCTGGTCCATCCGCATACTGCACGCAGGTAACTGACCCTTGTGGAATTTGACCATAGGTCGACGTAGAAGGCATCACGATCGCGGTTTCCTCGCCTCAGACCGCCGAATCCTCCACCGCAGATATCAAATCGAAGCGCAAGGCTAAAGCGGAAGCCAGAGAACTCATCTCGGATGCGCATCTCCGTCTCAAAGCCGGCGTACATTACGGCTTAGTAGGCCGTAACGGGACGGGGAAGTCGAGTGCGTTTGTCTACCATCACCACCATACCCGCAGTGCGATAGTTATGACTGAAGACTAACTCCCCGATCTCTTAGCGCTGTTACGCGCGATAGCGGATAAGCTGGTGCCGGGGATTCCTCATGCTACGCGACTTGCTATCCTACAGCAGACGGATGCGGATCTGGAAAACGGCGATAATGGGCCCGGGGCCACTGAGGGTGAGGGCGATAAAAGACTGGATTTGCCGGTTCTGGAGTATGTGTTGGCCGGTGATGAGTATAAGAATGGAGTGGTGAGGAAGATAGACAGTGAGTTCGGTTACCCCGCATCCTGCGCTTTCGGCAATAGTATCCTGATGATGTGGCCTGGATAAGTCCTGTCGAAAAGTTTCGAGTCCGACGATCCTCTACAGCCCGTGAAAGCTATTCGGGCTGTTCGCCATGATGAGGCGGAAAGGGAGCTTTTCTTGGCGCGGAAAATGGCGAGTCTGAGGAGTGGTGCGCGAGGACTGCAGGCACGGAAAGATTTGAAAGCCGCTGAGGCGAGGCTTGAAGCTTCGGGGGAGGTGTAAGCTTCGATATTCAAGTCGCGGTTGAGTTGAGCTGAGAACGTTACTTCTTCTAGGATGAACCAGACTAAAGAGTTGACCAATGCCGAGACGATACAGAAAGATACGCAGGCTGCGATGGATGCTTTGCAAGAGTTGCAGTCTAAGCTTGAAGCTGTGGGTTTGTTTTGCCACTTCTCGTTACTATAGTCTGCTAATGTATAAGTGCCTCAGATGACGCTGGTCGACACTGAGCAGCAAGCACGCCACATTCTCAGTGGTTTGGGATTTCATGAATCGATTCTCCGCATGCCAGTCTCGCAGTTATCCGGTGGTTGGCGCATGCGATGTATGCTGGCCAGTGTGTTGATACAGTCTCCGGATATCATGATTCTCGATGAACCGACCAACTATCTGGATCTCCTGGGGATCATTTGGTTAGAGAATTATCTCCAAGGACTGCGGGATAGTTCACAGACAACGATTCTCATGGTATCCCACGACAGGGATTTTGTGAACGCTGTCAGCGAGGAGATCATCATTCTGAGAGACCAGAAGCTTACGTACTTCAGGGGTAACCTGTCCGCGTATGAGAGGGATGTGGAAGAACAGAAGCTGCGCTTCGGCCGCATGAAGGAGGCACAGGAGCGCCAGACCGCACATATGGAGGCCACCATCCGTGAAAACATCAAGATCGGCAAGAAGACCGGCGACGAGAACAAGTTGCGCCAAGCCAAGTCCCGACAAAAGAAGGTCGATAATCGCATGGGCATACAGGTGAATGCTAACGGCGGACGCTTCAAACTAAATCGTGATCTAGTCGGTTACCACTTCACCGCGAGGGCAGAGATCGAGGTCCCGGTGGACGAAAGAAAGCCGTCCATAGTTCTGCCCCCTGCAACAGAGCTACGGTTTCCTGGTCCCTTGGTCTCGATGGAAGGGGTTGGGTTCAGGTACAGTAAGCAACAGGCCACTGTGCTTGATGGGGTCGAACTCGTGATTCATATGGGAGAGCGCGTGGGAATCATGGGTCTCAACGGATGCGGGAAGTCGACACTTATACGTCTCCTCACTGGAAGCAGTGTACCGACGCATGGCAAGATTTCGACCCACCCAAGACTGAAGCTCGGGTACTACGCACAACATTCGATCGAAGAGCTTCAAGAACAAGGCAGATCCAAGCTTGATATGACGGCTTTGACTCTGATGGCGTCGGAGGTCAATGGTGCGCTCAACGACGGCGAGATCAGAGGTCTGTTAGCAACGCTAGGCCTTCAGGGTAGAGTCGTGTCTGACATCCCCGTCTGTCGACTTTCAGGTGGCCAGTTGGTAAGTGGCGCGCGCATTGAGCCTGCCCAGTCAATCAAATCAATCATTCATACAGTAGGTGGCTAACATCTTTTCACGGGTCAGGTTCGTCTAGCGTTGGCCAGAGTCGTTTGGACCCGCCCACATCTGCTCATACTGGACGAAGTCACCACTCATCTCGATTTCGATACCGTGACGGCTCTTTCTGCTGCGCTCTCTATTTTTGATGGTGCTATCTTGCTTGTGTCTCATGACCGATATATGGTACGCTCAGTAATTGAGGGCAAGCGAAGTGTAGAAGAGGGCAGGGATGAGGGACTCGAGGAAGACAAGGGGTCGGACGCATTATCCAGTCAACGACGAGTTGTGTATGTATTGAAATCAGGAAAGCTCAGGGAGCAGGAGGAAGGCGTGATACAGTACGAGCGAAGCCTGGCGAAGGCTGTTCGGAGGATGCTGCCGACCATGGGCTAGGAGACTAGTGACTAGGGTGATATCAGACAGTTAGATAGCCTAGTTATTCATTTCCAAATGGTTGATGTCAACGATCACTGATAACACGTGACCCACCGGCTAGCGGCAGACCCCGAGACCCGCGGAGATGGCGGCGAATCCCATCGGTCGCGATGATAAGGCAGTCCCCCCTCCGAGATCCCTTCAACCATTCACTCAAAATATCACTTGAGCCCCTCCCACCTGGTTCTTTCCCCTGCATGCGTTCGAGTGTATATGCCGCCTCGGAGATGCAGAAAAATGCCAGGATCTGATATTCGCTGAAACAGGATCTTTGTCAAGGATGAATGGATTCACGCTCCCCAGGCGGGGAGTTGCGCCCCTACTCTCGGTTCCCCGCAGGTGTCGCACCCAATCGAACGCGCTTACTCGACCACACAATCGAAGGCACAGTACAAACTCGAATGCAGTCTTGACCGAAAGGTCTGCTGCATCGAATGCGCCTACCACAACTCTTTCTGAATCCGAGCCCTCTCCGTCCCTCCAGTCCTCCTCGTCCCGATGGTCCGCCCTCAGATCAGCGAAGCCCTTCTCCGAATTCCTCACAGACACCTTCAATCGTCAGCACGATTACCTCAGAATCAGTGTGACCGAGCGCTGCAATCTCCGATGTCTCTACTGTATGCCCGAAGAAGGCATAGAGCTGTCACCACCGAACCGTCTCCTCACCTCCCCCGAGATCGTTTATCTATCGTCGCTATTCGTCGCGCAGGGTGTCACGAAGATTCGCTTGACTGGAGGTGAGCCTACTGTCCGAAAGGACATCGTGCCTTTGATGCAATCAATCGGTGAGCTGCGGCGCAACGGTCTCCGCGAGCTATGCTTAACGACGAATGGAATCTCCTTGCACCGCAAATTGGACGCCATGGCCGAGGCAGGACTCACGGGGGTCAACCTCAGCCTCGATACCCTGGATCCGTTCCAGTTTCAGATCATGACGAGGAGGAAAGGGTTTGACGCCGTGATGAAGAGCATCGACCGGATCCTCGAGATGAATAAGATGGGCGCCGGAATCAAGTTGAAAATCAACTGTGTTGTGATGCGGGGGCTCAACGACCGGGAGATCATTCCGTTCATCGAGATGGGGCGTGACAACCCCATCGAAGTGCGTTTCATCGAATACATGCCATTCGATGGCAACAAATGGAGCCAGGGTAAGATGGTCTCCTACCAGGAGATGCTGGCTATCATTTGGGAGAAGTATCCCGCGCTGGAAAAGGTCGCGGACCATAAGAACGATACGAGCAAGACATATCAGGTTCCGGGCTTTATGGGTCGAATCGGGTTCATCACCAGCATGACCCACAACTTCTGCGGAACCTGCAATCGCTTGCGTATTACGTGTGATGGAAATCTCAAGGTGTGCTTGTTTGGGAATGCAGAGGTGTCGCTGCGCGACATCATTCGGAAAGAAAACAATGGCGAGCCCATTGACGAAAACGCCATGAAAGATCTGCGACTCTTGGAATCTGTGACCAGTGCATATCAAGTGAACGGCGAGGGTGATCAACTCCCTCAGAGAGAACAAGAACTCCTCGACATTATCGGCATGGCAGTGAAACGCAAGAAAGCGAAACATGCCGGCATGGGCAAGTTGGAGAACATGAAGAACCGCCCAATGATTCTTATTGGTGGGTAGGCGCGACCCTTCCTTTCCGGGGAATTTGCATGTTGGCGAACGACTGTCATGAATTACGATCAATGCATGTAGAAGGTGTCCTCAGTATGGTTCATAGGATGGTGGTAGCTGTGATTTTTCGCATATAACCATATGATTATTGGGTACTACCTTGGATGCGTGCTGATGGAACGGGACATAGATAATGGACTTATGGGCAAATCAATCCATCCCAGACCTTTTTCCATACCGCGAACCAGGACGACATCAATTGCATGGAACAAGATTCCTGTGCACCTACTCTCCTCCGGCACAGGATTTGCCACACAAGTGCGACACTATTCCAGTGAACGTAATAGCAACCCGTCTGCTGTAGACTCTCCATGTACCCATCCGGACCAGCCAAACGAGGACTTCAGCAAGATATCCCTCCCTACAGCCTCCGATCCCGATCTACCGCATCTCAACAGCTCGCAGCACGTGCACATGACCAAGATCGCGGAGAAGGCCGTGACAAAACGGCAGGCTACAGCTACTTGTCTGGTGCAGTTCTCCAATCCGCAGCCGTGGGAAATACTACGCGAAGGCCGTGGTACAAAGAAAGGGGACGTATTCAGTGTAGCCCGCATTGCTGGTATCATGGCCGCCAAGAAAACTCCGGATCTTGTTCCCCTGTGTCACCCAGGGATCGGCATCACTGGAGTCGAGGTGGACGTGAGGTTAGTGAGTCCCGATGCGCTCTCACGTGCGGACGGATCGATGGGGCACGGGGCGATGCATGTCTTGGCTACTGTGAGCTGCTTAGGACGGACGGGGGTGGAGATGGAAGCGATGACTGCGACTATGGGAGCTGCGTTGACGGTATACGATATGCTGAAGGCAGTTGATAAGGCAATGGTGATTGATGGGGTGAAATTGCTGGAGAAGAAAGGGGGTAAGAGTGGACATTGGATCCGCCAAGAAGCGGTCAAGGAGAACGCATGAGGTCAATCATTTGTTGATAGATACTCATACTTAGTCATATATGAAAAATCGAGCATGTCGAAATGGATCGAAATTCCCGCCACATCTTGAATCTGGGTGAGTGACGTGTGGTTGGCTGTACTATGTATGGTAGTCTCAATGGCCAGCCCTACGAGTCAGCGGCCCAACGGTCGCTGAAGAGCCAAGTTCCGATAGAATCTCGGCCCGCCTCCTCTTCCTCCTCTTTCCGAGTCCCTCCAAGCAAATCCACCCACACGAAACTTTTTTCCTTGGCTCTTCCCTTTCTTTTCCCTTCGTCACTTTCCCAGTTCCTCTCTTCTTTCAACCAACCATCACCGTCTACATTGGAAGTCGTCAAAAATGGAATAACATACGCTTTGCCCCGATAATTGACCCCCACCAGCTTTGCCTAAACAATCAGTTAGACGCAAGAGCTACCAACCCAGACGTCAATTCGCCTCTGCCTGCACTATCAAACTGCCTGTTTTCCGATAACGGAATTGCCGATTAATCTGACTAGCATTACCGATCCCTGCTAACTACTACTCCATTGACATTGACTACTACCATTCAACTACATTAACTACTACACTACCAACCGCCAAAATACCGCCCACAATTCTCCTCACCACCATTAACAAAAACTCTATTCAACCCTTCTCTGCTTTACAAGTCATCTCCACATTGGTGACTCTTCTCAACTGCTTTTCAACGCATCGCCCAAGGATTCAAACAATGAAATATCGGAGAAGATTAAGATTGATACAGATTTTGCAAAGTCCTTGTGGGTAGCGGTGTGCGCTTCCCCCACTCCAATCACCAAACCAGAGATCATCAACCACCATAACTCGAGTGGTTTCAATTACGACAAACGAAGTTGGCAGCTTCAGGCCCCGGGCTGTCCGCTTCGTTACCAGCGAGGCCCAAATCATCCTCAAGTATAGATTGCAAATTCTTGGATGTTCTTATCCACCAAGATGACAAGTAAGTTTCAGCCTTGCATAGTATACGACTCATGTGTCTCTTCTCCCCAGGTTGTGTCTCACATTCCCTTGCATATGGGATGATGGAAACCAAGATCTGGAAGCCTAGAACATGACGTCCTGAGGATCAAAAAACCTTGTGTGGATATACGATTGCTAACATATCAGCATCGCAGACTGGAACTCTCGACGCTTCCTCGGACGGAGCATTATGGCGGTCCTCCCGCCGTTCAACTTCCTCACGCTTCATTATGCCTACTTTATTGCGACGCCCTTGATCTGCAGTGCCATTTTCTGGGGGTCCTCCACTCCTGCGCGCAGTGTTACCTATGTCGACGCTCTGTTCATGTGCGTCAGTGCTATGACTGGCGCTGGTCTGAATACTGTAGGTCACTTGCCTTCTCTGTCCCCACTGTCGTTGGAAGCATCGTCTAATCATGTCCAGGTGGACCTATCTACCCTGAACTCATTCCAGCAATCTCTCCTCTTTGCGCTTCTCCTGCTAGGGCATGCAATTCTCATCTCTATCACAGTGCTCTTTGTGCGGAAGAATGCCTTCCAATCCAAATTCAAACATATTGTGGACGAGCGTAAAAGGAGAAGCGCTTCATCGACTGAGAATTCAAGCCGAATAGCTCACTTGGACCCTATTGCAGAGAATGGAGACACAGAGCATCAGCGGTCGTTCAAATCGGGTGAATCTGCTCATGACGGATCCAAAATCATGGTGGCAACTCGAGCTGCACCTGCGGACGCGAATGCATCGTCATCAGAGGAGGACCAGATTCAGTGGGTTGATGATGATCAGGTCACCCTTGGTCATTTGAACCACCGCCAACAGCATCACCATCATCACGTGTTCCCCATGGTTGGTGTCGGGGCTCGGTTGGATTTGAACAATCACCCCAGAGATGCCGTCCCACGGTTGCCGCAGAGAGAAGAGAAACGAGAAGAAGAGAATCTGCCTGCGCTTAAAGGCATTCTCAAGGGAACGCAGAAATACTTTGCGTCCAAGGGCCTCATTTCGCGGAATTCCCAATTCCATGGTCTCACTCCCGAAGAGCGAGAGAAACTTGGAGGCGTTGAGTACCGAGCAGTGTCTTTTTTGCTGGTCATTGTTACCCTGTACTGGGTGATGTTTGTTGTGTGCGGGATAGTTGGGATGGGCACATGGATCGCTGTGAACCATCCCGAAAAGGCCCGAGAGAACGGCCTGTCGCCTTTCTGGACAGGCGCCTTTTTCGCAGTGTCTGCGTTTGTTAACAGCGGCATGTCACTTTTGGATGCCAATATGGTTGCCCTACAGAGAAGGTATGTCCTCTTGCGGTGGATTTGCAAGATGCAGGTCAGCTGACTTCTGTATCAGCGCGTTTTCTTTGCTTACCATGAGCTTCCTGATTTTGGCTGGAAACACTCTGTACCCGTGCTTCCTGCGTTTCATTATTTGGGCAGTCAAATGTTTGCTGCCAAAGTCACCCTCATGGGCTACATGGAGGATTACTCTCGACTTCATTCTAGATCACCCCCGAAGAGTATGTGCAACCTTTGGTTGCCTTTTCTGCATGACGTACTGACCTCGTATAGGTGTATACAAATCTCTTCCCGAAGCGTCACACATGGTTCCTCATGGGTACCATTATCATCCTGAACGCTATCGATTGGGCTGGTTTTGAGGTTCTTTCCATCGGGAACAAGGAGATTGAGAGCCTGCCCACAGTCTACCGGGTTCTCGATGGCCTATTTCAAGCCTCTGGTTCGTTGCATGAAAATTACGCGACCCCAGGGCCGATGCTAACCCATCCCTGCAGCTGTCCGTGCCGGAGGCTTCTATGTTGTGACTATAGCCGATCTCCGTCAAGGATTGCTAGTTTTATATGGTAAGAGCCTTCGTGGTTGATTTTGTGAACGAATGCTAACGTCTCCCAGTTCTCATGATGGTTGGTCCCATCAAATTATCATTATTTAAGTTGAATCCGACTAACCAATTTATTAGTATGTATCGGCATACCCCGTGCTGCTCACAATGAGGTTCGTACAGTCTTTTCTTAAGCTATGATTATCCGTTTAACACCCCCTAGGACCACGAATGTCTACGAAGAACGGTCCCTAGGCATCTACGCCCACGACGCCGCAGACAGCGAACAAGGATCTCGGCCCTCGCCGAATCTTCTGATCCAGCTCATTAGACACCGCATGCTCGGCCGCCGGGACGGGTCTACCCCCGAAGCGTCCCGAAGCTACTTCGTCCACCAGCAGCTGCGCTCCCAGCTGAGCCACGACCTCTGGTGGATCGCTCTCGCCGTTTTTCTGATCAGCATCGCGGAATCAGACCACTTCTCAAAGCAACCCGTCGCTTTCGCGACCTTCAACATCATCTTCGAGACCGTCTCGGCCTACGGTTGCGTCGGCGTCAGTGTCGGCTACCCCGGCTCGAACGCCTCCTTCTGCGGCGCCTGGCACCCCATCAGCAAGCTGATCTTGGCGGCTGTCACTCTGCGAGGCCGTCACCGCGGCCTTCCCGTTGCTATCGATCGAGCGGTCATGCTGCCGAACGAGTCGCTGGAGTGGGCGGAAGAGGAGGACGCTGCTCTGAGACGGGAGCAGTCGCGTGCGTGGGGCGTGGAGAAGATGCCGGTTGGGTCGGTTTAGAACTCAGGGAGAGGTATAGGTGACGTGAGTATAGGAGGCGGTCGTTTGCAGCGTCGTCGGATTTACGCATGGCGACATTGCTTTCGGGCTTAGATTGTTATTGGTTCTTTGGCTTCTTGCTTTGACTTTCAAGATCTAGTTTTGTATCTTTTTGTTACCTTGACTATGTAGGTAGTCATCAAAAGTTCAATGTTTATTTTTTGTTCAGATTGATTGCGTACTTCGATGTGTCAGGCTATAGTTGTTATGGTGTTCTAGAGCTAGCCAAGCGTAGTCCCGAGTCAACCACAGGAGTCTCCGTGCGTCACAGGCCACCCGTTCTTCACTTCTAAACCCCCGGGGATCTACAGGTATAACAAAAACATTGAATCTTAACTTTTCTATTGACATAAAAAACGGACTGAACGCGGTGGTGATCCCGATAGCTACATAGAGTATAAGGTATAAGACAAAAGGACATTAAGAAAAGCTCGGGCCTGGTCTAATCTAATCCTCCTCCTCTTCGAACTCCATTTCATCCTCGTCCTCTTCCTCTTCTTCTTCCTCCTCCTCCTCCTCACTTCCATCCTCATCCGATGAGGCACCAGCCCCATCAACCTCCTCCTCATCGTCATCATCATCACTACTTTCATCGCTCTCACGGATAGCATCATCCATAGCAGCCTCCCTAGCAGCCTCAGCCTTCTCCTCAGCGCGGCGCTTCTCCTCCTCGAGACGGCCCTTCTCAAGCAGCGCAGCCTTCTCCTCGCGGAGCTTCCGCTGGGACTTGACGAAGGCGCCGAGCGGGGAGCTCTCCCAGTCAACATCCTTAAGGAAGGACTCGACGTCAGCGCGGTTGCGCGGGGTGAAAGTGACAGCGAGACGCTTGTCCTCGATCCAGCGGGCGTTAGCCTCGACCTTCTGGACGAGCAGGAGGAGCATCTGGTTGATCTTTGTGTTCTTGTTGCCGGCGGGGCCGCGGGCGGAGGCGGTCTTGAGCCAGCGCTTGAGGGCGACGACGATGGGGACGCTCAGCTCGGGGAAGGCGATGTGCTTGGTCCAGAGGACGAAGAACTCGGCCAGCAACTCGGCGACCTGCTCGCCCACGCCGTCCTGGTAGACGCGCGTGCGCAGGTACGACTTGGGCGCGCGAATCGCCGTCGCGAAGTCCAGCTGCCGCAGCGTGCTGGTCTTGGGCGCCTTGCGCATCTCCGCTAGGTTCAGCACCTCCAGCAGCGCCGCCGCCAGCGGGATGTAGGTGCCTGTGGTGCGCGAGATGCGCAGCAGTGCCCGTGTCAGTTGGAAGCGCAAGGGCAGGTACTGCGCTGTCGGGATCAGGCGCATCGCTCCCAGTGTGATTTGCACCACTGGGTAGATCAGTGGTCGTAGCGCGGACGGTTTGCCTGCTTGTGCTTCCACGAGCGCGTCGCAGTGCTGCGAGAGGACTCGCGACCAGAAGTCTAGGGAGTGCACGTATTGCCAGTTGTAGACGGTTTTGTAGCTGTCCTTTGATGTGTTGGTGATGCTGCTGCGTAGGTGCATGGCCAGTTGGCGGATGAAGCTGAACCCTGTCGTGTAGGACACGTTCTGGTCGATGCCCCAGAGCTCGACCGCTGAGTTCTTCATCAGGTTCACGCCCGCCAGGGTGTGCACGGTCGTGTTGCGGCTGCCCTTGACTACGCCTTCGTATGTGGCTTTCAGCACCGCTTCCTTCAGGCCTGCGTCGCCGATCACCATCAGTCGTCGCAGGATGAGGAAGGCTGTGATACGCGTCGCCTCGGTTGTTGACACGTCCGCCCAGATGCTGACGATCGTCTTGATGAGCACCTTCAGGAGCTTGCGGAACTGGAGGAGGTAGGGGAGCATGGGTTCGATCGAGGAGAGGGTGAGCTTCAGCGTCTGTTCGTCCGACAGGTTGGTCAGCAGTTGGTGCACCGACGAGGTGTGCGACTTGATCAGCGGCGTGAGCGTCTTGAACTTCTTCGAGTCCATCGACACCCGCACCTTGCCGGACGCGCTCTCCTTGACGGGCAGGTGGTGCGACAGCACCCGGGGAATGTGACCGAGTGCCGTGACGAGCACTTGGTGATAAACGTTCGAGTCGGAGATCGTGTACTTCTGCTCCTGTGCGTCGCCCTGGTTGACGTAAGCCGCCGCGCGGAACGCCAGGACGGCCTGGCGCATCGCGCGGATTGAGTGCTGCTCCTCCATCAGCTTCTGCCACTTCTGGACCATCTCGATGGTGAGCGTGTTGTCCGGTGCCTCCTCCTCTTCATCCTCCGCCTTGGCCTTGGAACCCTTCTTCTTCTTCTTGGCCGGTCCTTCCTCCTCCTCTCCCTCGCTCAGCTGGTCGACCTCGGCCAGGTCTCCGTGGTCTTCGAAGTCAAGCAGCTCGGCGTCGTTCTCCTTCAGGTATTTGTAGAACTCCGGGTCCTTCTCCTTCAATGCCTCCAGCTGGTCCTTGTGCGCCTCGAAGTCGTCCGGGCCGCTACCGACTTCCTCTGCACCGCTGGAAGCAGCCTCCTCCTCCTCGTCGTCCTTCTGTTCGTCCGAGCGCTTGCGCTTGCCGATCTTGGTGGTGACGGCCTTCTTGCGGCCCTTCTTGCTCAGCTCAGCTGCTGAATCGGGGATGTCGAATCCGCCCGCGAAGAAGTCGTCGACGTTCATTTCCGCGAAAGCGTTCTGCTTCTGAACCTGCTCGGGGCTCTCCTCCGCATCTTCATCCCGCTCCGCTCTCTGTTTAGCATTGTCGGCCTTACGCTTCTCCTTCAGATGGTTGCGCTGCTTGATCTTGGCGGTTTCCTTCCGACGCTCGAGAACATCCTTCAAATGCTTCTTCTCGAACTTCTTGGTGGACTTTTTCTGACTTCCAGCCATTGTGCCGGATTGTCTCTTCGCAAATTTGCGGAGAGAGAAGTCGGTATGAATTGGGGGGAGAAAAAAAGAGACGATGAATCCCGCAAATCTCAGGGAACCGGGAAAAAAAATCTGGAGACGGAAAAAAATACATGTTGCGGCAGAATCGAGCGGTGAACACCGTCCCAGCTGGGTGACCGCCTTTCGGTGGTTGTTCCCCTCATGCGGGACAGAGTCCGGATGGTGGCATCAATCATGACATTCTCTCGTGATTCGATCTCATCATGTATGCGCAACGACCTCTGGCATATGCCCCGACTCCCTACAGCTATACCCCTAATCCGGCGCTGGCTGCGTCCATCAACCTCGATGAGGTAAGCTGGTGTATCTGGTCTGCTTGCTGGATCGCTGGCTGACTGGTGCGTTACGCAATACCAGGAAGTGAAACTAGCCTCCAGCTCCGCGGAGCGCGATCTCCACGAGTCTCTGGCGGAGATTTATAGTATCATTGTCACATTAGATGGTCTTGAAAAGGCTTATATCAGGGATGTGGTTACGGAAGCGGAGTACACGGAAACCTGCACTCGCTTGTTGAAGCAGTACAAGTCTAGCTTGGGGGACGATACCGTCGCTAGGGAGTTCGTCGACCTCGAGACCTTCAAACGAACATGGGGGGTGAGTTTCCTCTGGTCATCCTGGACAAATCAAGGCTGATTGTTTATTCCATACTCTAGCTGGAATGCCCCCGTGCCACCGAGCGTTTGCGAATCGGCCTCCCTGCCACAGTGGAACAAGCCACGCATAGTACCGCCGCGGCGAACATGGCTCCGGCAGCAACAGGCCCGCCAGGCGGCGCATCTGGCAGTCTGATCTTGACAGCCACCGAGAATTTCATTACCTTCCTCGATGCGCTCAAGCTGAATATGGTGTCGAAAGATGCATTGCATCCTTTGCTCTCGGAAGTGATTCAATCCGTCAACAAGGTCACGGATGCGGATTTTGAGAACCGGGGCAAGATCATTCAGTGGCTTATCACTCTGAACCAGATGCGAGCGACCGAGGAACTTAGTGAGGAGCAGGCTAGGGAGTTGTCATTTGATATCGAGCAAGCGTACATGGGTTTCAAGTCGACCTTGGGCTAAGAGGATCGAAGATAAGAGGCGGGCGAATGTCATTATTTCACAGCATTGGTGCTTGGCGTCTGGAGTTAGATACCAACAGAAGTTTTGATCTCTTTCATACCTATCTAGATGATGATGAGGTGGAGGATGGACTGATTAGACGGAAAACGTGCTTATCTCGGCATTCAGACTGTGCCGGAGCGGATCCGATCCGCGGAACAACTCACACCAGCCTTTCCTCTTTGGGCAATCACGACTTTTTTTTGCAGGCCCAGATCCGATATCCCCAATCCTCGTTTTGCCACAGATCCGGGGTTTTAAAAGAGAGAGAGCTGGTCAGCATTCTTCTACACTACCTCGAACTTCACCCAGCACAGCCGAGTCATCCCTTCGCATCTCGACACCATGATCAGCGCCGATCCCGACGAGCCTATCCATGGTGCGTTCGCCCCTCCACATTAGTCCCTGACTGATAGGAGCGATAATGAACTGATAAGCCACCCACAGTGCTCGATCTTCCCCAGATCTATGCGAAGCCCTCAGGCACCGAACTCATCCAAGCCCTCACTCTTCTGTCAGTGAAGCCGCGAAGCTTTGGTCCCAAAGCCCTTGAAGCGGTGAAGAGTCAGACCGTCCACCCGGCCGGTATAACCCGCTATCTGACATCCATCATCTCGAGTCCGCTGTCATGGCTCGATACCGATGAGCTTCGGGAGGCTGTCTGGGATGCCGCTGCAGCCCGACTCAGCGAACGCTCAGGTCGAACCGGTACGTTGAAGTGTTACCGGTTGTTGTGGCCGTTATTATCACTGGCTGGCTGGCCGGCTGGTTTGGCGGGGCACCCAATCTGACACCGACCATAGCGATGCCCGCCATGTCCCGAGTCTTCATGATCCCGACCTCCGATGGCGAAGAATACACCCTCACCTTGCACGAGCCGTCTCTCACGGCCGACAACCTGGGTATGAAAACCTGGGTTTCCTCGTACCTTCTCTCCATCCGCCTCCACTCCCTCCTCGAATCGCCCCCGCAACTCGTCCCCGTCGCCACCACCACCCCGAAGCTCCACCTTAACCGCACCCTCCGCGCCTTGGAACTAGGCGCAGGCACCGGTCTCGTCGGCCTCTCCTTCGCCGCTCTCCGCGGCCAATCCGCCAGCATCCACCTCACCGACCTCCCAGCCATCGTGCCGAACCTCGCGCACAACGCCGCCCTCAACGTCGAGCTGCTCACCCGCACCGGCGCAACCGTCACCACCGGCGTCCTAGACTGGTCCGTGGCGCCCGCGCCCCTCCCCACCCCCGAGCAGCAGTACGACCTCATCCTCGCAGCCGACCCGCTATACTCGCCCAACCACCCGAAGTGGCTCGTCGACACGATCACGCACTGGCTGAGCCGGGGTCTCGACGCCCGCGTCGTCGTCGAGATGCCGCTGCGTGACGCGTACATCCCGCAGGTGCAGGACTTCCGACAGCGGATGGGCCAGCTGGGCCTCGCGGTCGTCGACGAGGGCGAAGAGGTCGGATACGATGACTGGGAGTCGGCCGACGGAGGTGCCCTCGAGGTCCGATGCTGGTGGTCTGTCTGGGGATGGAGCGAGAAGCTTTAGCTTGCTTGTGAGGCAGCAACGCCTACTCCCCCCTCCCACTCAAATTGCGGTTGGTCCTTCCAACCGCAGTAATCCATCGCATCTTTTCCCACGACCGTCACGAAACATCAACGATACATACAGCAACAACAACAACAACAATAGCAGCGAGACCATAGCATAGACAAGCGCGATAGAACCATACACACCTACTAGAACAGGAGCCCTCCGGTTCCTCAATTCACTCGCATCAGCTAGAGCCAGATAGAGCGTTAGAGCAATGGTATATACAGCATATGCATATCTCAATTTGGATGAATAGCTCAATTGATTGTCTAACTTCTTCTTTACTTAACAACCATAGACCCCGCTTGCAACTTCGTAAGAATTAGACCATATAGACACCCAAAAAGCGAGGATTCAAAGAAGGTATAAATGAATCAGGGTGTAAGCAGGCTTGCCCCCTGGTGTATCTCGCTTCTTATTTCTATTTCTCTTAATCTCGTAGCATTGTAGATCCGACATGATAACTCCCCAGGTTCAAGCTCCATATGATTTCTACGTCATCGGTGTATTCCTCAGAACTGAATAGCGCGCTTGATTCCCAAGGCCTCAGTGAGGTGTATGATATAATCCTAAGATCTGAAATAAGATGCTCTTTTCTCCACTGATCGCGCTGACTAGTGTCGTGCTGCCGCTGAGTCAGTGGGATCCACTTTGCTGTCTTTTGTATTGACGAAGTAGCGAGTGGGAGATGGTAGGTAGTGGGGACGGTCAGGGGCATGTTGGTTGTATAGAATCTTTGTCCTTGATGGGTGGGCTATGGATTGGAGGACACGTCCCTGTGACGGTGAATAGGAGAGGAGGAGGGGGGGGGGGGAGATAGGCTGGGCTATGGTATTCGTTATGGGGTGTACTGAGGCCCTTCTTTTGAAAGGGTAGTGGTTGGGATTACTTGCAGATCTAAAGGCTGGGATATTCATCTGCGAATCTGTATATGTACAGGTGCAATTTTAATACTGTACACTGACAATAAGGAGCGGGTCTTCATGGGTGAGGTACATGTATTGTTGAAGACGAGGTGGGTGGCGGTGTAAGGACCGTTCAGGTACTTGGGCCAGTAGAGCTTGTCGTTGGCCCATCTGGTGCTGGAGTTGCCAGTGAGGACGAAGGAGAGGAGACATTTCTGCATCTTGCGCTTTGGGGAAATAACCCGTGTCAGTAGGGCGGTTTCGAGACACGGTTATTGAAATACGGCAGCAACGGTAGAGTCAACATTCGAGTCACTGGAGTTAGTGACACCTGCACCAGAGGAAGCGCTGGAGAAGCTGCCGGATGAAGAGAATGAGAGTGAGTAAGTGGAGTACCCTGTTACATGTCTAGTCAGCCTTGAGGTTCGTGAGCTCGTGCGAGATAACCACGGGGCCGGAGAAATTGAAGTGCTTCTGGCACAGCTGAGCTTCGTACGTGTCTACAACAAAGTCACCATCAACACGAGGCTGGAACTGGTAGTCATAGGCACCATGGACGTCATTAGCAGTGCCAGTCAAGTTGGTGAAAGAAACGTTGCGCAGGCAGTCTAGGCCACCACCAGTGCAGCCGACAGCTCTGGAAACATTTGGGTAGAAAGCCTCTCCATGCTCGTGGCCGGCGCCCGAAACATAGCCAGGGGACATGATATAGGCACGGCTGAAGAGCTGCTTGGCATGACCAGCAAAGCGGGTCATCTGGAAAAGGGGCATGGAGCCACCGGCAGAGAAACCGACGGCAGTAATCTCATCGGGGTTACCACCAAAGGCACTGATGTATTTGTGCACCCACTTGAAGGTGTGCTCGACATCCCACAAAGCAGTATCGGGGGTGCAGCCCTGGTGAGCCAGAGAGGGACCATTAGCCAGACCAGTGAATCCGAGGCGGTAGTTCGGTGCGACAAAGATAAAGTCCTTGGAGAGATCAAAAAGTCCCTGAGGCGTTTTCTGAGATTTGCATCCTGCAGTGAATCCACCTATACTGCGAATTAGCTACTGTAACGGTGAGTCGGTGTCCAACTGAATTACATACCGCCATAAGTCCAAAGCATTACAGGCAGATTGCGACCTTGAGCGTGGGCAGGAGCCAAGACATCCATATAGAGATAGTCCTCAGTCGAAGCGCAGTCGACATTAGATTCGGCAAGGCTGCCATTGTTGATGGATGTCTCAACAGGAAGCCACTGCGGCTTCGCGAAACGAAGGCCCCCAGTAGGCACGGCGGCGAAGCGGACGTTTTGGTACTTATAATAACCAAGTGAGCTGTTTCCAGCCGCCGGTGCGAGAGTGCAGTAGCCAAGAGTGACAGTGGCACTTTCGAATGACGAAGTAGCAGTAGGGACAGCCGCGACAGACGCAGCAGCGCCTGCTAGAAGGAGTGCAGTGTTTAAGGAGCGCATGGCGAAGATGCTTGAAAGAGTGAGACTTCGATTGCTTGTACTACCGTGGAAAGGCGATACCTCATGCTGCCCTTATATAGATATGCCCGGGATTCATGATAACCAGGAGGACTCCTGCGATACACTTGATCAGATGTGTAAGCGGAAGCATGCAGAGGGAGGGTGAAAGCCATTTCCGCCTTCAAGTATTTGTGTCACTGGGTGGACGACGGATCCGTGTTCCCAGTCTTTAGGTCTACGGAGTATCAGAGCGGCAGAAGCATGACGACCTAGTGTCCAGCTGAACATCATATCGCCGCAGCAAACTAGAAGTTGATGGCATCGATCCTGGTTTCAACTCTAAGCTGGATTGAAATAGAGTTGACCCACAGGGCAGACCCACGTTCCGCATCTCTGCACGGAAGTGAACCAGACCATGGAGTAATAAGGCTCGAAACCACGCGGCCTCACCTCGCTTTGAAACGGCTCAATGATTCTGGCTTACTGCCAAGCATAGCAAGGTTGATCGTTTCTGTCCTGACTGAACAACCGTTAGTGGACGCGGGTAAATACTTATACGCAGAGTAGAGTTCGTGTTTGATAGTTGGTGCCTGGTGACTCTTTCATGCTAAAATATGCCTTGTTCGCTTTCATATGAGCCTTTGCAGACCGCGAGCCACGCAACAAACTCGTCACTATAATGTCTCGGTGGATACTTGCGGGACTTGATGGCTTTAGAAGACCGTGCGAGATGGCTTGTCACGGAAAAAGTGCTTAATTTTCATTGTAGATACGGTTTCGACCTAGAAATCGCGGTATACGTGAGATCTCGGAATTTCTGCGCGCAGTTATAATGCAAGGACGATATTGCGAGCTGCAACCGGGGCGAAATCTGATTTTCAAGAATAGCAACCCCCGATGCAAAGCATGAGAGTCCCACGTAGAGGCAATGGCCGCGTGTGTCCATCACCGTCATATCTCCAAGGCACTCCACGCTCCTGTAATACTCAAATATCAAGTCTCATGGGTCGCCCGTGTCAGATACTAACTCAACATCGGGCCTGGAGATCTATGGGATTCGGTGCATACACCTTCGAAGTTCGTCGACTAGCTTCTAGCTTCGAAGCTCTATTACAATCCCAGAACATGAGCTGCAAGCATGAAGATTGAGGCATACCTATCTAGTAGCCTTGCAATAATCAGCTTCAGATTGAGACGGATAGTGGGGGCTCTTTCATCCGATAAGCCACAAATCTCATCCATGGTCAATAATCAAGGCGATGCGTTTGTGAGCGATAATCTTGACCTGAGATCGCTGTGTAGCAGAATTAAGCGCCTCAAGCTGAAGGCCTCAGAGTCATCCGGAGGACTGCTGCTATAACGAAAATTGAGAGGTTACCTATGGCAATTTCCTCAGCCCCGTTCTCATAGTACAAGTGATGGCAGTGAGTGAGTGAAGAAGTAAGTAATCCACCGACCAGTCCAGCCACTTACCGCCACCTGCCATCAGCCACCGATGACATACTTAGTATGACGATATGCGCACCGCCACCCGACCGATAACTGTGGTATCAATGCAGCAGCATACAGTCGCAGGAAATTAATTTGCACCCCCCCCTCTCCCCCAATGTTTGGTTCTAGAGATACCGCCTGCTTGAAGCGCTCACACACCGCCTAAAATATATGGGAAGAAGCTGGCAGAATAGCCATAGGCTAGACTTGATTAGGGAAAGTGCTGAACTCTTTCTGAGGGGGGGGTGCATATTAATTTCCTCCCACTGTATCAATCAGTATTTATCACGTCGATCCCCGCTCCATGGCCCAGCTTCCCCATCTTTTCGCAAACCGGCGTTAAATCTCCACTCCAACCACAAACACAATCTCCTCTCCTCGAAAACACTTACTGCTTTATTTACCATCAAAACGATCTTCAACAACAAACCCACCTAAAACCGTCCACGATGGTCATCGGCCTCCTAATCCTATCCGCCATCCCCACCGTGACAGGCGTGTCGCTCGCCTCGAACGAACAGCGCAAAGCCAATGAGCGCAAGAACGACGAGCGGCGCATGTCCAAATTCTATATCGACGTCGCCCCACCACCTTATAACCCTGAGGATCCAGAGGTACATACCAAGCGGGTGGTCTTACGGGATTTCAAGGTACGTTTAGTCTCTCACGTGATGATGATGCTTGTTATTGTCACCCCTGTCCTCCACGACAGAACCCCGAGGCATGAATCAGCCTAGCTAAGCGCAACTAACCCTTGCAACTCTAGGTATACCTCGATGACCCTGACCCCGCGAAACGAGATCCGCCCGCGCATACGGCCCAAGCGTTCTATATTGAATATCCCGAGTTTGATCATATGAAACACTTGAAGCGCGGATTCGGGGTCGCGACGTCTATTTCGGATAACCCACCGATGTTGGGGTGGATTTATGCGGACAAGGATACGCATGAGCTCAAGTATGGGAATCGGACGCAGAGCTGCGAGCATGTTGTTGGGCCGTGGGATTGGGTGGATGATGAGACGACCTTGACGCTGGAGGGGAGTCGGGGGTTTGTTGCTGTGAAGGAAGAAGATGGGTCCTGGGGCGTGTACTACGATCGGGATGGCGATGAGTTGGAAGGGGTCTTGGAGGAGCAGGGCAAATTGGACAATGAGTATCTGCTGCTACGGCTGAAGCGGAATTTGATTGAACAGCCTGATCAACAGAATAAAAACAATAATACTTGATCTATAAGCCAAGATGCGGAGGAGGTTTCGGGTTGGGGGAATCGTAAGTGAGTAGATCATATTCTTTTGTACAGAGACCGTCGGTGCAACTAGTCATCGAGACCATCCCAGGCCTCCTTGTCGCTGTCAGCATCGCCGGCCGCGGGTTGTTCAGTCTTCCTGGTGCGGCTGGCTTCGATCGCGCCCTTTCTCCGGTTCTCCATCCGTCGTTCGTAACCACTCTTGGTGCTGATTCTCGTCTTCTTGTCTTCTTTGCCGTCCTTCTTCGACTGTCTGGCCTTGACACCGTGCTTCTTCAGCTCCTGCTTGCTCTTCTTGCTGAGGTCGGGAAGAGCGTCCAGCAACCATTTCTGAACCGACTTCTCCTCCGAGGTTCCACGCAGCTTCTCGCTGACGTCAATAACGTTTGCGATACTCTTCACGTAAGGGATATCCTCCTTTGTGTAATATGTCACTGCAATGCCACCTTCCCGGCCCGCTCTGCCAGTGCGTCCGACGCGGTGGACGTAGACGGCAGCGGAGTTAGGAATATCGTAGTTGACAACTCCATTGATACCTCGGAAGTCGACACCACGAGCTAGCAAGTCGGTCGTGACGAGAATCCAGATCTCGCCCTTGCGGAACTGCTTCATGATCTCGGACCGCTGGTTGTCGGACAGATCGGAATGGAGAACAGCGATACGCGAAGAACCACCGGCTTCGGCGGGAATATCGTAGCGCAATTCGGAGTGGAGTGCGATGGCGCGAGGGATGGTTTGGGTGAAGATGAGGAAGGGTGGCCGGAGACGGACATCTGAGGCTGCTGCTGCTGCCGGGTGAAGAAGCTGTCGCAGACCGAGCAACTTTCCTTGCTCGGTGGCGGCGTAGACTAGCTTGTGTTTGATGTTCGGAATAGCTGAATCTTTCAACCCCACGACGAGACGAAGGAGTGGGTAAGACTTCGTCGTACTTAAATTATCTTTGCGCTCCTTGATGGTTGATTTGGCCAGGTCCTCGACGTTCGAACCCATCGTGGCGGACCACAGACTCGCCCGAAGTTCAGGGTGTGTGCATGCACGCCAGATATCAAGGGTCTGCTCGCGGAAGAGAGGGTCCAAGAGGACATCTGCTTCATCCAGAACTATGTTTCTCACCAGGGGCAACGTCGCCATGGGCTTGGTCTTGTTTGCAGAAAGCGCATTGACCAAGAGCAACGGTGTCGTGACGAGGATGTCGCTCTTTGTAACGGGGGCCTTGCTCTTGCTGCTCTTTCCTGTCTCCTGCTCCTCATCCTCTGACTCAGAAGATTCCTCACTCTGCTCATCGAGAACATCCTTTTCGTCGCTGTCCTCGTCGTCGCGTTCGACAACGCGCATACCCTTCTTCATCAGAGTGATCTTGACTCCCGTTCCGAGCGCTAGCTTGCGTCCTTCATTGACGATCTGACTGGCAAGCTCCTTCGTCGGAGCAACGACCACGGTGAAGATACCGCGCTCCTCCTGCTGCTGGTGATGGTGTCGGACAATCTTGTTAATCACCGGGATCATGAATGACAGCGTCTTTCCACTTCCCGTCGGGGCCACAACCAGAAGGTCAGGCTCGACGGTCTCATTCGTCCCCGCCTTCTGGGCCACGGACTGATCCCCAAGCAACAGAGGCAAAGTGCCCAGTTGAACCTCCGTAGGCACCGTGAACCCTTGCTCGGCAATGTTCTCCGCAAGACGCCGAGAGATGTTATACTTGGTGCGCAGCTCCTTGAACGAGACCAAAGGCTGCGGGAACAACCGACGCGCCTTCTTCTGCTCCTTCTTGGTGAGCGGCTGAGCAGCGCTGCTGCTACTGCTCTCTTTCTCCTGCTTTCTCTTCTTCTTTTTCTTCTTTGACTCTTCGCCGGCCGTCGCCGCCTGCTGAACCTCTTCCAGGTCCCGCATATCCGTAACCTTGATCTTGTGGGCATTCAAGATTGTGCGTCGCTGCACCTCATCCATAGATTCGGCTTCCTCGGACTCGGACTCATCCTCCTTCTCCTTCGCAGCCAAAGCCTGCTCCTTCTTCGCCGTCGACGCCGAGCCCTTGCCTGTGCCGAAGAAATCTAGATCCGGAACATCATCACCATCATCCTCGGAATCCGACGACGCCGCTGCCGCCGCATGAGTCCTCTTGCGCTTCTTGTTGGAAGAGCCATTTCCCTGTAGAAGCTGTTTCTCGGCCTCCGGGGCGCGGAAGAGTTGAGGATTTTGCGCCTTGCCTTTAGATGGTAGCGTCGAAGAAAGGGTACTACTAGTGGCACCGGTCTTCAACTTGGTGGCTCTGGTCAAGAGCTTGAAGGCATCCATTTTTTCTGAAAAGTCCCAGAAGTCGCGATTTTACAAGACCATGCGACTTGAACAGATTAGGTGAATCAAAGATTCTGGGGACATGCGCGCGTCCTTCTCTTGATCGTGTGATTATTGAAGATTTACCGTCGAAGTTATGTTTCAAGTCCGCGGCGATTTTGGTTATCGGGGAAAAAAAAGTTTCGATGTTCGGATGCTCTCGCACGGACCAATCAGAGCCAGGGATGGGTCGCCCTCTGCTTTCAGGTTCTCACAACAGAACACGATCATTTTCTTCGACAGGGGGTTGATGCTACTTTATTGATGGCGAGTGTGCGGAATATAGGGAATAGAGAGGATTTGACGCGTAGAGGATTCGAGAGAATGTGGCGAGCTTGAAAAGCGTGCATCGATGCAGCCCCATATCACATATGGTGGTTATCTTTGCGGACCCATCTTTCTTATCTCTTCGATATCCCTTTCCTGCTCGCCAATGCTCATTGGGACGAAACGATCTCACGATTACAGCTGGAGCTTGTTGGGCAAAGAGACTCGTTTTTACTTTCAAGAAAACACATACATTTCAAGAAACTCTCTAAGGAATAAAAACGTTCAAGCACAGGTGGAACAAGTCTATCTTCTAACCGGACGCACACACTTCCAAAAAGGCTTTTTGATGATCAAACACCCGGCCAACCGCTTTTGGAAGGGGGAAACAAAAGCAAAACATGTTCCACTGAAGAAAAAGTACACTCAGTTACCTCAGACAACAGTTGAATTCCATCGTCTATCATACAATAGTACAGCGCAACAAAGGAAACGGGGGAGGATTTGTAAAGGGAAGGGAAGACAGGCTAAGGCACAACTGCGTGGTATTTATCTAATGGTGTCCGGCGTGCTGAGGCTCTCCCCGGTAGCCGACGATGTTCATCCGACCGATCATCTCACCGACGGTGAAGAAGCCGATCACCTCCGCGGCGGTGACACCAGCCAGGGCGAGCTCCTTCTTGTTGGCGCTGCGGATCCGGGCCACAATGTTCGAGGGGGCGAAAGCGGAGTTCATGGGGTTGCGGATCAGGGGCTCGAGGTAGGCCTGGAAGGTGGCAACGTTCCTGGACGATGTGACGAGGTTAGCAATGGTTGTGTGCATTTCCTCCAGAATTCGACTGGGTGTTGAAAAGAGAGCGCTTACGGGGGGGTCATGTTCTGTCCACGGAAGACCAGCTTGGCGAGCTCGAGACCGACTTTGCTGTAGTAGACGGTAGGGGGTATCATGGCTATATTGCAGAGATATGTCGTTAGCAATGTGCTGATGAGCATGGGATGCATGCATATGATCGGAGCATCCTTCTTCTCCACATTCGGTCGTGAGCAACGAGATAACCATCTCCGACCGTCCTATCACGCTAGGTAGTAGAAGAAGAGGGTTGTACAGCAGACACCGGCGTAAGGTCAAGGGCGTTGGCTTACTTTCGACAAAAGAGATGACCTTTCCGGTTCTTCCACCAACCTTCCGCAGGGCGTTACCGAGACCCTGAGCGGCGTTGGAGATGGCGGGACCAGCCGAGGATTGAACACGAGACAGGCCCTCAGAGGCCTTGGAGGCAGTCGAGGAAGCAGCCTCACCAGCCTTGGAAGCGGCTTCTGAGGTGGAAGAGGCGTGTCTGACTGCGGTCCTGCGAGCCAGGAACTGCGATTGCCGGAGGACGGCACGGGACGCCGGAGCGGACATCTTGAGGACCCTTGGAAGAGGAAAAGCGAGAAATGGAGAGAGTGACTGATGAAAGTCGCGAGATGGAGGACAAAAGGGTCCAATGGCGGGGTGGTCAAGAGCCGGAGACGTTAGATCGTCGCGCAATTGCAGGACCAGAATCTGAGATTTGAAGTTCGGGAAGTTCAGGGAAGAGCCTCCACTCCCGCACCACGTGATCCATCACTTCCCATGCCTTGTTTATAAGCAGCCTTCAACTTGTTTCCCTTCCCCGATGGTTTGATCATCGTGGGTTTTTGACCAGTGTTGCTGATGCTTGGTGCGTCACGATTCCAAAAATTCGAATTTAATCTTGCCTACGAAAGCTGAATAGAATTCAGGCTCAATTTGTCTGCACTGGTGAAATTTGTAATAAGAAGATAATATAACTTTCACCAGGGGTAACCCCAGTAAATATTTCCTCCCACCCGCTAGCCTTGGAATGAATTTGCGGGATTGCAGCTTTCGCCATTATGAAAATAGATACCTCAAGCTCGGCTATGCCTACCTTGCTGGCTGATTGATTTCAATACGGCGGGTTTTGCTCTAAAGCATTGCCCAGATGCTTTCAGAAAGATGTATTGAGCACTTTCCCGAACTATAAATTTTCAGTGCACGGGCATTGGGCGCGAAGTTGATACACCAGTACCCTGCACAGGCTCTTCGATACTAGACACTCGGAAGACTTGCAATCAAATGTCTGGTCTCGTTGCTTCATTGGAACTACACATCATACTCAGTACCCTGGAAATTTGTTTTTCGATGCTTTGCAGCATGGTCTTCTATATGTTCGTTATACTGCCGGACTTGTACTATCCGATGGCCCTTGCAATTATCACTCACTTCTATCATCTCTTGGATCTCCTCAAGTGACACACCTACAAAGTCATTGCCATTCCATAACTTTCGGTCCCTGATGAAATACTGTAGTGTGAGCTATGAGGCACCAACACAATCGACATGGGCGACAGTTGTCAGCTGCGAGGTTTCCCCAGCTCAGAATCATTGATGATTGTCACCCATTGATAGAGGGCTGTCCAAGGAGCCAACTCGGAGCACGATCCTGCTATCATGCAAGCCACCGTCCACCAGAGCTTGGAGCCAAGGGCCTCAAAGAGGCTCTATTTGCCTCTGGCTCGTTAGCTCTGCCCTTATTGTCTATAAATAAACTGTTCTGCTGCAATGGAACTCCCGTTTACTTACCGAATTAAGGTATTGCCACTTTTATAAGGGCTGTATATAAGTAATCCGTCTATACTCTTTGATATTTATAGATTACTTATAGAGTGTATACCTAGAACTCTAGTTACTCTCAACTACTGTAGATCATTTAGTTAATAATTACTAAGTAGCTTCTACTTATTTATTATAATTACTTAAATAACTAGAATAAGTTATCTAAACTATATATAAACTAATACTCTGATAGATAACTAGTATAAAGATATAAAAGATAACTTACGAAAAGTATTCCTATCGCGATCGCATTTTTCTCTATTTTCTGTGAATAGAAATCCCCGCTTTCCTTTCATTTAGGCCTATCAAAGGAAGGTCTTCGAAAGGAAACAGTGCCCCCGAAGAAATATGAGACTGATCAGAAAATAGGATACAGAGACTACTTTAGAGCCCTGCGGTAGCGTCGGGCCTTCACCAACAAATTTCCCTCAGGCGTCAAGCGGCCGATCCTAGGATCTCAAGGCTTACCAAAGGCCAGCGGGCGTGGCTTTCCCCATGAATCCGATGGCAAGAATCTCCACGCGCCTGCATGCTTGCGGGCAAACAGATAATGTACGAAGTGTGTCGACAACGGCGGCATCGCGGGCCATGAGTTGCCCCCCTCGAAGGTCACATCGCGCAGACCGAGGACCATTGGTGGGACGACATTCTGATTGTGGGAAGTTGGGGGTGGCGTTGTCAGCTTATGCGCTAATGAAAGAGCGAGAAAAGAAGTATGGGGGGAGAGGGCTAGCTCACCTTGTCCTGACGGCCTGCCTCCGCCTCGCATTCTTTGTAGACTCTGAGCAGAGCGGGTCCATCGTAGGGGGCCATGGACATGAGACTAGTGATCTCGTTGGCCAAGTGCTCGCGAAAACTCGGGGCCATCTGCTCGATCAAGTCGCGCACGGCCGAGGCTTGGTACTCGGCCGGTGGAGTTTCCTTTCCATAGGCCAGGAGCTGCTTCAGGATTGGCTGGAAGGTATGATGCTCCTGGACATTGCCTTCCAAGAAGTTGCGTTGCTGTAATACGCGCTCAAACTGGGGGAACATTTGCTGTTCTTCTAGAGTGTGATGGTGAGATACCCACCCCGCCCAGCTGCAGAGGAAGAAGAGAAAGTCGGCGATGTCTTGCGGTTCTCTCACTTGCTCCGCCTGGAGATAGAGGGCATTGAGACCCCGGAGCATAGCGTTATGAGCAAAGGCCATCTCGTTCGCAATGTAGAGAGCTTCATGCTTGGTCTAGGGTAGCAACACTGTTATCTTTGAGCCCCTTTTCTTTGGTTGGATTGAGACAAGACTCACAATATCTTTTGACTTGGAGGGGGTTTCGATCAAGGGCCAAGGTCCATCGGCCCACGGGCTGGATTTGCCACCAGTAGGAGGAGCCATTTTCTTAAGAAATGCTGCCAGTAGCTTGAATCAATACTATTACTGACCACCGAGCTCTGGGGTCGTTAAATATTGTTGGTGAGGAGACCTTTAAATGACAAAAACAGGGCGTTGTTGGGAGAGAGGATGATAGTAATCAAGCAGTGAGAGCCAATTGATCCTCTTACACCCGGGTTTGCCGATTAAGAGACTGTTGGCTGCCCTTGCCCTTGACCCTCTCACGAATCCCCCGGGGGATTTGCTAAGGCGGCGCTAATGCTGCATGTCAGATCTTAGTGATATCTGGGAGTCGGGGACAAAGAAATGGTCATATGATTAAAACGCAGTCTGAATCCCAGTCAGATCAAAGTACGTATGCACTGTAATGTACCCTTGGATCCTAGAACTTCAGTACTGTACCCAGTACGGAGTAGAAATGCATTACCAATCCTCCCCCCCACCCCCAAATGTAGAGATGTTATTCTTCTAATTCAATTGAGAACTCCCCAACCTCATCTAAGGTGGATAAACTCAGTAGTCGAATCTGTTTGCTATCTTTTCCATACTCACTCACTCACCCACCCACTGCCAGCTCTTCCACTCCTACGTCCATCCTCCCCCTTCGTACACCCCCAATGAAAGAGCACCAATCTTCCCCCAAGAAACACCCAATCTCTTTATGGCTGGTTTTGTTTTGTCCCTCTGCCTGCTTTCCTTTGTTTCCGTGCTCGATGACGCCATAATCAGCACCGCCTAACCCAAAGTGACTGCCACCCTTTGGGGGCAGGTGGATTACATCTGGATAGCCACAGTTTCACCATCGCGCAAACGGTGGTGCAGCCATTCCTGGCCCAGCTCTGCGACATCCTCGACCGGCGCGGCCCTTTCTTGGTCTCGGTGGCTCTCTTCCTGCTTGGCAGCGGACTGGCAGGAGGAGCTTTAATGGTGGGCCAGCTGATCGCCGGCCGCACGATCCAGGGCTTGGGCTCAGGGGGGATTTTAATCCTGGTGGACTTGGTTGTCTTTGACCTTGTACCGCAACGGGAACGCGGCAAGTATCTGGGGATCGTGCTGTCGTTGGCTACGGTAGGAGCTGTGCTGGGCCCCGTCCTCGGTGGCGTATTGGCCCAAGCCAATTGGCGATGGGTTTTCTATCTGAAAATACCTCTAACCGGCCCAGTCCTGTTGTCTATGCTCATCTTCCTGCAGCTCAACGTTCCCGGCTAGTCGCTCTCATCCTCATCATCCCCGTCGTTGCCGTCGCTAACCCCTTCTTACCAAGGACTACATGCGTCTCTACGGCGCGTTGACTGGGTGCGCAACCTCCTGTTCGCCGGCTCTATCCTGTAGCAGCTGTTAGGGCTAGTGAAAGGAGGCACCCTTTACACAAGGTCATCGGTGTCGAGCCTGGTGCCCTTGACCCTGGGATTCGTGGGATGGGGGGCTTTCCATGTGTACGAGTATCTACCTTCTCCCCGCCCACCGGCAACCCTGCATGCCACCTCGTCTCTTTGCACGACGCAACAGCCTAGTGGGGTTGGTGCTGGCCTTCAACGCCGCTCTCCTCATGCAGTGGACGCTGTACATCCTCCCGGTCAACTTCCAGGGGGTGCAGCACAAAAGCCCGCTGACCTCCGGGATCGACCTGCTACCCTACAGCGCCTTTCTGAGCTGAAAGCGGCACCAAGTTGAGCTGAAAGCGGAAAGGGAAAGTGATCTGATTTCTGCAGGAATCCTGTTCGATATCCCATTTGTTGATTCAGAATAATGAGTATGGAAACTCTTAGCAATTATCTCAATTACTGCCCCGCCACGGGAAGATACTCAAAAGCTTGCAGTGCGAGAGTCAGAATTGAATCACACAATACTGGGTTTGAATTTTATCGTATCAGTGAATTGTTTGGCATATAAAGATGATTATTATGTGCGTGCATGGCAATACAATAATAAGAAATCCGGCTGAGAGAACACTGCCGCTCTACTCTAGAACATCCGCAGTCTAATTGGTAAGATCCTGGAATAAGTTGGATACGTAATACATCATTCCATTTATAGTCACAAGTATCAGACCCTGAGCTCTCAGTAGTGATTATGTACTCTGCACTTTACTCATGAGAGAGTATACCGATAAGGTGCAGCTTGCCTTCGACATGAGACAGAAAACATCTTCGATACAGTATACAAGCTACGAGCAGCCTTTATCCATTGCTGATTAGGCGGTTTACACTCATCTTTTAAGACCAGGTTCTTCTATTCAATAAAACCCCTGTCTTTTGCTTGTGATACTCGACGAGCATATTGTCGTGCGCAATACATAGATTCGATGATAGTGGTCAGGAGAGTATTGTAATTTATCCCAATTGGACGGTTCTACTGTCTACCAGAATTGGCTTTCTGTCTTGTAAAGGAAGTTCTTTGCCAGTATTGATGATCTGAGCAAGCACACTGCCCTGAAATGCGGTTTTTTTTTTTTGTGATCTGATAGACTCTGGCTAACATAGGAGTGTGATTAAAGTCAAAGCAGGGAAGGGTTCTCTATTCGACTTCGCGCCTGCTTCAACCATATTCAATGTGTCTTCGCCTTGATATAAGGGAACGATACAGTTCTTCCGGATACCGAGGCCACCACCTGCAGTCTTCAATTGATCCAGCAACCCCGGGATGAAACAACACTAAGCCAACCCTGGCACGGAGCTGGAAAATTCAGAGCCGTGTATTGTATGAGAGATGATCTCTTCGTAACATAATATAAAGACCGCCTCTAGTTATAGATATTTTCTCAGCTTCCACGTGTTATGCATTCGAGTAAAGACGGTACCCGGTTAAAGCACTGGTCCAGTAGCAGCTGAACCACAAAGATCAAAAATGGCACCTCATCTACCTTAATCACACTTAATCTTATCCGCAATATGTTGATAAATGGAAAGCTTACTGCTTCTTAAATAACCGAGGCTACTGGGTGCAGCAAACGAGCATTGTTGCGACTGCGATGTGACCTCCAACTTAACAAGTAGCCTACAAGCTGCCCAATTAAAGGCAGTCGGTCCGAGAAATCAGTACAGGAATACTAGAAGCTTGATATGACCATCCGCTTAAGAGGCTATATTCTACACTATACAATTAAAAGAATTTTCACCAGCCCAGTACGCTGTCCCGGGTACATATGGCTTACTTTCCAGCTCAAACATCATATTATCTTTCTTCGACAGACTGACTAGGAGACAAACCTGAATATGCTTAGTAAGGCAACATATGTTTATAAATATTGATACCTTGCAGTTACCTCTCAAGCTCTTTACTTGAGCAACTTCCTTTGGTTATCAGGCTGGCACCAGTCCAATAAGACTGAACCTCAGATCTTGGCAGCCACTCTCCGCCTCTCTCCTAAGAAACGACCGTACCCCCATGTTTAATGCAGCGTCATCAAGAACATCTTCCTCTGCTCTCAATGTTCCTCTGATCAGTGGGCCTTTCCTTCGACCGTCAAGCTCCCAGAGATTGTCACTCCCTGATTTTGTGAAACAAACGAAATGCAAGTCCATCGATGTATTTGCGGCAATGACCTCGCTTTGTCCTTCGCGCGCGGCGAGTTCATTGGCCATTTCGAGCGCATGGCTACTGCACAGCGCATTTGCACGTTGTAGAGGTTGCATTGGTAAAATCTCCTGGTATAGTTTTCCAAGATCCGAATCGGCTTCGACAAAGGAGCGAGCTTTGCCATTAAGCAAACAGTGCAAGAGTGCAATAATACCACAACCGGTTCCTATGGTTTGCTGGAACCATATTACCTCCTCCTCGCCAGATCCGTCATAGGAATGCAAAGTCGTGTCTTCTTCGGTACGGAAAGCTTCGGATGCTTTGTTGACCGGAAAGACAAGCAATAAGCCGTAGCACGGTCTTGGTATCATTGCGATAATTTCAGCTTCATCAATACTATAAATGTCAATGAATTTGACTGCTCGAGAGAGGCCTAAGCGCCAACCCAAGCCCGACATGATTTCTGGATTGTTTTCTTTACAATGGAGTCAGTTGAAATATGCCAAGAAAACTTGACTTACACTTACCTAGTGGAGTGAAGCATTTTCGTATGGCGCCAGGTGGGAGTGACAAGATGTTTGTCGGAAGATCAGCCATGGTTAAATCGGTATATATCGCTTGCCCCTCGTAATGGGAGGCATGTTTTATGAAGACGAAGGAGTCGCATTTGGGCTGCGATTATATATAGGAATCACTGTCATCGGACGAACGGATCAAGCTCGATTGGATGCAGTGCCTTTGCATTGACACTCTTTATCTATTGGCTAAAAGATACCATGGTAAAAGATGTCGAATCAGGATTTCTACCACCTACAGTGAACATAACCTATCGAACCCGATCGTTATTGAAGAGGAAGATAAACTTTCTTTGCGTGGTGGGTAAATTGAAATTACACAGATCATATTCCGCTTCCAATGCGGGGTTTCGGTCCTGGTGGGGTAGATGTTATCTGGAAAAGGCATGACCCGCTTGGACCCCATCAGCCTTACACACTCGGACATTGCCGCTGTGACGGACTTCACACTGCTATAATAAGATAGCTAGCTTTGTACTGGTACTGCTAAAAGGAATTAGATCTCTCGACCAAAGCGCCATCATACATCAATTACCTCGAAAAGGGCGGGCCTCAGATGTGTGAGCCTAATGACCTTAGCTTTGTATAGTATAAATTCTTCTGATATCTGGATTAGTTTACAGTGACTAATTGCTATTAGTTTGCCACTTGCCTTTATTCTTAATAGTCGTATGCTGAGGGACAAGTGATTGATTGCTATCTTACACAGTATGTGTCTATATAGTACTTTCCTTATGCCTGTAGTCGGACGGAGACGCGTGTTGCATGTTTGGCACAAGCTATGTTCCACGAGAGCTCAGTCAATTGCTGTACTCATGCAAGCTCGCCGGCGGAGGCAAGTAATTTAGTGGTGTCGGCTAGCTCGACTCTTTTCTAATGAGGTTGTCCGCGGCCCCATAGCATCAACTGTAAACCATTATATCTGTTTATTTGCACCGGCTAGCGGCAGTAAATTGCAGATGATGGGAAGATGAGTTAATCAAATCATCCAGAAGACTGGTGGTACTGTACCATGATGTTCGATTTCCGTATGGCGCAAGTCAATCGTGATCCTTCTTAGGAGTCATCTGCTGAGGGGTCCCGATGGGTTGCGCATCGCTCTGTTTTGTATGTTTTCTGAGGTTTTCTGTACGAAACTCCTTCAATATATATAACCTTGGGCGTTGGGTCAGCTCCCCCAGTGCTGGTTATTGGCCAAGTGTTCTACATCGTGACCCCCACCACCGAGATTAAACATTCTCGCACCATTATTCGTCGGGCTCAAAACCCCCATCCTCTCTACATCGCTATTGCAGTCTAGCCAAGTGAGATAGGATCCGTGGAAACCCCTCAGGAATAGGCTGATAACGAGGGAGCAAAACGCATCTAATATTGGAAAGGAACCGGAGAGCCTTGTCTCTAAAAACCTCTATAAATCTGGAAATACATATTGCATTGAAAAGGAAGCTGATCAGACCCAGCCTGAAGGCAAGAACAAGTCACCCGGAACTTAAGGATGACTGTTCCAACACCAGAACCCACTTCGTGCCGCCCTAGCTTGCTGTTCGCTCGAGACATCTTATCGGACATTTCGAAGGCTCAGCTTCATGGTCTGAGCAGCTCTGCCATTGCGATCTTGGAAGTCAGCCATGAGTAATAGTTTTCCGTCTAGGATCTTGCCAATGTGGGTCTTGTCAATTTCCTGCCCGTCCTTCCTGATCTGTGACATGAACACCTTGAGAAATCTGAGGGGGCTTTTGGTGAACTTGGCTCCTGCCTGTTGATTCTCCACGATGAACCCATCCGCGGCGACAGCCAAGCCCTCTGGTGCGGCAGTGAACGCCACTCCCAGGAAGCGGCATATTTCACAATACTCGTTGTACGACGATATATAGAGCTGCCCCGCAAAGAGGTTCAGTTGAATACGTAGGCTCTCAGGTATTTGCAGGGGCCTCGTGCTTGGTTTTGTCGGAATCGTGTACAAATCGAGCTTATCGATAGGGTACGAGCTCTGGTTCTGACGAGGTGCATATAGATGCATAGTTACCGCACCAGACCCACGAATGTAAGCATGAAGCTTATTCGCTTCATACGGGCTGATGAGCACCATGTGCCTTACGGGCGTTCCGTCCTTGGAGGCATGACCGGTGCTCATCAGGACCCATTCAACCGCACGCTGGTAACTATCCCGAGCAGATAATTTATCTGGCAGTCAGACTGTTCTAGCAAAGTCCATGGTGACAAGGAGCTCCGATGGGAACTGGGCCACATCCAGGTATTTCGCCGCTGATGTATTTTCTAACACCATAAAAGCTGGTTTCACTGCGGTGGATGACGTATCCAGATGTCCGGTGGCCACGAACGAGCGTATATCGGGATGCACAGAATGCCGTGCCGGTTCGGCAGGAGCCGGCCGTTGAACTTGTCGTTCCTGCTCAATCTCCGGTGCTAGCTCTCGCTCCTGCTCTTCCTGGAGTTGCGCTGCAGATAGCTTCACAGCTGCGAACTCACGGCATCGGTCCAGTATGCAACACAAGTCCGCATCGTCAGTGCACTGGGAGGAAAGAGCTAGATCATTCTTACGACCGGGACGGTACCGCTGTTCAGGCGACTGGGATTCCGGTTCGAGAAACCCCTCTGCCTGACATTTTGATATCGAGATTTGCCCGTCCTGTCGCAACACCCGCCAATGACGGGCCTGGGCCTGATATCGCTTTCCCTGTACTGCCCACAAAGGTATGCTGCGTTGCATATCATCCCAGGTCTCCGATATTGCCCAGCGGAGCACGTCTGCTACGGTAAGATCAGACTCGTGGGACCTCCCACAGAGAGTCATAATTTTGAACTTGATCTCTTCCGGGATGCAAAACACCACTGATTGTCCTTTTCCTAATTTTCTCATCCTCATACATGCTGTGATAGCTGTTAGCAAATAATACATCTGACCGTTCTACCGGGATTCTCTGACCTTGAACCAGCTTATCTTTTGTGATAATCGGTCCCAACGTCACCGCCGCCCGGGTTCTCAGGGGTAAGTCCAGATCAATCCCTCTTGTGTGTGCTTCGTCAAGGAACACAAGGCATTGGTCGAGATGCTTTTCGAAAGGTGACGTCCGCAGCGGTTCGACAAGTCCAGTCCGATCCACCACGGCAATCTCGTCGTCGTCGTCGATAAAGACCACGGCCTGCGTTCGACCATCATGACAGATCATCTCCAACCAGGTCTTCGCAACATCCAGGTTACTCAGCTCCAATATTCGAGCTCCAACGTCTAGGATCACCCGTACGGCTGGATCCAGTTCCGCTACCATATCCAGAAAGACCTGCGCATCTGACTTGGACAGGTCATCTCGTGCCGGAATTAGGGCAATGCCGGTCTCTGGTAGGAGGAGGTATTCGAGAACTAACGCATTGGTGTGGTTCTGGTCAGGTAGATCCAGCTGCTCCACACTGAGCGGAAGGGTGACCCGGGAATCGTTGGTCCCGCTAAAGCCGACGGTGGGATGGCACTTGACCTCACCGATATCCCATCCGGACGAGGATAGTTTACTGGGGAACTCCCTTAGACCTCTGGCGAAAATAAGATGAGCGAGGAAGTAATCGATGGCTCCCTTCGCGAACCGAATACAGGGAAAAATGCATTCCACGCAAAGGAGCCGGTCCTGGAGATTAACTCCCACCAACTGACGATAAGCGGAGGGGAGAGTCGGGGCATCATCGACCCATATCTGATACTCCGCGTCAGCTTGATCCGATCTGACCAAATGGTCGAATGCCCGAAATAGATCGTCGTCGCAGAGTCCTTCATAATAATAGCTCAGGCACGTGAGCACAATGGCAACATCGGGGTGACTGAATTCCGCCCGTGGTGCAGGGTTATCCTTGGCACGATACGGAACCGCCAGCCCCGTGGGGGGTTGTCGGGAGCGATCAAGTCCGTAGCTAACTCTCCAACGTCTTTGTTCCAGGCAGAATGCCAGAATGTTGCCAGCTAGCAGACCCCGGAGTAGTAGGAGAGGATCCCTCGTGCTGTCGGTCCAAAAGCCAGACGCATCTGGCTTTTCAACTACAGCAATAGTCTGTTTTGACGGGTCAGGCTCAAGGCAATAAGCGATAACGGCGCGTCGTTTCGCTTCTGGCTGCCTTGAAATCGGCAGTTCGTTAATGCCGTTATGGAAAATATGATCCGCGATTCGTTCAAACAGCTGGTGCGCGGCGTCCGCTCGAAGCAACCTTATCCTAGGGAAGCTCCCTGGATGTGGCTCCTCCACCTCAATAGACCGCGGGAGCTGCATTTTGGTAAGCGGAGCATACTTCCTCACCAGGCTGAGCATCTCTTGAATCAAAGTCCACCTCTGTGGACTAAGCTCTAAAGGACGCTGGGTCCCCATCGTGTAGATCAACTCGAACTTCACACTGAAGTTTTCATCGCTTTCATCTACCACGTCTCGCGAGGAGGTCCTGAAGAATTCCAGGATCCTAAGAAGACATACACCAACCGTCTCTCTCCCTGTGATGAAGTACTCTAGGCACATCAGCTTCAGGGATAGGAGATGCTCGGGTTGAACAAGGAGAACTCCGCCCTCCGCCATGCAGTCCTGGCACATCCTTTCGATCTCTTCCGCCTCAGGTCTACAGATCCGCAACGAGCGTGACACGGGGAGATGATACACCCGCCGACCTAACAGGCCCCCTAACTTTGCAACGAGCATCTGAAACATCTGTCGCGACTGTGGCTTGGCGACAATAATGCGGACTAGACATGAACGGTCTGCGAGCGCGGCTGCTACGATGGGGACGATAATAGAAGACTTGCCCTCGCCCATATTCAGTTGCATGACGATATTATGTCCGGGCTGCGCAGTTCTCATACGTCGCGCGATCTGTTCTTGGACGTCCCGAATCAATACTCCACTCTCAATCTCCAGCAGCAATGACTCGGGGAAATCCATTGGGTTCCAGTTAGTGTGACCTGCGTTCTGCAGTTCGCGGGCTAGACCCATGCGATGACCCATCACGTTGACGAGCCTCTTCGCCCGCTGGAGTGCCGTGATGGAACATCCATACGCGACCAAGCACTTCTTCCAGGGCTCAGGCAGGTGAGTCCAGCGATTGCGTGTCAGCTGATGGAGAAGGAGCTGTGATGATACCCTCGGCCAGACGTTGACATTTGCAAATGTTCCCAGGATATTGCGCTTCGTGTGTGATCCTGAACGTACTTCTCCTGTCATCCTATCTGAAAGCATCATCCTCGACATGATGGAGCGACTGATCTCCTCGTGGTGCTTTTGGCAGCGATGCAAATGATGGGATATGATGATCTCAAGAACGTCGTCATCAGGCAAGTGATGATCTATATGCTGGATACCCTGCAGGGATGTCATACTGGCCCGCAGTCTCTCGATGTATTGATTTTGGAACTGAGATCGCGCTTGTGATTCCAGGGCATTGACTAAGCTCAAAAGACGTAGATTTTGGTCAGGAGTAGTGCCACTGCCCGACCAATGCGGTAGAGTAGGTGGTTCCATTTCCACCGCCGGTGGTGGACCGAGAGACTCGTTCACTATGTCATCCACGGAGATGAAAGCATGCCGTCGGTCCCGGGGGCGTTCCGAGCACTGGCAGAGACATGGTGGGATCGCGATGGGTTGGATCTCTTGGGCCGTGTAGACAGATGCAACCCTATCAAGATACTGCCTAAGCTCTCGGTTATCGAACCAAGTTGAAAATGCTGCCTGCGAAATCTGCATCGCTTTTTGTGTATCAAAATAATCTGCGAATTCAGGCTGTTCACCCGATATGGGAGGTGAGGGGCGTCGGGTCGGCCACTGTCCTCGTAGGCCATCTATAAAATGACCTAGTGCCTGTTTCCGCTTTGTCTTTCTCAACTTCGCCACACGCGCATGAAACGTGCTATACGATTCCGCTGGTTCGGGAGTGAGGTCATCTTCGGGGGTCACACTCCGGCTTACAGAATGGATCCGATTCTTCAATTCGGTGGAGTTCACTTCGGACCCTTCTTGTGGCCGGTATAGTCTCTGTGCTGGTAACGTCATAGAGGCCATGCCGGGTAAAATGTACACCGCAGCAAGAACGTGCAAGACCATTATGTCTATCTTTCTAGAGAATGCCAACGTTGACAACCAGAGCATTACCGCATATCTGTTTGGCCGAGCCGTCTCCGAGCAGAGGAGCCGATGGATACTGCACCAATGACTGGAAATAAACTCGCCGTTCTCTGTGAGCCACATCGCATCGTACTTGAGCCGCGTTGGGTCGATCGAAGAACTGGCTCCGTGAACTGTGCTGGACGTCGTAAGAAACTTCCAAAGACGTGCAGCCAAGGATTCAAGCATGACGTCCTGGGCAGATGGAATATCTTCGTAGAGGATTTTGCAGAGAGTGAACACTCGCGAACAGCTTTCTGACTGGTAGTTCCGGCCCAGTTCTTCGTATAGGCGGTCCTCCGCGTCCGTGTGGTCCTCAGCACCGAAACCAGAGATCCGGAAGCTCGAGGAGCGAATGCGATCCCGCTGCAGGAGATCCGCATTTAATGAAGGTAGCGACGGCTCTGTCCCCTGTGAAGCCGGGTTGAATATCCTCATCCGATGGTGTTGATCAAGTATAGCAACTACCTGGCTGTGGAATTCATTATGTTGAGCCAAACAGCCTAGGATGGGATCCCATCGAACGCTCTGCATTACACGCTCATTGGAAGGGTAATATCTCCTTTCTGGTGTGAGACTCGCAAGCTTTTCGAGAATAGAGATGTTTTCTGGCTGTAGTTGATTGAAAGACCGCATTGATGCCGAACGAAGGATAGACAGTGACTGTTCGGTCCCTGTGTGCTTGGTCAAGGGGTCCGGGATGCAGAATGATGTGACTGCATGCAGATAGCACAGCAAGAGTTTACTCTGCAGAGTCCCGTTGTCTGTCAAACAGCCGATATCACTGTTTACGAGATAAACATGCACGCTGGTTGCCGCCTGCCAACCGACCTTAACGGTGATATGGCCATTGCCTTGCTCCCATGTTATCTGGCCTTCCGGTATCAGAACCCTCCGATTGTGTGTCTTTCGATCAAGCAAAACGAGCTTGTTGCGCAGGCCGATCAGAGTGCCCACCGACTGATCAGGATCGACGACCATCCCCCGGTACTGGCGAGACTCAATTGACGACTGACCCGATTGCAGATTAAAGCCCAGCCGGAGGCGGGGAATCTCGATTTCCACCATGTCAGATTCGTGGTGAAGTTTGTAGTGCAGCTTGGAGGCTTTTTCGACGGGTTCTAAGACATCAGACAATGATCTCGCTGTCTCACTCCGCATGCTGATCAACGAAACACTGCCCTGAGTGAGCTGCCAGTTATTTCCCCGCGGGGTGCGCTGCAACCGCCAGTGAGAGGCCGGTGATGGCTTCCATGGGTCGTTAACAGGACGAAACTCGATGTACTGGCCATCAGTCTCGTGCCAATGGGCGTATCCCTCCACGAAGGCATCCGGTAAAGCATTCGCGAGGAGCCTCGGGGGTACGAATTCCCAGACTCTACTGCCATCCACGGCTCGAATGCGAAGATCAAATCCACTCTGCTCGCGGATGGTCTGTTTGCCGAAGTAGATTTTCTGGCCGTTGTGCAGTCTCTGGGCGGAGAATTCCAAACCTGGAAGGTCGCTGGGCATCACTTCAACCAAAGAATGCCCAAACAGGGATCGATATGTGTCGTGGCGCTCGAACTTCGACGGCAACCGCGCCAGCGGACGACCATTGATGAGCAGCTGACCAGTGAGAAGGTTAACATGCACCACGACTCTGTTGTTTCCACCGACTTCAACCATCATCTGGGCTTTCAGGCAACATTGACTGCCACTTGAGGCTGCTGTCCAAGGAGAGCCCGGTCGGTACGCGGCCCAAGTCCGCTGGATTGCTCGGTCGAGTGCGGTCGTGCGGGCATGGACAGCGTTGTTTGCCAGAATGCGGTGTCCCCGAAAGGCTATGTTCTGCCACCGATAGTAGAAAATAGGAAGTAAACAACTGGATAACCCGTTCAGAAGGCCCTTTCGGTCATGGATAATCATACTGCATTGGATGAAAACGGAAGCATCTAGATCGTTCCGGAGCAGTCGATCCATGTGGCTGTTCTCGCAATCGAAAGTGCCCACGCAGATCAACGCGAGGTAAGCGGCGGAGGCAATCAGATTGTTCCTGTGATCGTTGCTGTCCGTAGCACCGGCCTTCTCCCCAACAGTCATCACCCATCTGAAAGAAATTTTTCGGAGGACAGCAAGCTGGACTATGCATTCCTCCTGAATCTGGACCGATGGGGAGCAGGCCAACACTTTTTGGGTGAGGGCGATCAGCACGCTCAGCTCCTCTGCGGATTGCCAGTTCTGTTCGATCGCCGCCGCTGCCTTCTTGATCTCTCGCAGCAGAGGAGCTGCAAACGAATCATCGTTCAAAATACGATGGCCTTCTCTCAGTGTCACACTCACGAGCGATGGCGGCCCTGCCTGGTGCATGATCTGCAGGATAAAAAGGCACGTCTCGACCTTATTGAATACCACGGAGGGTGCAGCGAGCTGCCGAAGGATGTTCTGCCATTGGATATGGATGCCCAAGGGCAACGTGCAGAGCGCCTTATACTCCCCCAGTGACATTTCATCGGGGCAGGTATGCTGCGATGCAATGACCGTATTGGGTGATGGACCGTCAGGTGTCTCTGCTGGGCGGAAAAGAAACGGTTGCAGAGATAAGCTGGATGGAGGTAACTTGTAAGTGCATGCCGTCGCTATTGCGTGTGTTTGGACCAGGTCGCCAGTAAAGCAGCGGAGGACATTATCGAAGTATTTGTAACACATACCGTTCGCGAGACAAACGTCGCTCTCGGATACATTGATAATGTATTTCTCCCGCATGTGTGTTGTTTGGTGTGGTTTGACTTGGGATAGAAGGCTAATCCTTGGGGAATTAACAACCGCGGTAAAGAACCTCGAGAGTCCGCTGTAGGTGTGTGGTCGGTACTCAGCTCTAGGCGGTTTTTTCGAAACATATTCCACACCCAAAACATCAAGTAAAATGAAGGCAGTGACATCACGCCAAAATGCGAATGGTCTGGGCAATTTCAACTCGAAGACTGTGGATTTTGCCTCCAAGGGATTGGAAGACAAAGGCCATTCATGAACATTTATTGTGATCTCTCTCGCAGCGTTGTCAAACCTGCATCTCTTGCACGAGGGGCTGTGACGACGCTCTGTAAAGCGGAACCGCTTGTTGATTATCTCATCGTAGTAAGTGCAAGAAGTCTCATCACGCTGAGCACATAAGTCCCTGTACTGGTGATGCTTTCGGTGCAGCTCCACCACTTTGGCGGCCTTCTCAGATCCGGCGCTTTGTTCAATAGTGTCAAGTAGACGTTGATGTTCAGCGGACTGATTGAAGTAGCGCACGGAAAATGAGGAAGGGGTTCCGAAGTCGGTTAGGATATTGGAACCTGGGTACTGGAGGTCTTGGTGACGTTGGCGCATGTAGCTTTCCGCGTGTCCTAACCTGGTGAGCTGGGACAGCCGAGGTAACAGGAGAGACTGGAATAGATGTATCGGAATACAAGTATTATACTGGTGAAGCAGCGGATGAATATGGACGGCGGACTTGTCGCAAGCTATCCAGAGCTCCAGGATGGTGAGAAGCATGGTTGACAATGCCTCGGGATTAGAGGCGTAAGACTTGGATGCAATATCATAATAGGCATTGACTAATCTGTTTAGCCGTTCGCAGGTGTCTTCATAGCCAATATGTGTCTCAGTCCAGGATTGAAGATTCAAGTCAACCCACGCTTCGAAAGCAGCAAGATTGTAGACGTGATAGTCGGGGTCAGTCAATTGGAAGAGCGATGGGAGCTCTGCAGGCTCAAACACCAAAAGTCCAGACTGCGGGTGAAGGTCTGGCGGCACTGAGGAGTCTTGGCGGGCTCTGATGCTTTGAAGCCACTCATCAAGACTGGGAAGTGAGCAATAAGTGTCATCTTCAAAGTTGAGTCGAGCCAAGGGGGACATATCAGGTCGGCAGGCGTTACGGGAGATGATGTTGCTCCATTTTTTTTCGAGGATGCCATTCGCTTCTTGAAGGGAATACTGGACAAACTGAAGCCAAGCATGATTACCCGGCAGATCAAGCTTGCGTAACCGGCGCACGATTTTGGAGCTCATGATATACCGGTGCTCACTGCTTATGCTCTCGGGACAGCGGCGTAGAATGGAACTCATGTAAAAAATCATGAACTCTTTATAAAGGTCAACTGAGATTCCTTTATGCTGGCAGAGCCTCCGAATGACTAATTGGAGCGTAACTCGAACCTGGAGCCAGAGTGCGGACCGTCTCCAAGGATGCAGAGTGTTGAGCCACAGGACTTCTTCCCGTGTGTTTTTACGAACCTGCACACTGTTCACAGTTCTGCATTGTGGGCGCAGGAATGTTGTGAACAACTCTGTGACCAACATTGGATCGGTTGTATCCCGATTCTCGTCATGCTCCTGTCGCGCCTTCTTCACTTTTGGCTTGGTCCCTGGGGCAGGCTGACGACTCATGCTCTCAAGGGCGTGCGCAATCGTATTTTGCATATTTAGATCATTGAAGATGGCTCGATCCAAAGCAAAGGTTGGTCCAGGAAATTGGCGTTGCAGTCGACCCACCGTGGTGTTGACGGCTTCGTTCCGAGGCCAAAGTTCAAACGTCTCGACATGTATTGAATCGCTGTGCCTAGTCATTAAGACCGCAGCATTCTGGCAACGAACATGCACAGGTAGAGCACCTCCTATACAACACGTGTCAATGACATGCCGGACGTCAGCTAGATTATAGCTGGCCATACCTGAATTTTCCAGTTCTTCTAAAGCTTTTCTAAGCTCGACGTGATTCACGTCCCCATGACAATCGCGCATCGTTCTCAAACGAGTGAGCATTACTTTGACACTGGCAACAACGTCACTTTCCTGTCCATGAGTATAACCTTGAAACCGAACAAGGGCGTCAATAACGCTATCGAGCAGGACAGATTCATGTTCAGCTTTATAATCATCTTCCTGTGGTAGCTGTGGGGGCAGGAAAACATGATGAAATAAATATATAGTTTCCCTCGTCGATAGACGGGATGCGGCGGGAAAACCGGACATTCTCCACTGCGTTCAGTACTGAAGGATAATCTAAGAAGAACTCTTGCAAGTAAAAAGCTGCTTGAATGAGTGCCGTAGACCGAATGTGCGGCCCATCCCAGTGCCTTTTATCCATCCCAGAAGACAATACAGACATAGAAGTCATTTTAGCGTTTCCAATGTGCAGTAGTAGGCCGCCTCGTATAATTTGCAAAATCCAAGGCGTGTTCTGAACTGTCCCAGTTGTCTAACCGTGCCGTTGATCTGCCCTTGCTTTGAACGAGAGACGACTGCATCCCACACAGTCTACTGACCAAAGTCGTATGCTTCGCGAGCAAAGGCTTTGACATCTTCACTTTTGCTCACGTAGATTACCTCCCTCATTTTACTGGAGCGGCCAACAGTCTTGGCTACCCGGCCCCAGTACGGCAAGTGTGCTTGAACTTCCTCCTGCATTGTCTTCCTCCTGCATTGTCTTCCCCCTGCACTGTCTTCCTCCTGCATTGTCTTCCCCCCGCACTGTCTTCCTCCTGCACTGTCTTCCTCCTGCATTGTCTTCCTCCCGCACTGTCTTCCTCCTGCATTGTCTTCCTCCCGCACTGTCTTCCTCCCGCACTGTCTTCCTCCCGCACTGTCTTCCTCCTGCATTGTCTTCCCCCCGCAATGTCTTTCTCCTATCTCCCTTCTTGCATATGGCCTTCCTCCCTCCACCCCGTAGCTGATTTTCTTAAAGTATGTATTTGGCACAAAAACCTTATAAGTGGCCTAAGTACCCGTGAATTGTTCTTTTTTTCTTAATGAGCTCGCAATCCGAACTTGGTTCATATTTCGTGCAATTTTCTATAATCCATTTAAAATGCCATCTTCAAAGCATCTGTTCATAGTCCAGAACAATACCACCTACAAACAATTGCCTATTGACTCAGGCCGCGTCGGGCCCCCAAGACTGGACGCGTATCAGAGACGTCTCGGTCGCTTCTACGAGCCTTTGTTTCTTTTGCGTGTACTAGGACAAACCCGTGGGCAGCACATAGCTGGCTCACCGGATGCTAGTTTGGAGCAAGCACGGCAACGAAGATTCCTACGTAACCTCGCCTTTGTTTGCGACTTTACCAAAGGAGGTATTTCTTGCACTGCCATTGGGCTTGAAGACAGCGAAACATGTTACAATTTCTGGATTTCGTCCAACACATCTGTCGACAAAATCGTCGAATTCGCGAAGAATGCTCTCAGCCATCTGAAGCGAACTGCAACAGTCACTGGAGACATTATTGAACAAGATAAGGCGATTTTCACCAGGTTCTGCCTTGACTTTGCGATTAGCCGAGTCAAAAAGGAGCGCCAGTGCTTGTTTCAAGCGATCAAGCAGTGTTACCCCATACCAGGCTCTGTGAAAACGAAACAAGGTTCGTAAAGGCCAAACTACAGGTTCTTACAATCTGACAGACTAACCGGTTCAGTAGATCAGGTGATAAAAGTTTGGCTTGAGCGTATCCTCGAACAGGATGATTGTCTGGCACTTTGCAAATATGCATATGTCCACAGAAAGTCCATATTCACCAGGATAATCGGGCTGAAAGCTCAAGACGAAGAAAGATTAATGGGTCTTCAAGACAAACGGTCACCTTTTGCGTCAGTTATCCATTATCTAGGGCGACTGGCACATCACATCCGGGCACCATTGCAGCTGGTTGAGGATGCCTACCATTTGTCTCACATCCTTGACTCACATCAGGTGATGGCTATCACTTGTGTGCCTTCGGTGCCTCGGCCAGCGCCCGATAATCTCACCACGCTCGATGGTATCCTCAACAGGATGTTGAAGAAGGATGACCCGGAAAGGCTTCAGATAAAGAATTCTTTGCTTTCTATGAATTCTCAATCTCAATCTCGCACCTTTCAGGATTTCATGGAACAGTATGACAAGTGTACACCGCAGGTGCATGCAGAAGTGTAGGTTCTGAACCATTTCTTCAGGATGAATCTGTCTTTCGTGGGGAATGACCGTTACATTGCTTGTAGCAAACCGGCTTGTCTGTGTTGTGAACTGTACTTCAGGTACCATCCGGCTCGAATGGTCATTCCTGAATCTCACCGCAAAGTCTGGGTTAACTGGGGCCCACAATTAGTCAAGAATCCGACGAAAGGGGATCCAGAATACGATTTGCAGGTGAAGGTCCTCAATGAGATGACAAGTGAGATTCGCCGCGCTGTTATTGCTGATGTCCTGGGTCAATCGATATCAAGTCCCTGGCATCCTGATTCCCAAACAGCAATTTCAGATGACCGGCGGTCTCGCGGAGATTTGGAGGGGCTTCGGGGAGATACGTTCCGACATTTGATTGCTGATGGCAGCTTGGAAAATGAGGCAACTGAATGAAGCACAGCGAAGGTTTTTGGGACAAACGAACTCAAGACAGATTTGTCGGATGAAGACTCTGATGCAGAATGTGGCGGAGTATCTCTCAAGATGTAAGGTGGTATTTGATTTGGGCTTGCAACTTGATTTGGTTTTGTCTTTCTGGCTTTTTAGTATTTCAAATCTTTCTCTCTCGCTTTTTCTTTTTCTTTTTCTTTTCTCTCTGATTAAACGTAGATCCTCGTTGGGGCCTTGATTACAAGCAGGAGGCGAGTGTACTTCTACCTCTTACCAGACGTTACGATATTGAAGGGAATCTAAGGTACTATTCGAGAATCCTTCATCCAACTCGACAAAACATAGGCTCCATATACGAAGTTCCTCAATCAGACACAGAGAGACTACTAATATTTCCATGCTGATTTCGGCGGTGTCTGCGAAGATTGTCTCTCCGTGTGAAGGGTTCACCGCACAATTTACACACACCGCCCACTTTCCACCGTTGCCGAGCCCAGTCACCGTGATGTACTTCAATATGTCGACGCATATGAACCTGCTGAGCCTTGGTTACCGTACATTTGGGGCATTTGACTGGCTTAACATGAGTGCGCATATGCTTTCTGTGAAGAGTCAGCGGGATGAACAGAGCAAGTGGTGGTGCTAGCTTACCGCAGATCACATTTTCTTGAATAGCCAGTCTGGGCCACGCATGCATGATGTTTGCAATGATATAGTCCATCCACAATGGAAATATCGTGATCGTAAGAAGGCATCGGCGCTTCTGCAAATCTCGAAGCGCATGTTCCTGAATCGACCCGTCCTCCAACAACCACAGCTGTGGTGGTACTCTCGTGACCTTCGTCACTCAGGCATCCATCCAAGTTCCTTCTCTATAGAGATTGGATTGGAAGAGACGGTACCTGTGAGTCCAACGCCGCCGTGGTCAAAGTCGGGGTTTCCCCGACAATAGCAGGATGTGACTGGCTTCCAGCGAAGACTTCCATCGGGAGTAGGTTGTTCGGTGCGAATAGGTTTGGGTATTGCTGCGGCCAAGGAGGTTCTCTGTTGTCGCCGATCGCAGTATCGGTCATTATCGTAGAAGGAGGAGCCAGGAGTTCTCCTTGTCTATCCCCTATCACCATTGGATCGCAATAGCCCCCGAGTGGAGAAGAGGATAAATCGGTTCCATTGTAAATTGACGAGAAACCCATCAGTCCGAATGAATAATCCGTAACTTCGCCTTGTGGCCAGGCTGGGTAGTATTCGTCCTCAGCCTGGCCGAAAGATACAGATGTCATTGTGAAGACCAACACAAATTGAACCCGGAGAGAAGCTTCGACCACATACAAAGGAATGAAAAGCTCGAAATGCTGGGAAGGAGATGACTCCTTATGTATTAGGCTCAAGTTCGTTATCAACCTGGCTAATCTGGAAAGTTTTGTGCCAGAGAATTCTCCATGGGCTGGACTAGCGGTGTGTTAGCCCCTTACGTCTGGCAGCTTTGCAGTGACTCACTTGGCCAAACTCACCGGTGAAGGTCCCCACGTAGCTGCCAAATTTCTTTTACAGGAGTGTACGGGTGTATGATAACGTTACAGGCATGACTGGTCCAAGAATGATGAGTAAATATACTATAAAAGGTGCGGTAAGGAATAACAGAGAACAAGTATCTAAGCAAAGAACAGCACGCTGCGGAAGAAAACAATACCGGGGCCTCTGAGACAGGCTCAGCAGGTTCGCGAAAGGTCTTAAAGCACTTATTCCGGTCCTATCCAGGACTGCTTCAGCAGTTCAACGGTAGTGACGTGTACAATATACCCAGCTGCTTTATGGAGAGGTACAGCGCCGGGACATAATGAACTAAATCGTCGTGTACCTCAAAATACCGTAATAGGAGAGGGCACAACACGAGAATATTCTAAAGGTTCTACTCAGCGGGCCAAGGATGGTGACTACTAATTGCTCGAATGGAAAGAGACGCATGGAATAATGCCTTGCGTAAAGTTATGTGCTATGAGTATACACAAGAAAGCAGGTGAGGAATGTGACCACAATTGAGTGTGTCCTTGTAGCTGCAGGTGATATTGGGTAAAAGGCTTTCTGTTAGATTATTGTTGGGGCAAGTACCACTCCCTGGCAGTTCGTCTCAGCAGCCAGGAAGAATAACCTTGGTAGGTATCTGTCAATTGGACGTGGCTGTCTGTGGAATACAATCTCTTTATGTAGTTTGACTGCCGTGTGTGTACTTCTCTCTAAAGCCGATTCTCTGGAGCTAGATTGTTGTTCGCGTCAAGAGGTACCACAAAGATTTTTTACCACCGAATCAGGAATACCCTTGACGACCCCCTTGCCTGGAAGGGCTTTGTATACGATGATATGGAGCAGGCGTTGGAGCAGCAATTACAGATTCATGTACTGGATCCCTTGCGTTAAGCACAACCTGCTTTAACCGATAAACATTATGTAGTTGATAAATATAGAATAAGTATAAGTATAAAAACTAATTCTAAAATTGATTCATTAACTCTATTAAATACTCTTCTTTGAATAGTTAGATATTTATATTTTACTATTATTAATATAGATCAGACATTCTCCGGTACAATCCTGGGGTGTTTTACAGCGTACTCGCGCATCAGCTTTTGTACAGTACATCCTTTAAATCCCTTTCCTTGTACCAGACATCATCTGCGTCGTCATATCCAAACTACTATACCAGATACTCATCGATAATCGGCCCTTATAAACCCCCAGCACCCCCGAAACGGCCCTTAGAAAGGATACAAGTTTCGTCAGTTTAACCGCCGCACAACGGATAAGGTTCTAGATAAGCAATGCTGATAACGGGGTGCACTCGTGAACCCTCGGGCAGCTTGATCTTATGTTTTTCCCTCTGGAGCCTTGGAGAACAGGCCGTAATCAAGAACAGGTTCTGGAACGGCTGGTGGCTTCCGCATACAGGTGGTCCACTGAGCCAGATCATAGTAGCATAAGCCGTACATTTTGAATCATGTGAGCCAGGCCCTCTCGTCGGGACTCATTGAACAGGAGCTTGATATTTAGTTTCAACCTATTTTCCACCCACCCCCAGTGCAGTCAATGGGAATCATATGACAGCGGAGGATTTTAGACAGCGGTTTGATAATGTCATCGCCACAGATGCTTTTCGCGCGCCATCATCCGACACCAAGTGCAGGATGCCATCTGATATGATGCAATAGTTGTGTAAGCAAACGTCTCTTAGAGCTCGCTTGCCTCAAGCAGTTCCTCTGAGATTCGTTCATCCTCCTTTGAGCCGTAACCCCTATGCCTGCGCATTCTAGTAAGGACTTTCCTGCTTCGCTCTCTGATGAGGCATGTCTGTCGCCATGATAAACTCGTTCACCCATATGTCTTCCTCGTCCGCGAAAGGCTTCTTGTGCTATCCTTGTTCTTCGGTCCGGGTTCAAGTAATGCGCCGGCAATTATAGTAAAATCAGAACATGAAGCTGGACCATTCGCTGCATATAGTGATGTAGAAGCCATAGTGGCGCGCGAACCATATCGAGGCTTCAACTTCAACAATAGAACAACAACATAGTATGCTCGAGGATCATGGCCAAGGTAAACCAGGAGACTTCTCGACGTTCCCTATCTGGGAGTGATAATATTCTACTTCGGTGAGGATAGAGGGGCAACAGGTGGTGCGGCCGAATCTCACTCTCGTGCGCACGGCGCGCTCCTTGAGCTACTGCCTCCGCTTGTCCGCTTTCTCGCTTGCATCAATCACGGTCCAGCGCGGCCGGAGGAGGGGAACTCGTCCTTGTTGTCCTTCTCGTATAGATCCTTCACGAACGGTGGCATATCTCCAATAAGTTGGGTGAGGGATTGGCGAAAACGGTTGCGGTTCATCGGGCAGTAGTGAGTACTACTGTGATTTTGCCTTGAATCAATCCCTTCTTTTATTCGTCGAATCGGGTATGTGAATTACCTCCGATTGGGGCGAGTTTAGATTCAGTGAGTAGTATGCAAGGATCCAGAATTTCCTCAAGGCTGGTCGCATTCGCAGGGGTCGGCAGAATCTCCGGGGCAGCCGTGACGATCTGTGATCCAGTGAGCCATTCCAGTGCTCGGTTCCACTCTGGGAAGGGGTCTACCTACCTGCACACCGTAATCATCGATATTCTGGTACAGGACGCAGGGAACATAAGATTTCTCTAAGGAGAAAACAAACAACAACACCTGCGAGCTAACTAAAATACATTCTGCGAACCACCCACAACACAAGAATCCCAAGGCAACAACGCGATTTGCAGCACTTATCGCGCAGGACAGAGGTCGGGCCACGCGGGGGGAGTACTAGCCCTGGAGGGAGCAGTACAGCCACCCGCGTGTAGACAGTTATTGCACCTCTGCCCAGTTCCTGCAGAGATATAGTCGCAGAACGCCCTCCCGGAGGAGGGGTCGCGACAGTATGTACACACCTGGTCGGGCGGCGGTCGTCTACCAGCTCGAGACACGAGGATACCCTCGCGGAGCTGAGTCTGGACGGCCAGCTGCGAAGAATTGCTCCACCTAATGTACGCGACAGAGCGCAGTACGGGTGCGCGAATCCACGCCCGCTCGCGACCAGCCCCTGTCGTGTGCTCAAGGTGGTAGCTGCGCATGCGGCTGATGACCTCTGCCAGGTCGCAGAGCAGCACGTAGGCATCCTCGCGCGAGCGAAGTGCCAGGCAGAAGTGGCCGTTTCGGGCCCAGAACGAGACACCCAGCTCGTTTTCCATCGTATATGCTCGCTCTGGGCACTGCTTGCTGAACCTGGTCGTTTGAAGATGCCCATTTGCATTGAACTCCAATGCCGCACGTCCTGGTAGGAACTGGCTCAAGGATGTGATACCTGTGAGGACAGTAATGTGGCCTGATGGACGGACGAGACTGGCCAAGGCGCTCAGGGTGCCGATGCCTATAGCAGTAATCTCCGACATTAACATAACAAGAATAGGTATAAAGCCTATCTCAAAATAACCGATGATAAAAGATGAGTTATGCTATTGTTAACGATAATAGTTCACGCATGGAGAGATCAGTGTTATCGGTCCGAGTTCTTCCTCGAGTGTTTACGAAAGACGTGCAGACTGCCCTCGATCAATAGGCTTAAATGGAGCTTCGAGATAAGAAGCTTGAAGGTTGACAACCATCCTTCGCGCGGATAGCGCTGCGAACTGCAATCTATAAAGAGATAGAGATATTCACAGCATGAGCAGAGACAACATGGCAGAGGATACCCAATCATCGCCATTGCAGGATCCACAGCGATTTGCGCTTCTGAGTTATTAGGATAAGAAGACCTTTCGTCCCGCATAGTTTTGCACTGCCCGTCGATGATTGCAATTTTGACGTTGAAATCCTAAGGGTGTTTTCCCAGTCAGATTCGGATTGACTGATCTGTACCCCTGGAAGGAAATTTTTGACCAAGCCGACGCTTTTGGCTTGACCGTCGCAGATAAACCTTTGACGTAGCACCATAGAGGTCTGTCTGACTTCGATACTAAACATTCAGCAGATTGGTCTCATACCTTTGATCTTGCAGTCGTTCAAAGACCGACACCTCCCATGCTGTCAACCCTGCTGGGTAAACGCAGTACAGGTAAATTCTTTGTGGTCGCCGACTAACAAAACATTCAGAAACATTCAGAATTCTGTCAGCACATGAAAGATAAGAATCTTGGCTTCGTCGACAGTGAGTAGATCGAAAACGAGATCTCTGGGAAGCATCTCTGGGATGCTCAACGGTGTCGTCATGACGATATCCACTTCCTTTATGACCGGTCGGTCTAGCTCACATTGATGCCAGAATCCTTTGTGCATTCCATCGGTGTTTTCTCAACACTGATAATAATCGGCCTTGGATGCACAAAGTTGGATTTCTATGCAATCAGCACGCCGTTCGACATCTGTGAATTTGAAATTCCTCCGGATGTCAAGACTGTCCTCGCGGGTGGGCCTTCAATCTCTACATGCGCGACTTTAAAGTAGGTCTGCAAGACAGAAGTAATTGATTCCTTTGTAGACTCGGCGAAGAAGGACGATCTGTGGGCGCGGCCAGATCGGGTGTCGCCCCGCTGCTTTAGGGCCAGAGATCGATCCATGATATGTCCAGAAAAGCCCAGAAATCGAGCTTACCACAACAGTGTCCTCGTTTTGTCGAGAAAACAAAAGTATATATGGCGCGACCTTCTGGCACACTCTCTGTATCTTCTTTGTCCCTTCGCATAGGGAAAGAATAGATATCATGGTAATCACGACCGTGCTGTGCTGCTGCCGCCGTTAGAGTATTCTGGAATTGACTCAACGTTATCGGTGCCATTTCGAGTGGTTCCTGATGAGTCAATGGCAGCAGCTGTCTCGCTCAAGAGCCTGTATCTTGTTAGTCTGCGAGATCGATTATCTGGTTAAGTTTACTTACGGGTTCGCTTGCAGACGCTGAGCTGGTGATGGCTTGGCTTGCTCTGATGATGTTTTATCTGAGGATGGAACTTCGGTGGACGAAAAGTGCTTCTGAATAGTGGAAGAATAGAAGAAGCTTTCTTACTTCAAGTCATGATTGGCGAATCAGTCTCTGTATACAAGGCTGATTCTAATCAGGTATCATGGTTCTTCATGAAGGGAGAGGAAGGAAGAGGAACAGGTAGGATGAGGAAGGAAGAAGAGACTCCTTGAGATAGAGAGAGAGTGGTGTGGAAGTTGCTTTCCCTTATGACTTCTGTCAGATCTTTGGACAAAGGGGATCATTGAATAGATGATCAATGAGGGTAATTAAATGCGACAAGTTTGTGAATCAGGTTCAGCATGTATTAACAGTGCCTTGGTCTCGCCTTTTCCTCCCACCACTATCCATAGGTCAGTCTTCACTACGTGAATCTACGCTAGATAGCCAGCTCTAGCACTTATCCTTTGCCTGCTGTCATTCACTCAGCCCATAGTTTCCATAGCGAGGCAGGATCTCATCACGGATCGAAACAGAGGTCTGATGCTTTCCATACGATAGCAAACAATCATCCAGTTTCAGAGAGAGTAGTTTCCCGTAAATCCTGCTTCCGTAGCATCAAAATTAATCTCATCTTGCAGCCAATTCGTCATCGCTTCTTAATACTCCGAACCGAAACAGAACGGTCAATTTGTGTGGTGGAAGAACCGGCCAGCATTATCCGGGGAAGAAGGACGCCAAGGACCCGGGGTATGCAAGTCATGTCTTGGGGGGCGGGGTAATATCCGGGCTCAAAGAAGGGCTAAAGCAGACTGGCTCGCTTCTCCAAGAGCTGCAAGGAACTAGTTCGCCGGACTCTTGGCCCTGTGCGAACCCCCACCAACGTTCGGTATATTCGTATCCGCGCTCGTTCTATACCGATGCACCTCCGGGCTTGGCTTGCGGAGGGACAGGAGGACCATGGGCCATAAAATTGAAGGCGTGTCTACCAAGTACAGCTATTTCCGCACAAGGAAAAGAAAGTATCTTGCACAATGCTGGGGTCTGTATTCACAACTGGGGTGTTGCTGGCCTCGTTGTCCGTGGCCTCGCCGGTTGCCCGCGCGAATCCACCATTTCTGATCAACGTGGACGATGAGACCGCCATTATCGGGAATGATTTCTGGAATGTGACCATTGGTCGTCAGTATGGCACTAAGCTTTACTATAAGAATGTTGACCTGGTCGGGGACGCGTGGGGGCACTATGTTTCCTACAGTACAGTCACTCTCCTCTCCGATAACCCAGCCTTGGTATAGCGCTCAGTTTCACCCCTAACGTCCTCGCAGATGGAGCCCAGAGCGACCTAAATCTCACAAATGCTCGAATCCACAAGGTGACCGGCGACTACACCGACATTGTCTTCACAGCGAAGGAAGGAGAATTCCACTGGGTTCTGACGCCAACATTGACAGGCGCATATCAGTATTTCGTGAACACGGCTCTACCCACGCTCGGCGAGTTCCGCACACTCTGGCGGCTCGCAAACGACAGTTTCACCCATGGGTGGACAGACGAGCGAAATGAGGCATTGCCGCCTCTGTCGGACATTGCTAATGCCGCCAAGATCCAGGATGAAACCTGGCAGCAAGCCGATGGCACGTACATCACCAAGTATGACTTTGCAACCTTCTTGCCGGTTGTTGAAGGCGAGTCCGCTCTCTGGGGAGTCTACGGGCCGCTTGGTGGTCAAAAGTCGACTGGAGAACAAGTCGGCTCGTGGTATATCCATGGAGGCAAAGACTATCTCAATGGCAACCATTTGAAGCAGGAGTTGTTGGTGCACCGCGAGAGTCAGACCGGCGATGCGGTGCAGCTGAATATGATCCATGGAACGCACTATCAGGCTGTCAGCAGTGACTCGTTCCCTGAGGGTAAAACTTGGGGTCCGTGGTTGTGGTATTTGGTAAGTTGCGCCAGCAGCAACGCTCCTCACCAGGCAAATTGGACATATCTGACCATGATAACAGAATGACGGGTCCGTCGACGATGCAGCAGCCCGCGCGAAAGCGGAAATTGCGGCTTGGCCGTACGAGTGGATGCAAGACAGCAATGGCTACCATTCCCGCGGGAGTGTTCGAGGCCATCTCGTGCTCTCAAACGGACAGCCCGCTAGTGGCGCGGCGGTTTTCTTGGGGGACAACAACTCCCAGACTCGCTCGCTGGACCAAGGAGCCTGGTACTATCACCGGACGTATGCAGACGAGAACGGGTATTTCACCATTGAAAACGTTCGCGAAGGCACTTGGGGCCTGCGTGCGTTTGCCAATGGGGGTGATGCGGTAGGCAGAGTGACCACTGAGCTGGAAAAGAATGACATCGCCGTCCACAGTGGTGAGGCCCTGTGGTTAGGGGACGTGACTTGGTCTCCGCAAGGTCGCGAAGTCATCTGGCAGATCGGAGAAGTTGATCGCACAGCTGCCGGCTTTGCCTATAGCGGCGCACCGCACGAGTTTGCCCGTGGTTTGAACTGCCCGGCCAACCTCACCTTCAATGTCGGAAAGAGCGAGACCAAAGACTGGTGCTTCGAGCAATCCTCACTCGGTACGTGGACGGTCGAGTTTAATCTCCCTGCCAACTCGACCCATGGACGATCAGCGATACTGTCTGTTGCCCTGGCTGGGTTCAGCGCCGGGAGCTCAGCTACAGTTTTGATGAACGGTGTCTCCATCGGGACTATCAGCTCGAGTGTTCTTGCCAGCGACCCCAGTAGCTATCGTTGTGGCACGTTGGCGGGTGAATGGCATCTCCTGGAGTTTCCAGTTGCGGCAGATGCGCTTCTGAATGGGACCAATTCCGTTGAATTTCAAGTCACCAAGTCGACCAAATTCCGCGGGTGGATCTACGACAGCTTAATTCTAGAGTGGGCCTGATTGCGAAGATGTTGAAGTGACTGCACCTCCACCATGTATAGATCCGGAGACCTTGTTCGATTTCACAATGCCAATCTATTTCTTTTGTCTTCGCATTTAAATGAACTTATCGCCCATCAAGAGCCTCTTGACTATGTATAAAGACATTCATACATGATATAGAAGATTTGCTCAGTTATTGACACCCATCTATTGATCCAAGGTGACTCTGACAACGCCTGTCAATTCATTACTCGGCGAAGTCGCCCAGGGCCGAGCTTTCAAAAGGCGACGTAGGTGAAAAGTTTTCACACGGATTGAAAGCATAACTCTTATCGACGAGAAAATTACTTTCTGAGATAGGTCAACGCTGCAATGCAAAGCGCGTCGACACCCGTCTTCATCGTCGGTTGAATCGCCGGGGCGAACAGGGCTGAATGATTGCCAGCAATCTCGTGGAGGCGATCGTTGGTTTCAGCTTCATCCCACACATCTGGATCGATACCACCAAAGAACCAGAATGAACATGGACGGCCTTGACTAGTGCCAAGGATCGAGAAATCCTCACTGACATTCGTTCGCGGCGTATCGGCGTCGAAGCTGTCTGCAAAGTGTTCCCCGAAGGAAGCCGCCAGCTCAGCCGTCACTTGCTTATCATTGATGGTAGGGGGAAACTGTCTGGTCGGGGTGAACACCGGTGGCCGAGGCGAGCCACTGGCCATGCACTCGGCCTCCACGATACGCTTGATCGCAGCGAGGATCTTCCCTCGCGTCTCCAAGCTGACCGATCGGAAATCCACGCCCAGTTCTGCCGTGTCCGGGATGACATTCTCCGCCTGGCCCGCCTGCAAGCTCCCGACAGTCACGACCGCCAGATCGCTCGGATCGATCTCCCGACTCACAATCCCCTGCAACCTCACCACCACATTAGCTGCCAGCAGCACGGGATCCACCGTCTGATGCGGCAGAGACCCGTGCCCTCCGCGCCCGTAGAGCGTGATCTTCAAACTATCCGCCGCAGCCATGATGGTGCCGGGCCGGGAGCCCACACTCCCAGCGCGCATCCGCATCACATGCTGTCCGAACACAAAATCCGGAACGGGGATCCTGTCGTACAAGCCATCGTCAACCATGGCGCGGGCACCCTCCCCGCGCTCCTCGTCGGGCTGGAACACGACAATCAACGTGCCCGTCCACTCGGATCGGATCCGGTACAGCTGCTCGGCCGCGGCCAGCAGACACGTAATGTGCATGTCGTGGCCGCAGGCGTGCATGGCCGGCTTCTCCACTCCAGCGGCGTCCTGCATCCTGATGGTGCTGGCGTAGGGCAGGTCAGTGATCTCTTTGACGGGGAGGGCGTCCATGTCCGCCCGCAGAAGGACGGTCTTGCCTGGCCCGTTGCGTAGGACGCCGGCGAATCCATGGCCCCCGATTTGGGTGTGGATCTCGTAGGCGTTCCATTGGCCGAGGTGCGCGGCTGCTGTTTCTGAGGTGGCCTTTTCTCGTTTGGAGAGTTCTGGGTGTGCGTGGAAATGTTTGTACAGGGATTCGTACGGGGTTAGGTCTAGAGGATTGGTGGAGAGAATCTCCGATGGGCTTTGGCGCGTCATCTTTGTATTCGCCTTGAGTACTTCTATAAGGGCTTGGAGACGTGAGAGCAAGTGAAATTGATTGAGGACGATAGAGTTGTTGTCAGAATTGAGGCGGTGCGGAACTTGGATGATGGACTCTCATAGGCGACTCATGAGCATAAGCTAAGGAAAGTAACCAAAACGGGATTAGCATGGTATAGTTGAGTTTGTTAAGGGTGTAAGTTTATAAACCTATCTCGAGACTGGCAAGATACTGATCATTTCCGGCGCACTTTGAGTATGCGCAGTTTAATCTTGGGTACACCGACTAGTGCTTATAACCCATCGTCTAAGCGGACGAGAGAGGGAAAAGAAGTGACGAGTGAGTTGGACTTTTCGCGAGGGTTTCCCAATAAGGAAAGCCGCTCGGCCTCCGGCTACGGCCGCCAATCGCAAACAATCACTACAAACAAAAAAAAAACAGTTGCCTACTCAGCTTTCTTTCAACATCATCGTCATCATCACCATCATTACATCCATACTTTCTCACACATATAAGAGATCAATGGATCCATTGATTTCTGGGACCAAGATGTTTATCAAGGACATCCTTATGAATACGCAGTCTGTACCATGCTTTTTACATCGTCTCTCCTGCTCGGAACCTTGGGCTTGTTGTGCCTGGCAGGCCCTCTGCCACCGAGAAGCATTGCTCCCACCGTTCACCTTCAAGACACCGACATCTGGTTTACTGGAATCGCCACCAGCAAGATTGAATCTTTCCTCAACATTCGTTTCGGTGAGGACACAAGTGGCAACAACCGCTTTGCCCCTCCGAAATCGTATGCCTACCCGGCCGGCTCGATAGTGAACGCCACTCAAGCTGGCACAGCTTGTCCACAGCGGAAAGTCCCTCTGGCGGATTTCCCTGTCTTTGACAACCTCACCAATATATCCGAAGACTGTTTGACTTTGCGGATAGAACGGCCAATTAACACGTCAGCCTCCGACCGACTACCGGTGCTGGTCTTTATCTACGGAGGCGGCGATACAATTGGGCAAATCTACGATTCCGCCTATGAACCTTCACTTTTGGTAGCCGGCGCTGCTCAGCGTGGTCTCCCAATTGTTTATGTAGCCATGAACTACCGTCTGGGCGTCTTCGGGTTTGCCTCGTCACCAGCTTTGAATGAGTCTGATTCACTGAATGTCGGCCTGCTTGACCAGCGATTGGCTCTGTGGTGGATTCAGGACCACATTGAGGCTTTTGGTGGAGACCCTGATCGGGTCACCATCTTTGGCGAAAGTGACGGCGCGACGGGAGTGGGCCTGCAGCTGACAGCCTATGGAGGACAGGAGTCCAAGGTGCCTTTCCGCAGAGCCATCATGCAATCAGGCGGTGCCTCTGCAGATCCAGGCACAGCCACGACTATATCAGCTCAACATACTGCTGAATTGATTGAAATGGTTAATTGCACCTCTCATGGTGGTTCTGCTCTCAGTAAAAGCAGGGAGGAGCTTCAATGCCTGCGTCAGCTTGCCCTGCCAACCCTTTTGAGCACAGCGAATGACTACGAACTCACTTTCGACGGGGGGCTTGATGTGTTTTTTCCGACATCACCGTCGACCTTTGTTCCAGACAGTCCGTCGACACTGCTTAAAACCGGTCACTTCGCCCGTGGCATCGACATCATTTCCGGCTGGTGCGAGAATGACGCATCTCTATTCACGCCTACGAGGATTGCCTCCTCGAGTGATGTTTCTGAGTATCTGCTTGGAGCCTATTCCGGCCTCTCAAATGCCACAATAAAGAAGGCTCTGGAACTCTACCCCGTTTCTCAATTCTCTAACGACACCTCCGCGAAGCCTCCTGTTTCGGCACAGTACTTCAGAGCTAGTCGAATGCAGCGCGACCTCGAGTACACTTGTGTGAGCTTGTTGACAGCAGAGGCCAATGCTCGGTACGCCACCAGCAGCCATGTCTCGAACTACCTTTACGTCCTGAATCAAACCATATTCTCCGCATTCTTCGAGAAGAAGGGCGTGCCGTACTACGGCGTCTCTCACTTCAGTGACATTCCCTACATATTCAATTCGGCTTCTCATGGAGTATATGGCTCGGTGGCTACAGAGTCTGATCGCCAGCTTGCTTCGGCAATGGGCGCTAGCTGGGCTTCCTTTGCAACGTTTGGCGATCCGTCGCGTGGCAACGGCACCATCACCGGATGGTCCCGAGCCTTGCCGGCCGGGGCTGGGCTCGGGCCTTCCGCCCCGCAACTGCGGGTTCTGGGCGGGTCTACCCCGGGCAATCATTACAATGAGCAGTTGATGGAGCGTTGCGCTTTCTGGAACTCGCCCCACGTGCTGGCTGAAATAGGTGTTTAGCCTTCTTACTTATGAGCTATCTGCTTGGCCGAATCGTCTGAACTGTATTGGATTCTTTTTTTCTCATACAAATACTCAAAGTTGACATCCCCTCGTAGCAAAGCTGGGATGAGCTTTGTGAAGGCTGTATATGGTTCAACATCGGCATTTATCTACGTGGTTCTCCTGTATACTTGTATAATCAAAAACTTCCGACCAGATGATTCGATTCAGGGGTGAACTTGGTCAATTGGAGGTGACTTGTGGGTGGGTGGGTGTTTTTGTATGAGTTGCTCGTGTTGTCATCGCAAGGTTTGTTTTCTTTTCTACCTCTTCTTCTTTGCAGTTTCGTATCAAGGATACAGAGGGATGCTTAGACATAGATATCTCGCAACAGGATCAAGGCATGCGGGTCTCGACGCCTTTGTACACTTCACTCTAACTTACCTACTTCCTCTTCTCACAATCACCACTTTCCTTTCCCTCTTTTCCCAGTCTCTCATCCTTATCTCTCTCTCCCATCTTATCTCATTCTCAACTTCTTCCTATCCAAGCCAGCTACGAACTCTGTCATTTGATCAGAGCCGGAATGACGCGAGAATCCGGCTGAAGATCGGGATGATCTGGTGCGTTTGCAGACCGGGAAGCTGGCTGTCGCCTTCGAGGCGGCGGAGCTCGCTCATCGCCGCGAGCACAGCCTGACCGAGTCTTCCAAGAAGGCCAATGCTGTACGAATTCCCCATCGAATTTGCGAGGCGATCCAGCTAATCTAGCCAGCCAAACTTGATCCCCTATCGCGAGTTTGTTGCGTTTCGTCGGGCTCTCGCCGCCGGCTCGTCGATGATTCACTCACTGCCTGGTGATGAGGGCTATATTTTGTGGTTCAGGGCGAAATAAGTAGCTCTGAACCTGTCTACCATCAACGTGGCCAAGACGGCAGTCTTTCTGCTTCCCAGAGGAGAAGATAGCAAAACAGTTAATCCTCAACCGAAGCCAACAACAAGAGAAAGCAAGGAGAGCTTGGAATGGCCGAACAGCAAGAAGACTCAAGCGTCTTCTACTTCTCGCGACTATTCACAAACCCCTACAACGAACCGAGGTGGCACGATCCTCGGACGCGGGGGGACATCATTAAACCAAGCTAAGCCCATCATCCCGCTCGGGGGCTGCAAGCGAATTTGGTGGGCATGATGAGCCAGGCATTTGACTGCACACAATCTCACGGACTACAGGCCCTTGGGCGAGACGACTTCCGTTGCCTTATCACAAACCGCTCGTGGCCGGTAGAAGTCGCGAGAAGTCGCACATATATACCCTTTTTCGTCGCTCGGCAGAATCAAGGGAATACTTATCTAGTCAACTCTACTTGCGCTCACTATCGTTCCTCCTATTTGATGCTCTTTTCATATCGGGGTAAGCCTTAGACTAGCTCTGTAGCGGTGCTTTTTAGCTTTGTTACTCTGGATTGTACATAAAGAGGTGGCATTATGGTTTCATAAGCCTTGTGATAAATCACAAGCACCTTAACCAGCAGCACTTATTTTTACTAGGCTACCTGTATCTTTGTTTAGAATTTGTGTCTCGTTGACCGTCACTCCCGACTCCTTACCGTGGAAGCTGAGGTGGAGAGGAGACGAAATGCCTTCCCCCCCACCCCCACCCCAGGCCGGCATACACTATATTTGAATGAACTCATCAACGTCCTTCTCCACTCCGGAGGCATGCAAGTCTTCTTGCTGCCTGTTATGACCATCATCGGATCTAGGAAAGAGCCATGATGGTTGTAATGTTTTCATCACGGGAGGGGGGAGAATCGTAACGGTAGCGAGTCCCGATGAACGCTATTTGGGAGGTCTTCCCTCGTCATGAGGATGACAATTTGTCAACTTCTGATCCTTGCCAAGCAATATGCGCCTGACACCACGATCCCAAGATTTACTCACCATGCAGGAAAGGATAAACCATAGTATGCCAACACCACAAAAACGACCACGAGTAAACATTTTTATAGCCGCGTCGTTGCCATGCGTGAAAGTGAAATCATATAACTTGGTCGACCGCAACACCAGCACCTGATCCTGGAAACACGCTTCGATGACGCGAGCCTTGAAGCCTATAAGCGAGAAAAATCAAGACCTGTCCACCCACGTATCAGTTCAGTTCTCAAAACCCAGGATAGTCAAAACAGTGAGACAGGAACCGAAGACGGTAAGACATACTGGAGAAACCATCTGATGAGCGAATCGCTTCTTCCACAGCTGGTACAACATGATCCGCAGCCTCGGCAGCAACTCGCCGTAGAGGAGGGTCGATTCCTGGGCGACCATGTTGTTGTATAGCACGGCCTTGACATGCGCGTGGGCAGGCCCGTCCAGATTCGTGATGTTCCAGCATCCGAACTCGGGCTGGTCGAGCCTGTCTAAGCCTCGGAATGGGTAGTCGCCCACGCTGTGATGCAATGTGTCAGTGGGCAGATACAGGGGGCTGGTGGGATTGACTTACCACGCGCGCGTCCAAGGGGCTCTCTCCCCTTTAACGAACACTTGACAGTGGTTTAGTTAGCGATCGAAAAACATGTTCATCGCGTATGCACGATCTCTTGGGCAGGTGAAGCACGCTTCGTAGTCATCCATGCCGTTGTAGGAGTCTCCGAGAGTTTCTTCGTTGAGTTCTGGGAGTAGATGGCCGTGGTAGGGAGCAAAATAGCATGGTTTGTGAAGGGCATCTTCATCGAGGCCGATGGGCACGACTCGGATATTGAGACGCGTCAAGTGTTCCGGGGCGAATTCATCTACTCCGAAGTTCTTGATTGCCAGGTTTAGAAGTCTTATCGCTTCGCGGAGCTTGTGACGTGAAGGGCCCTCCTGAGGCTTTGTCATGGTGGATCTGATCTATCTTAAACACAGATTGAGTCTCTGAGCTTGTATATAACTAAGTGATGGAGTGACTGACTTTCACAAGGGTTACAGATACGGCAGTGGCTTGGCGGTGGCTTGGGTGTCAGCCACCGTTCATGCATCTTGCTTGCGACCAGGAGGTCTCAAGACTCAGCATACTTCAGAATTAAAGCAGAATCAGAATCAGACAAGATCAAATCTCTCAAATTCAAGGTTATAGTAACGCTTCTATTTTCTGCTTCATCAAAAGATCTACCTTCAGGCAAGGTCAAACCATCTTGTCATAGCGCTTAGCTTGCCTAGCAAGAGCGCAAACCGTTGGATTCGCAAACAAATCCGCCACGGTGAAGTCCAAACCACGCGCTCGAGCCCGAGCCACCAAACCCATAGCCAGAATGGAATCACCACCCAAGTCGAAGAAGTCGTGATCAACCCCAAATTCCGCAGATTCAATCTTGAGAGTATCCGCAAAGGCCCGATGCAACACCTGCTCGACGAGGCCGGACGGATCCCGCCTGTCGACGGTGTTCGCATCAAGATACTCCTCTCTAGGCAACTCTGCGGCCAGGGTACGGAGCAGCCCGCGGTCCAGCTTGCGGGATCTGCTCAGAGGGAACGAGTTTACACAGACAAATGCGGACGGGATCATGTATGCCGGCAAAGAGGTGCGTAGGGTGGTCAATGCCGTTGTGATCTGCGCTTGCAGGGATCGATCTGACACTCGGAACATTTGCTCCCGCGGACGGAGGAATGCCATCAGGATAGGTTTTCTCTGGTTGCTCTTGCTGTCATTTGAAATGACAACCTCTGCCACGGCCTCGGCGACGTTGGGAAAGCTGCGGCGCAGGTGATACTCGACTTCCCCCAGCTCGATACGCTGCCCGCGAAGCTTGATTTGTGTGTCTTTGCGTCCGACAAATCGCAGTGTACCGTCTGTAGTATATTGAACCAGATCGCCGGTGCGATAGAGACGCGAGCGAGAGGTCTCTGTATCCCGGAATCCGCGCAACCACGCTGGGTGCGCATCTGGAGCAATGAAGGAGGCGGCGGTCTTGGCAGTGTTGTTTAAATACCCATAGCCCACAATAGGGCTTTCCACGACGAGCTCCCCGACTGTTCCGATGGGTCTCAGCTTCTGGTCGTCCTGCGTGTCTACTATCCAGCACACTGCGCTGGTTGGTAGTCCGACGTTATTCGGGTCCTTTGGATTATGGACATTTTGATTGAGTGTAGTGAGAATGGCACACTCTGCAGGGCCATACAGGTTGAGCAGGTGGACTGCTGGTGACCACGTGGAGATATCTTCGGGCGCAACCGGTTCCCCTGCCAAAACCAGCGTCTTCAACGTGGGAACCTTTTGAGGTTGAATTGTGCGCGCCACAGATGGTGTCAAGCATGCCCAGTTAGCCTTCAAGCTACTCATGATGTGCGCAAGATCACCCTCCCTGTCTTTTGCTGAGGGAATACAGACACAGCCGCCGGCTACAAATGTCAGTAGGTAATCTGCAATGCTGATATCGAAAGCATACGCTGCAAACTGGAAGACTCGAGAGGTAGTGTTCAATGACAACGCAATGCTATTGGCTTTGGCGCTGGTACACCACGACTGATGTGAGATAATAGCACCTTTCGGCTTCCCCGTCGAGCCGGAGGTGAAGACTGCATAGAGTGCCGACTCGGAGTTGACCTCGTTCTTGAGAGCGGTGGTGACGATCTTGCTCTCCGGCCATGCGCAGTGAGATTCGCCTAAGACGACAAAGGCTTCCGCGATCTGAGATGCACGGGACGCGTTCTGCTCTGATGCGATGATGAACGGTGCCTCTGCATCATCGCATATCCCATGCAACCTCTGTGCCGGGTGAGAGTCATCCAAGAGAATGAACGCTCCTCCAGCCTTTATCACTGCCAGCATTGCGACAGCAATCCAGCGTGACTTTTCGAAGTATAGAGGAATGAAAACACCAGGTCCCACGCCTTTTTCTTGAAGGAAACGAGCCATATCAGATGAAATCCGATCCAACTCTCCGTATGTGAAATTGCCATCCCAGGCGCATACAGCGGGAGCATCAGGCTGAGTGAGGCTTTGCTTTTGAATCCACTTATGAGCACAAGTCTCAACTTTCTCGGGGAGATTCCAATTCCACTGTTCCAGCTGCGACCGGTCCTCTGGACTGATTGTGTCCAACTCGCGTAGACGAGTCTCCTCAGATGCAGTATGCAACGTTTGCACGATATGTCGGAGTTGCTTAAGCATTCGATCCATTTGCATGCGACATACAACATGCGGATCAAATGTCGCCTCGATGTCTATCGTACCTGATCTTTGCTGGCAGATCAAAGTGATTGCGTAGGAGCTGAACGCGCCAATCTCAGATTGGTCTTCCTTGTCGGAAAACATCCATTCCTTGTCGCTTGCTTCCGGTTGAATGACAATATGACTCTGAAAATTGCAAGCTTTGGTGGGACCCTCGCCAAGGCGTCGGAGGTTCTGGAGACCTACTTGCTCATAAGGATTTGCAGATATGTAGAATCTTCGCAGCTGCTGAAGACTCTCTTTCACGGTCATTTCTGGATGAAGGTCCAACCTCAAGGGAATGGTGGCAATGGTTGGGCCAGTCATATCCTCGACTCCGAGCACGGGAGCACCACGGCCGCTAACAGTGAGACCGAAGACCACATCAGAGGTCTCTGTGTAGAGTGAAAGAAGCATAGCCCAAGCTAGCTCTAATTTGTCGGCAAGTGTATAATCACTTTGGGCTCTCAGGCGTAAGGGAATCACAATCGGACTCATCACTGTAGCCTTTGGGATGTAAGTCGGGGTGGGTAGGGAAGGGAAACTGGCACTCTTCAAATCAGTGAGGCAGCCTTTCCAATATGCCTCCCGCTCGGCAGTAGTGCGCTCGATATACTCTATGAAAGGACTGAATGGCCTCTTCTCCAACTTTTTCCCCTTATACGCAGCTTCGAGCTCACGAAGGAGTACGGGAAGGCCCCAGCCATCCGACAGAGCGTGGTGGACAATCAGCGTGAAGGTTCGTAGCTGGAAAGCATCTCCTTGCTCATGAATAATTGCACGAATCCAGGGTTGCCCCAACTTGCAAGCTAGTGAACGGTTCACTGTCTCCATTCCTTCATCATTAAGCGGGCTCATCTCCAGCGTGGTCGCTCTACGCATCACAGCCTGGTAGATATTACCATTGTGGGCTTGTACAAACCGAGTCCGCAGTATTGGGTGAGCGTCGACTAGATCATTCCACGCAAGTTTGAACCGATGAGCATTCACTTGAGTAGATAGTTTGTACCGGAACACGCCCGTATATGAGCCTGGCCTTTTGGCTGCAAGAGAGATCAGTCCTGCTTGAAGTGGTGTGCAAGGATACACGTCCTCGACTTCCGTCTCGTGGTCAAGCCCGCATTGCTGCATGGTAAGGTCGATTATTTGCGTGCGGACTTCTTGAGTCGGAATTAGAGAGAATGGTTGCACCGCGGCACTTTCCGGGGCGACACGGACTCCACTTATCATATCGTTAAGGGCTGGATGGGCATATAAATCCGCTATGTCCAGTCTTAACCCCTCCTTCCTCGCCAGACCGGCCAGCTTCATGGCTGCTACTGACGTCCCGCCGAGGCTGAAGAAATTATCTTGAAGTCCAATGTCGTCCATTCTGACATCCAAAACTCTGGACCACAAAAACTGGAGCTTCCGCTCAATTGGGCTGCAAGGCTTGCTCTTTGCCGCGGCAGAGCTTCCACTATACCTGCGGAGATCATGCCGGTTTAATGCTGCGGCCAAACTGCGGAGCGTCTGCCGATCACTCTTCCCGTTGTTCGTGAGAGGCATCGAGACCAAAGGTAGATATGCCCTAGGAACCATGTATTGGGGAAGCGATTCCGATAACTTCACTTGGAGCATCTTCGCCTTGGCGTTGAGGTCCGCCGTTGGTTCCTCGAGCCAATTGCTCTGCGGTACGTGCGCTGCGGTAGGATCTGATTTCAGGACAAGAAAGGCAATCAAGATCGAGGCTGATGGTTCATCCGCGAGTTGAATCATGTCTACAACAACGTCCTTGATGTCCTGAACAACCAACCGAATGCGGTGCTCGACCTCTCCAGTGTCTAGACGCTGGCCATGGAATTTAATCTGCGTGTCCTTCCTGCCAACGTAACGGATAGAATTTCTTGCAGCGTCGAAAATGACTAGATCGCCTGTCTTGTACATTCGATCTCCCTGAGATCTCAAGCGTCGGTGCCATAAAGGAGGACCAATAAATACTTCAGCCGTACGTTTCGGGTCGTTCAAATAGCCGCGAGCAACCAAGGCTCCCTCTAATAGTAGTTCCCCAAGCTCTCCGGGAGGACTCAGTCTGTCATGGTTGGCAGGATCAATGACCCAGCAGTTGACTCCGACTCCTCGTCCCAGGTTTGCTGGGTCAAACTGTACTCCTGTCTGTAGACTCGTAGCCATGCATCCAATGGTACATTCAGTGGGACCGTATCCGCTGATACACTGCATATGGGACATCCACTTTTCAATGTCGCCTTCTCGTAGGGCCTCGCCCCCAATGACCAATGTTTGCAAGGTGCATAAGTCCTCAGGCTCCAGCACTCGCGTGAGCGAGGGGGTCAAGAATGACCATGTGCACTTTAACCGCCGACAAGCCTCTGCCAGGTTATCTTTCCGCTCCGTCTCCGAAGGTATGCACACGCACCCGCCCATGACCAATGGCGCGAAAATATCCAGCAGTGACGCATCAAAGGCATGAGAAGCAAACTGAAACACACGAGTTCTCTCGTGAATATTCAACGCAGCACTATTGACGACCACACTGGTTGAAAGAGACCTATGCTCTATGACAACTGCTTTAGGTATGCCAGAAGTGCCCGACGTGAAGACCGCATAGGCGGTATTTGTGCAGGGGACCTTTAGGGATGGGCCCAGCGTCGTTGGTTTCCTCCAGGCAGAATCATTATCGTCATCATCAACCACAACCATCGCCCCCTGAAAACTGAGCTTTTTCGCTGTGGCCTTGGTGGCGATGATCACCTTGGCTTCAACTGCTCGAATGGTCTCCCCAAGACGTCGGATGGGGTGGGAAGGATCCAAGGGTACAAATGCAGCTCCAGCCTTTAGCACACCCAGAAGTGCTAGCGGATACCAGCGCGACTTCTCTGAGCACACAGGAACAAATCCTTCGACTGAAACTCCTAGATTTCTCAAATGAGAAGCCAGGCAGGATGAAAGATGATCGAGAGTGGAATATGTAAATTGCCCATTCCAGGCGGCGACCGCTTCGCGCTCTGGGTGTGTCACGGCCTGTTGGTGGAACAGATCATGAATGCAAATGTCGACGGAAGGCTGCGTCTTGGGATTGAAGGCATCCACTTGTTGTAACTGCTTCTGGTCGAGATGATTATCGCACACAAATTCTGACGATTCGCGGTTCTTGTCGATGGATTTGACGGGCCCGTACAAGTGTTGATTAGTCCCGTCTTTAGAGTTGTCGCTTCTGGTCATATTTTCTAAGTTCGATGATATACCATATAATGTATAGTATAGCGCAAGTGACGAAGTCAGACGGAGTTGAATGCACAGATAGCTCTCGAACCACAAAGCGCAGGATAGAACACGTGCAGGTTATCGTTTGCAGTGTTTCCGTTCAAGTGGCTGTTGAAGAGAAACAGGTATTGGATTGTTCTATGGTAAATTGAAAAGGTCATGGAGAAAAGAGAGAAGAAAAGGAAGAACGATGGATGTGAAAGGCTATCAGCGGCCGCCTTATCGCGTCGCTCGGGGTTTGGATGCCCTCACACCACAGCTATGTCCATGTCTCTCTTTGATCAGCTGATTCGGATTCATACCGCACAGTCGTAAATGTCATGGTCCTTGCAGAGAAAACATGTTTGAAATCAGGACATCCAGAGATTATCATTATTTCTTTCCAAGGCAGGCAGAACTTCTCAGAAGATCTGTTTCCTTTTCCAGGCATGCAGAAACAAACACGTCTTCTGACTTTCCCATATAGTTTCTGCAGCTGTAACGCACCTAAAGAAGTAAGAGTCGCAACGTACAACAGCCCATGAGGGGGTTTCCCTTCTTATGCAGATCATGATGTTGACCCACTCTAGCTATTGCGCCTCCTTCGCGCAGGTGAACGATGTCTTATCCTGACCCCCCTGCCAGGTATGCAACGAATGATCACGTATCGTGATAAGTGCTTTGCATGTTTCGAAGTCTGGCAGAGTTGCCAATCCAGTTTTGACCCACCCAAGCCTGCATAACCTGCTTAGGGGGTTGCACCGCTGGCATGCAAAGTACGTCAAGTTCAACCTTGATACCATTCAACAGGGGCTGCAATTTAGTAATGGCTGTGGCTAATCACCATTAATTAAGATGAGTCTATGACTGAGAGTCAGTATATACATAGGATTGAACCATCTTTGTGTTGATTTCCGACGAGGTATAACTCCTGCCTATTATCTGTCCTTGACCCGCACGGGGCAGAAAGTTTTTTATAGCAACCTGATCTAGCTTCGCCTTACTCTCTCTGGTTGCGGTCGTTTGTTCCGGTCAAAATGAGCACGATTTGTGCAGTCACTCAGTCTTCTTCGGCGCTACTGCTTGATCCGCGGCACCTTAGGGGTCCAGTCATAAGGGACATTCGAAAGTCTGTCGAGCTTCTCGATCTGAGATCATGCGTTCTATCGGGTCTATCGCAGCCGCGCAAAGCAATTCCCTCGTTACTTCTATGGGATGAGCAGGGACTAGAGAACTTCAATGAGTGGACCAGGTGTCCCCATTACTATCCCAAGTCGAAGGAAATAGAGATCCTCGAGACTTGCAACGACAAGATTGCTGCTGCCATGCCTCACAAATCGTCAATAGTGGAGCTGGGTTGTGGGTACGTGGCACTCTTTCGGAACCAGAACTTGATGACCGTGTCCCTTTTCTAACTCTAAACTCGCAGGAACCTGCACAAGACTTCTGTTATTCTCTCTGCCCTCGCCAAGCAAAAAAAAGAAGTTCATTACTATGCCTTGGACGTCTCGCAATCAGCGTTGCTCAACAACCTGCAGGCTTTGCAAGAAGAATTCAAGTGCTTCCCCAAAATTAGTATCTCTGGTCTGCTCGGAACATACGACGACTGCGTGGACTGGATCTCCAACAACGACGCCACTCTCCACGCCCTCCCTGTCACTTTCCTCTGGGTCGGAAATAGTGTAGCGAACCTCTCCAAGAGCGAGGCCAGCAATCTCATGGCCGGTTTTCGTCAGGCGTGCAGCGTAGCGAGGATTGACTGTCGCTTTCTAGTCTCCGCGGACGCTTGCGCCGACGAGGGCAAACTAACCAAGGCCTACAACCCTGAATCCGGGTCATCACGCACCTTCCTGCGCCATGGCCTCAACCACGTCAACAGGCTATTCAATACGGACTTGTTCGATGGAGCAACCTGGAATTGCACCGTCGAGTACGACCGGGAAGAGAACGAAGTCCTAGCCTTCTACTTCCCGGTGATCGATGTCACGTTCCCAATTGACGACACAGGCTCGGTAACTGTGCATCAAGGGGAGCATATCTTCTTCTTCCGCAGCGGGAAGTGGAATCAAGAACAGATGGGGACCGTTGCACGGCAGAGCGGATTTCAGGTTTCGCGGGTGTGGAGAGACTTGGATGAGGAGTATGGTAAGTTTGAGCGAAAAGGTAGAAGCTCATTGTCAAGCAGGTACTAACTTGTTCCAGGGTTCTATTTCCTGACTCCGTAGTGTCTCCTTCTCAACACGGCCTTTTGCTTTTTCCATAGCTTGATAGGTAATGCAATTTACATGATCGTGTCCAGAGAACAAACTTGTAGCCACCAAACTTATCCTGCACTTTCATCAAGACGACTTGACTTTAGACCGAATATTCTAGGCCCAATATTATCCCCAATATGTCCAAGGATGAGGTGTTGTACATTGTACCTCTTTCCACCACACGAAGACGGGTTCACATAAGCCTCAACCACAATCAGCTTTTACCCCCACGGAATCGCTGACTGACTGACACAAACCCCTTGCATATATCCTCACCACAGCAAAGTGCCCTTTCTTCATGGCAGGGCAGTGCTCGTAACACAGCTTGCTTTAAGTCACTTTTAAACGTCATCCCAAACCTTATCCAAGAACCTAAACCCAGACAAGAAACGGACCAGGGGAAACCGGTAAGGTAAGTTGGTCTCGTAATGAACCTTGAACATCCCTGGCACTCTTTCCAGGGAAAAACTCGCCGAAGGTATGAATGGACAAAAGCAGCAGGAGAAGCACAAGAAAAAAAAAAGAAATGAAGCCGGCAATTGAACACCACGAACCGGGAACTGCAGAGCTAAATCCTGTAGATTGAAGTACAACATACAAATCTGCCTTGATCTGACGGATGCCATTATCATTCCTTGCGTGTAACACACACGTCAGGCGGCTGGTCGAGCATGTTTGAGGCTCCTTCCAGAAGTAAAAAGGGGCAATCAGGCAACCGGTCCACGGGTGACTTGCTATTCGCCCGGTTATATACGCCGAGAACTCGAAGTATGTGTCTGTCGTGCTTTTTCACTGATTACTTCTGGTTCGTACCACTTGACGACTGTTATACTACATCATATGTCAAGATTTCGAAGGCATTTCATTCCCGTAACTCAAAGATTAAGGATAAATCAAGATATGACGAGTAATAAACTTGAAGAAGTATGCCGATCATTCTCATCCGTGCAGCAAATGTATGAAGACCAAGGTATCCTCATTGAAGACGAGACGCCGCGTCCGTCTCATCTCGACTATTCTTAAGGAACGAAATCATCTCCGTCCCACCAGTTCCAATCAGGTCTGTGCATCCCAAGCTGCAACGCCGCGCCTTGTGTCTCATCGCAGGAATGATCACGTAGCGTGACACAATAGACAAATGCGTATCCCTAAGCGCCCTGAGCTCCAGCACCGCAATTTGGTAGAGCTTCTGCACTTCCGAGTCGGGTGGTTGGCTCAGAACAAAGGCCCGGATGGTGCACCTCTCTTCCATGAGTTCCAAGAATCGTCTGTGGGGTCCAGGCATATAGTGCCGCATCTCCTGGAGATATCCCATCTTGGACTCTCCGACCGCGGCGCCGTTCGCGGAAGCCTCGTGTTGAACTCCTAGAATAACATCGAATAACTGGATGGTGGAGCTCTGGGCGTTGCTTGCGCCCGAGTATGCGTGCCATTGTCCCTCAGTGGGCACTTCGCCGTGAACGTAGAACACCCCGTTTGGGAAGCCAGTTGAGGTCACATTGCGGCTGCCGCAGAGCATTGGCCGCACTTCATCGTAGAAGACCCACGGTTCACACCGCTCGGATATACGCTCGAGAGTGCGGCGGATCTCCTCCAGGCTCGCACTGACCTCTTGCAGGAATTGCTCCAGCTGCGATACATTATTTAACTGCACCGCACGGAGGGCCGTCAAGAGCGAGAAGATGATTGGTCCTCCGCGAGCCTCAATAGCGTTGGAGATGCTGAAGAACCAGGACTCATCTTGAGTGTTGCTCAATGACGAGATTGTGGGCAGATTTTCTGGTTGTGTAATACTAATCTCGCCCGGCTCGTCATCTGACCTCTGAACGGAGAAGTTCCAAAGGCAAAACGCAGCAAAGGTGGCACACGGCTTGAGTTCAAGATGTTGGGCAACGTCCAGCAGGGGACGTACAATAGAGGGCGGGAGAGTCTATACACTATCAGTCAGCTACGTCGTCCTCTTTTTATCCTTCAGCACTCAACACTTACATTTCTGACAATTCCCCTTTCCCATATATATGCCTGTGCTAGGAAGGACAGTATCACATAGGCTCTCCGCCACATGGGCTCGGAACTTAGCCTCTTTGTTGACAGAACCGGCAGTCTGTCAATTTCTTCTCGAGCAAGGCCCTCCACGAGAAGTCGTGGGAGATCTGAAAGTAGACATTCCCATGGATCGTAGTATGAGTCATTGAGCCTTGCGACGGGCGGTTCTTCGGGCAAGAAACCGCACTTGGTGGATATCTGGTAGGCAGCGAGATCTATATCGAGAGGCTGTAGCATGGTAGACAAACAGATAATTTTCTTGCTCGATAGTTCGGTTTAGCTTTAGCTCAAGATTGCCATGGTTAGGATAGCTGATAGCTATGATTTTATAATGTCGTCAACTAACTACTGCAAACCATCTACATCACTGGTGGCACGATGACATTCAATAAGCTTCGGCTTCCCTGATGTTTTCTTGAACGAACAATCATAGAAGGAAGTAATTCCAAGGACAATTAGTTCGGGATAAGGTTCACGGGCTCAGACCATTCTTTCACAAGTCGTCCGGCATACATAGACTAGACTCAAGAATGCTTGCATGGTGGACGTCCTCCATGCATTCTCCTTGCCTGGCGGTCATTTCCGGAGACATTCCCCGTCTCGCACACCAAAAATCAAGATGATGTACATCATCAGCTGAGCCAGCATAACGAGAGCAAGATTGACGATAATTTTCTCGCCTAATATCTTTAAAGCAGCGGCTTGTACACCATCTCAAGTCCGCTCCAGTTATTTCTGCTCTCATTCTAGCTGGAGATCAGCTTCGCCTCGACGATGGTGCTGCTGTATTGCGCGACAATAGCCTTCATAGGTGCTGTGCTTATCTTGCTCCAGCTCAAGAATAAGAAGAGGACAAGCCCTAAGCTTCCCCCCGGCCCGCCCGGCCTGCCACTCATAGGAAACCTTCTTCAGTTCCCTTCCAGCCTGACCAGATTCACATTTGACAAATGGCACAAACTATACGGACCATTCGTGGGTCTGTCCCTAGGGACAAAGCACGTCATTATAATCGGGAGCGCCTCGATCGCCAGCGAGTTATTCGGAAAAAGAGGTCGTATCTACAGTTCTCGACCTCGAATGGTCATGGCTCTAGAAAACTTGACGCACAAAATGCACACGGTATTCCTGCCATATGGGCCGCAATGGCGAGCTCATAATCGCATTCATAGAACCATTCTCGCTCCGAGCAAAGCCCAACATTTTCACGAGCTCCTTGAAGCAGAAACAAAGCTGACTCTGCATGAGTTGCTACATGCGGAAGACTGGGACGGAAGCATTGTACGCTTCACGTCAAGTGTTGTGTATAGTCTTGCGTATGGGCAACGCCTCCAAGGAGACGAGAAAGAAGTCCGAGAAATGTCTGAATTTGTCGAGGAAACGATGCGTGCAATCTCCGGGACTTGGATGGTAGATATATTCCCCTGGATTAATCTACTTCCCAGCTTCCTCAACCCATGGAAAAGATTTGGGGATCGCTGTCATCAACAGGCCATGCGTATATTTGCAGAGAGCACCAAGCGTGCTATGCACACCCCGGGGTGGAATTTCACCAAGCATGTCCTGACTACAGAGCAGACTGGCGAGCTCAGCAGCGAGGAACTGCTTTATATAGTCGGGGTGCTTTTCCAGGCCGGTATCGACTCCACCTCTACAACCTTCCGGTATTGCATCCTGGCGTCCATCCTGCATCGTGACAAAGTGGTGAAAGTCCAGCAGGAACTAGACGCCATTGTGGGAAACACCCGACCTCCAAATCTGGAGGATATTGCTGCGCTGCCTTATACGAGAGCGTTCATCAACGAGGTTCTCCGCTGGCGACCTATCACAATTGGGTCATTAGCGCACTGTAGCTCTGAGCACGACACGTTCATGGGTTACGATATACCTAAAGGTTCGGTGGTCATACTCAACCACTGGTCTGCCGCCTTAAGCACTGAGACCTACGGGCCGGACGCCGCCTGCTTCCGCCCGGAACGTTGGATTGAAGATCCTGATCTTCCGCTCCTGGCGTTTGGCTGCGGGCGTCGAGCCTGTTCGGGTCAATATCTCGCCAAGAAGGAGCTTGAGATCTTGATTCCTAACATCTTGTGGGCCTTCAACATCGAAGCCGGCTGTGTAGATGGGATCCAGGCGAGCCTAGATCCTTGGGATCTTCAGGAAATCGGTGGACTTCTTCGACCGCCCCCGTTTCCGGCTAGGTTTACTCCTCGTGATGACGAGCGACGGGCCATCATTGAGCGCGACTTCAAATCCGTTGATTCGGCGGGTCTAGAGGACATTCTGAATCGGATCCAGATATCTGTAGGTGGTGGTTTGAATGGGGTGTTCTGTGAGATTTGATAGTGATATATAGTAAGCGACCTGAAAATTTTTGCCTAGCGCTGGCATGGAAACGAAGGTGCTCGCTTATGGGCACATGCTTGGACAAGCTTTCCAATCAGGAAACATAATCACTTGCTTAAGTATGCAAAGGTTGTATCTTCTTCCTAAGATATCTAGAGAGCGTTACCAGGCTCTTATTCGCTCCATAGGTTTCTTTTTTTTTCTTTGGGTTGGCACGTGTTCCACAGAATTATCATCTTTGACTTGATTCCTAGATATTCCTAGAGACTCCCAGAACAAATCATGAACGACCACTTGAATCCGGGTAAAAATCCCGGTCCGGAAGCCAGGATTCGGAAGCATAATCCGCTGATACTGGACTGCATGTTTCAGAAACAAAAGTCCAACCATAGTTGGAAGACCAGTCGGAGGTTCGCCGAAGCTATGTGGCACTAGCGTCGGGGTTAGCCTTGAGCCCGTTCGGATCGCCGCGGATTACCCGGAGAACAATTCAACCGCCAGCCCTGCACATGCCTTTTGGCACGTTACCCATGAAAGCAAAGCAAGGTTGCTTGCATACAGAGGGGCGAAGTCGACTTCCTATACATGACTTGCATTCGGACAATGAGGTGGTCCATATTGCCGATTTCGCGTTTTGGGCATTTCCAATTGTCACTGGGTGGCGCGGAAAAAAAGGTTAATATCCCAACCTGACACAACCCGCGGCCGGAACCTGGCCGAATTCGCAATTTATAATTTTTCTCCTGGTGGCTTCGGAGCCTACCCACGGGATTACCGGTGAATCATGGTGCAAGCGATGGTATGTGGTATTATGCTAGTCTAGTCGTAAATCGTAAGAAGTGATTATGAAAATGCAACGCCGGAATCGGTCATCATACGTTTTCCCCCATCATCTCTTCGGCGTTCCGCACGAAGACCCGATCTGCCAGCCCGGGCACATCCTCGCATAAGCGCAGACACGATTCTGTGAATGGCTCAATGTCCGTGCCAGCGAAGCGCGTATGGGGCCAGTCGGTTGCGTAGAGAACCCGATTAGGAGCCACACGAAGGAATTCTCGCGCCATTGCCTCCAGGTCCCTATATTGTTCGTCCTTGCTGAGGCGGTACGGCGCAGAGATCTTAGCGTATGTCTCTCCGGCTTGGAGAAGAGCTATCAGGGCTGAGAAGCCAGGTAAAGCATAGGGATTGAACGATAACACATGGTGCTGTTTGTCGTCAAGTGTTGTCAAATCCGGACCTCCAAAATGATCGATGCACAACTTGACACCCAGCTTGGGGACGACATTCTGCAGCATCGGGACCATATCCAGAGAGATGTAAACCTGAAGGACCCATCCGAAAGGCCGGATGACCTGCGCATGTTGCAGGAGAGTCTCTGCTAATTCACGTTCATCAAGCACCTTGCCAACTGATTTGAGATTCACCCGTACACCGCGCACGCCTATTGCATGCCAGTCCGCAAGAGTTTGGGCGTCAATCGTTGTCGGATCAATTACCACCACCGCTCGCCCACGGGAGGGTCCCACGTATCGAAGTGCTTCCAGAAGACAGGAGTTATCGGTTCCGTATATCGACGGCTGAACTAAGACTATTTTTCCAATTCCCAAAGACGACTCGAATGACATGGCCTCCTCGATAGTATGCTTCGAAGGGCTGTACACCGCGTAAGGAGAAACCGGGAAACGCTGTGGGTCGACGACATGCATGTGCGTATCCCATGTCCCAGGGGGTATTCGATGCTTCAGAGGGTAGCACTGAGTAGTGATTCCGCGCACGTCTCTGCGGTAGTGGCCTCGTTTGTCTTCTTCGAATGATGCAGTGCTGAGTAGAACCCGGGTGTTTCCAAAGAGACTAGCCCTGGGCTTGAATTCCGTGAGTATTTTGGTCGCTGATGGCGAAATCATGATACGCGGCGCAAAACTGAAAGACTGGAAGATTTATATGTGCCACAGCTATACAGGATCCCATGTGTCCATACAGGAGGGCATGAGATGTGAAACAAGATGGGTTAGACTTACGAAAGCCGACTTTTGCAGCCTTCCCACTGCCCCCTTTATAAAGCACGCGTGCCGAGACATCGTTGACCTGAAAAAGACTGAAACCGTAGGTCGGGAGGGAGATACCCCGGTCGGCGAAATAGATGTGGATACGCAAGGGATTATGGTAGACTCCGCATCGGCTTGCCGATTGTTTTACTGGGAACGGGCCTAGCTCGGCCTGGGCAACACTGTAATATCGACCAAAGTAAGGGAAGCAGGACAAATTATATAGAGACACAATTCGCGACCCACCAGGACAGGGCTGATCACAAAACTTTCACGAGTTGTGGAAACGCAAACGAGGTTCATGAGCTCGGACTTTGACCGCAGACTAGATGCAACGAGGGATCTGAAAGGTCAGATGCAGAAGCCGGGCAGGAAATCAGGCCAATAGCTGCATTGCATGGATCCGAAGAAGGACCGTGACAGGTCTCCTCAGGATCACCACGTTTTAACGCCTTCTCTTGGATTGGACTTGTTCGCGAACAGTTCTTGGAAGAAGTGGCGCCTGCCGGTGGATGCAGGCGGAGCGAGCCGCCGGCTGGCATCTTCCGGGTATTATTCTGGGAGCGAACGGGTGTGTAGATTGTCTGGCAGAGATGACTTCGTTGTTAGCAGCTACGCCCAAGGTACACAAGAACCAACAATGTAGCCGCGATGTGCTTAGCAAGGGCGAGTCACACGACGGGGGTACAGGAGGTGCCAGGGGGGTTGTCGTACAGTGTGTGCATATCACAGTAAGGAAAAGAGGGGAAAACCGAAGCGAAGCCCAGCAAAGGGGGAAGAAAAGGCGGAAGTTGCCCGAGACGCGGAAAGTCACGCTCCCCTCGGAGTGGATAATTTCTTCCCCCTCTCAACTTCCTCTCGGCTCCTCATCCACTCTAATCTCGTCGCCTAATCACTGTGGTTCATAGCGGGTGGGCTGGCCAAGTTTTAAGGCTATCAGCGACTGGAGCTTTCCCCGGATTCTCCGTTATAGTCTTAAACTCCTTCGTCTTATCACTTAACTCTTGATTGTCCTGAGTTCGTGGCCTCTCCACGCCCCCGCGTGGACGTCGGCTGGCGCCATCATGGGATGGGCGGCCATCGACTGGTCGCGGTGGATTACGAATCCTTTCTATGCCTTGGTCATCCTCATAATTGCGTGTGGAAGCATTCCCAAAGGTACAGTTTTTCCGACTGGTCTCGTGAAGAACTTGCCATTTACTAACCGATGGGGCTTTGTGTTGTAGGCTACGATGAGGGTGGCTTCAGTGCTAGCGTCAAGCTCGAGTCATTCCAAATAGACTACAATCTGGTACGCTCTTACTGGGAACACGATGCAGCTGGACTGGCCAACCGCAAAGCCAATATCACTTCGTTCAACGTGCTAGGAGCAGCTTTTGGCGCCTTGTTCTCCTTGGACTTGAACGACCGCCTCGGTCGATTGCCCGCCTGGCGTTTGGCCTGTCTTGTTTGGGCATCTGGCTTGTTCGTCCAGGTCTTCTCCTCGGGCATCTATGGACTGTTGCTGTTTGCCAGGATATGGGCTGGCCTTGGAGCGGGTGCGTTGACAGTGGTTGCTCCTCTGTATTTGTCAGAAATAGGTGGGTATTCACTTGACATTTCAGTTCCCAGTAATGCTGATTGGGGTCAGCTCCTGCGAAAACCAGAGGCTTGGTTGTAAGCACATTTATGGTGATCTTGCTGCTTATATTGGCCATGGGTAAGGATCAAAATCCCGTGTCTATTGGTTGATGGTGAGCTAACGTCGGTTCCTCTCGACAGGGTTCTTCATCAACTATGGCGCTTCTTTGCACATGGCTCCCACCCGCATGCAGTACCGTTTAGTGCAGTCGATTCCTTTGATCCCAGTCGGGATTGCCTTCATCGCCTCCTTCATGGTCCCTGAAACGCCCCGCTACCTTGTCTCAAAGCAACGCCATGAAGAGGGACGGGCCGTCCTAGCTCGTCTCCGTGGCAAAGATATCAAGGACCCGGATGTGGAAGATGAGTTCAATGCCATCGACGCTCAAGTTCGAGCCAAGGCAGCAGATCTGAAATCTGTCACGCATTGGCAAGCTTTCAAAGAATCCCAGACCAATCCCAATTATCGGCAGCGGTTCTGGCTACTGATCGCCATCCAAACCATCGCTCAATGGACTGGTGGCAATGGAATTACCTACTACATTGCTACGATTTTCCAGTATGCTGGCGTTTCTGGAAATGGAAACTCCTTGATATCTTCCGGTATTTATGGAATCATCAAACTCGTCTTCACGATGGCTTTCACATGGGGTCTAATCGATTACCTGGGTCGGCGCCGCTGCACCTTGGCCGGTTTAACCCTCCAACTTGCCGCCCACATCTACATGGGCATCTACATGGGACTTCGCCCCGGCTCGAGCCACAATCAGTCGGCGTCCAACGCCGCGATTGCCTCCGTCTTCGTCTACGCCATTGGCTGGTCCATCGGCCTCTGCACCGTCCCCTATCTCTACGGTGCGGAAATCTTCCCCACCCGCATCCGCAACGTCAGTTACGCCCTGAGCATGGCGCTGCATTGGTTCTTCCAATTCGCCGTCGTGCGCGTCACGCCCCTCATGTTCGTCTCCCTGCATATCTGGGGCGCATACCTCTTCTGGTCCATCATCTGCTTCCTAGGGATCATCATCCTGGGTGTCCTGATGCCGGAGACTAAAGGCGTCCCCATGGAGCGCATGGGCGATTTGTTCGATTACCCGTGGTATTCACGCTGGCGCGCCAAGCCGAAGGATGTCGTCTCAAGCTCGTCTTCTGCCACGGCTGGTGCTAACTCTTATATCACTGCCCGTGGACCTCTGGACCACAAACACCCGGATTCCAAGGATCGACATTGTGATCCTTAAAGTCAATCTGTCAATCGATATGACAGCTTACACCCTTACGTGATATGTATCTATGAGCATTCCCCAGGATACCCCTTTACTTAATCTATAATATATATGACCGCCATGTTTTAATCCTCAATTATACCTGTCTTCATGGGAGAGTAATATCTATGAGCACCTTGTTTTAGCCCTCAATTATAATTGTCTTCACACTAGAGAGACTATCTCTAGTATAGCTAGAAATGAATGACATCTGCCGCCTTTATATATGCAGCCATATATCCCTTTTCAAGATCGTACATATTATTGTCTATTCCACCCGTAATCCACCGCTGGGGTCATGTTCGTCGTCATCGGCTCCGCATACGAGAACGCCTCGAAGACCTCGGGTGTAATCTCATAAGACCCGGGGTTATCCAGCGTCATGACCGCGTTGGGCATCCCGCCGAGCATGTGCGTGTTCGCCATCTGCGAGACGTTGGATTGGGAGAGCTCAAAGTCGGCGACCGGCTGCTGGTGGTAGGTGAAGGGAGGAAGAATCGGCGCCGCTGGTATTGCTGCTGGTAATGTGCCTGCGCCTCCCGGATGGATGGGGTTGGAGGTCATGGGGTGGTTGGAGTGTTGGGACTGAGGTTGTGCGGGCGACAGGCGGCTTGGGGTATTGGAGAGAGATGCGGGGACGGAGGAGCTGTGGGAGGTATGTGGGCGGGAGTGTGGTTGGGACTGAGGTTGAGTTAGATGTTGGGATGGTTCGGGCAGCGGTTGTTGGGTCAGGGGTGGTAGGACGATGTGGACGTCGATCTGGAGCTTCTGGAGCTCTTGGTAGATGAGGCTCAGCGCCGTGGTCATGACTGTCGAAAGCAGAGGGTCAGTTCCATTATTCAATTATGCCCTGGGGCAAATGTTAAACGTACCGGGACTTGAGCCCTTGACTCGCTCCAATGCGTAGATGCAGAACTTGAGCTTGTCAAGGGTGCCCTGAGCGGCATACTTCAGGGCTTGAATCTCCAGCAGATATATAGATGCGGCGGTGTATACACTGTAGGCGAGGGAGAGCACCACGTGTACATCGCCGAATGTGCGGCGATATAGGTCGAAGAGTGCTAGAATGGCCGTTGCGGACGTCATGCATTGCACAAGGTGGCTCTTGTCGTAGGATCTATTTGTCTTGGAGCATAGAACCGGACGGTGCAGGAGGATATTAATGGTATGGTACAGGCAGCTGGGACAGATAGTGTCAGTGACTGTAGGTGAGGGGTCAAGCTTGAGGAACGTACTTAAGTGTCACGATGTGGCTAGGTGGGGAGTATGGTGGGAGGCTTGCAGCCTGCAGCTTTAGGAAATGAGGCAGCCCGTCCCACCAGTCCGCTAGGTTCTCGGCCTGTTCTTGGATGCAATCGTAGAATTCCGCTTCCGATACTTGCCGATTGGGATCATAAATATGGATAAGGATCTGGTTGAGAATCTCAGCCAAGCCACACATCTTCATGAAACATGAAGTGGAATGGGCTTGGGTGGGCGGATAGTGGGTGCCATCAGGGAACTCGACACCGTGAGGTGTCCAGATTTCAACCTCCGCTGTATCATCCAGGATCGTTCTCGGAGGGCTGACGCGAGATTGTTGCATGGTCGGGGATCGCCCGAAGTATAAACAAATCAGTTTGTCCCAGAAATAGCAGCTCCAAAAAAGACGGTTTCTGATCTCGATGTCTTCATCACTCAAGTGAGCACTGTCCGGATACTTGCGACTGTCGATTGAGATCCCCAAATCATCTAACATCCGAAAGGCCATCCCACTATAAAGCCATGCCTGGGTACGATTGCCTCGCCCACATTCCTGAGCGCTGAGGATAAGCAGGGTCTGGATTGTAGGAATGCCAATATAGCCTGCTTTCAGGGAGTCGTAAAGACCCGTTACGGCACGATGCGAGAATTGTGCACCGCCCTCGAAGGATTCAAGAATCGGTCCAATCTTCGGTTCAGCTTTGCACCATCTCACAGAATGGGAAAGCACGGCATTAAGAAGAGCTTCGGAGAAATACGGGCCGTTGATTTTCATGTCACCTATAAATCCATCAGTCCGGCTTCATTTATACCAACAGGGAACGGCGACAGACGAGTGAAAGCAGGGCGATAGACGAAGTTGAAAAGGGGTTGGATCCAACACCAATGAGAGTCGAGGAGGTATTGGAACGGCTCCTGAGAGTGAAAAAACTGTTAGTGGTTCTTCTGCCTAGTAGCATGCAGAGGATCTTACCGGCATAGTCGCCATCTGCTCATAAGCACGTTCCCGCCATGCATTGTTGACCAGCCTTTCCTTGCGACCTTCCAGATGCATAGCCAAATGAGATATTGAGGCAGCCTCACTGACAACACCACTTGGAAGCTGGAATAGGCTGGTTGGACCGTGAAATGATATCCGTCCATCATGCTCGACCTTGAGACCCTCGAAGTCCCTTGTGAGATTCTGATCATCATCTTCCTCCTCTTTGATACGAGTACGAAACCCTGGGCTTGCACTAGAGCCGGCTGCGGAAGCAGGGGACGTCCCTTTCAGTCCCACGGGCTCCGGGGGTTGCTGGCTGCGCAGCTTCGTAAGCGCATCCTCCAGCTGCGCCACTCGCGCCTCTAGTTGCTTTGTATACGACAGCGTAGGGGCACTAATAATAGCACGTTAGTAAAGATCGACGGATCTGTGCTTGCAGAACAAACTCGTGTGAAGAGGAGGAATGAGGGGAACTCACAGGCTATAGACGCAGACTTCCCCGCGTGTTGCACATCGTGAACATGATGGGCTAGCTCCATTACATTTCACCTAGCGAGACAAGGTCAATAAGCAGCCCTGCCAGGTAAGCGAAGACGACCGTCCACACTTGGATTTTAAGTGATTGAATTTAAGCTCGGAGGTCACCCGAGACTGGGACGAAGGAGGGGAACCCACCTTTCGCTTGCGACAGGCCTCGCATGAGAAGGCGCTTTTCCGGGGAAGGCTGGTCTTCGCTGGCACCTCGGCCATATCCGACTGGTTGGATTCTACGACCATGGAGCGGGATACTCCTGGTAAACCATGAACGAAGAATCAAGAAGCACAATTCTCGCCATGTGTAAAGAAGAATTGGGGGGGGAAAAAATCGATGTTGGCGCGAAGGGCGAAGCGGGGTTGGAATAAGAGGAAAGAGAAGGCGAGAGAGACTGGCGTAAGTGGGGGCAGAAAGGGCGGCAGGGTGAAGAGAACCAAAAAACTGCAGCGATGAGGTGTGGTGGGCGCACTTTATTTTCCAAAATAGGTGGACTGTGGGGCGATTGATGGGTTGATCAGATCATCTGAATGATCTCAAGAAGGCTTTGTAGGCAGCGAGTCTGCAGTCCGCACCAATTGACCCCGTTATCTCCCGGCAGTTGTGGCTGGACTCGGATGGTTATCGTTCCTGGCTGTTTTTTGTCTAGCGCAAAGCCTTTCAGGTCATTGTGCGATCCATCGGAAGTTGACTAGAGGCACTAGACTGAAGAAGTTGGAGGCATCAGAAAGTGAGGTGGGATCCGGAATGACGATATGATTCTGTCTCGGGTGATTGAAGAGCCTACAGCCAATCAGCAACCCGACATCGGGGGCCAGCGCGGGCGTGGCGGCCACCAGAATCAGGCAGATCCTCTACTCGTCGGCGCCGAATTAAGCTTAAAAGTCCGCTGGATCACGTGTCACTTCTCGTTGAGGTCGTAAGGAGTAAGGCTGCTTTTACTCAGCGGGTCGATCATCCGGGCTACATCGGAAGAATAATATATTACATGGGAGAAGATTCTATATACAATTGTTCCTCTATTAAACAAACTGTCGCTCCAGTTGCACCAGCAGGCCATGTACATCATCCACCGGCAATGGAATTGCCCGAGGGTTCTGCAGCGCCTTCTCACCAAAGCATTGAGACACGGCAGCCTGCAGCCTCTCGGCGGTCCGGTCGGACTTGCTCTGCAGCTGACCGGTGATGTCGACCGTAATGCGGGATGCCGCAACATCCTTTGATCCCAGAATGAAGATAAGGTTGTATTTCATCTGCTTGGCTCGTTGAATCTTCTTACTCAGGGTCTGACTGCTAGTGTCGACATCGACGAGGAAGGTCGAGTCAGTGAAAGACAGAGGCTGAGGAGCTCCGCTCGTCTGATCCGTCTGAAGGGGTCGGAAGCCGGAGATTTTGGCTGCTGCATCATGCGCCTGCTGAACCACAGCCTCGTCCTGATTGACAGTGAGGATAATTCCTTGTCGCGGAGACAACCAGAACGGCCAGCGACCGGCATACTGTTCAATCAGCAATGCTAAGAACCGCTCTAACGATCCGAAGTTCGCGCGATGAATCATAACTGGTGTCGCCCTGCCGGGGGTATGCGGATTGTAGTCTGGCTCGCCTTCAGCGACCTGGTACTCCAGCCCAAACCGCTGCGGCAGATTCATGTCAAGCTGAATTGTGGATAGCTGGTGATATTTTCCAGCCTGATCTTGAAGTTGGATGTCAATCTTGGGCCCATAGAAAGCTCCATCACCCTCGTTCACAGCCCACTCCCTGCCGGTATCGTTTAGCGCCTCGCGGAGCTGGCTTTCGGCGCTGTCCCACAGCTCCAAGCTCCCGATGAAATCCTTTTCTGGCCTTGTAGAAAGCGCCAGCCGATATGGTCCTAGCCCGAAAGTCGTCATTACCAAGTCAACAAAGCCCAGCGCAGAAGCAATTTCTCCTTTGATCTGCTGTGGCCGGCAGAAGATGTGGCCGTCATCTTGGTGGAAACGACGAACGCGAGTTAGGCCACTGAGCGATCCGGAGACCTCGTTCCGATGAAGAGGACTAAAGTCGGCGTAGCGAATAGGGAGTTCACGATAAGAATGGGTTTGCGATTTGAACAGCAGACAGTGACCTGGACAGTTCATCGGCTTCAAACCGTAGGATTCGTTCTCGCCCGTCTCTCCGTCCGTGTCCCCCGTAGCTCCGCGACCGCGGACCTCGTACATATCATCCTTATAATTCTGCCAATGACCCGACACTTCCCAGAGCGAACGCTTGTAGATGGTCGGCGTGAGGACTTCGCGGAAGCCGTACTGGAGGTACTGTGTGCGGAGGAAGGTGATAAGTTTGTTGATAATATGGGTACCGTTGGGGAGGAAAAGCGGCGAGCCGGGACTGTAGATGGAAGTGGTGAAGAGATCCTGGGAGGTTCCCAATGCGCGATAGTCGGCCGAGGTTTGGGCCTGGTCGGAGTTGGGATCAGAGCATGATGAACAAGGCCGCAACGACGTGGAAGAGAGCCATTGGACTCGCGCAGATGACCAGCGCACAATGGGTGACCTGTATAATGGTTTAGTGCGTGGCAGAGATGCCTGCCGTAGCAGGGGATTTAAATGTCGCATGATGGGGAGCTCAGGCTGAGCATTGGAGAAGCAGACGAAGCTGGAGGATTTTCCTCGGTCACTCGTGACTTGACGCGATCGGCCCGATTTGGCATCGCGTTCCCGTGATTCTCACCCCACCACCGCGTTCTGAAGATGATCCGAGATCTATATCTGTTGGCCAGACCCTTGCGATATCAGATGTGACTGATACTGATCCTTGCCGCACGCCTCATAATCCCTACTCTATGCGTACTTGAACTCGCTATCTACCGTTTCGAGTGTGTATTAGCCGGTAGATGGGTCGGTGAAACAGATTATTCGAGATAGCTCTTGTTATCATCCACCGCATTTCTTCGGCATTTGCGCTCGCGCCTCCGGAATTCGAGATTTCAACCACACTGGCTCAATGGCCAGAGCCACCTGACTGCGCATATTGTCTGGCCCGTTGTCGCCGTGTTTAAGCCGGCATATTAACACTCGCAACAGCCCTCATTTCTACGAATTTCGCAACTCTCGAATCGGGGCGGGTTGCTAGCCCAACAGGCTTTGAAATTTGGCTACGTCCTTGGGCTTGCTACTCCGATCGCATATTCAGTCATGTCTGAACGTTCAAGACCTCAAAATAGCTCTATTCTTGGGGCGTCATGGGTCGTCGCGCCGGCGCAGCCACCGACTGAGGCTTCCGACACAACACCGCGACCCGATCACAGCCACCATGACAGTCTGTCAGAGTCCATATCCACCTCGTGCTCATCCATATCGGGACCGGATCTTATCATGCCTTCCATATACGAAGCACCGATCTCCGAGGGCTCATGGATCGCACCGACTGCATCTCCGAAACACGCTCTCCGACGCAGACACCCAGCATCGTCACCGGTCCGAGACTCGTCACAACGTGCGCCAGCCGAAGTAAAAGAGAATGCAACCCCTACAGTCGCAAAACACGAGGCCAGCAACAACCGCCTCCCTTTCATCCTCCCCAGCCGTGGGTTCTTTCTACGCATGCTGATGAACGGGCTCCTCGTCGCCAGCATCTGCCACATGCTCATCCTCCCCGAACTCGTCCAACAATACCAATCCCTCTGCTCCATCCAGGCCTTCGCAACCCTCTACCCAGTCAGCTGCATTCCTCTCTACCTCAAGTCGAACAACCCGATCTCCCAACCGCACACCCAGCCCCTCTCCCAAACCACCTACAACTCCCTCGAAACCCTCTTGAACAACACCCTCCAAACCATGGCACCGCACAGCACGACCCTCAAACACACGGAATCCAAACTGCGCGACATCCACCAACTACTTAAGAAACAATACCCGGGCAGCAAACACGAGCTCGACCTCGAGTTCACCGGCTGTCTCCAAGCCACGCGCACGGCCACCCGGCGCTTCGACTCGCTACACGCGGACCTCCGATCGGCAGTGGATAGCCTGATCGCCGCACGGGGCAGCGGTAGCGGTAGCGGTAGCGGTCGCGGCTCAGCGGCGGCCGCCGCCGCCGCCGCCGCGACGGGCAACACCAAGAGCTCAGCGGACGCGCGTCTCTCCACGACGCAACTATCCCGACGGGAACAATACGTCGATCAACTGACGTCGCGCATGCAAACCAAGGCCGACTCGTTGCTAAGCGACTTCGCCACCCTAGACGATCACTTGGAGTCCATCGCCGGCGTCGTGAAGCGGGAACAAATCAACCACCGAAGCGGAAATGATGATCCGCAGGGTCCAGGGTCGAGGTCTTCTTTTTCTTCCTCCTCCACAGGGCTCAAGGGCATCATGGTCAACGCAATTTTCGGGACCTGGTCGCACCAACCACCCACAACCAACAACAACAACCAAAACAGCGATGATGACGCTTCCTCCACCCTCGCCCACCACAATAGCAAAGAAGAAGAAGATCAGCAAAAACCACCACTCCCCACCCTCTTCCAAGACGCAGCAACCCGCCATCAACCAGTCAAGGACGCGATCCGCAAACTCTCAGACGGACTCCAGCAACTCCAAAATAGTAAAAAGGGAATGTTGTTTCACTCGTGACGGGTGGTTGCCGGGTGCCTACGAGCAGATACTGAGTAAGATTTCCCCTCATGAAGTACGTACATACATGGATGTAAGACATGCGTACGTCATAAGCACGGTCCGGACAACAAAAAACAACGAAAAAAAAATCCGTACCGCATATTTGATATCACGATCGACATGGCAGAACACCACAAAACTTGATACGTTTCGAAACGCGCAATCATGATTACGATGCATCCGGCTCTCTTTCAACTGGGCGTTCCGTTCTTGACATCAGTTTGTCTCGGAGCGTCGGCCTGCAGTACTTAATAACGTTAGTTACCTGCCACGACTTACAGTACATGGTACTTGGGCTTTTGCAATGCTCTCATAGGCCATAAATCAAAGCCCACATACTTAGTATCTCCATAGCAAATGATTCAAACATGGACCCAAGTCCCTACAACCTCATCCCATAGGAAAAGATAATCCTCAATGGAGAATAGTATTACCATTATAGTAAGAAGAAGCTACCTAGTACCTTTCTCCAGAAAAGCAGACACGCCAACAAGCAAAAAAAGAACAGCTCGAGAAGAGCGAGGAAGACAAAAGATGAATGGAAAGGGTTTCGATCAGGAAAAGGAGCAAATTTGTCCAAGCAAGAGGAGCGAACTAGATCACTCCATAAGTGTGTTGACAAGAAGTAGGCAAGAGGCCAAAAAGAACAACGAACCCTTTCTCTCACCCCTATCGAATCCAGAACAAGAAAGGGTGAAAGAAAAAGTACCAGACAGAGATTCCTCAACCGTCTAATCTAGCTTTCAGTTCTCTTCCCAGTTGTAAACAATCTCAGAGAAAAACCAAACTCAAAGAGAGAAAAGGGAAACAGTCCAGTGTATCCATGTCCATCTTCTTCTTCTCTTTCCTTCCGGACCTCGATTCTCGAGCAATTCCATGTTATGTACAAACCGTACAGGTACAGATTGGGGGAAAGTGGTGTTAAAAAGAGCTATGCAGAGAAGATGATTGATCAAAAAGGGAAAGGGGGTGGAAGGTATCATGACTGTGTCGAGAGAAGGATAGAATCAAATTTCCGGAGGGAAAAGTGATTTACAGGCACAGCATGGCGGAGAAGACACCGAGGAGCATGGCGCCCATGGAGGTGCTGACGGTGGAGGCGGCGGCACCGGTGAAGAGACCGCTGGCGGAGGCGGAGGCGGCAGCCGCAGCAGAGGAAGAGGCGGCGGCGGCGGAGGAAGAGGCGGCAGCACCAGCACCACCGATGGCGCCAGAGGAAGCAGCAGCGGCGGGGGTAGAGGCAGCAGCAGCCGAGACGAGGGCACCAACACCAGCACTGTTAGCAATCACACCGCCGGTAGCGCTAGCACTGACGGACGCGCCGGTGGAGGAACCAGTGGAGGAGCCAGCGCCAGAGCCGGAGGAGGCAGAAGAGGCAGCAGTGGAGGCGGTGGAGGAGGAAGCAGCAGCAGAGGAAGAAGAGCCACCGGTGACGTCGCAGCCGTCCTTGTTCACGACAATGCTGCCGTAGCTACCGGACTTGTCGCCGTAGGTGTAGCTGCATCCGGGGTTGTTGTTGGTGATGGAAACCGACTTGACGTACATGGTGAAGGGAGCCTTGCTGTAGTCGGTCTGACCGCCGGCCCATTCGATGGTACCAGGAGCATTGTCGGCGTCACCACCAGCCCAGATACCGATTCTCAGGTTCATGGGAGTCTGGGGGAAGCGAGTGCCGCCAGAAGCGTCGGCGTAGGCCAGAGTGCGGACTAGGTTACCATCGACGTACCACTTGAGAGCAGTCTCGGTCCAGTCAATGGTGTAAGTGTGCCAGTTCTCCTGAGGAGAAGAGATGCCAACCCAGGTGGCGCGGTCATAAGTGGTAGTATCACCCTTGCCGAAGTAGTTGGTCTCGATCTGGGTAGTGTCGCCGCCCAGAGCTTCCTATATACCCCCAGATGCGGTTAGCCTGGCATCCCGTGCATGGAGGATGATAAGCGTGCAGGTGGAAAGATATGTGGAGGGGGTTGAAGGAGGAGAAAGCTTACCCAGTCAACCTCGTCCAGGTCGTCCGACTCCAACACGATACTGCTGACAATACCAGTACCACCAGCAGCCTTCATGACAACCTCAGCTCTGCCGAAGAAGAAGTAGAAGTTGGTCTGGATAGTGGGGGCCTGACCCCTCTGGTGAACAGTGAACGCAGCACCATTCTCGTCAAAGGTAACGTTGTTGGCAGTGGCAGTCCATCCAGCAAAAGCAGACTCGCCCTGAGTGAAGTCGGAAGTGAAAGTGGAAGAGCTCAGAGCTGTATCAGCAGGGCAAGTCTCTGTTGAGCAAGGTTAGATGGGCACTCCAGTACACGAAAGCGATGAACGGAGGTAACTCACTCTCCAGAGGGTTACAGTCGGTGTAGGTCTGTGCAGCGCAGAGAGGGATAACTGCAGAGAGCGCAGCGGCGGCGGCGTAGGTGAAATACATGATGATAGTGGTGGTGATCAGTGAGATCGAGGTCAACGATTGTGTGTGTGGTGCTGGAAAGCGAGTGTGGGAGGGAAAGCAGCAGGCGCAAGGACGTTGTTGCTTGCTGAGTGAGAAGAAACAAAAACGAAAGGTGGGTGGAAGAACTCTTGGGGAGGAGGAAGGTGGGAGAGTTCCAGATAATTAAGTAGTAGTTAAGTAAAGAGTAAGACTACTTCCTTGGGAGCAATGAGAGATGAAGTGGGCGGCGGTAATTATGATTTATGATTTATGAGAAGCGAATGACAGGACCCAAATAACTAGAGCACCCCAAGAAGGAAAGGTGAGAGAGACAGGGAAAGATTAAACTTCCGTTACTATGGACCGGAACCACAGTAGGGTAAGATAGTAAGTGAATGCTAGAGTGGGTTCTTCCCTTTTTCTTTGTGTTTTTTTAAATTCTCAGTGCACCGTCATGGAGGCGAAGGGGAAAAGATACTAATTGATACCTCTCGTGACTCAAGGATTACACGCCTATGTCCGAAATTGTGGAGAGAAAGGGCCAGGTAGAACCAACAGAACCAAGGATTGAGAATTGGGGGCACAAGGTGGTGTTTCCCCTGGTTCATCTCTCCTGCAGTAGAGAAGGAGGGGCTAAAGGAGGGAATTGGGGAGTAAGAAAGTCTGGGCAGGCACCATCAAAGAGGCAAATCGGTGTCTGCGTCACGGATTCACGGATTCGGAGGTGGTCAGACAATCTTGATTGCAGGAGGCAGGTAGGAGAGACTGCCGGCCAGAGACAGAGACACAGACACTCAATTAATCAATCAATCAAGCGATCGCAAGTGAGAAGTGGAGTCCCGTAACTGAAGACGGCCCCAGCAACTCAAATGAGGGATTGGATTGGCGTCAGTTCGTGGACATTATTACATGAGGATTTGAGCCACGGGCGCTATCTATCTAGACTACTTGTTGAGTGCTACGGCGTAGGGTACGACGGTTTTTACCCACTTGCCCTTTTGGAGGCCCGGGGAAAGCTGCGAACAGTTCCAGTTCGAACTTTGAACAAAGCGCTCAAGCGCGTGCGTATACGAAGGTCCAATCAGTTCATCCAAAAGCTTGTACTGGTGGTATGTGTCACCTTAACCTGAGTCAACTCCTTCTCCCATTATTGTATTCTTCCGTGCTCCCCTTCCCTTCGCGCGGTTCCGTGACTTCATTTCTCCTTGTATTGTATCCCCTTCTTCCGTGGGGACCACAAGCATTCTTTGCCAACAATTAACCAGACCCAGGTTCCAATTCCAAAAGTCAATCCTCGTGGTGTCATTCGCCCTATTCTCCGATTCGATCGATTAGTCAGTGGCAGAATGAGTGGGCTTTTTTTTGATTACTTAGGCAACGATTGTTCGCTATGACTTAGTGAGGTCGGAGCCGAAAGGGGCCAAGTCTTGAACCACTCCCTTTTTGCCACGGTCGGTCTTGTCTCTGCAACCCTCCAGGGAGATTAGGATTCACTACTAGAGCTCCTCGGCATCCCTACAATCTGACCAACAGTTGGTGCTCTCACCTGCGGATCGTGTCAGAGAATTGTCGCAGCACTGTTCAGTGAGATGCAGTCGAGACCAATCGATAGAGACGGATGAGAGCCATGGATCGCCGCCCTGGGCCCTACGGCTCGCCATTGAATTCGCAATACAAATGCCTGGCAATCCAATGCGACTGGTGGTCTCTTTACAATACTAAGTTTTCTATAAAAATCGTTCAGAATTCTAATTATATCGGGTCAGTCCAGACTGAGTTCGGCCCTAAGCGACGCGAACCTCGGCCGGGCGAGCACATTGCAGGTCAGAAGACAATCCATGTCTCACTCGGATAATTGTTCTTGACAGGAACGAGGAGAGGCAGACGGGTGTCGTGTTGACGCGTGAAATCAAGGGTGAAAGGGACGCCTCTTCCTTTTTTTTCCAGCCCTGAGCAACGGGACATATCCACCTCGAGGGGCTAACATCAGCTGGTCCGCCATGACCATGTCTTAGATGAGCACTATAGTGGCCATGCAGTCCTGCGCTGCATTCGGATAGATGCTCCGAGCGGTAAATGCAGTTGATTAGCCCGTTGACGCGTTGCGGGAGATTAATGTAACCTGCACAAAGTACGAGGTCATTAAACAGTCACCCTGACTGGCTGTCATCAGCCTCAACCTGAGACAAGACAGGGGTTGATTTTGATTATGGGCTGGTTTCCCCTGGACCTGCAACTGGATCCTGCCTGCCTGTCACTCTGTCCCGCTGTCGGGGTTGGTTTTCCGCCCCTCCACGTGAATCCTGCAGAGAGAGAGAGAGTTGGGTTAGGCAAACCATGAGGGGTAGACTACCGTAGATACTAAACTAGGTGCAGTGGTAGAAAAAAGAAAACTGACCCCGACCAGAATCGAACTCAGACCCTCGGGTGGCAGGGTGGCTTGGCTGGGTGGCTGACTTTGAGTTGCCTGTTGCTGCCTGAATAAGATGGTGGGCGGTTCAGCTTCTCACATGACCTCGTCAGTTGTCCAAAGATTGAGGTTGGGGAAAGAAAGAACTGAAAGCGGCCACGCTGCGGGATGCTGCGATCTTGTTGGGCGATCGGGCGCCACGTTGGAGTCGTTGGACGCTGATCACTCGATCCTCGTTTCCCCTCCTTTTCCCCTCCTCCCTCCCTTGTAGTCGTCGTCGTCCTCCTTCTTCTCCTCCTTCATCCCTCCTGGCAACAACAACTTCCATCCTATCCCAGCCTCCCGATAAACAACAAGCGACAACAAACAAAGTATCATTCTGATTCAGCCAGCCCTCTCATCTTATCTGACAGAATATGGTCCACAAACACACTAAGTCGACGACTCGTCCTCGCTCCGCTGGCTCTCCGTCTTCCCCACACGATCGCGATATGGATCGGAAAGTCTATATCCCGCTCTGCTTCTGTCTGATCTCGTTTGCCGTGATGGTCTACGTCAATTAATTCGAGGGCTGGGAAGGTCTATATTCCTGCGGATTGATCTTCAACGACGGCGTTCCGGACACATAGGACGACCCCGCCATCTCGTCAAGCCCAGTGCGACACGGGGCCATCCGTACTCAACACGGGCTCAATGATAACCGGTTTCTACCCGCAAGACGCCCATCACAACATTTCTATCTTATCTCCAAGAGATCCAAAGGGCATCAGCACGGTGGTAGCCCGGCTATCTCTGGGGCAACTCTTACACTGATACATGCATCACCGCCACCAGCATTCAACCGCTGGATACTGGCCTTGAGAAGGAGGTTCAACCGAGCATCCATGAGACCACCGCAAACGATGTCTTCCGAGCCACTTATCATCGCAAATTTTGGGAATCCGGCAGCCATGCGATCCAGTGGGGAGACGGCAGGTTCCGTCCATGCAGGCTTTACTTGGTCTTTGGACCCATTGACGCATACGCGGCTGCAATAATCGCGCGATACTCCGACCGGGGTGCGATATAGCTGGCTTGCAAGTCGCAACATTCCACCTCCTGCTGCAACGTGACGTCTGGCTATACATATACCGTTGACGCCACTGTTATTTGTTTCTTTGTCTCTTTTTTTTATTGATACCCGACCCGCACACCCAGTGCGACTTCAACGTCAACATTTCATATGTCTCAGGTTTTTTTTTCTGGATTATACTTTCAACAAATGACATAAACATAAGTCTATACGTTCCATTCTTGGCCATCCCGTTCCAGAGCATCCCGTTGAGCGAATACAAGGTAGCAACCTTAAATTTCTTAAAGTATTACCCAACCGAGACTCAACCGCCCGACCCAAAGGTCGGGCACACTGGCGGCAGAACCGGTAGAGTACATTGTAGAACCATCATCAGACTTTGGTACCCGACAGTCCCAACGTCAACATCAACCTCGTCCCATGACCAGGTTTCGTGGGGTTCGTGGCCACCGGTTCGGTTAGTGCACTCCCAAGGCTAAAGGTTTAAGCATGCAAGCAAGCATTCGACGACATGCAGTTAGTTGTCCTTCATCCTCCTGCATGAGACTAGCCGTTAGTCGCTTTTTTTCTCCCTTTCTCCACAGTAGATAAGACAACACACTCCAAAAATAGCCGGGATGGGATTGTGACATCGACCGCTCGGGATAATTGAGACAAGTTCAAGTTGGTGACTTCGTATACAGTACACTTGTCTTGGGACTATCTATTTGGGAGCAAGACTCGCGACTATTGAAGAGACTATCTGACTAGGTGGCTGTGTGTCTGCAAGCAGTCTATACTTGGGCACGAGTTAGAAGGTGATAGGTTGAGACCGAGACAGGCGTTTTCTTGAGTCAGGGATGCCAGTTTGCCAGCTTCTGGCTGTCCCATCAGGTAGTGGATGGATGATGTCAAGGTTAACGTGCGGGTGGTATGCTGTAGGCTCCGGACCACGAGGCTGGCAAACATTCCTCGTGATGTCAGCCGTCGCCGACGCTTTATCCATCCATGGCATGGCAATACCCATGCATATTGCAGGTTGGGCGGTTACGGGTAGATGTACCGGTGGTTGGGGGAGGCACAAACCCAAAACAAAGTTATTGTCGGATTTAGTGGTACAGTGCTGGTCACAGTCTGAGGTTACACAACTCAATGTGAAAAAAATATCAGAAACCAAAAAAGGTCGTGCCCGGGATCGAACCGGGATTACAGGAATCAGAATCCTGGGTGCTAACCATTACACTACACAACCTGGTAGTTGTTAGTGCCTCAGAAGTCTGGCATTATGAGGCATTGCCGGCTTGTGCTTGTGTATATTCAGTGTATCCAACCCATGGTCGGTGTATTATGGTTCGAGTTCGATACCAAATTTATGACCTCATATTTTCTCGTTACTCGGGTGTTACATACATTGTGGCGTACATTCTTGGCTGCTATGCGGAATGTGGCATTGCGCATTCCTCGCGGCTTCTTGGCAGCTCGTCCGGATGAGGATAAAAATATTTAGCGGGATCCGGGATGTCAATGTCATCACGGCCGAATGTGGTATATGGTCACGGAAGCCTTGGTGCAGTGGCCCAGATTCCCAGCTGTCGCGGAAAGGAGTTAAGGAGGCTCGAGGATGGTGTATCTTGAAAGAGTGTCTGCAGCGATGCCATCTGTCTCTTCCCACACTGAATTGTTCAGTCATTCGTTAATTCTGCCTGTGGTCGGTCCACTTGGTCTGATCGCCGACAGCGTCTAGTGTTCATTCACGAATGTACGAGTCTCTTTGATGGCTTTTTTTCTTCTTCTTTCTCTTTCTCGCCTCCCTGTAGTAGTCGGTATATGGGGAGAATATGACGGCAAGTCCGGCCTATAGTGGTAATGATATATGCAAGACCGAGATCACCTATGTCACGCGGATGCTTCACAACCTCGCTCCGATTCAGTGTAGACAATAACGTTGCATGCTCAAGACAGTTTGATTATCATTCGTCTGCGATATAAACCCGACGAGTTCAACGCATCAGCCAAGAGAAGCCTTCCGCTGAGATTCAATCTAGAGTGAAGTCTCAGTCCATTATATTAAACCGAGGTCTCTGCTTTGAGACATTGATTCACGATGGCAGCAAGCTGGAGACACTCTTCGTCTTGCATACTAAAGACAAAGACCTGGATTGGAGTAGGGGCGCCGCCGCTATCTTCCGGGATATCTGGTCGAAGAGATGTCAAAAGTCTGAAATTGGAACACAAGACGGGCAAATGCACCGAAAATTTACAACCGGGTACGTTCTGTCCAGGCCTCTTCTTGAAAGGCACTCTGATCGCTCTCGTATCTGCATGCTGGAACGGAATGATGCAAGAGGGATACCATGACGTGGAGTTAGTAAAAGAATTGCATATAGCAGATCACGGTGCGCGCACATCCAAAACATTGGCGAGGGTGGTGTCAGCTGGTAGCCCAAATCGATCATGAATCACGGCGGTGGTCTGCGCGGATGGACAAAGCACCAGGTCAAGCTTATCCTCAAACCAGATCTTCCTCCAGTCGTCGGTGATGAGAGCTCGTTTGGCATGTAGAACTGCCAACTGGCATAATCGGTCGTCCTTGGATATATCGGGAATGAATTGGTACTCCAGATCGCGGGCCTGTGTATGAGTGTACTTGACTGATGGAACCAAGTCCGCCTCGCCTGCGGCTGCTTAATTATAGGCTGAGTCGTCAATGCCAAACAGTTTGCACGCCGTCTCGGTGGCATCTGCGACATGACAGTTGTAATCGGAGAGTGGAACCATGATATTGCCGCAAGCCTGCAATCTCCGCGCTGCCTCTTCCGTTGCCATTTTCATCGTAGGATGGAGAGGAAACTGGGGTCTTGGAGTAGCACGCCAATCCGTAGTGGAGAAGCCTGCCTCGCTGGCAGAGACCTCCAGGGTGCGTTGACCACGGTGGAAACGAACCGCGCAGGCCAAGCGTCGATGACTGACTTCATGAACAATTTCAGTGACTTCCCAGCTGGACTCAAAGGTCCAGCACTGGGAAGGATGAAGTCCATGCCAGGTTGTGTACAGTCTGACTGGCCTGCGTAGCCCATAGGGTCATCGCTGTTCAAAGATAACTGTCCATTCATTTGCGCGCTGAAGAGTTATTGAGCACGCTTTGCTTTCATCCCCCTGAAATCATAAAAGAACGGAAACAGGTATCAGAATCACTCTCAAAAATCCAACTAGGCTGGTGGCCCACGCAACTCCGAGATCATGGTACATTTGATTCGAGAAAAGAGAGAACACTGCAGATGCCCCAACATGCTTCTCACTGCCCCATTAGCCGCAATGACACGGTTCGCTTTGTCGGGGTAGCAATCAATAATGTATGTGAAGCATTGAATGAAAATTATGGACATGCCCAATCCAATAAGGACCCCGGCACAGCCCTCACTTGGCCAAGGGATCGCTGGGTTTGATGTCCATGCATACCGAAAGAGTTCGGCAGGTACTAGACAGCCACCCACAATCATCAATGAGAGGCGAATTTCCGGTTGGAAGTTGTTATCTCTCCACCCCGTCTGATATCGAAGATATGCTTGGGTAAACACAACAACCGCGAAAGTACCCCCCCATAGGCCGGCAATGATTCCAATCAGAGACAGAGAGGAGAGACTTGGGTTCCATCCACAAATATCACCAAAAGCGACTGGGTAGGATTGGTAGAACAAGTACTGTACATCAGCCCGTAAATAAACGACTGATACAAGGTCACGAAAATGAGAATTGCTTGGGTGGAAAACAAAGCATGTTAAGACAGGGTCAACCGACACCAGGGACGAACCAGATATGCTCGTGCTAAATGACTGAGGCTGACACCTTCTACCTCTAATTGTGAACGAATATGCGGATGCCCGTGGTTCCGATATCGTTTTGCCGCTCTTTGCAGAATCACTGGCAGATATGTTTCAGGAAATGCCAGAAGGCCCAACAGCGAGATGACAGGCCATCAAACACTGTAACCCACATTGTCCATCTCCAGCTGGCACCACCGTTCGTGATTAGGTGCCCGACAATGGGACCAAATGAAGGGTCCGAGAAATTGAGCCCCCGATGCAAAAGGCCATCGCAATGCCACGATATTCAACATTCCAAGATTCTGTGCTATAACGGCAATAGGGGACACACCGAAGAAGTCGGCGAGCAAGCCACCTATTAAAATCGTTTCAAGACGTTTTCCTATTGCCGGCATCAAACTAAAAGCCGATGACACAGCAACGCCTGCGACGAGTGAGTATTTACGTCCAAACCTTTCGGAGATCGGCCCAAACACCAAAGGCCCAATAAGATAGCCCTACCATATTCATTTCACAATCATTGAAGATTCCAATTCGAGAACGTCGAAGAAACAACTTGGGTAAGGAGTGCACGTACCACGAGGAAAAGGGATGTCCCTAGAACGGTTACTTCTTCGCTAAGCGCGAACTCATGTTCAATTGACGCTTGGGCTTCACTGAAAGTGCTGTTTGAGATTGTCACGAGGTTGAACCGCGACAAGAAGGTAGCCCAGGTTCGGCGGAAGATGCTCCAATCTTGTGGATGGCGCGCATGGCCATGTTCGTCAAAGTCCAACAATGGGTCACGAAGAACAAATCCAGCTGGGAGAGGTTCAGAATTCATCGGAGTCACAGAGTGGTCGTGTCTGGCAATGGTGATATTTCGTAGATACGAGCCTGCCTCTTTTCCATGTCACTCGCGTGGAGTCTCCGACACATTGCTGCAGGCAATACATAAGCATTCCAAGAGCTCCGCAGCCTTCGAGGTGATTGATATCAACACGAGAATGTGCGACGTTCACTCCCTGCCGTGCCCTGCCATCATTTGTCCAACAAAGTTTCCTGCCCGATACTATCTGAGTGATTCTCGTTCTCATTTAGACGGCGTTGAAAGTTAATAGGTTGCGATTGTCCCTACCATTTTTATCAACAACGAAACTCGCTCTTCATTGGGAGGACTCTCCATTCATATCTTCAATGCGCTTGTTTGTGGGGAAAAATGGTCACTGTGATACTTTAATGAATCTTTCATCACGGGAGGGGAGATAGCATCTGCGACGAGCCTTGGCATACCTCGAATATATACAGAGCTTTGGGGAACTGTCATGTACGTATATTGCGGTACCGCCACCGGACTCGTCGGTATTTCGTTACGGTCTACAAACAGCTTCCAAAGTCCTTCATGTTCAGCCCAGGAAATCCGTGCGCGGAGACTAATGTAAGTGGATGGAGATTCAGCAGGGGATACCGCTATTGCATCGAAGGTGGTTGTGGTTGCACTTGCCACTCCACTGGGGAGCTTGGTTACCCGGAAAAGTGCAAAGCTTATTAAATAGTATGCTCATCTAATATTTAGGCACTGTGGCCGGTGTAATGACAGCATGGCACTTTACAATCGACGAGGGCTGCTGCTTGCCATCCCTTTGATGACCCTAATGATGGCGAGCTACAAGGCTGTTACTACATACAAGCATTACTATGAATGCCTTTATCGGTTTGCCTCAATAGACATCGTATGTCAGCTATAATAATATAGTAGCCACGGATGCAGTGGCTGCTCATGCCCATGGATATCAGCCTGATGGAAAGCCAACTTGACCAGACCACGCGAACATGCGGCCACGCATACAATACTACGGGATAAATCGGGTGATCTGTCAGAATTTTCGCCATGTATATCGACAGATCAACCACATCCGATGGCCGATTCAACAGGATGATGTTCGACAGGATGATGCCGATGCTAGTAACAGCATATATGAGCTTGACTTTTGGTTTTGCGTGATAAGACATAAGAACTCAGAGGTCTAATATACAATTGGTTGTGTAGTGTAATGGTTAGCACCCAGGATTCTGATTCCTGTAATCCCGGTTCGATCCCGGGCACGACCTTTTTGTTTCCGTCGAATTACTTCGACAATGCATCCCTTCGTATGATAACGACAGTTGCTCGAAGCACCATTATTTTTTTTTTTTTCTTTCTTTCTGTTTTCTGCATATTGTTAGTGTGGATGATGTCGCCACAGCGGTCGATAACCCTTCCGGTACCATGGCACAGCGATTGCATGATCGCGCAACCAGCAGACCCGGTGCGATCACGACGACAGACTAGAGATATAGTGCAATGATTGGTATACATCCTTGACGACGCATCAGCCAGCAGAATAGCAAGGCCGCTTTGACCGTCGCTGCGACTTAGTCACATAGTTACTCACCGTCCAGGGCCACGGCCCAGAAGCATCGGCACCGCCATCTAAAACCGTTTATCTATCTTGTTCACCAGTATAATCCCAAACCTCGTCTATACATAAAGTCCCCAATCCTCAGCCCATCTAATGAAGACTCTATACATCGACCCGAAGAACCTTAGACTCAAACTCCCTCAAATCATCAATCACGAACTCCGGCCGCAACGCCTCACACTCGAGGGGATCCCCCTGCCCAAACCGACACCAACAAACGGGCGACCCAATATTCCTCGCAAACCGAATATCAGTGACCGTATCCCCGACCATCAACACCCTGCTCATATCCACCTCCCCTTCCAACCACCGCATCCCCTCCTCCCCACCCCGTCGATTACACGCAAGAAAATACGCCCTCAACCGCGGCACCAACACCTCCGCAAACCCAGACGGATGAGGCTTCCTCCCACCCACCGCAAACACCCCATCCCCGACCACCAGCTCCTCAGGAATCTGCCCTTCCTCCTCCTCCCAGTCTCCACGGAGCAATCCCTCCCGCCGCAGCGCAGTCGTAACCGCTGCAACGGCTTTATTGCTGATGACGGCGACGGGGATGTGATGCGTGCGCGCCAGGGCGCGGAGCAGGGTCCGCGTGTACGGGTAGGGTGTTGTGAGCGGTTGGCCGTGCGTGGCGTACAGCGCACGGTAGGTGCTGATCCAGAGGGATTCGTTGAAGGTTGCCTGCGCCGCGGCGGAGGGTTGCAGGGCGCGGAAGGTCGCTTCGGGGGCTTGGCCTTGGGCGATCTGGGCGCGGAGGGCGGTTGTTGGGATTGGCTCGGTGGGGTGGAAGTGGTGGTAGGTTTTTTGCATGGTGCTGTAGATTGCTTCTTCCGAGTCGAAGATCGTGCCGTCGAAGTCCAGGAGGATGAGATCGTATCTTTTTTGCATTTTTGGTGGTAATGTTCCGGGTTTGGGGTGGGTGTAGTATGTAGGTTTGTAGAAGGTGTTTGGGGTGAGTGGTACTCCTTATTGGTCAATTGGGTGTGTAGTTACTAGGTGAAGAGCGCAATAGCACTGATGATAGAAATTTATACTGGAGTATGCTTAGGGTATGAGTCAACATGCACTCTATTTTAAAGTCTGGGTGGTGGTTGGTTCCCGCGTATCTCTCGGAAAGAGTCTCCGGACTTTAAAACTCTCCGCATATTATGATGCAGGTTTTAGGCTTGATGTGCAGGATAGATTAGATAGCCAGGGACGTCCACTAAAAAAAGGTTCAATTGGCCTTGCAATCTCCTGCGGCCGGATGAGAGGCACAGAAGTTTGGGCAAAAAGGTCGTGCCCGGGATCGAACCGGGATTACAGGAATCAGAATCCTGGGTGCTAACCATTACACTACACAACCTTGGATGTTGAAATATCAATATATTTGGCAATCTATAGCTAAAGATACCAGACATAAGAAGTGATTTTAAGTCAATTCAGACTCATACTCCCTCCTGAAGCCACTTCTCACGGCATCAAACACACAAAACACCGATGCCGCTTTCTACAGGACTTCATAACATAGCTATTGCCTCTCATCCTCCTGTGTTTCGTCAGCGGATGTGACTAGCTGCACTGAACCCTGGAGGACCTGCCCGACATGGCCGGGCAAACCCATCCTGTATAATACCACATCAGCACGGTGACTATTATATAGCTATCATGGTCCGGTGAAGGCCAATTGAAACTCGGTTATACAGAAATCATCATATAGTATTCCATTTATCTCGACATGACCGTGCTTGTGCGTGTACATTCGTGGAGAATCTAGCTAACATATTACGCTTGTACATTCGTTATACATCAATGCCCCAAAACAGCATGGAACGGCACCCGAAGTATCACATATCTCGTTGGTTCTCGAGAAGGATGACATAGACCGAAAATCTTCGAGTGCACCGAGGAGCGGAAGGTGAAGGGGAGAAGTGCTGTAGGCTCTGGAAGCAGCAGCTTCGGTTAGACGGCGCCAGCGCCAGCGGGTGTCACCTGCTTGTGCCAATCCATCGCATGACGGGTGCAGCTTAACAGAGGTGATAGACAACCAGGAAGGGAGAGAATAATTTGATCGGTGAGAAGGAAAAGCCCATCAATCCTCAGCGCTGATTGTACATGGCGGACGGATCATCCAGCAAAGGGCTTCCCGGAACCGCATCTAGGGCGACAGCGTGAAGTGCGGGTTTATCTGCTTCGAGGAGTAGCCCCTTCTCACGACGCTCGAGTCTTTCCTTGACCCATTCTGCCACTTCCGGATCCTCAGTCGAGGATGAACCCTCGGGTCCAGAGCCATTGACCAGTGGCGTGGCCTCCTCATGTGCGCCGTCCGATTCGCTTGGCGGCTGCATGAGTGACGAGAGCCAGGGGTGCCGGAGTAACATATTGTAAGAGGGGCGGTTATTCGGATTCTTATCTAAGCATGCTCGGACAAAGGCATGCGCCTCTTCGGAATATCCAGTTTCGGGGAGGGTGGGTGCTTCTCCATGGACGATAGCCTGATGTATCACACGTTAGAACTGCGAATCGGATGGAAATCACTCGGATGGAAAGGACACTCACATGAAGTTGGCTGAAAATGTTGTTAAATGTCTCTGGCGGGTAAGGGTAGCGGCCGATTGCACACTCAATAATAGATAGACCCAAGCTCCACACATCGCTCTGGACGCTGTAGGTTCCACCTCCACTGGCACCGGACTGTTGCACGCCACCGCCAGCAATGCGCTCGGGGGCCATATAACTCTGACATCCAATATTGGTTTTAGCAATACTGGCCACAAGATTTCCGCTGACACCGAAATCACAGATCTTGATCTGTCCGCGCGAATTGATCAAGATGTTTGTGGGTTTGACATCGCGGTGGATGATGTTGTGGTCCTCCTTGAGTGTCCTCAGTCCCATGACTGTGGACAAGGCGACCTTCCGAAGGATGTTCTCCGGAATGCCCTCCTTGTAGATTTTGTCGATTGAGCCACCGTCCATATACTCGACGCAAATGTATACCGCTCCTTCTTGGAAGAAGGCGCCATAGAAGTCGATGATAAAGGGCGAGACACACCGATGCAGAATGTCCAGCTCCATGATGATTTGTGCGAACTTGCTCTCGTCCAGCTCCAGGCGAATCTCCTTCATCGCCATAACGACACCCGAGAGCGAATCCTGCGTATTCCCTCCGCCATTTTGCTCCGTCGGGCGACTGACGATTCCTCGTAACCCCATGCCCGGTTTTCGCATGTGCGGTCGGCTGTGACGAACTTTATAGACAGTACCGTAATTACCCTTGCCCAACTCGTCCAGGCGATCCACCTCATCTAACGATATGCTGAAGCTGTGGCCCGAAGAGAATTCGATACCACCACCGTGGAGAATGGCCTTGTTCTTGAAATTGAGCGTTCCTGCTTTTGTGTCGATAAACTCGGAGTATTTGCTGAACGCCGTCTCCTGCTGCGTTCCAGATTCACCGTTGGACGGTCCACCTGGAGCGGGGCTATTCGAACCGGTTGCATCCGAAAGCTTGAGGCCTGGCTTCATGCGTTTTGCTGCCAGGCCGCCCGGCTTGGGAGAGTTCAAGTTAGGCGAGCCGTGAGGCAGAGAGGGAGATGAAACCCAGTTCTTGGTCCCCGGCCGGGTCGCCCCAGGATGCAAGCGACCCGCAAAAGCACCGCCCAGAGATCCGTTCGAGGCAGAAGGCGGGGATGAGACAGGGCTAGCGCTGGAGGTGGATGGCGAAGACGCCTTGGGCACGAAATTAGTTGTGTTGGCATGTGTCAGACTCGGTGGTGCTCCTTGTCTAGATAAGGAAAAAGCTTTCATTTTGGCCAAGATGTCCTGGTTCAGTCCTCCTGGCTGCGCGCCACTCATCGAAGCTTGCGGGCGAGGGGTGGTACCAACACCTCGGCGAGCAGCATTAATCTGCCCCAGATGCGTGGACGAGGGATTGATCGTAGGTTTATCCATAGTCGGTCGCAAGGAAGGCACAGAGGCGTATGACTGCGTAGTAGCAAGAGACGGTGAGAGGTCGTCGTCCGTAGTGTCGGACCTGTTATCGATGTCTGACATGGTGGATTTTGAAGTCGGTATGTCGGCCAGGGTCTCTCGTTCAGTGTCCATACTAGGTGGTCAGGGTGCGAGGAGCGCTTGCTGTTAAGCCCAGGGGTGCGCAATTGGCTATTTCAACGCCGGCTGCCAACACCGTGTGAGACCGCAGACTCAGGAGAGTCGGGGTATATTGGATTATCAACGGAGGGTTGGGGAGGAAGGTCGGAACGATCGGGAATTAAGGCGGCCGAGTCAATTGCAACCTCGATTGGTCTAGAGCGATCGAAGAGTGCAATTTTTCTTTCTGCAGTGGGTGTGCAGGAGCGGGCTGCCGAAGCGGATCTGAAAGGAGGAAGAAAACAAGGCAGGATTTCGTCGACGCGGGGCACACCTCAGGCCATTCCCGAGGGAGAATCGTCTATATCGAACCGGTAAGAGAAGACGGCAGGGAGAGCCCAGAACAGAGAAAGTTCGCTAGAATGGCGATAGTGGAGAGGGTTGGAAGACCACACTCTCAAAGGATGCAGAAAAGAAGAAGCTAAGGGAGACAGTGGTGAGAGGAATGAGGTGAAGTTGGTAAAGAAGGGAAAGAACCGAGCACGTTTGTTGGCTGTTTGGTGGGGGGAGAGGGGGTGGAATTGAGGGGCGCCGGAGTCGAGAATCAAGGATAAGGCACAGACGGTGGAGAGGGAGGGAGGAGGGCAGGACGAAGAGGTAACTAATGGAGGAGTGGGAATAGCGAGAGTGGTTCGAGTTCGAGGCTAGAGGAAAAACCAGCCAGAGAAGGAGGAAGGGAAGAGGAGAGGAAAGAGAAAGAGAGAGAGAGAGAGGGTGGAAAGAGAGGGAAGATGATGGAGGCGACGGAGATGGAGACAAGGACAAGAGCAGCAAGAACTGGTCATGAGCTAATGAAACGTTAATATAATAGTCCGTCCGCCGCCGCCGCCTCTGTCGTAGTGGAACTAACTATGGGAGGGAGAGATCGGATATGATAGCAATCCAACAAGACAAGCAGAAAACCACGCAATTCATTAAATCAAGCAATCAAGCAATCTATTTTATAAATCAAGCCAAGTCAGTCAAGTCAGTCATCAGCAAGCAAGCAAACCACAAGGATGGGTCCAGGACGGGAGTTGAATCTTAATTAATAGTGACTGTCTATCTGTCTTTGGGATCCGAATGAACAATGCATGGGGTCAATGAATGCATTGATCCTCCCTAAATATGAGAATAATGATAATCATATGCAAAACAGAAATAATAATAATATAATGATAATAATAATACTAGCTACTACTAACAGACTAGGCGGACGCAAAACTGGATTCCCTCCCTGTTCATCTTCTGCCAACCGAGCATGCTAAAAAGCGCCTCAGGCTTCCCTCTCCCTCTCCTTCCCCCGCCCACCCGCCAATAACACGTGCCCCTCAGGCACATTTCACTTTAGACATCAGATACTAAACTCCATTGAGTGAAAGCCAGCCTCGCTTTCATTGAAATATCATCATGATCATTATCAATATTATTGTTACTTGTATCTTTGCCATCCCTTCCCCCTTCTGCTTCTCCTCCTGCTACTCCTTTCTCCTTCAATGCTCTTTGCACCATCTCCATTATTTCAGACGCTGCCCTTCCCACCCCCTCCACCCCCCACACTGAAATTTGGCCGTACGCAAGTATCCGTGGTCCTTGATCGTGGCGATCCAGAAAGTTATTTCTGCCTGAAAATTGCCACCCCCCGTCGGCCGATGAATCACCGTCGTCGCTAGTTCGGAGATAGATAGACTGGGTGGTGATTTGCGATGATGATATGAGTCTCTCTACCTCAGGGACGAAGTAAATGGGCGGCCGTATGGTGGATCGGCGGATGCGATGCCTTACCAAACCGGACTCCCTACCGAGGCCGCAAGCCTCGAAAAGTTGCTGCTGGCAAATAATGGGTGACAATGGAACCGCTCGTTTGCCAACCAGTGTAACTCGACTCGACGAACCAACGAACGAGCTTGCCCGCCGAAACGACGACATGACTAACTGCGGTGCTTGCTCCTGGTTGCCAACTTCCCTGCTTTTCGAGGGAAAAGCATTGAACACGATGCCGTTGCTCCCCGCTTGCGACAATCGCTGGGGACCAATGGAAAGCGCACGATAGAAGGGCTAGTTCCGAATCGTGATACCAGGGCGTTGAATGACATCCAACGGGGAGGGCCGACATCATCGGTGGGTGCCAAACACCCTATAAGATCCTCGTCCCAACTACCGGGTTTGCCTTGGGGGCCGCGTGGTCCGTCCTTTTCTTTCTGTCAGAGACAAATTGAGTCCAAGTGGAAACGCCCGCTATGCCATAATGTACGAGTACTTGGCCGTCAGGTAGACTGACTCGAGTAGGTATATGAGATTTGTCGCCCACGGGTCAATCATAAACCTACTGCCTCTACTTGAGTAGTCATCAACACTTAAGTCTCCCCAGTCATGGCTATTGAACCCGCCCTGTGGCTGTGGTCGGCCTGGGGATGCTGCCAAACTCAACCGCATGAACATGCCCTATCCCTGTAATCTGGGCGCCTTTCCAAAGTCACACGTCCGATAGCAGAGATCCTGATCGGTCAACGGTTCAGCTCCGAACACAACAGACTCGAAAACCCCAAGCAGTTGGCCATCCTTGCATCTTCACAGCAGCCCAATTGGAATGGCTACCAGTCCCTTCGCAGCGGGTATCACTGGGCCTGCCCCGAGGTGCCAAACGGACCCTGCTGGGGCTACTGGGGTTGGTCTGACGACCACCTATAGCAGTGGCTGATATGACTATCATTTGCAGTCGGCACAGACACGACACGGGGGAGCCGGTGCGGAGTCACGTCACCTCTTCTTCTTCCTGTCTCGCATCATTCATCTACATTGTACAGTACGATGCGGAGTAAAGCTGAAGCAAACAATGTCAAAAGTACGATTTGAACACCAGTATAACCTGAACTACTGTAGAGTTTAAGCAGGTCCGTTTAATCACGGACTGCCGATGCAGCAACTAGCGACGTCGATCCTCGGGGGAGTCGTTAAGTAGTTATTGAGAGGGATGGAGAACATGAGGTAAAATGGGGGCTGGAAGACTGAACAGCGCGGAAACTTTTTTTTAGACCACACCCGATAAGCTCCAATTTGATCTGGAACTTACTTAGTACTAGAGGACTATTACCGTTTGGGTTTCACATGGAAGTGTCGGATTTTGATCGGGTGATGTCGAGGTGCGTTGGGCTGCTTATCATTGGCCGCCGATCATGACATAACCCGGCGGGAGAGTTTCATCATCATGATTGCAATTGTCGTTAGAGCTGATACATCCGATCTCACTTTCCTCTCTTCCTGTCTTCTTCGCTTCCCATGATCCTCGCATCAACAACTGCACCAGCTACAGTAGATAGATCAATAGCGAGTCAAACCGGTCATGGTCAGCAATACCAGCCAAGCAGCACGTTTCACTCGCCCTTACTGGAGGCTGTCTGTCTTTTTGCCCCAGCTGCAATACAATGACTGCCAAGATGTGGCTATGACTTCATCCTCCATGGTTCTGTATCACGTTGCCAAGCATCCCTGCTGAACGAGAGGGGAGTCACTGAGGGTCAAGAGGTGGTCGTCGAGGAAGTGCAACCATCATTCTATATTGATGCTATGGAACAGAGCTGTCGGAGCACAAGAGTGAAGCTAGACGGTGTTTCTTTAGATAGCCCGTCCAGTTCCTCTTGCCAGTAGCAATTAGCAAGTAAGTAAGTAGCAAGCAGTCTAGAGCTCCAGGCTGGAAATCCGGCTGCCTTGGCATGGCTGGGTGCAATGGACTGCCCCTTTCACTCCGCCAATCGGACTCCAGCTTTGGCCCTGGCGCTATCCGAAACCAGCGACTGCAGCAAAAGTCCGTTCCTTCAAGGGTTCGTACATTCTTCACTCCCTCACTCAATCTACTTCGTATTTATTCGTTTATCGCGAAGAGTCGGAGAGTGCTGGAGGCTGCAACCGTTATATGAATTGGTGAAGCGGACTAAAGTACCTTACAGTCTATCAAGATAGCAAGCTTCAACAGTGATCTGGCATTTACCGGACAACGTTCTAACCCAAAGCAGCTCCAACCTTAATTGATCTCATTCGCCCACCGCCTTCTTCGTTATCTCAAAGAATTGATCTCATCATCGGCCAGTCTGGTCCGCGTCATCGCGCTGACCAACCATCGGAAACACCTCGCTTTCCCTCCCCCCACCACCTTCTATCTTCCAAGATCCCCCAAGTCTACCATCTCCCTCTCATCCTCTTCCTTATTCTCTGCGTTACACTCGCACCAGTCTCACCCTATCGCCCGTCCGTCCGTCCGCCCGTCGATGGCCATTTTTACCTCTCCAAGATCCCTTCAAAATGCCCACTCGGCTATATCGCCTCAGTTCATGACCCAGTCCCAACCGGGATTGGGTTCCGCCATTTTCCAAAGTGGCGCGCCCCATTCGAATCACCCGTCCTTCTTTCACTTCGTGCTGCTCGTCTTCGAAGCCGTCCTCGAGGTGGTCTGTGTCAGTCTTCCGGGCTATTTTGCCGCCAAGCAGGGTCTGTTCGATGCAGATGCCCAGAAACTGGTCGCAAATCTGAACGTCACGCTGTTCACACCATGCCTGAGTATGTCGAAACCATAAACAACACAATCATGCAGGTGCTTTGCGGGTTGCTGACCGTGCTTGCTCCTAGTCTTCACGAAGCTTGGATCTCAACTCACGGCAGAGAAGCTGACTGACCTGGCCATCATCCCGGCCATCTTCGTCGTTCAGACCATCGTCTCCTACTCATGTGCTTTTGTTGTCTCGCGATGTCTCCGGCTCAAGAAACGACAGTCCAACTTTGTTGCAGCCATGGCGGTTAGTACCAAGTCGATAGATATCTGTCGGACGCAAGGTTAACGATTCCGATCTCTGCAGGTCTTCGGAAATTCCAACTCGCTCCCCATCTCTCTCGTCATGTCTCTCTCCCAAACTCTACAAGGCCTTCACTGGGATCGTATACCTAACGATAATGACGACGAAGTGGCGGCGCGTGGTATTTTATATCTGCTGATCTTCCAGCAGCTGGGCCAACTCGTGCGCTGGAGCTGGGGTTATCACGTCTTGCTAGCTCCCCGCGAACGGTATCTGGAGGAAGGCGAAAGAGAACAGGGCGCCAATCTTATCGGTCAGGGTCAGGAACGCTACACCGACAATCCCGAGCAGATCGATCCGGACGAACCTCTCGTGAGGACCCGCGACGGAGACGATGCCACGGAGTCCTCGGGAAGCGTGGATGGGAGTGATGAGTTCACTTCGGGACAGGAGACGCCCGTGAGCGCGCGGGACCACCCCTACACGAAGCTATCGGCTCATGGCACGGGTCAAGAGGAACCCCACCACCCTACCGTCCTCGGACCTCCCCCGCAGGGCCCGTTCCTCCCCCGCCAGAGCACCACCGGCGACATCATGTGCTTCCCGAATGTGGAGGTGGCGGCCCAAGCAGAGGAGAACCAGACAGGAGTCGTTCCACGTGTGAAGAAGTCCGTCGGTCGGGTTCGTGGTCGGATCTCAGGCGTCTGGAGCAAGGCAACCGGCGCGGTTTTTCGGCGCCTGCCTGTGGGAGTGCAGAAGGCACTGAAGGTCAGCTCCAACGGTGCCCGGAAATTCGCACACGGACTCTGGGACTTCATGAACCCCCCACTGTGGGCCATGCTCATCTCAATCATCGTGGCGTCCGTTCCTTCGCTGCAAACCCTATTCTTCGATGAAGGGACTTTCGTCCGCAACTCGGTGACACGAGCCATCAGCCAGAACGGTCAGGTCGCCGTGCCATTGATCTTGGTCGTGCTGGGCGCGAATCTCGAGCGGAACACGTTACCCAAAGAGGCTCTCCAAGATGTCGACCACCCGAACGAGGAAAAGAAGCTGATCATCGCTTCATTGGTGGCGCGCATGGTGCTGCCCACCCTCATCATGGCGCCCTTCCTCGCACTGCTGGCCAAGTACGTGCCGGTCAGCATCTTAGACGACCCGATCTTCATCATCGTTTGCTTCCTACTCACGGGCGCCCCATCGGCCCTTCAACTGGCGCAGATCTGCCAGATCAACAACGTTTATGTCAGCGCGATGTCGAAACTGCTGTTCCAGAGCTATGTGGTGTGGTAAGTACCATGATCAGCTCGGACAATTAGAAGATTGACTAACCATGGCTAGGATCCTCCCCTCCACTCTTTTCCTCGTCATGTGTGCCTTGGAGGTGGTCGAATGGGCTTCTGCTTGAACTGATGCGTTTTTGTTTTCGCTTCGCATGGATTTTGCTGTTCGTTTAAAACATTCTTACGCTGGAGCTCCTGCGGCGTCGGGTCCAACCACATGCCCTTTCTTTTCTTTTCTGTTCTTTCTTATTGTGTTTCAAATATTCCCCCGGTTTCATCCTTTCTTGTACTCTTCTTTCGAGGTAGTATCATCAGTGATCCGAAAAGCGGGTAGGGGAAGATACCAACTTGGAAGATTGACCCCCTTCCAATAAACGGCGCTGATGGATGGATCAGAACTGTGCGCAAGTCAATCGGACCTTAGAATTCAAGAAGAAAAACAAACCCTCAAAAACGCAAAGCGACAGGGTCAATCAACCACGATCCCGGGGCCCTTTCACCCCAACACTCTTGAGCCCTTCTCTTGAACTTCAAGTTGTGAACTCAGCGAACGTATCGTTAGTCATTGCAGAACTGTTCAGTATCTAGTCTAGTAGCCGGTAGTTAGTTCGATAGTTAGCCTACTTACCTACCTACCTACCTACCTTCCTTCTCTATCCCACGATGCTAGGAACCTCAGTGACATGAGAGAGAGAGAGGCAAAACCCAGTAACACCCCGAGAGATAAATAGAGCAAAAAGAACGTTCCAACCCCTCCTCGGTACTATTACTGTACAACAATAACCACCACAGAGATAAATCAAGCAGACGAACAAAAGGATAAACAAGTTTGAAACAACTGGGTAGACCTGCCCTGCCCCGGGTCTGGGTAGTAAGGAGGTAAGTAGTCTCTGCTCCCGTGCCCGTGTGGTGTCGCGTGCCCTGCTGTGAGTGTGTCATGCGCATGCGCCCTGTCGCTTTGGGACGTTCTTGGATTCTTGGATGTACATACAGTACATAACCCCACCATTTACTTCGGTACAATTGCTTATACTTTCAGTTACAGTCTCGGTCTCGGTTTTGCCTGTTCAAGATGTGTATTTTTACGTGTGGGGGGGGGGAGAGTTACACTGCTCTGTGGGTGTATGTCATCGGTACCTATGTTTTTAGGATTGTCGGCGTGGGTGGTGGGGGGCTTGATGCGGTGGTGCAAGGGGCTCCATCCAGCTTGCTTTGGGGTTTACTTGGTTCGTTCGTAGTGGTCTGGTTACATGTTGGATAGTAAGTGGGTTGAGTTTGATGGGAATGCTGAGGGATTTTCTTGAGGTGGGTTTTCTGCGGAGTGTTGTTGGCTTGGTTATGCTGCAATGCTTGGGTGGTTGAGTGGGAAATTGATTGGATGGATTATAATGATATGGTTGGTAGTGGTGGTGCTCAACTAAAGGCTGCGAAATGCAGAGAGGCAGGCGCAAGTAATTCGCCTTCTTACATCCTTCAGCGTCTCTGCTCACGACATAATCCTTACCAGTGTGATGAGGGTTATGGTTATTGTTAGGGTACTTGGATCTAAGAGCACCAAAAAGAAACGCTATCTGGTGTGATAGGGATCCGTACTAATTGTACGTGGCGGGATCAAAAAGGTCGTGCCCGGGATCGAACCGGGATTACAGGAATCAGAATCCTGGGTGCTAACCATTACACTACACAACCTTGGTCGTTGAGACATGACTCACTTTTACGTAACATGAGCAGCTAGTCGCTGGGATGAGACAATAAGAACACATCCTCACCTGGCATGGCACGATCAAGCAAAGAATCCACATAGAAAGCGCATGGCAAGGCTGGACTGGAGATACAGCTTGAGCGTGATGGAATCCGCTCTCGCTTTTATCTGACTGCGGTTCGGTTGAGATATCTCGCGTGTAGTATTACTGTACCCACACCGGTGGGCAGGCTTGGTTTCCGCGAACCAGGATATACATTGGATTGGCTAAGATACCGAGGTAGTCTTGACCTCGTGACCGTGCTCGATCTCGTGCAGGTTACAAAGGCAAGGAGCGATCATACACAGCGTCTGCTTCACCAAAGACAGATGAAATCCTCGAACCCATCAATGAGAAATCGCTTCTCGCTAGGAAGAAAAGGGCCCCAAGGTGTATGAACAGAGAAAATCACAGATGTGAGTAATCCGGCATTCGCCAGCGAGAACCCTGGTATAGAAAAAGATCTAAGTGTCAGTTAGTGCCGAGATCAGAGTCAAAAAGCCTTCGCATCGTGTATGATACTCATTTGTTTGGCGAGAGATTCTTTCATATCTTCCATAAGTCATTCAACGACTATGTCGTTGAAGCAGTAGCGCGTCTATAATCAACCAAGATCGCAGAAAGACCATATGCCTGGCCCGCAATTCTGCTCTAGACCAAGCCATGATAGAAATCGGCACACTTGTAATAAGCATTGCTTGACACTTTCAAAGGCCTGGTTGTTCCACTGGGTTGGTCGCCCGGGCCGTCCGCCACTCCACCCCGAGCCGAGGTGATGTGGAGCCTTGGTCGTCAAGGCCGTGCTGATGATGCTCCTCAAGTAAATGCCTAGTATAGAAAGGTATAGGGCGTGATGATTCGCTGTGTCTGCCATCGTAACTGCTGAGCTACGTGTGCAGCTTCGCGTCACAGGCCGCAGCACGATGACTGTCTTGCGAATCACACCCACCAAACGAGATAGGAGAGTGATTGGATCGCTTCCCACAGTCGAGACCGGCCATAATACCACCCGTCGTCAACACACACAAGCCAAGATCACGAAAACGGACCCAATCATGCGAGCGGCAGGCCTCGCAGATGACAAGCAACAGCCGCCGTACTGCGATCAACGAGTCAAATGGCGATGTAGGAGCAGCAGCGATCGTCTCTCACGGCAGATAGAGGCTTGGTTAGCGGTAATTAGCTGCGCCAATGATGACAATCGAGGCCATAGCAGTCAGTTGTGACACCGTCGGTCACGTCAACCTCGCGCGGTAAAGGCTATCTGCCGATCAGTGAGGAGGAATCAAGGTTGTCGTATGATAAGTCCAGAGCCATGATAAGCCCAGCTTGGCTAAACTTAGCATCTGCACTTTGCAGATCGTGGCACAAGACTCGTATCACCCACCATCAGCCATCGCAGCTCTTTCGAAAGGGTTGAGGAGAGATTCCTCTTTGTGAAAACCCAAGCCCTGGATCTTGCGCAATCAGATAGATAGCTCGCGGGGTGCTCTTTGGCTGGGTTGACCTTGGCTCTGAAAGAGCTTATCGCTTCAGCTCGGTTGCGTTGACAGCTGCAGCTGATACCGCGTCATCGTGCAGATCCACTTATCCTGAATGGGGGTTGATCTCAAACGCTACAGACCGGCCTCGGCTCGCCCCGCCACAGGAGAACCAGGATGAGGGGAAAGGGAAAGGAGACCGGGTTTCGTGGCCAGCTGAGAAGAACAGAATAGCTTGATCGCATGGCATGCGAGGTGGAAGCGTTGGTGTGATTTGGTGGGTTGGTTGTGTTTGTTTTTAGGGAGGGGGGAGGGGGGAGGGGAAGAGCCCTTTCATTGATAAAGACCGGTGGTGGGCCCGGTCTTTCTAACGCCATCTTGCTCTTATTTTCTTCTTCAAGCATTCACCCCTCCTATTATCTTCCCGAGAAAGCCTATCCGTACTTCTTCGATTCCCTCACACTGCCGACTAACCGAAAGAACCTTGAGCGTAAAGCCAACTGATCCAATTGCCCATCATGGCTACCAAGGTTCAGCTCATCCCCAACTTGAAGTACAAGAGGTCTGGCACCAAGTCCTATGTGCACCTCTTGCGCAAGTATCGCTTCAATCCGACCCAGGAGGGTCCTTACTTCTTCGGTGGCTCCCTCCACCAGGTCGGTCGGGTGTACACCGACAAGGCCGTGGGTGGCCGGGCGCATATTCGGCGGGAGCTGAAGAAGCGCAAGGTGGGCACTGATCAGGTTGGCGAAGTCAGCGCAGAAGATGTGCAGAACGATTCCGAGTACCTGGCTCAAGTGAGCATCGGCACTCCTGCCCAGACCGTGAGTCTGGACTTTGATACTGGCTCGGCCGATCTGTGGGTAAGTCAATCCCGTTCTTCCGCCTCTAAATATCCCTACGGCCAGACCCTTCATGTTTGGCAGAGATACATCGCTAATAGAATGACATAGGTCTGGTCCACCAAGCTCCCCTCTGCCACCCTCTCCGAGTACGGCAAGAGCCACAGTGTGTTCGATCCGTCCAAGTCAAGCACCTACCAAGAGAAAGACGGCTACACGTGGCAGATCTCGTACGGCGATGGCTCCTCTGCGTCGGGGTCGGTCGGAACCGACAACGTGAACATCGGCGGCATCACGGTCAAGAACCAGGCCGTCGAGCTGGCCGAGAAGATGTCAACCGAATTCGCCCAGGGTGCCGGGGACGGACTGCTGGGGTTGGCGTTTGGCAACATCAACACCGTCAAGCCCAAGGGTGTCAAGACCCCCGTAGAGAACATGATCTCGCAGGATGACATTCCGAACTCGTCTGCTCTGTTCACGGCCAAGCTGGGCTCTTGGCGTGATGCCAACGAGCCGGACAAGGGCGAGTCCTTCTACACGTTCGGTTACATTGACGATGCCACCGTGCAATCGTCCGGACAGGAGATATCTTACGCATCCATCGACAACAGTGAGGGATTCTGGATGTTCGAGTCTACTTCCGCCACGGTGAATGGGAAGACCATTACTCGCTCGGGGAACAAGGCGATCGCTGACACTGGCACGACACTGGCGCTGGTGGACGATGACACTTGCAAGGCCATCTACGATGCTATTCCGGGCGCGTACTATGACAGCGAGACCCAGGGTTACATCTATCCCTCCGATACCACGGAGGATAATCTACCTGTTGTTTCGTTTGCCGTAGGCGACGAGCAGTTCGTCGTACAGAAGGAAGATCTGGGTTTCGCCGAAGCCAAGACTGGCTATGTCTATGGTGGTATCCAGAGCCGTGGCGATATGACCTTCGACATCCTGGGAGACACATTTCTGAAGAGTATTTATGCCGTAAGTTTCAACTGTCTGATTTGTTTCAGGATCATGAGCTAATCACCGTCACAGGTCTTCGATGTCGGCAACCTTCGCTTCGGAGCTGTCCAGCGCAAGGAGCTGCAGCAGAACCTTTCCCTGCCCTCCGAGTCTCTTAACCGACAGGAGTTGTAAGTGGTTCAATGAGATTATGTATGTGACTAGCGTATGTACTATGGAAGTTTGAATGCAGTGATGATAGTTTGCAAGTCCACTCTCTTTCGTGAAATGTAACCGTAAAGTATCTGAAGATTAGCACGAAATGCACCACTTCGTCAGTATTCAGTGAAATTGTCCTAGACCCAATGAATGCGAGCCAAACATATCTGGTTTCATTCAGTGACAAGACCGGTCACCAACACCTGCACCTTCAAGTGTCCCTCTTCAGGATACGGCGTGCCATAATCGCGTTTGAGTTCGATGGTGCTTCGAGGTGTGTCATACAGCTCCATCTCGAACCGGCGCACAAGTGTCGCGATGACAAGGTAGAGCTCTGCATAAGCCAAGCTGTTCTCAAAGTTAGTAAATCCCATCGAAGCTAGATGTCGGAGGTCTTACTTCAAGCCAACGCATATCCTGCTTCCCTTCGAGAAGTTCACCAAATAGCGATCCAGACGGTTTCCCGTGGCAGCGGCCCGGATCCAGCGTTCGGGCTCAAAAGCGTGCGGATCCGGAAAGATGTTAGGATCCATGAGGATGAAGTAGTGCGTCTGACCAACAGGAGTCTGCATCATGGAAATCGTCAGCATGCGATGCCTATCCTTTCCTCTACGATTCCGCCGCTCGACTTACCCCGGGTGGGATCGTGTAGCCTTTATATTGCAATGCCTCCGTAGGAGCAACTCGGGGTGAGTAGCTAGCGATTCCTGTGGAAAGGCGCAAGGTTTCGTTGACCACTCCGGACTAGACAATAGTCAGAACCGTCTTTTCCAATTTGGCAACGCGGTCCTGTTAAGCTTACCATATAAGGAAGTTTCTCCAGCTCGTTCCATGTGGGACGGGAATCCGGCGTGGGCACCACCTGCTTGAGCTCCTCTCGCAGCTTATTCAGGACCTCAGGTCTGTCGATCAGATGGTACATCGCGATCGCCAGCGAGCGAGCAGTGGTTTCCGTGCCGCCAACTGTCAACGTGAAGCCTTCGTTCATGAGTCGCTCAGGCGTTCTGAGATGTTCCGGCATCTTTGGCCCTGCAATGGCTTCGAAAATTGTTGGATTCCCAGACTTCTGCGTTGCAAGACTGGATTTCAGTGCCGCAGCACCGCACTCATAGATATCCTTCTTCTGGCGCGCCAGTGCATATGCAGGTGCGCTCAATTTACGCAGCACGGGCAGCGGCAGCGCGTTGATGAGGTTTTGTATGAAAGGAAAGAAGTAAGCGATATGGCCCATCTGGAAGAGCGCATTGATCCCATCCCGAACGTTGGCGTTGAAGCCATCTTGATCCAGATTCCCTGGGTTGAACCCAAATGCATATACATGGATTACGTCGGCGGTCAGGGCGGCAAATCCAGCATCTAAATGAACCACCTTGTGTGATTCATGGGCAGTGCGAAGATGACGTACGAGCTTGTCGAGACTCTCACGGATCAAGTACTCGACGTTTGAAATGGCCTGTTTCGAGAAGAACTTGTCCAACGGCGCACGACGTGAGCGATGGTCTTCATCTGTGATACTGGAGAACACCGAGCCGTCCAGTGCGAAGCGGGCGACGGTGACTGGATCCTTCTCTCGCTTACGGGCTCTGGATGCGTAGACCTCCTCATAGTAATCGGGGTCTCTGATATGAACTTGTCCTGGCCCGATGCGAATAATAGGACCTAAGTCGGTCAGTGAAATCTGGCCATAGAAAGAAACCCTTATTATTGCCACAGCTGTTTAAGAACACTAACCATATACTTGATGCAATCGTTCAATCTCCCAGATAAATAGCCCTCCCTTGATCACATTGAAGTAGAACTCGTAGCCGTGAGTGATTGCGGCCAGCTTGGGACCAGGAATCTTACTCAAGGGATGAAAGTAAACTCGGTATATACTCCTGAGTACAAGATACAGGGCGATACTGCAGCCAAAGACTGCCAGAGCTGCCATACTTTCCAACGGCCAGCGCCCAATGACTGTGGAGACAGGGAAAATCAAACGAATTCAGGAGGTGAGAGGGTACTTGGGAAGAGCCGCAGAGATTTATAGTGGTTGTCAATGGTAGTCAATATTGATACGACTATCCCCGCCCTAGTCAAGGGCCGAGACTGCTAATCTTCATTAATCCGTGACTGCTGAGTGGCCCAGCGTCGGCTAGAAGCCACCAGTATGCAAGGAGCTGTAGCACCGAGCCATGACAGCCGGTGAGGATATGCTTCGATTGGTCATATGAGGAATTCTGAATACCCCGCTCTTGTTGCGAGACGGCTCGATGCTATGGTCTTTGCAGTCCTCAAATTGGCGGTGTCACGCTGTGAGAGGCCGGAGTGTGAAGATGGTGGAACGCGGTCGGGGAGCCGATAAATAGTGTCTTGGACCACCCAGAAAGGGCTTTGATGGGCTTTGATCCTCACACCACGCGAATGTGTGTCTCCGTACGCGAACGACGCTCATACGAAAAGGCTCTCCAGTCCGTGGTAATGACTATTTGATCACTGAGAGCTCGAATGGGCCGTGCGGCCAATCATAAAGGAGGCTTATGAGGTGAGACTGGACTCTCATCGAACACCTGACAGTGACCGAATAGTTAGTGCCTCGGTTAAGTCAATGCCCAAACAAGCGCTGCGGATTCAACCAGTAGTACTCCCTTACCACTTGTTTCCAAGGTCTAGCACTAATTATTTTTAGCCGTATTCTTCAAGGCCTAACGAGTACTAAAGACATGCTCGTATGTGCTAAAGATTCCAGTTGTCGCCACTTCGTAAATCGTCGCTAATTGAACCCATGTCACGCTGATGACGATTCTGCGGTTCCCGAACGGAAGTAAACTCTTCCCAAGGAGTCTGCACGGAGTAGCTCGAAAGTTTGATGCAGGGGTTATAGTATGCCAAATCGATCTTAGCGAGGAAACAGCTCCGCCATCGAAGAATATGAATAGTGTGGAGGGGCGCATCGCATCCTGCCGCGCGAAGATCTGTGCAGCTTGAGGAGGTGGAATCAACCGTTGCGTTGCGTCTGCGAATGTAGGTAGTTACCTGGTTTCTAGTCAGATTTGCTGCACATGGCCATGTCTTTTGTTTAGCGATGTGGATGATCACCTACGCCACATTGGCATCAGCATCTCATTGTTCACGGTAAGCTTAAATGATGTTCGCCGATGATGGCTGCTTCCCACGCAATGCCTTTACCGCCATGCAACTTTCAAGTGCCCTTTCCCACAAGGTCATGAAACCTCCTTGACTGGCATCGGAAATGATAGTGCACCATCCAGGTACGTTCTTGAGATGGGTTGTGTCATAGAATGATAGATCAAGGCATGCAGAATCAGCATTTGAGCCATCGATAAGCTAGATTTCGGTTTGCAGAGTAGATTGAGTTGCTCAACCTTAAGACCCATAGGCATAAATGACTTCTGATGCCGTGAGATTGTCGTCAATAAAAGGCCCAAGCGCCCAACCCCCACGACCTCGCCGGACCCCCACCTTCCTTCCTGTTTGAGTAAGATAGATCAGCAGCCTTGAGATTCCAAGCTCCAGTTTCAGGTAAATCATTTTCATAACTGTCTTTCATCGGTGTCCGACCTGACATTGCTCTCACTTTCAAAAAAATACTGGCTCGCACAACATATTTTGTGAATACTTCGTCGAGGCTTCAATTTGACCTCCGCCTTGTGACTGATGTTGTTCTCCTGAATTCATTCCCTGGAATGCGCTTTTTCTGCCCAATAGTCTGAGTCCCAACGCCTGCGCCCAGTCGTTCATTGCGCTACCCCAAACCTTTGCAACTGGACACCTGTGAGGTCAGAAGGTAGCATCGGCTGATCAACAACTGACCAAGCACAGACTGAAGGCAGGGTAGAGGCGCGAAGCTCAAGTCTGGCCTTCCCTGCCGAAGACGTTTGGCCTCGGAGCCAATGGGAAAGGCCACTTGGGGGTATCGGAGTGGGAGATGGCTCAAGAAACTTGCTTGTTGTGTAGACAACTGAGTGAGCTATGACGACCAGATTCTGGCAGGAAACAAACCCTGGGAGAAAAGGTAGGCGCCGGTATGAGATGTGAAAGTACGTTTCTAGCATCGCCCAAGTAACTCTATTATCAGTTCAGGGAGCATAGGCGATATATTGCCATGAGAGAACGCCCAGCATCTCAGCGCGCCGCCACATGCAGCGAGTGTCAACGATGGCGTTCTTCCGATACCACTCATCCCCTTCCGTGGGCTCTTCAGCAGGCAGAAGCAAACTCACCCCCAGCCAGAAAACAGCATCTTCCCTGTCGAACTTCCCCACCCCAATGCATCTAGCAACACATGCGAGAAAACTACATCGTGAGTACGCATGCTAGTACTAGGCAAAACTGGACTACTCAAGCGGTCAAATTGACTCGTCGCTGGGACTCGAGCCGCATTAGGAAACGGACCCAACAGCACCGGATATTACTAGACGTGATCAGTCCCGATGGCCATACTTCCGACTCCCTTGCCTCTGGAATGCATCGCTTTGAAGTTCAAATTTTGCTGGTTCCTATTGGCCTTCCCGTGGCTGTACAAGCCGCCAACCAAGCGTCTGTGCAACCTAATCCTGAGCATTCCAGGGGACGGGAAGGCGAATCCATCATTTAGTTTATTTTACCCAACTTTCTTTAACAACCGCTCATATGTCAAATACGATCAGGATGAGAGGGGAGTGTTGACTGTGTGATTGCTTATCATTCTCCCTTCTCTTGTCCAAGCAAGGGGGGAGGGGTATGAAAGATGAGATATAAGCGTACAAGTGTCCCTCCCACAAAAGTTGCTTGAGATCTCTTACCTTTCTTTAAAACTAATATCTCAACTCGGCTAGCTTCTCAGCCTCCGGAAATGAATTCAACATCGGAAAAGGCCATTCATGGCAAGTGTTTGCCAGCGGACGTCGCGGACAGCACAGTTGAAGATACTTTGCTTGATGATGATGATGCAGTCCTTCGAGCAAACGGCCACGAGGCAGCCATGCCCAGGCAGTTCAACTGGATTTCTGCTTTAGGTCTGGGGTTCTCGATCACCAACTCATGGATCGGCTATCTGGTACGTACTTTCGGGTAGCCGCAAAGACGCTGTTGCTGACACTCACTGCCTTGATGAACTAGAGCAATTTTGGACAGAATCTGAGCTATGTCGGTGTGCTAGGCTGTATAGTTAGCCTAGTGCTTGGATGGGCAATCCAGCTTGTCATCACAATGGGACTTGCTGAACTGGCCTCGGCCTTTCCGGTACGGAAAGTCATTCAAAAATTGTCCAGAGGCATTGCTTACTCTAGAGCAGTCTAGTGGAGGTCAATACCACTTCTGTTACATACTCAGCACCAAGAATACCAGAAAGTACAATGCTTACATTGTGGGCTGGCTTTCAGTGCTTGCCTGGTGGATGGCGACGTATGATGCCCCTCTTGCCAAACATGCGAGCTGCACTGATACCTCTTTAGCTGTTCAGGTATCTCACTTGGCGCGGTCTTCCTCCAAGGGATAGTGAATTACTATGTCCCGAGCTATGAGGCAGCTCAGTGGCACACTTACTTGATCTTCCTGGCAATTGCGGCTTCGACCCGTAAGTTCTTGATCATAGGCTTGTTTCCAGAATATCCCACGCTAAGAGTTTGCCAGTAATTCCGCTGTTTGTTGCACCAACGAAGATTTCACGGGTGACCCAGTTGACACTATCCCTGACCTTGTCGGGATACCTTGTTTATCTCATTACCGCTCTAGCGATGCATGATCACGTTCAGGGCAAGTCCTTTGCAGTAGCATCCAATCAGGCAAACAGCGGATGGAACGGTGGCGCAGCCTGGTTGCTTGCGATTAGCAATGCAATGTATGCATTTGCCTCCGCAGATGGCGGTAAGAATAACTAACCATTCTTACCAATTCAATGCTGAACTTGACAGCAATACACATTTCTGAGGAGATACCAGGACCGGGGCGACGTGTGCCCCAAATCATGATTATGACAGAAGTCATTGGAATCGTGACCAGCCTGACGATGATTGTGGTTCTCCTCTACTTCGCCCATGATTATGAAGCAATCCGAGACTCCCCCCTCCCCAGTCTCGAGTTAGTGTATCAAGTGTCAGTTTGCTCCTGATCCCCGGTTGTTTTAATGTGCGCTCTGACCTTCATGGATAGGACTGGAAGTCGAGACGCCACCCTGGGTCTACTCATCTTGCTCTGGGCAATTTATATTTGTATGACAGACCGTTGACATTCCCAAGTTTGATTTGGTCGCTAGCTAATCCTGGATAGCATGTCTTCCACCTCAGTGGGTGACTTCCGGTCGGATTACTTGGGCACTTGCTCGTGATGTAAGTGCATGCAGCATGGATACGAGCACAATTGGAAGGTAGTGATTACTGATTGTCTCCATAGGGAGGCACCCCATTTCCAGGATATTTCTCCAAAATCAGCCCGAAACTCGACTTCCCCGTACGCACAACACTGGCTTCCTTTGGCTTCTGCTCTATCTACGGCCTCCTCTACCTTGCTTCGACTACAGCATTTAACTCGATTATCAACGCCGCCGTCCTCTTTCTTAATTTGACATACATCATCCCACAAGGACTTCTTCTCTTGCGTGGTCGGTCCTACCTCCCAAGGCGTTACTTCAACCTCTCAAGGGTCGGCTACTTCTGCAATATTTTTTCGGTGATCTGGGTGTTTTTCCAAATCGCCTTGAATTGCATGCCCCCACATCTTCCCGTCACTTTGCAATCCATGAACTATAATTCGGTCGTACTGACGGGAATCCTATTGATTGTGAATATTCTTTGGTTTGTTACTGGCAAGCATACTTTCCAGGGACCTCAAATCGACGCGCATGCACTGCGCCTGAGTGGGCATTGAGCGGGGGTGGGAGGCGGACTGATCACATCGATGATGCCAGCCTTATGGCTGCGCGTGGCGCCCACTCTAGTAGGTCCTTGTGATTCTGACCGTTTTACCATCCACGCTAGCGAGCAAGCAGCGGACAAACACGACAACAGACCTAGAACATGACTCTTAACTCCCTATTCCTTGTCTTGATTTCCACCTTCACCTGTCCAGATTGTCAGTGTACATCATTCTACTCAAACCACTAGCACATACGACAATTTAAGGCTGAAGGCCTAGAACAAACAGCGACTGCCGCAGCAAAGAACGACCGAACGCCAACATCTTAGCGCTCATATACCTTGCGAATGGTCATCCAGAAGTCTTGTTGGATCTTCAGCCACGCAAACCTTGTATACAGCTTGCCTGCCTAGAATGTGATGTGATGTGATATGGCGCTTTCGGTTCCAGCTGTCTACCTACAGTATCTATAGACTTTATAATATTGATATCAAAGTACGTACTTTTGCCCAGTGTCAACCCATCTGGACAGATTAGGCAAGAGGTGACTGAGTGGCATTCCCGCGGTTCCTGGTGCCTATCGGTCGGGAGAAACGTACTCCTGAGAGATCTTACAACACAGTGACTGACTTCCAACAGAGACATTTTTCAGGTTGAATCATAAAGGGGCTAATCCATGACCCAGTCACTTATGCTACCCAGGGCATCTCAAACTCCAAGTTAGGAGTTATCACAACCCGACCGCTGTCATAACGACCACCCCTCTTGGACCACAAGGCATACGCGACTCTTTCCTAATGCATCCAGACCATCAGCTGCTTTGCATATATGACGGGTCGATGGAAAGCTAGTTTGCGTGCTAACGCCTCACTAGGGTAGAATCCCTGTCGGTTTGCGTCGGAGCTCGGCGCCATGGAGGCCGGGATTTGCTGGATTTGCTGGATTGGACTATTTCGATTATCTGATTGCTTGGCATGAGGGGGAGATGCATAAGTCTGGGTTTGGCGATGTCTCTGTCGTGGTTGGTGTGTGGTGGGTGGTTAATCTGAGGGGATGAGTAGAACGAAGTGATCGAGTGAGTGTGCTTGGGGTGTAGAAGGGTTAGGTATTTCACCCTCCCTACTACCTTTGTCCATCCCCCTTCTATCCCCTTTCTGATGACCGGGTTCAAAAATAGTCAGTCCAATTTTCAACAACGCATGTTGGATTCGCTTTTCACCCACCCGAAAACAATCACGTCCATTGGAAGTCGGCGCACAATATTCCTTTCTAGCTCAGCAGCAAATTCAATTGCGCGTCAGCTCTCTGGCACAAGGATATTCTCCCTCTCTAGATGTGCTGCGTGGTTTTATCCATCTGATAACCTCACCAGGTCTCTCTCCTCTCTTCTTTCCCATTCACCTATCCAAAGTCAAAGCTCCTCTCACCTCTGGGCCGTCCAGATTGCACGATTTGAGAAGGAGGTCTGCCATTCCTTCCATCGAGATAGAGTCTTCTCAGTCGAAAGATACCTTTGCAACATCCCACAGCAATTTCCATCGATCCCTTCATCAACAGCGCCAATTCCAACACAAGAGAAGATCACAAAGCCGACGCTCGATTATTCGCACCGTCTGACCTCGAAATATGGCCAAGCATATATTAATATGCTGATATAAGCTCAATCACATCTCTGCATGGGCTATAAGATGTTGATTCCATGCATGTCGACTCTATCACAGACGGCACTGTCGCGAAGAAGCGACGAAGCTATCGTGACAAGTGGCAATGATGCTCATCTCACCGCTAACTGACAAGATGCAACGGTAAAAGGATCGTACCTACTTCAATCGTGAATTTCTTGCTACTCAGCAGATGCATGAATCGATCATGAAGGTGATACCCACAACGGGGTTGGAGAGTATATAACCTATCGACTTCGGATGCCAATGCAAGTTCAAAAGCTTATGGCTGCTCAACATTTCGACCATGTAAGGCTTGCAGGCATCAGGTCCTCCTTTCCACCTCAAGTCCATGGTTGATGCCGGTCGACTATGTCGGTAATACCAGGGTACCTTTCTACTTTCGAGACTGACCGTGGCCTAGTAAAACATCACGATGCCAGTTCTTATCATTCGAACTGCCTATAACAGGTTCAGGCGTTTGTTCATTACGACTGCAGATGTCTATCCCCCACTACGACCGCTCATAGCGTTTCATGAGAGTATGTTCGACACGAGATAGTACCTTCGATGACGCAGTCCCCAGTGCGGCGTTGTATAGAATATGCCATTACTACCTCTTCGTCCAGTCCCGTGGGGCGGTGCATGATTTGATACTGCACGTTTAGTAAAGGTTGAACCACAGGGAAGGAGAATGACTACAGCAAGGTCTATCCCCAGTTGCTGCATTCCAGGGACAAGTCTAACCACCATTTGTTACTTCCAAATTCTTTGACGATATTTCATGAGGCCAACCCAGGCTAGAAACACCATGGTGGGTCGACAGAAGGCAGGAACAGGTAGACTATGAGATTTAGTCGACTGAGCCCAATCCTTTGCCACCACCTAGACAGCAGCAAAACATTGAAGAACTCTTGATAATACCCGAGCCTTAGTGCAGAGAGCAGTTCTCATAGTTGGCGATAAGCTCTACAGCGCCGGCGTCGTAGGAGCTATAGTGAAAGTTCGTGATGATGATGCGCCTTTACGCTACTTTCATGAAATGACCCAGCTGATGCCATAGCTAACTAACATAATTGTATATCCCTTATTCATCTAATTTCTGGTATGTATGTTCCAGACTGTCCTCGGGTCTTCGAGAAGCGAAATCTCGCTTCACAGTTATAGCTTGCAGGTTGTTGCCGCTCAGCCTCACAGATCAGTGGAATCTATCACCCAAAACCTGCTCCACCGGATCGATAAAATTGGCCTTATCACACAATAGCCAAGGGCTCAATGATCATGACTACACCCGCAGCTCATATCAGCACAACACCAACGAGCACGTTAGAAAGCTATGGACGCGTGGTGCCCAGGGCTATCAGAGCACCTAGCAGTAGCTACCGACCAAGCATGGCTTCGAAAGATCACCGATGCTAATGATCCAAACCTCCATCTGCACATGCAAGTAAACCTCCTTGCTGGTCCATTCAACCACGACGTTGAGTCCACGGGTCCTTGCCCAGATGACCCACAGTAAACGGCAGAGCAGGTCACAAGCTCCTCATACCCTGTCTTATACAGCGTATTTTGAGTTGCTAAACTTGTTATCAAAATGTGATGCGCGGTATAAGACAGGCTACCCTGTGCTCGATGTCTCCGAGGGCGGACTGGCTCCTACCTCAGCGCGTCTGGGGCGTTTGGTATCATTTCTTTTCCGTGAGTGCGGTTCACGCATGAGTAGGCGCGAGTCGCGACCATCGATTCGATTCCAGCGAACTGGGAATTGGGAACGTGATCTTGCATTCTTCCCGAGACCTCAAGCCAGTCAGCGTTTTTGATCCCCGGTTTTGATAGCGTGTATTTGCACGATAAGGGTGCTCAATAGCATAATATGTTTCAAGTGTGAGGTGATTTCGACCCATCCTCTTGTTCTGGGTCAACCTTCACACTCTCGTGCAATGCTCACGACGGGCTTCATTCTGCAGAGTACATACATATCTTGCAATCTACACGCTTGATGCGATTTCTGTGCTCTCCGCATTGAATCACCCAATTGTTCCTTGTGGTATCTCGAGGCGGCTGCTGCAGACTCCATACTAATACACATTTGACACCTCTATCCTATAATAGCGCTGACCATCCGGCCGCATCAATAATGAAAGATTACTCCGATCCTCTGCGAATGGAACGCGGGATGACCTGCACGCCTTCTTCGACAACCTTAACACCACTATCATTGAAACTCCCCTTATCTGAACCGTCTGCGCTTTGCACTGTCTTCCAGCAATGGTGCGGCCTTGCCACAGACTAAGACGAAGCATACCTGTCACAGTCGTCGAATCAGCGAGTTGTGATGATACTGTTAACGGTGAATGGTATAAGCGAAGCGACACCATTGATTATTGATATCATGGTCCTGACGTTCTGCCATGTATATTTGGGGTGGCATTTGTAAGGCAATCGTCGCAAAGATCATCACTACGAAGACGGAGTTCTAGCAAACGTGAGATGAGTTTACTTTATGAGGGGGAGTTGGGGGTTGAAAACGGCCATCTGAGTTGCATTCCCAGTACCAAGTGAGCTGTAGTTCTTCTCAAAATCAAATCCAGGGTAGGAGATATTTGGAGGATCATACGATGGTTCGAGTTGATTCATACATGTCCCAAGTGCATGATATCGATTATCGTACATGTAGATCTAGAATGTCACAAGAAATAAGATCCAGCGACAGCTACAAGGGGTTAGACATTATAGAGGACACCACTGTGGTCTCCACATCCATATTTGCCTAGAATCAAGGTCACTTCACCACCATCTCTCCGAAACGAAGAAAGACACACCCTCAGTACATGCTACCTCGACACTACAAACACGACGAATGTGAAGTACACAGCACATTCCACCCACCCCAGTTTCACCAAAGCTGAACCAGCAACCAAGATATATGAACTCCGCCAACCGAAACCTATCACCAACCCAAATCTCCTGTTATAGAGCCACCAGCCCTTTCTCTTGGACAAAAAACCAACACCACCACCACTACCACCATTCAACAAATATACTCCGAGCACCTTCCAAGCCCATCGCACCGCAAGCCAAAGCAAAAACTCTCCGTCTAGCAGCTCTCACCAACAAGAACCGCATGAAACACACCTCCAACACCACATCATCCATCCATTTCGCACAGCGCAGCGCAGCGCAGCAGAGCACAGCAGGGCCCAACACAGCACCACCAACCAGCCCCCTCAACCTGAACCCAAACTCCAAACCATCTCACAACATCAATCAATCACCCACCATGCAAACCCGATGGATGCATGCATCAATATTAACCCAAGAACCACCAAGCCCAGCCCCCTTCCTTCCTCAGCCTCATCCACATACCAGACACAGAAGCAAGCCACTGATCCACCACCGCTTACCTCAATCAACGGTATGTACATAAACCACCCACCCACAACAAAAAGCAATTCGAAACGCAACCCCCAATCCGGAAACCCCGATCCTCAACCTGATAGGACCCCAATCCACACACAACTAAATGCACCAAAAGGGGGCTCAGGCCCAGGGCATTAAGGGAAAAAAAAGAAAACGTCCATAAGCACCGCCAAGCGCAAGCTAAAACCCTCAGACTCGCCCACAGGAAGTGTTTGAAATCGCGAGCACATAGTACATCATTCGTGTAACGCTATCTCTACCACCGCCACAATCACCACCAGGAATCTATTGCTCTAGTGAAAAACATCATTCTTTCTATCAGATTTTGCTGCGGGTGGTAATGGTAATGGCGGCGGCGGCGGCGGCGGCGGCGGCGGCGACGGACGGGAAGGATGGTTGGGTGTGGACGAGAATGTAACACTAATATCTGAGGGACCGGGGGTTTACTCCATGGTGTCTATATATGTACTATGGATCATAGTATGTAGCTTATGCATAGTTCGGGAACGGGGGAGGGGGTAAGGTGGGTAGATGGGGCGAGGGTGAACCCTGAACCCTTGTATATTAGCTCATGATATATGGGTTTGTGGCGGGATCTAGAGGGAGAGAGAGGGGTTTGGATCTGAGATTCTTTGGATTTCTAATATAGGTACTACTAAGCTCTTGGATAGCTTGCGGAGTGTGAATCCATGTATTGAGTGCGTTGTTGGTTTATTTTGGTCGAGGTGATCCTTACCAGGGAGGGCGATGGAGGATGATGGAGAGTGGTTTGTGATACCTTACTCTTCTTCCTATGGTCTAACTACCTTAGAGTGGGTTCGTTCATCCATGTAGGTCCTGTAGGAAGATCTTTAGATCGGGGCTTTATAGTTACCTCTACCACGAGCGATACCACGAGGATCTAGGGTGGTGAGCAGATACGACAGCAACAGATCGATAGCTTACCCAGACGCTTGGCGAACGTCATGTTTTGTTGTTTTGTGATTGATGGAGCCTGCGTTTCGCCAAATTCTCTTTGGCTGGCTGAGTCCTGCAGATGAGGAATGAGCATGGAGGAGTGAGGAAGGGTGGTGGTACAGATACAGTAGTTTGGATAGCAGCAGCAGTAGTAGCACCACCACTACTACCACCAAACCTGTCCCGCACAGTAGACTGCAGACAGTGTAATGCAGAAAGAATAGGAGAGAAGTGAGTCACCATTCAGCGAAGTGGTTCATCGCGAATCGCATCTCCCATATCAAATCAAATCAAATCCATCACCATAGTAGTACCACTATCTCGGTCGTACAAGTACAGTACAGTATGATGGGGGGAGTTTAGTGGGTATGACACGACATATTAAGTGCCCGGCGGGCTGGGTCCTGTCCTGCAAGAAGATTACTCTACTCTAACCCCATGTCCCGGTGTAAGAACTAGAAACCGGAACTAAAACTTAACTAAACTATGAGTCCAGATAACTAGTTAGCGACCGTAAGAAAAACCACGAGGGATAAGAAACCCAGCAAGCAAGAACCAAAGGAGGGGCGGGGGATAAGGGGATTCTTTCCTATTTCCATCCGGGTTCTGAGTTCTGACATGGCCTGGGACTCTGGGCTAAAAAGGAGGATTTTGTTCAGATAGTGAAGCCTGGAGTTTGGGGGCGAAAAAAAAGACCCATTTTCATCATTCTCATCAAAAGCTATCTAGACGATTGATTGATAGATACTCCAAAACAATACCTTTCGATAATTAAATTACCACTCAACCAGACCAAAGAAAGAAAGAAAGACAGACAGAGTCCAGATCAAAGGGTGTTTTACGAGTCATGACGACGATGACGATGTTTCATGATCACGCTCTCTCTGTGCATTTTCCTTTGTTCGTTTGTTACAGTAATTGTAGATAGGCTGTAGTCTCCCGGGTAGCAAAGCCATCAACACAAGCATACTGAGTCTAAAACCATCTGGGATAGCTCTAGCTCCGTCGAGGCAAGCTCTCTTCATTTGATCCTTGGGGCTGGAACTCGGGAGTAAAGGTAAGGTCTTTCTGGTTCTCCCGTGCCCACACTGCCTCTCCAGTAGAGCCCACAGCCCACAGCCCACCGCCCACAGAGCCCACCCAGACACTCACCCTCCCCCGTGACTTTCGCGATCTTAACTTGAACCCCAAATCCCAAAATCCCATTTGTCCCACCCGAGAAAGCACCACCCAACAATCCAAGAAGGGTTTTCCGAGGGTCCCCCCCAAGTCCCAGAGAAAGAGATAAAGTTGGCTGACGATCCACGCCATTGGAAGTTGGCAGGGCTATTTTACTCCATCGCGACTAACCCGATCTGTTCTTCTTTAGCGAGGACCAGAGAAGCTCCACCTTTTGAGGCTGGTGATTGGCTGAGTCAAATTGAGCAAGGTGGATTATACCCAGACAGACAGCTGAGCCATTCCCTTTCTAGCTCGGGGGGCTTTCATGGTTCCGTGGCATGGCATGGCACTGCCTTTTTTTTTTTTTTTTTTTTTTTCAATTGCATTAAGAATATTTGATTCTGCGGAACAGCGGGGACTGGCAATCAAATGCGGAGAATGGCAGAAGGAGAGTGATTGGTGCTCTCGGTTGAAGGATCGGATATCTCCGACAAAGGATTACTCAACCGGGGTTAGAGGGTTGGCCTCCAGCTAGGTTGACCCTTTTCCCTTGGAGTTGTTGCTTGCTTCAATGTCTTAGACTACTTACTTACTGTCTTGTTGAAATGGTAGACATTTGCATGAGACTGTGCAGTGTATGTATGTACACTACCTAGTCCAATCCCTGTGACTTGGATGTTTTTTACTTGCTTTTCTTGCCCTGGCTGGACCTGCTGTCTTTCATGAGCTGGGTTATTACAGGGTTGATCTAACCTAACCTAAGTCCAGTAAACGTTGCGAGCTGTGGGAACACGCTGAGACTCAAAGATCCTTCCTTCATCCACATTTCTAGGAAACGCTATAGCAAATTAGCAATAGACGCATTCATCCCCATCGGGTGATCTGAGAGGGATCCGCGCCGCGCGCGCCTCGCAATCTAAGAAAAGCATGGCAGCCAACACTAGAAGAACTGGTACGGTCGCTCGCTCGCCAAACAAGACACAATAGAAAAAGGGTCCAGTGCCGAGCAGATCAGATCCTGCTGCTGCCAAACATGCGGCTAACTACTGCAAGGACCTCCGCCGGACCCCCCTCCCTCGAAAAAGGCTCATCGCATGGCTTTATAGCATGGGAGAGGGATTGAATCTGGGTGGTTCTTATCATTCCTTCGCTATCGCCATCGATATAATTTAATCAATCCGCCAAGGTTGGGCGAATAAACACCACGCGCCAAGGGAATCCACCGGCTTGTTAGGATGACCCAAAGCCCATAGGTGTGTGGTATGGATCTGATTGTGAGAAGACGATTTGTTGTCTCGCTACAGGTTTAAATTGTATACAGTGCTACTTTGTATATGTGGTAAGCCTATCATGTGAAAGACAAGCTTGGCAATTGCGGTTGTCATGTATAACATACATACATTTTACTCTATGTAGGAGGCTAGAGAGATTGAACTTAGTCTCTTCAACATCATAATCATCAACATCATCATTTCTAAGCCTTAATCTACTTCGGCTGTCAGACAGCAGGGGAAGGTCCCAGACTAGACAGGGATTCCCCTAAACATGCGTTCATCAACGCATCACTTCCTCATCATAACGTAATTATCAGCATCACATGGTCGGCCCCCTCCGCAGCCCGTCTTTTCTTGCAAAATGTGATCACCGCCAAAAACGTGGCATGAGGCTTTGGTGTGACACTGCATGCCTCTCCCTGCCGTATGCCTCCTTAGTGTATGTACTATACTGTACAAAAGCAGTCCTTTTTTTTTTTCTTACCCCTCCATGATCATTAGTGGTCTGCAGGTAAGAAAAGTTAAGTCGGGTTCTGGTTCTGGTCATTCCATCCTGCTTGATGCTGCTGATGTCGACTCAGCGCCTCATTCTCCGATTCAGTTTTTAAATGGTGGTTCATAGGTTTTCAATGCTTCGGAACATATGCGAAGTCTGTAACTGCGACTGGGTGCGGGTAGGAACATCGAAAAACAAACAAACATACCAACTATAAACTCAACTGCATCCAAAATTAAATTAGATTAGAGCTTCGGCTATGGTTTTTAAGGCAGCCATCTCGTTTGTTCGCACGTTGGACTTCAGTTTGGGACACAAGTCTCAGCCTCTTCCGGGTTGAGTGCATTGTTGGTGGTGAACCGAAAGAGACAGATAGATAGGAGTCAGTACTTTAGTTGACCGGTCCAGTGCCCCGGGTTGTTCGATGATTTGGCACCACAAGTCTTGTCTGAGGGAAGGGGGAGTAAGTGCACTGCTCCGGCCTGATGAAACCACTAACCAATGTAGGGTGTTGGCGGACCTTCGGAGGGGAGGTACAGCAACTTGACGATTTTCAGCCTCCTCGCCACTTCTCGACCAGTTACCGGAATTGTCCAAGGTTGGCGGTGCCAAGAAAGACTTAGATAAGGACCTGACTAAGTCACTCTTCATTTCCCCTTCAACTTCCGCTTCAATTTCCCCGCCCCCAATCAGATTGGCCTGAGTCGGACTGAATCTGAGTCCTCCGTCTGTCGTGGTGATTGCCTGTTACTCAAGTAGCTCGATTGACCTTGGTGGTACCAGATCTGTAGAATAGTCATCATGACATGACCGCCTTTTGTTGTTTTCTTTTTTCTTGTTGTGTTTTGCTTTCTCTCTCCACTTCAGCCCTTGTCCCTGTCGTTATTTACAGTTCGATCTGAACCTAATGCAAGCGTGGCTGTCGGTCGGTCGGTCTGTCATGCAAAGCCTGCCCATAGTCAGTAGCCTAGTCAACTTTCACTCCTCAACAGTCACGGAGTCCGTAGTTTACCCCCATGCTCCCCCCCCTTTCCAAATTCCTACCCCACTGTAGATCCGGGAGAAGACCCCATCCAGTTTCCACAGTTGAAAATTACCGGTTTGAGGGAGGGAGAACAAAGGAAAACCAGATAGTTACGGCGAGGCCGACATGGGTCGGGTCCATGTTCGTTCGGACGGTCGGAAGTCGGACAGCTACTCACTAGCTGACGGCTTGACGCTGTTTCATCCGGCCGATTGGAAAGACCCAATGATTAAAATCGGGACGATGAGGAGGGGCGATACTTGGAGGGAAATGGGCCCTTGAGAATCGGGCCTTAGGGGAGAGGGGGCTTTGCTTGGAAGCGGGCTGGATGGAGGTCCCGGCGCAAGTTGTCGAGGCTGAAACTGTGCGACATTTTGCCCAGATCATATGCTGAGGGTGCGCGGGCGACATGTGGACGCGAGGATTGGACTTCTCTGATAGTGATGACGATGGCTGGTGGGATGAGATGAGGTGAGGTGATCCTGCAGAAGGACTAAACCACGCCTCCAGTTTTTACCTTTCTCTGGGCATCAGCACCCCCGAAGGTAATCTTCTCACCTCTGGGTCTCTCTGGACCTCTGGGCCTCTGGGCTCTCCTGGAGACCGGGCCACTGGCGAGTTGGCAAGTTGGCAACTGATTTCCCTCTCCACTCGGACAAGGTTATTTTGGCGGCTGGCGGGCGCCGCATCCCCTCCCCACCTTTGTTTTTCCTTTTTTTTTTTTTTTTTTTTTTTTTGCACGCCAGATGGGCGCCGCTGCAGTGTTCGGCTTACAAGCGATGATGACTAGTCAAAAACCGACTAGCTTCTTCATGGGTGGGAAGAATGGAAATGATAGCCTTAGATAGGAAAGGAAAGCCTACGCTATGACAGACTGGGCCGGTCGAGCGCGTTCCGTCGCCCGCGGCGGCCTTCGGTGCTGGTCGTTCCAGAAGGACCAACCGAAGCCTGCTGAGCCTGTTTAGGTTTAGTCCTTTTGTCCTCCGTTTAGCGCGGGACCGACACTTATCGCAGAGATAGAGAGAAAGAAAAAAGAAAAATAAAAACAGGAGTCAAGAAGGGAGAAAGAAAGGGGCGAGGGGCAAACGGAAAAGAAAGAGAGGGTGACAGATCAAGAAAAATCCAATGGTGTCTCTGGTAACGCATCGTGGTATGTTATCTCTTCGGTTGATTCACCTAAGGCAGAATGGACGACCATGACTTGAATTTCAAGACAAGCCGGCTGTCTAAGAGAGAATGTTTCTTGGCGCGGTCTTGGAGCCTTTCCTCCGTGGACTTGTGGCAGAGTCGTTGATGCACACTTGCACAGGCTGTCCGGCCGAAAGTCTGAAGTCTGGAGGTCTGTACATGTTGACAATTTTGCTCGGCAAGGAGTCAAAGAGACGGACTGGCTACTAATCCACCAGGCGCCACCCAATCATGGAGATGAAAAGTTGTGCACCCTGCACATTGACTTGTGGTTTGGAGTGCAATGGCGCAGTGCTCGGCTGCGATGACCCCATTGAGCTGGTCATGATGCCGCTCAGGAGAAGCAGGTGGGCTGTCCACCAGTTCATCGCTGTTGTTGAGAGAGCCGATGTTTCCCCATCACCAAGCGAAATAGTCCAAAGTAAAGGGGCCACTGAAAACCCTACAGTCCATCTTCTTGAACGCATCGGATCGGATGAAACCGGTGTTGCTGGTTGAGCCCATGAGTAATGAATGATCCGCCCCGGTGGAGGGGTAATAGAGAGGGTCTGCGACTCCGCGCAGTCTGCACGAAACCACCATGCCCACCACTCACACAATGACCAGATCCGGGAGAGAGTAGACCTTCAATCCAGCGTGTTAGCGAGAGTGAGAAGGAAGGATGGGGCAACTGTTGCTCTCTTTAGTACACATTAAGGTTGTGACATAGGCCATTGAGGCGTGTCTTAGCCTCACTGCTCCTTTCAACACTGGGAGCGAGGGAGGGGTCTTTCAGGCACCATGAACGGTGACCATGAGTGCGCTCAGTCCGCCTCACAAGGCAAATGCATGATCATCCCGCTAATGTCATCTTAATTCTTTCATTTGCTGGAGTGCCGGTGTGTGACCCTCCGTGGGTAGGAGGGAAAGGAGAAGGAGTATGTCCTAGCCTCCCAGGTGCTCGGCGCCGGGAGAGAGTGTCGACTATCGATGAAAGTCGACATTTCCACGAGGAAGGATGGGCAGGAGCCGACAACCACTTTACTCCAGGCGGGGGAGGCAAGTGCACAGGCGAAAGGGGGAAAGGATGAACTTCAGGAATCCCAATTATTACTCGGTCGCTTAGAGAGCATCCATGCTCTCTGCCCAATGAGTGAGTATCGCTCTCCACCCTCTCCGTCTGGCATCTATACAAGAATTGAGCTTACCGTACAAGATCTTCTACAAGACTAGACGGTATAGGAGAGGCAGTGGTACTATTTTCCGACCAGCTAGTGCTCAATTGCGAACCCATCCGGAGTAGTTCGCTGTCTCCCCCCAGCACGGACAAGATACTTCATCAATATGGCTGGAGCTGTCCCGCTCCAGGAGCACAAGGATCCGTGCCCGTCCAAGACGTTGACTGGGTGGTCCGCCCATTAGGATCTTCCTGCGACGATGGGAATGCGGCTATGGCAGTTGGAAAAAGCGGGGTCTTTCAAGATACTAACTTCCTTAAGTTCCTTACTAGCTGGGGCGAGCTTAAACCAGTTCATCCCTAAATTTCTTACAGCAATCAAAGTAAATTCACTGCCGGCCGGCGAAGCTGATCAGTGCCCACTTCGTCTAAACCCATCCGATCCGGTGAGGTGGTGACCCTGACAGCGTGACCAAAGTCATCGTTATCATAGTCGATCGTCTCAATGGTTCCTGTCCGGAGTATCACTCACTGGAAGGGTCTCGACAAAAGGAGGAGAAGCAGGCGACGCCACTATAGATCGAGTGATCGAAGGTCTGGACTCCTTGCTTTGTGCTCCCTGCGGTGATTCTATAGCTGTCAGGGAATGAGGGTGTCATGGATCTGATAGTCGAGGGGACTCGCCCGGTCCCCGGACCCGAACCAAGATCCTTTCTCGACGTTGACTACGGGCAGCACCAAAGCAGCAGATTACCCAACTAGTATCTTGACCTGGTGCTTGGAAAACCGCAGGACAAGAACGACTAGGTACGCGTTGAAAGACGGAGAAAGCTGACCCGACCAATATCAAGGCCTGACTGCCTGAGGGTTCGGAAGAGACAGCGCTGCGGAACCATGTCTACGTTCCCGTCAAAGTTTGGGTTGAGGATTCCGCAGACCCCGTCCAGACTTTCTTGGGAAGAGGAAAAGGAGGAGGCGTGCCAACCTACCACACTTTCGAGCCCTCTTCTCGGTGCTCGCCTCTGGGCGAGAGAGGAAGAGAGTTTGGGTTTGGAGAGGCTTGTCCGTCGTAGACAACCCACCGCCACCACAAACCGCCTTAAACCGCGGGCTAGATTCGCTGTGGCACTTCGCTAAGATGGTCTGATTCCGGCGTTCCAACTCAAGGGGCAGTTCTCTAAAGGTTGGTTCCCATACTGTCAGAGTGATTTTGATATAGAATGTAAGACTTGTATAGTACTTAAAAGAGCCAACCAGCCAGCTTTTAGGTTTGGAGGTGGTGACGGGGAATTGGAATGCTATCCGGGGTTTACCTTGATAGCTCCCGACTGTCTGGGAGGCTTAGACCTGATTGACCTACCGTATTGTCCGACAGTGCGGGAGAGATGATGGGGGATGCAGTCTGCGCGGGCCATTCAGCGGGCTACGTTGGATTCATCACCTTCGTGGTTGAAACAGATAGCCTTCTCCTGTACTTTTCCAGTCCCTGTCATCCCTTCCGTGACATCTTACTTTACTTTTCTTTTCTTTTCTTTCTTTTTTTCCTACCTTATTTCTTCTTTCGCTAAAACTTCACCCATTTGGTCCAGCATTCTTCCCTGGCGTAAGGGAGGGCCGAGAAGAGACAAGAAGAGTCTTCTAGTTCTTTTTTATTTTCGTTTCTTTTTTCCATTAGCGCTGACACACACACACACACACACACACACATACGCGCATTCTTCGGCCATCTTCTGTTGAAGAGGCAAAACCATGCGGTGACTGATAATCAGGAGCAAGTCTGCATCGGGTGTTTCAACCTCAACCTTGATGGCCCAAGCACGGCGGTGATGCTGCCATGTGGCCCCCGATGCCTCTCCGTCTCCATTGGCCTTTTCGCGGCTGAGCGATGGGGGGCTATCGTAGCGACCAATTAACATGCTCCATACTTTCCCGAAGCAGAAAGTGGATTCCTCACCTCACCGACCTAGTTTTGCCTAGTGTCATCCTTAGTAGCAGGAGCCATCAGCTAATCCTGTTCCAGCCGAAGAAAGAGGCTCAAAACCCGACACTCACTCACTAATTGTGCCCTTCTGCTTAGCAACCGATGACTGATTAGAGATCACAATCCTTGCACTGGGCCAGTATCAGATGGGAAATCTGCATAACTAACTAACTAACTAACTAACTAGTTAGTTACCTTACTATCGGACTAAACTAATCAATCACTAATCAAAAGTAATCTTCTATCGTCATGAATGACTGCCCATATTGGCTGGCATCGGTGAATGCAGTGGTTCCATCCATCCTTTGCTTTCCATCCCCCGTGGTCATCCTGACTGAGCATTCTAGAGATGGCTCGACCTGTCTGTCGGCCAGGACAAGGTCTTTCTTTCCTTATTGTTGCTGCTGACCTTTTGGAACCTTTTTTTCCCCCACTCCCTTTCTTTTTTCTCTACTGGGCTGTGTGGTCTCTTATTCTACAGGTCAGTGCTGGCTGGTTTGTATTACCTTACCGTCGATTTGGTTCCTTATCGCCAGTTCTAGTCTTGCATTGTTCACGTCTTCACGATGACTCGAACTGTGGTTCTGCTGGAGATCAGCATCTGACCGGTCGTACCGTGGCGCTCACTATCTTGGCTTCCTAGTCTATCCCCAGAGATTCGACCCGTTCTTAGCTTATTTGTTATTTTAAGGCTTTTCCGGCTGGATATTTCCCAATCCCAATTTTCCCTTTTCGTGGGTTATTTTTCTTTTTTCTTCAATTTTTTTTTCCCTTTTTGGGACTGACATTCTGGTACGGCGTACGGACTGTATTACACTGCCCTCTACTAATTGTGTTATTTACTGATTTGGGTTCTACCATTCTCTGGTTCGCTATACTAGACCATTACCCCGTAGACCACTCACTCACTCTTCAGCTCATTTTATTTTTATCTTCTTTTGTTAAATGATGATGATGATAATAAATAATAATAATAATAATAATACTAATAATAATTATCATTAAGATTATCTGACTTGACCAGACTTTGATTCTCTGATCAACCCAAAATTACCTCTTGCCAATCCACCGTAACGGTCCCTCGACCCGCAGCTGAAAGTGGCTGCATCCTTCCTTACCGGCCGGCCGGTCCTGGTCTGTCTGTTATCCTCCGTCTTTTTATACTCAGTGTATTCCTCCATCTTCTACCACTCCCCCCGGTCTGTCTACCTCCAGCTTCATTCGTCTATCTTCCTTCCCTTCCCCCTCTCTACTCTTACCATTACGATTACCATTAAGCCCCTCTTCCTAGTCCACTGCTAGTCTACTAGAGTGGTTTAGGGGCAAAAGGGCAGCAAGCAACCGCAACCAAGAGGATCGAGTTCAAAAAATAAGGCCGGCCACTGACACTCTCGACTGCACCGTTTTCTCGTATTTTCCACGTGTATTTCGTCTGTTCATCTTCACCTGGGGCTGCGGCTCGAGGTTATTTTTGGACTCTGCATTACTTCGACCTATCGTGGGCGTCCATGATCTGATAGTCACTTTTGGGTGGTCTTTTATTGCCCTTGGATATATTAGATCATATTATCCCGCCACTGGCCCATCTCCGCATCCTGATCTTCTCCATCACCTTTCGTTCAACCACTCCAGATCCCCACGCTCGCTCTCGACATTCATATCCCATTTCCTCGACGGCCTTTCTGTCCCTGGTGACCGTCGCTTCAGAACCCACCTCTTGTCCTACCTTACCCGAGTTTTCAAGAGCTACCTTGTGTAGTCCGACATTATGGCTGGTCCCGGCGGTGGTCCTCCTCGCAAGAGCCACACCAAGTCTCGTTTTGGGTGCAAGACATGTAAGAGACGTCACATTCGTTGCGATGAGACATTTCCTCAGTGGTATGTATCACCATGTTGCTAGAGATGTTGGCTGCTGACCCAGAGACAGCCGCAACTGCACCAAGCACAACTGTCGCTGTGACTATATGGATGTCGCAGCAGTCCACGAGGAAGCCTCCTCAATTCGCAACGTCCCCGACCTCCTCATGTCGGTGGAGATTGAGACAGAGATCAAGAACTGGCACGTCACAGGCGTGCCCCCTTTCCCCGAGTTGATGCACTTTCCTCGCAATAGCTGGAGCAAGCTATCGCGAACCGATCTGCGGCTGATCCACCACATCATCGGACTCTCTATCGACCTCCACCGTCGCGGTCTGGGCAATTGCACCATTTGGGCTCAGAAGATGCCAACGTAAGTTTCTCAGCAGTTGCAATGAAAGACAATCGGCCTGCGACTTACACTTTCTGCGTCTTAGCTTCCTCACCATTGCCCTTGCAAATGATTTTGTGATGAGCTCCATCTTGACCATGGCAGCATCCCACCTGGCATGGATCACTCGCAATCAAGAAACCAAGCAGTTGGCGTATCACCACAGAGGTATTGCGATCCAGAGACTCCACAAAGCGATTGGTGCATTCTCTCAAGGCAACTGTGATGCCATCCTGGCTGCTTCCATCCTCTTGTCCTGGCAGGCGTCCGAATGGCAGAGCTGGGCCTCATTGCAGCAGGGCCTGACGACAGTATGTCAACCCTTTCGTGGCAACAAACAAAGCTGACAGATGTTCTAGGTCCTCCACGCAATGCATCCGAGTTGGAAACATGAATCAGAGTTGGCCATGTACCTGGAGAACCAGAGATACCTGGGCTGCACCAACACCCCAGTCATGTCTGGCTACCAGTTCCAGGACGAAGATCTGGCTAGCCTTGACCAAGTCATGGTCGCACTGCAGTCCATCCAAAAGCGGACTTCGCACAACCACGACCATTACCGCCGCATTGGCGAGCTCTTGGAATTTGTGCGACACTTCCAGCGTGATCTTCTTTCTCAGACACCCGAACAGGCCTTTGAGCGCATGCAGCCACTCCGCCGGTGGCTGTTCTGGCTTCCCCCGGCCATGCTGCGTCCCGAAGATGCAGATGTCGGCTCCCTGAGTATCCTGGCGCAGTTCTTCGGTGTTGGAGTCGTCCTCGACAGCCTCTTCCCGGATCTGGGAGGTGCTTACCTAGGCCCATTGTCTCTGGGCCCGATTGAGGAGATTTACCGACTCATCGTCTCTCGAAACGCCACGGACCCGTTTAACCCTGAGGTCCAGCTAGCATTGTCCTTCATGGACCTTCCTCGTCACATCGTGGCGAAATACAAAAGCCGTTTACAGTGGTCTCCCCGCACCTCGATTGACCACTATTCACCCGCCCCTCCCAGTCCCTACCACAACGTTCACGACTACCGCCTCGCCTCTTCTTCTCCGTCCTCAGCCTCTGCCACGTATGCCCCCTACACGCCACCCCTCCAGTCTCCTCCCGCCGTCACCATTGCCAGTCCCCAATTCGACGTCACCGGATCTTATGTGACAGCCCCACCATCTTCTCAAAGCCTCTACCCGCCATCACCCCGTTTGCTCTCCGATCCACGCGAGGATCTGTCAGATTACAGCCACACCGGGTCTCTACAGCACTCGCCCCTCTTCCCGCCGCAGTACATGAACGATGTGGTCTGCGGGGAGCTGCCACGCGTGGATGGATCGGTGGGGCTAAACATGCAGTTCTACGACGAACCCCATCCCGTGTTCGGAGCTTACCATGTTCCAGAAGCAGGATGGAACGGTAGTGTCTGTACCTGAACTGGGACACGGGGACGGTGATGTGGACATTTTCTTCTCTTTTATCTGGTGCTACGGAACAAAACACGGCATAAATCGGGATTGGTTATTGGAGCGAGCGACTGAATAGAGCGGACATCAAACCTTTTTTTTCTTTTCTTTATCTCTTCATCTTTCTGTTTTTATCCTGCATCACATGCTTGTGACTGTGATTTCGCATTTTCTCTGAGATTTATGTCAATCCTTGCTACTATTTTGGTGAGCACGAGACGAGCGGCATGGTTTGCGGCGAGCAAACATTGAGCGGGATGGAATGGAAGGAACGCTGGGAAGTGATAATCCATTGGCAATATACCCTTGGCGTTGGGCTGTGTTATAATCAGGATCGCTGGTTCTGGGATGGGAACTGGACTTGGGATCGCACACAAACACATTGTTTTATTTACTTTACAAACAAACGATACCACTGTGATGAGAATATGAAACAAATCACCAACTACATTAGTTAGTTTTGATCTTCGAATGACTAGTGAGCTGCAAAATTACTTCAAGAAAGAATGTCTATTATGGGATGAAACAGCGAACCGTTTCAGACACGCAAGGCTGGATAGTCACTCAGCATACACCGTCGATCAGACTGAGCATTTCAAAAGATCGTCCAGTATCAAAGCTTTCAAGCTAAGGATCCTTCCTCTCAGTGAAAATAGAAACCAATAGTACAACACCAACCACCATAACGACTCCCAGCACAGAACATCCTCGATCCCTGCTCACTGCCATGCAACCCAATCGGCCCCCATCTCCATGACCGCCACCGTCTAAAAGTAATGCCATCACACCACTAGGCACACGCAACCGCAGGACATATTTGATCAGGTAGGCACGTGGCATCCCCGATCCTTCCTGTTTTGCTTCTGGTTCTCCTCGCCGATCATCCATCTCGTCATCACCTGCGCACTATAGCCTGAGTGTTGGATTTTTCCGGACGTTTTATTCGCTCACCTGGCAATCAGAACAGAACAATGATCATTCTCGATTTTCGCTGGGGATTCATTCGGAGTACAGGTTGAAAGCTATCGTTATCCAACGTGGTGGGATTGGTTTCTTCAGTGTTTCTGGTAACTTGAGTAACTAACTAACTGGGTGATTCTTGGAACTAAACATGGGGTTGTGATGGTTTGAAGTCAGCCTTGGAGTTATTGTTGAGTTGTCTGCTTGTGTTCCTGTCACTACAAGTAGTGTCTGTATGTGAGCACTGCTGTACGTACATAGTATTGGTCCTTTAGGTCGATCTACTCCGGTCCAGGGAACATGAGCTTGTTTTTGTAGAGAAGGCGGAAGGGTATACAGGCTTGTAGTCAAGATAGATCTTGTTTTGTTTGTAGGGTACTCAGCTCACTTACCCACCCACGCATTCTATCATTGCGAAGGGTGGAGACGAGCCGGAGGTCAGTGTCATTCTAGGTATTGGTATTGTTTAGAGGAAGTTAAAGGACCAGCCTGAAGCTATCCCACGAGAACCAGTAGGCCCCCTGGTTGACTCGCCGCATCTCTCTGGTTGCACCTTACTTACCATACTATCCAACACTATAGTTCAATACGGAGTAGAAATAATCAAAACAGCAGTCTCCGCGTCGTAGACGACCTTGTAACCAACCGCGATATCGCAACCGGATCCAGTCAAGCGAACACTAATCGATGCTGGTGGTTTGGAAGAATGAAGACGAGAGAGAGAGAGAGAGAGAGAGAGAGGCGGAGAACTACAGCAAAAACAAACCGATAACACGATATCAAGCTCGACCATTCATCCTTCCATCATGTACTTTTCTAACTAGAAAATAGAATCTATCTAAAGCTAAATAAGGTAGGGCTGAAAACTCAGACAGACCACGACGCTTCTCATCCTGAAATTTTGACTCGCGAGGCAAGGGGCACGCATTAAGGTTGCATCACAGCCAGATAGCCGGAGGTTGCAACCCCCAAGCTGCATGCCACGCATTCACATCCACATAAACCGGATTTTTTGGACAGATACTTCCCCCCAAGTAAAATGACCGACATCCAGGCATTGAAGTTCAAACCTTCAACCTAGAAAATTGAGACTGAACAGGACAAAGAGAGAAAGTTTTATACGCCTTTCGCCATGAGATTTTGAAAACTTGCAAATGTGGGACATTAACACGAGAAAATTATAGATCTAAATCTGATATACAGAACGAAGTCTCTGAGCAACATGGGCCGGAAGTTGCGACAGGAATGAATCGAAGTTGGGTATCATATTTTTGTAGCCTTGCAGAACCTACACCTCCTCAGTTAGCGCCATCCTTCTCCCTGAAAGAAAATCAAGACTTACCTGCTGGAAAGATGTTTGAATGTCCCGGTAGTCATCCTGGTTCAAAGACTTGCTGGGAAAAGCCGCAATGGCCTGGAAGTAATCGCCAAGGAATGACTCCATGGCCTGCGGGTTCTTCATAACCACCTGGTTGAAGCCCAAGAAAGCCGACGCCTTTTCGCGGGTGAACTCGATCTTGTTCATCGATTTCAAAAACACCCCCGCGTACTCACTCAGCCGAGGCGCAAGTTGATCCGAGCAGCAGATTCCCAACCGACCCAGCGCCATCGCAGCGTTCTCGTTCACAGAATCAATGATCTCTTCGTTGTTGATGATGACGTAAAGCCCTTGGTACAGCTTCTCAACGTACGGGGACAGAGCCGCCTTCTCGTTGACTGCAATCTCTCCGCACGACCAGCAGGCGTTGTTGAGCACACTGAACCCCGTGTGCCGATCGTCGTCTCGGATCATATCCAGATCCAATTGCTTGATCAGAGTGGGCATGATTTGAGGGATGAAAGGTTCGAGCTGAGGGAAGATGTTGATCGCACAGTCTCCCAGCAGCGCGTACGACGATTGACGGACCTCATAGTTCGGGTCTTCCATACAGAAGCAGAGGAGTTCGAAGAATCGAGGCTGGGAGTTGGCCACCAGTTCGCCGCTCTTCTGCGGATCGATCGCCTGGATGATCGCGCTCAGAAGGTCCAAGCTGGTAACCAAGAAATCCTTATCCGGCTCCTCGACACCCTGGTTGTTGACCGAGGCAATATACTCCTGCAAGTTCTCGTAGATGATCTTGATGCAACGCTGGAAGAGAGGCTGCGCAAAGGGAGCAAATGCATCTCCGTAAGCGGCGGCGATGTACCCGAGGCACTCCAGCAAAGGGAAAAGCTCACGAGACTGGTCGGCGACCTTGTTATAACGGTCGATGAGCGCAGGCATCAGGATATTCACCAGATGAGGCTGCGCCAACTCTCCCATGACGCACTCCGCCAGGGTCTGCACACAATCGTACAGGATGTACATGTTCCGATCCTTATACTTGCCGAAACACTGCACAAACTGCCGAAGGATGGGCTCGCAGTACGGAATCAGGTTGGCATCGGACTTCTCCTCCAGGCTTGCAAAGGCCGATGCAGCTGCCTCTTGAACCTTCTTGTTGCCATCCAACATGCGACGCAGGATGCCGTCCATCATCGGCTCGAAAAAGCGGGCTCTTTCCGCGGGGTCGGCCAGATGAGAAGCCCACTCCGAATATCGTCCTAAGCACCAGCAAGTGATCTGACGGACGACAGGCTGGTCATCATTCAGGCACGAGATCAGATAAGGAACAAGCTCTGGAAGATGGGGTGTGACCGCATCCATACAACCATCAGCAACCGCTCCCAGCGTCAGAACGGCAGCTTCCCGCTGGGGCCACTGTTCATGACGAAGAGTCTCCATCAAATAGGGTAGGATGACCTCGAAGATTGGGTCGTGGTAAACATTGGAGAACACGTCCAAAGCTGCCGCAGAGCATTTGCGAAGGGTCCACTCATCCTCAGGATCGTCTCCGAACTCGGAATCCTCAATCTCTCCTTCACTCAGGTCATCATCCTCCTCCTCCTTCTCGGGAGCCGCGTTGCCGTTGGCTTGGTCCGGCTTGGCAGTATCTAGACGAGCGCCTTTGGACTTCGCAAACTGAGGCTTGAGATCTTCAGCGCGATCATCCAATTCCGCGTCCTCGCCCTCTGCAGCCAAGCGGGTGGCCTCGTATTCATCGTAGACCATGCTCCGCAACAGGACGGGGACGATCTGAGACATGTGGGGGGCCAACGGCTGCTGGAGCTTCGTCTGCTCACCCGCGACCAGCCAGAACTCGGCTGCATCGAGCGCGAGCTCCGGGTCCTCCTGGTTATTCTGTTGCATGATGATATAATTGACCAGCCCTTCCATATGCGGGATCAGTTTCTCCGGAGCGAAGTCCACCAGTTGAGCGAAGGTTTGACACACGGTGCGGCGAACATCGCTGCTAGAGTCGTTGGCTAGTTGGAACAGCTGCGAGAGGAACAAATCCATGGAGGCAACCAGCGCCTTGGGCCGGTGGGGAAGGAAGACGTGGATTGTGCGGAGGGCCGTCGAGCGGACCTTGGCGCTCTGGTTGGAGGTGAACTCAAGCAGCTTCGGAATGATGATGTCGAGTGGGTATTGTCCTTGGTACTCGCGATCCAAGATTTTGCGGTTATCTTCGCAGACCTTCGCGAGAGCGGACATGGCAGCCTCCTGGGTGACACTGGTCACGTTGCCAGAGTTTTCGACGAGCGCGAGCAGCTCGTTCAGGACATCCGGCCATGCCAGCAAGCCGGCCTGCGAAACCAACTCTGTGATGATCGTACCGGCGGAGTTGCGAACTTGAGCATTGGCGTCGCGTAGACTGAGCAGAGTCGCTGATCGAATGTAGGTGAGGGAGGACTGCGGGATTGTAGCGTAGGCGACACGGATCTTAGTTTTGAGGTTCATGGCCGCGGCGAATCGGACCATATTGTAGGTTTCATCGTTCATGCCCAGATGCGAGGGGGGCTGCGGAGTGCAGAAGAGGTAGGTGATATAGTTGACATAATCTGGAGAAGAGGTTGCTTGTACTAGCATCTATCAGATGAAAGAAAAAGATCGAAAGAAAGCTCCAGTCAGTCATTTGAATTTTTTTTTTCGAGAGCAGACGAGCACCAGAGATTTATTGGCACAAGTGAAGGCATATGAGACAAGGCCGACCGAAGCGCAAACCCCAGGAAGGGTGTGTATATGGGGATGCGGCACAGTCGAAGCGGGCAGATAAAATTCACGGATGCGAGAGAAGAGGGGAGGGGTGGAGGGAGAAGCACACACCTGTTCGGCCTGTTTTTGGGCCGGGCGATCATAAGGATTCAGAGAATCCCTGAGACAGCAAGCCAGCTGGCTCAATGGCTCATCCTGCGGTTGCCACTCCATGATGAAGAAAAAAAAAAAAAAAAAAAGAGGGAGGGAGGGAGGGGAAGGGAGGGGAGGCGCAGAGGAAGAAGCAATAGCGGGAGAGGGAGAAGGGAGGACGGGGGGAGGAGAGAGAGAGAGAGAGAGAGAGGAGTAGTAGTAATAGTAGTTAGTAGTTAGTAGGAGTAGTAGTTAGTAGTAGGAATAGCAGTGGGTTAAGGTAAAGTAGTGTGGAAGGGGGGGAAAGGTCAGTCAGTCAAAGTGAGTGCCAGCCAGCCAGTCAGTCAGTGTTTCGCCCAAAGGGAACAAAACCCCGCCGTCTGGCTGGGAAAAAGCGGCTCCCCAATTAACTGCACTCTCTCCTCTACCCACGTACCACTTACTTGTCTTGTCCCTCTCTCTTCCTTATTACCCTCTGGTTGACCGCCAAGCTATGACAATGAAATCATTCAAAATAGATAATCATTTAAGGTGATCAGATTCCTTCTATAAGAACTAAAGTACAACGAACGATATAGCAGGGAGACCACGAAGACCAGCCAGCGACCGTGGTCAAATGCGGATAGAGAGGTTATCGATTGATCATGACATTACACCCCACCAAGAATCTTCAACAAAGAACCTTATTATAGGAAGCCGAGACAGATAATAAAGAAACAATTCAAGAAAAGGCTATATTCACTCAACCCCCTCTTACTGGGAAGAAATGGCAATGGAGATACAGAGGCTGCAGGAGATGCTGTACTGTACTGTCATTGCTCCGCGCTCAATTGCAGGGGCCGTAAGGGTAATGACAAGGCGGGTATCTGGGTATCTGATCTCTCGCACTTTTATTCGACATCAACAGTCCTTCTACGTACATGATGGAGATTGTGGTTGGCCCAAGTTTACATTGCCCCAAGCTTCACAGAGAAGAAGAAGGTATTCCAGTATTAAGCATGTGTAAGTATAACTTTCCCGATATATAGCAGAAATCGCCTCTATCAAATGACTGGACAATGTGCGCACGTGCACCCTCAGCATATGCATTTGATGCCGCTAGTCTGGTCGACAGATCAACCCTCGTGGTTCGCTTGGCTTCACCCGTGAAATTCACTCATGCTCTTTTGAGCTTGACCTAGTTCAGCATCTCATAGTCAGTGTCCCGTCCATCGATTGGCTGAAAGGGATGCCGACCGACGGGTGGTGTTGCGGGGTGCTTTATACCAAAATGTACCTGCCGGGCCTGATATCTATAGCATCCTATCACCAACAGCGAATAACCACGGGAATAAAATCAAAGACTCCGTTCGCATACTTCGCGCATTAAGCAGAATCCAACTTCATGCCCAGACCAGTTTCTTGATGTCATACACCAGGTGTTCCAGATATCCGGTGCGTTTTTTCGCTTCCTCCAACGAGATGATATCCGATGAATCGATCAAGGATCGCTGCGTGCCATCCTCGGGGGGACCGTGGCGATCACCCGCCTTCACGGCCCGCTCGATTTCCTCGCAGATGCTTCGGACCCAGTCCGACGGGCTGACACTGCTGGTCCCCATGACCTGTGGAAGGGCCTTGAACGCCACAAGGCGAGTGGACGCGTGGGAAGTTCCTTTGAACCACGAGTACATGCTCCACTCGTTGCTCGGGCGTGCATTGCTGTCCAGGCTCTCGGAAGGCACTTGGCTCTGCAGGGACCGCGTGTTGACTCTCAAGGCATTCTTGCCACCTTCGCGATATTCCACCACCAACCCAACATTGCTGTGTTCATCGGTTTGAGCTTCCGTCAAGATTGAGGTGACGTAAGTTCCGTAGTTGATCCGAGTCACTGAGCACAGATCAATGCGCTCATAGGATAACACCTTGTCCGTGTTCCAATCGAACCGGCAGCTGTACAGAGCGACGTCCGTGAGGAGAAGGACGGCCTCTTCAAACGGCATACTCCGCAGCGTGTTCGGTTGACGGGGGGTCAGCAGTGTCCAGCCTCCTAGAAACTCTTCCGACTGGTCGCTGATCACGATTTTGCAGCTGCTATCGATGGCGTTCTGGCGGAGCTTTTGCACGGAGATGCCTGGGTCCGTTGTCTGCATCTCTAGTGCAAACTCCTGGAAGACCTGGGCGGTGACATTACCCAGCAGGTAATCGATACAGGCCTGCGAGAAATAATCATTCACAATGTTGTTATAGTACCGAGATAGGGTTAGCCCGAAGTCGTTCAACGCTCCTCGATAGTTCCGCTTGCGGGTGCGCGTGTAATCGCCCTTCAGGGCAGCAGTGGAGGAGTACTGCTTGGAGATGGCATCGCCATTATCTGCCCATAGGGTATTGAACCACTGCGTAGAGGAGTCGCGTCCTAGGTCGAGATCAATTCCTTCCCGTTTCAACTCCCGTTCCAAGGCCCATTGACCGAAGGCGCACTGCGCAACACCCGTGCGGTCGAGGCAGTCCATACAATTGGTGCGTACGATTCCAGTCTGGCGTTGAAGGACATTATTGTTCTGCACCACCGTATCGCCAAATTCGCTCAACGTTGCTTCCAGACGATCGACCAATCGGCCTACGTTCTCGAACTTCATTCCCCGGCATTCGTTGTGGAAGTCAAACCACTCCATCTTGAGTGGCACATCATCGATACCGCCTGATTCATTCAAGGACCGAGCGAACTTCTTGTATTGCTCTCCGAGCTTCAGTTCGCCAGCTTGTTTATCTATCAAGGAAACTGCCTGGACCTTGCCATACTTCCGACTCAGATTTCGGAAGTGCCTGTCAAAGGCAAGCTGATTCGTCTCCGTAGAATGATGCAGCACAGGCACTGGCTTGAAGGCGTACGGTGACTGGGAAAAATAGAGCGGGATAGATCCTCGCACTTGCAGGAACGAGTAGATGTTGCGAGCTGGATTCCAGTCAGTTGTTGAGAGGATCTGCTCTGTCTCAACAAAGTTGGCGGTGTTTCCATTGTCATCCACGCCACGACGCAGGTATCGTAGACCCGGCCGCTTGACCGATCGTCGAGATATCAAAGTAACGAGAAAATCATGCTTGTCCTCATCGGTCTTGATTGTATCTGCCTCCTGTTTCTCACCCAAGATCCGGCCGTCGACCTGTGGCTCATCTGCTTTATCCGATTTGGAAGAGGACGGTTTGGGGACTGCGCCAACTGTGAATTCTCGTTGGCCGACGAACCCTTGCATCAAGGGCAGAGCAAAACCGTGAGCATCGGCTGTAATGAAAGGCGCAAGCAGATGGCGATTCCAGAAATACTGCGAGTAATCGGTCAGCGACAAAGTTTCGTCCTACAAACATGGACGAAGCATGAAGCGTACTCACCATATCATCGACCAATCTGTGAAGCGGAAGGTGAGTGGCCAGCGATGGCTCCTGGACACTAAGACTCCTGGTAAGGTCATAGTCGTACGCAAAGAAGAAATTGCGCGACGAGAAGACCATCTCCGTGTAACGCAACAGCTTGGGCAGCAACTCCACCGTAGGATCCGAGCCAAACGGTTCTGCGAGGCTTTTCTTCGACGACGTATCCTCACCCCGGGGCACAGGAGGCGCCGCTGCCTCGCGGTTCTCATTCACCTCAGCAACGGCTGGGGAAGACTCGGCAGTGCTTTCCTTAACATCTCCCATGGGCGCGGCTTCGGCAGATTCCTGATTGACAGCCCCTAGTCCTGGCAGCCCCAGGGTCTTCCTGGAGAGCCAGTTCGCAGCATACCGGCCGAAGCGGACCCTCTTTCCGATCACGTCTTCCGCGATGCTGCCAACGCTGCGTGCCCGAGCATGGGGGACTTCCTGTTCTGGCGAAGCCGGCGCTGTGCCCACCTCGGCATCACTTTCTTCTGTCTCTGTGTCAGATATCGGGCTCGAATCCTCGGACGCAGTCTCAACATGACTGTCTTCGCCCTGCAGCAGGTGTTCCTTGGCGAGCGAGATCGCACGATTTGCATCCGTCTGGGACGAGGTGGGGATCACGGCGACATTGGTAATGGTATACACGGGCTTCCCTTGGATCTGAGCCACTTGTTGACGTTGAGTGATGGAGATGAGGAATGAATACGACGCAACAGACAGAAGCCCTTTGGTCGGAAAGAGACAGGCATCAGTAAATGATCCTCATGCGTGGATCCAGGGCATGAACTAGGACATAACGAGGAAAGAAAGACAAGTGCCTCAGAATCATACATCATATATGAGACAATAAAATCCACAATCCACGTCTGGAGTCTTGGCTAGATCAAGAGGTTCAGCACATACCGACGAGACCGTATATCTCCAGACTGGAGTCCCGCTTGTCGCTAAATTCCGATGCGGAGCCAGAAAGTAGTGTGATCTTATTAGTCTTGTAATCGATGCGAAGAGACGATGGCTCGTTATTGCCAGTGTGTCGTAAGCCATTGCCCGTGGACTGAAGGATCAGTCCATCCGCGGCCGCGATGACGATCAGCTTCCGCAGCAATCCAGGCATATTGCCCACTGTTTTGCAGCGCTTAGACTGAAGAAGAGTGAACTGAAGATGGGGGGGGGGCAAGGAGATGCACAAGTATGCAGCTTCACATTCTAGTATAGACAGCGCACCCACCACTTGGTCAGTCAGTCAGTAGTCAGTTGAGCAGTGCTGATGGTGGTGGGATGTCTGTCTGTACCCAACATGAGCTTAATCCCACTGGTTCTCAACGCGACATCATCGATGGTCTTTTTCCCCACTGCCAGCCACGCCCGCCCTCCCCAGCCAGCCAAGAGGGGGAAAAGACAAAAAAAAAAGCAACCACCCGCCTACGTCACCTTATGGCCCGCACACACCAAACTATTGAGCTTCTCCCTACCATACCTACCACATGATCAAGAACACAACACAACACAACCAACAACATGTTATCGAAAAGTATGAAGGAAGCATAAGCAGAGACTAAACTGGAATGGCTGACTCTCGGCAATCCACATGGTCTATTGGAAAATTCACCCGTGATCTTAACCTCTATATACAATTCCGGGTTTGTGTAATTGCAGGTATTCGCGCCTGCGGTTCATACCATAGCAGATGATGAAAGAAACAAAAAAAAAAAAACAGAAAACGATCCCATTCACATACAAGTCATTCGGGGCATCTATTGCTCCTCATCCGGGCGTCTTACTCGCAGTGGGAGTCAAGTAAAAGTACAAGGCATCCAAAAACAGTCGCAACCGTTCATGAAAAGGAAGAAGAGGTGGAGAGGGTGGAAGAGGTATGGCAAACCAAGGGGGATAGCAAGGGAAAAGAGGATATAAGCGTAACTGAAATAATTTTGGTCATAAGTAGAAGGTAGCAAGCAAGGGGGAGAATCTTTAAAAAAACATAGACAGCCAAAAGGAACAGATGGAATGATCAACTGCAAGCATTCGTATCATACTATAGCGCGTCGTGCTTATTGGGTCGCTGTGAGGTACGGTTGAGCTCCTCACTTCGTGCATAAGTAGGACCTGGCTCTCCGTCGCTCTCTTCGTTCATTTCGGATAAACCGAAAGCCTGGTTCTCAACGTCGTACGCGCGGATCAGTCCTTCGCGGTCTGCATTGCCATTCATGTATGCAAAACTCGAAGAACTCCGGCGGTGCGGCTCGTTACTGCGCCGAGATTGCATTGACCGTCGCGTTTGAAAGCCAGCAATTCCATCCGTGGGAACTCCTTCGTCGTCGAGCTTGTAATTGAGCATCTGCCGTCCGTCTGGGTCATGTCGAGAAATGTTCAAGAGGTACACGCCGGCAAAGATAGTCAGGAAGCCGCAAAGCAAGGAAATGGTGTTCACAGCATCGCTGGTATTGAATCCCTTGAATAGAATGAACGAGGCACACAGCGTAGCGGTCGTGAACGTGACATAGTACAGCGGGTTGACACTGCAAACGATGATTGTTAGCAAATGCTCCAGACACAACAAGCATGACGCATCACTCTTACATCGACGTGGAAAATTGATTGAGCGCCTTGTTGAAGTAGTTCAACTGGGTCAAGATACAGAAGCCCGTGACAATCATGAACACATATGTCGATGCCTGGGTAAACTGGTTGTTCCCTCCTAATGTGAGCTTCACAGCGATGCCGAATGCCTTGACAGACATGACTGAAACCGAGCCGACGGTTGAACAGATCGAGATGTAAATCAATGGGTTCTTCTTGCCGTAGACGGGCGCAACGCGGTAAATCATAACGGTGGAGAAGATTGCGACAGCGAGACAGTAAATGAGAAAGCCTGTGAAAAGATACTAAGTCAACCCGGCTTGGCTAGATCGAGTCCTTGTTGACACGAACCTGGTTGCAGCGCATAGCTCAAGATCTCGTCGATCCGCTCGACTGGTTTGTCTGGCGGCGCATGGAGAACAATTACCACTGAGCCAAGCAGACACATGGCACACCCCAACTTGCCCAAAACACCCAATCTTTCTTTAAGGAAATAGGAACCAAGGACAGCACTGAATAACATTAGTTTCGGAAACAAGAAATTAGCAACCGGAAATATCGTGTCGTACCCAATCAGGACACTCAGCGCACCCAAGGGCGTAACCAGGATGGCAGGCGCGAAAGCATAAGCCGCGAAATTTGCGATTTCGCCCATCGCCACTATCAAATTCAGTCAGCTCTCTTCCCCGCAGCACTCCCAGAGACATGGTATTGTCACGTACAGGTGATAACTCCACCCCACCATATGGGACTCTTCAAATATGAAAACCCTTCTCCTTCAAATCCATGCCTTTCCGAAGCTTGCATTAGACCCTACGGCGACCGGTTAGCCGATCGTTCTGGACAAGAGTGTGGACGACGAGCGGAGGGAAGTGAGATTGCTGGTTGGAGGTTGGCGATGGCAGACGAACCTTCTTGGTGATGACGAAACTTGTGCCTGCGCTGTTGTCAGTTTGATAGGAGGAATTCTTCGATAGGGAACGCTCGTACCAATTGCCATCGTTGACACGATAGCCAAAATAAGGCCGACATATCTGGACACCACGACCCGATTAGAAGACTGTCTTGAGTGGCTCTCAGGCTTTCAACGACGACATGAGGGGAGCAACGTACTTATCAGAGATCATATTGACAATAGCTGAGGAGCTGGTTGCTCCCTCGTGAATGAGAACGCCAATGCTAGATTATGTCTTCTGTGGTAGTCGGCGGATGTATAATGCCGAGTCGGAATTGGGTGGGAAAGTGAGTGCACAATGGGAGAGGCTGAAGTGGATGCTGGATCGGCTTTGGCTTTGGTGGATGACTACCTCAGCCAAGCATTCGGAGTGCGCCAAACAGTGACCGACGAGGTTTAGAAACAGAACAAGAACGCAGAGAGCAAAGAGTGACGTGAAAATGGAGAAAGAAGAAGTAGTCAGAATCAGTGGCAGAAAGGAGTGAGTAAGCTAAGTCGCAGTAAGATGCTGCAGCCTTGAGATGCGACCGATGATTCTGCTGGGGGTCGAGAACTCCTGCGATCGGAGAAGAGAGCTTGTTGATGATTGATCCTAGAGGCTGGCTGCCTGCCTGCCTGCGCTCGTGCGGTGGGGTTTTCCCCTTCGAACGGATCCGGGCCGGATCTGGACGCGCGTTACTAGTGGTGAAATAGGTGCAAGCGAGTGACTGGCGGCAAGTCTCCTGATCTAGTCCACAGTACGGAGTAGATTAGGAAAGAAGCAAAGTAATGGTGGTAATGGTGGTAGTGGTGGTGGTGGTGGTGGAGGACGAGGAGGCGGTAGTGGTGGTCGGTGGTAGGAAGGAAACCAAAGAAACTCCGTGGTAGGCGCTGAGAGAGAGAGAGAAAGAGATGGGAGATGCAGCCGTGTCCTCAAATTGTTGCCAGAGCATTCATTGCAGGTACCACCACTGTTGCTGCTGTACACCTAATACTAGCCAGCCTACGTCCATTGGTGATGATGACACGCGCCCACCAAAGATAGACCTTACCTAAGCCGACTCACCCCATCCATTTTCAAGTGGAAATGGTACCTTACTGCAAAAGGTTAAAAACATTCAATGCCAGAACATGAACTAGTTGCATTGTATTTTGCGTGTTAGCTAGGTCTACCCAAATTACTCTTCTTAATAGACATCTATACAAGTTTATCCCCAACAGTTTAAATACATAATTCGGTTGAAAGGAAGAGTCTCGCTGGCGTCCAGCGTCCGCGATTCATCCCCGGCCTGGAGAACACCCACTAAGTTGGGGTATTATTCGTTACCCGCCAAAAACTCAGGCTGGAATGTGAAGGGAAAAAACGTCCGGAAGGGCAACGGTGGCCATTCCACTTCGCCCAATCAAGGGCTGCTAACCACACCTCGGCCCCCCTTGATGAGTCTGGTTTCAGTATGCGATCAGCGACCTGAAACAAAAGGTACCTAAGAATATGTGGAATTCTCGCTTGAATCGCCCCAAATTCGCGCGCTCTGCCACTGATGCTCACTTGTCTCAGTTGCCTGTGCTGTATCCGGCCCTTAGTCTAGTGAGGGTGGGTGGTGTGATATTACTAAGTACAGTATTGCAGTTCACGCCCGCATCTCAGTCCCTTAAACAAGTACTGATGACATCTTATCAGAGATCAGATAGGTCTAATCACAGTCGCTGTCCCTGCACGAGCTACTTTATCCAACAAATCATACGTAGTAGGTGGGGAAAGGGTTGACCCTCCCTGGCTTAAGATTTTTCCAGTTGGCTTGGTGGTAGGGATCTACGCTCTGTCCTATAAGTTTAGTGGACCGGCTCCTTGAAACATCGAAGTCTTACTAACCCTCCCCAGTCGAGAAGAAGTTACAATGAGATTCATTTCTCCGCTAGAAATAAGGACACATGAATGTACTAGTAGAGGAACCTCCAGTTCAGATAGTACCGGCTTTTAAAAACATCCATCCGAGGGAAATGCGCAAGGTCATTGAACCATCACGCCAGCGTTGAAGCTTATCTAGAAGGGATATCACAGCACAACACCAAGTGCAAACACACAATGGAAGGAGAAAGGTACAACCCCAGACGCCAGAGAGAATGCCGACTTATGTGGTATCGCAAGAACCAGAAGCGACGGGGAAAATTCAAGGTAGAATTGAAAAAAATACAAACCTGGTCTTACAACCCGGGCCAGGAATGACCTGGGCGGTAGAAGCATACTTGGGGGATATACTCCTTGCAAAGAGGAAGAAAGGCGAGGTGGTGAAATTTGAGGAATACGTACCTGGTCGAATAATAGCAGTCATAAGAAACCGTTTGGTTCGAGGCTCGCAGATTTCGTGGAGAAATTTGATGTTAGTGGTTTTTGAAGCTCACTGGCTGTCTCCTACCCGTTGAACGGATATGGAGCCTAAGGGCAGCACAGTTCGCTGAAGGGTTAATGGCGAAGAGGGGAAGCCCCCCGATTACTCCAAGGACTAAGCGTGCCTCGAAGAATATTGACTAGCGTGGTTCAGGGATAATGGTGGGCAAGTAGGTGGGAAAGTAGGGACGATCATGAGGATCGGGATCGTTTGGCATCAGGTGAAGGCGTTTCAATCAACTCAACTTCGTCTTCCGGTTCCCTGTGGCGTTTGATGGAGGGATGACTGGGGGCTTTACCAGAAGCTTCATCTGCAAATTCGCCTGACTCGTTTCGAAACGCATCCAGGTACTTCTTAAAATCCTCGTCGTCGTCATCGGCGGTTAAAAGTGGTGTCTGCTCGGTTTCGTTATCGAATTCTCCGAGATCTTCGAACTCATCCGCATTGGCGACTTCCCCTTCCTCGTCCTCGGAATATTTGCGGGGACTTTCCGGCAGGTTATCCACAAAATCTATCGCATCATCTCCCAAGTCCAAAGTTGGCCGGGAATTGGTGTCTGCTCCATCTTGAAAACTTTCATTGAGGTCATCTTCTGAGGCTTCGTGCGAAGCCGCAGCATCATCGCCAAGCAACGGCGTGTCCTTGGCGTCCTCATGACTTGGAGAGGCTACAGTAGAATTTTCCTCAAGAGACTGGGGACCTTCCTCTAAAGCAGGAGGTTGTTCAAGCTGGGCTGCCTCAGCATCTTCGCCAGTCTCAAGCTGGTCAACTTCCAATGATTCGATGTCTTGAACATGAGCATCTTCCTCAGAATAAGATTCAACAGGATCAGCATCGACATCGTTATACTCGTACTCGTTCTCATCACGCTGTTCATTTGCAACACTAGCGGACTCGCCATCTGCCTGTTGCTCTTCTGCCATCTCAGCGGGCGGTAGTTGAGTGACCGTAGCACTTGACTGGCTTTGTTCCTCGAGTTGGAGCGATTCTTCCTCGTTGTGTTCAGAGATAGCTGTTTGGCCTTCAGCTTCAGCTTCGACCTCACCATTGATGCCTTCTCCAGATGCATTCTCATCGACGCCATCAGCCGAAGGTACTGCTCCTGATGGCTGGTGATCCTCAACATTGCTCTCGCCGTCATTCTCTTTGGAACATTGTTGACGATGGGAGACACTTTCAGGTATCTCTGTACCGACATGTTTATCCTCTTCGGGTTCGAAAGCGTGTTCTTCTTCCTGTGGCAAATCAGAATGAGGCACTTCGTCAATTCCTTCATAGAACTCTGCAGAGACAGCTTCAACTTCTGCGTAACTATCCCAAGTATGAATATCTGTAAGTCCCTTCCCTTCGTTGGCTGCTGCAAGAAGATCAGACAGCTCGGCGGACGGCGTTAGTCGGGTGCTAAGTGAAAGGTAAAGAGGCTCTGGTTCATCAATGCCCTCATTATGGCATAACCGCAAATACAGATCAACTATTTGAAATAGTGTAATGTCGCCCATGTGCGTAGAATCCTGATAGTCAAGAATTAGCATCTGTGTACCAGGAGCGGGTGAGTGAAACATACCTCTGCAAGCTGGAGATTCAAGGCATCCACATCCATGATAAGCACGTCCTTCTCTCCAACATGCTCCTGGAGAACATTGCGGCATGCTTCGAGGAGATCGGCAAAAGGACCGTACGCGAGATTTTCATCTTCCAAGAAAAATGTCTCCGAAGAATCGCCTTCCCTAGGAGGGAAGAGAGATATCTCGGTTTCCTGGTAATATACTTTAACCGGGTATAGAGCTTCATGTTCTGTCACCTCAACCGCTTGCTCAGCTTGCTGTTGAACATCCTGACCAGCCGTTACCTCGTTTTCTGCCTCTTCCACGTTCTTAGTCTCGATTGGCTCAACTTCTTGGCCATCAATTTCTTTAGCCTCTTGCTCTACCTCCTCGACCACTTCTTCCCTCTTCTCTCCTTCTTCCACGTTTGGGCGGGACGCAGCCTCGTCAGAATGGCTTTCCGATGCCTGAGGCTGGATTGGTTCTGTAGCGTTGTTGACCTGCTGTTCGGCTTGTGCGAGATTTGAATCTTCGTGTTCTGCTTCATTGGTATTGAGAGGACTTTCGTTCACCTCCCCATCTTCGAGTTGCCCATCTTCGAGTTGCCCATCTTCAAGTTGCCCGTCTTCGGCTTGATTTGCCGCAGACTCATGTGAATGCTTCTTTACTAGCTGAGTTTCATCATGCTGACTTGGCAAGGCCTCGGATACCTGTTCAGCCCGAGGTTCTTCGTGGGGTTCTTGGTGAAGCTCTTCGTGAGATTCCTTTTGTCCGTCTACAGCGGCATTCCCATCGGGGGAACCTTGTCCTTGTTCTGCGTGATTGTTGGATTGTTCAAGAGAGGGCTGGGCATCAGCGTCCATGACCGGAGCATCGAGATCTTCATCGTAGTCGTCTTCTATCATATCGGCTTCGTAATCCCTGTCGGACCCGTATTGCATCTCGATATTGTAGCCTTCGTCAGCGAAAGCGTCTTCCGCGTCAGCCATCGTCGGTTCTGCAATATCGTCGATCATGTCCGCATCATGCGCACCCTCCTGGTCATTATTGACCTCGTTAGAAGGTTCTTGAAAGTCGTCCGCTAACATCATGTCCTTGTCTGTAGTTGAAGCCTGGTCTTCCATAATGTCGATGTCGATGTCAAAATCGTCGACGTGCCCCTGATAAGGAGACGCCATTTCCATTTTATCCTCAGCCATGGTAGCTTCCATCGTGAGAAATGCCAGCGAGGAGGCGGCTGTCATGGCACAGAGATCAACCGAAGGTTAGAGACGCGTGTAAATTTCGGCGTGGCGATTGGGGTGCGCCTGACGAGCAGCCCAAGCGCAAAATTGGGGGACTAGCTTTGGCCACCAGCTAAGGTATTCACCAGATCTTTAAGGGCAGGCCGTTAGTACTTCCACTTTGTAAGTGCTCGACCCCGATCCGAGATAAGCCGCAAACCGGTAAAGAGGAGGGAGGTTGATGATGCTCTAGTACGGGGTTGCAAGCGGACGAAGCTTCTTGTGCTGCGGTAAGCGAGGGGGTAGCGCGGGCGCACGGGCCAACGGAGACAAAGAGAACAGCAAGCGACTCCGACCTCCGTGACTTCGACGTCTAGACACGCCTAACGAGAAGAACACTCGTCACCTGGAATCACGGGGACAGCTTGCTGTAGATTTCGCAATCCACTCGTGAACTCTGAACTCACCACTATGGTATGCTTTCATTCGTTTGAAATCCCTCTAAGCCAATCTCTCCCAACTCTCACTTACCTCCCTCAATGTTAGGTCGTCCTCGCAGCGTCGATATGCACCCGCGGGGGCAAGGCAGTCCTCTCGCGTCAATTCAGAGAAATCGCTCGCTCCAGAATCGAAGCCCTGCTCGCATCCTTCCCTAAACTAGCTGACTCTGGCACCCAACACACAACGGTCGAGCAGGATAATGTCCGTTTTGTCTACCAGCCCCTGGACGAGTTATACATCGTCCTGATCACAAACCGCCAATCCAACATTCTACAAGATATCGACAGCCTTCACCTCTTCGCTCAAGTCACCACCAGCATTTGCAAGAGCTTGGACGAAAGAGAGATTGTGCGCAATGCGTTCGAATTGCTCAGTGCCTATGATGAGCTCGTGACGCTAGGATACAGAGAGAACCTGTCGCTTACTCAGATCAAGACATTCCTAGAGATGGAGAGTCACGAGGAGAGAATTCAAGAGATCATTGAGAGGGTACGGCTCATCAGAACTCTTTCGAGACAAAAGTTGCTGATGTTTCTCTCTAGAACAAAGAACTTGAAGCCAGCGAGGAGCGCAAGAGGAAGGCTAAGCAGCTGGAGATGCAACGAAAGGAGGCTGCTCGGAGAGGTGGTCCAATGGCACCCCGGACCCCTTCTTATCCTGTCTACACTCCTCCTTCCCGCCCTGCCGTGCCCGAGACCTACGACACCTACGAGGCAGAGAAGAAGAAGACTTTCGCCAAGTATGTCTTATATCCTTCCCCCTTCCCCCTTATGTGCTATTGTCGCGGACACTTACGGTTCTCGTCGTTAGGCCATTACCTGTCCGGGGCAAGGGCATGCAGCTCGGAAAGAAGTCGAAAACTACAGATATCTACGAGAAGGTCCGTGGTGACTTGGGTCCCGAGGTAGAGGAGTCCACTCCTCTGGTGACCCCACAAGCATCCACCCCCGTTGCCGATACAGTGTCCTCCGCACGTGCGTCGCTCTCAGGGGATCGTGACCCTGTTCATGTAACGATTGCAGAAACTATCTCCGCTACACTTACCCGTGAAGGTGCCCTCAGATCGTTTGAAGTAAAGGGCGATTTGCAGCTTCGAATCACCGATCCGTCGTTCACCAAAGTCAGACTCGACCTCCTCGCAAACCCTACGCATGGTGCACAATTCCGCACTCATCCAAATGTCGACAAGGCTGTTTTCACCAACGACTCTGCTATCCAACTTAAAGATATCACCAAGCGATTCCCAGCCAACAACTCCATTGGTGTTCTACGCTGGCGTGTCGCTAGCTCTGGATCCGACAACGCTGAAATACTGCCTATCACCTTTACCGTTTGGGTCAACAAGGGATCTGACTCAACTACAGTCACGGTCGAATACGAGCTCACTGGCTCTGACAGCCTCCGGGATGTTGTTGTCACCATCCCCTACCAAACAGCCGAGCCCGCAGTGTCCAGCTTCGACGCCGTGTATGAGGTATCGGGCGACAGTCTTGACTGGAACGTTGGCACTGTGGATGAAAGCAACGCATCGGGAAGTTTCGAATTTGAATCAAGTGGCGATGGCGATGAAAATGAGTTCTTCCCAATGAGCGTGCACTTCTCTAAAACCAGTCCTTTTGTTGAAGTCGACGTTACCGACGTCTCGCTCTTGGAGATGGAAGGAGAAAGCACAGCGTTCACTAAGGACGTCAAATGCGTTGCTGAGAAATTTGTTATTGAGTGATTACTTGGATGTATAGAGTATTAATGACGTTCGGATTGCCCTATTTTTCCAGTCTCCAGAGTCGCGACTTTCTTATTGTTTGTTCTCTCTTAAACCAGGATTCCTTTCTTCTCAAGTCTGCAATTCAAGCCTTACTTCTGAATCGTACCACTCATGTCTTGTCAAACCTTCCCGGATGTTCCAAGTCGCCTCCTGCGTGTTAAGGTCGAATAGGGCCGGTATCAAGCGCTGATCGAGGACCAGGCTTGGCGATTGCTGCGTATCTCGACCATGGATGGATGAATTGAAGGCTATTACTCGACACATTCTGGGCCATGAACATGGACGGAAAGATATTGTAGTGATATCTCCGCTTCTTTGATTGGTGTGTGCTGAAAGTTACCAACTAACTTGTCACCTACCTGATGAGCTGGCTAGGGGTTCCGGCAGGCAAAGCAAGTCAGAAGTGGCCCGCAAGCAGTGGAAGGTTTAAAACGGCTCTCCATTTTAGTCGATTGGTCCATCGGCTATCCGTGACTCCGATTCAGGTACTATGCGGTTTTTTTTCTTCGAAACCCGGTACCCGCCCGAGCTTCTTGAGCACCCCTGTGACTTTTACTCCTGTCATAGCAAGGGCTCATCCCATGAACAGTCAGCTATGGTAGCCAAGCAAAAAGAGCCAAGAGGGTTTTTTTTGACCCGATCGAGTTCTGAATGGTCACTATTGAGTCAGGGACCCGCTCAGCAAGGTGTTACATACATCATCCCTCACCGTCACTGCATAAATTATGGTTGACTACCATGGAGATGCTGGCCGCCGTACCCAGGCGCGTTGATGGGAAACTTAAAGGTTACATATGTGGCCAAGCAACAATTGACTAGGCCAGTCAGTAGTGGCAAGACAGAGACCACACGCATGGAGAGCGAATACTCACTGCGATTCAACTCTGGTTTCTCAAGGGGTTTGTATATCCGTCTTCTAAAGGGACTTTTTAACCACAAGAATACCAGCTTTGCTGACTGTATATTGACCAGGGTACGTATGCAATCTCGCATGCGGGGTGGAGACTGAAATGCACCTTAAGGGTTCCTTCATCAACAATCCGGAGATCACATGCTGATAGGTATTGCTACCTCTACCTCATAAGAGCTCAGAAAAGGTCGAGAAACTTTCAGCAACGCTATTCGACTGTTCCACCCATGGTTCAGTCTCTATATTTCGGGTGCGCGCCTCTCCGCATGCCGAGAAAACAGCGATGTTGGTATTCCAGCCTTTGGCGGAAAATGACGACTTGGTCTCGCACATTCTCAGCTGGCCAGGTCTACTATCATGTACAATATACCTCTCCCCAACAAAGGAAGGAAATGGCAGGGTTACATCCACCCCTCGCAGACGGCGATATCATCAAAGCCCACTTTTGAGAGTTACCAGCTACGATCCAACTCAGGATCCAGAAGGGTGTGCCTTTTCTGGCTCAATCCCCATGCCGGTTATGGGTCCGCTACACCCAGACCGCAACTGGGTTTGAACTGCGAAGAGTCATCAAGCCTAAAAAGCCAGATGGAGGGGGCCAGTCCTTGGTCGAGGCTTGTCTCGACGGCAGACAGAAAGGCTTACGCATCCACTTAGACCATCGAACCGTCCGAAAAGAGCGAAAATATCCAGAGGAAAGCAAATTTTCTATCTCCGCAGAATAAACTCAGTGGAATTCTGTCAGGAACCACTCGTCAAGGGCCCCGATCAACGCTGAATCCTCTTGCTCGGCAGTGCCTTCCATTTGCGAAACTCTGACCTAAGGGGGTTCAGGGTCGGCCACATGACATCAATATGAGCCACCATCTACACACTCTCTTTCTACCAAAGAATTTGGATCATGGAACATATAGAAACCGCTCCTATTGATACCCCTATCGCTAAATTTTACCATGCATTTCCCTTCCGCAACACACGCGACAAGAAAATGCAGATTTCCAACTGGGCAGATCAATCAGCTTTGTTTCAGGTTGCTGCACCTGAGGCAAAAGGACACGGCCATGGAGTAAGCTTGCGCTACTATCTCTAGCGTATTAAAGTCTCATCTTTCTCTCTCTCCAGGATAATCCGATCCCACCCTTGCTGAGGCCTAGTAGGGACCTCTCGGGTATCAGGAAGATGGCAATTCCAAGATTAGCTGAAGGCAAAGAAGCGGTGCACTCTGCTCGTTCTCACCGTCGTCATGTAAGCCGAGCGTGTGAGTCTTGTAGACAAAGGAAAACAAAATGCACCGGGGACAAGTCAGGCTGCCGCAACTGCCGGGATGCTGGTATCATTTGTTGCTATACGGACGGCAAAAGGGAAAAGTCCAAGAGGTGCGCCAAGTCCAAGTCTGAGCACTGAATACCGTTGAAGCCGAGTACTTGGTACTGACTGTTGCAAAGACAAATGGCAAGCTTGGAAACCAAGATCAACGCTTACGAAGACATTTTGCAAAGGCTAAGCGTTCGCTTTGGCGTTTCTGAAGAGCAGCTGATGGGCTACGCTCTGGCAGTGGTATGCTAGATGACTTCTTTCTGAATCCTACCTAGAGCCATTGCTGAGTCCCTTCCAGGAAGACCCGTCGGACTATGCCTCATCACATGGCGACGCTTCGCCTCCTCACCCCGAGACCCGAAGGCAGTCGTCGGTTTCCGAAGTCGCTACGCCTTTGTTTTCCGGATTCAGCAACAACCTAGATCATATAGAGGAGGACTTCAATCGGGATGAGATTTCACAAGCGACTGGGTTTGTTGGTCAGAGCTCCGAGATATCTTGGCTACAGACTCTGGCCAAGGAACTGGATCATGAATGTGATCCCAGTCACTTCAGTGGGAAGGAGCCATCGCCTGCTGTAGCAACCCACCGACATCGTTGGATATCCTTTCCGAACTACCACCTAGACGATATGGAGATTCCTATGGTCGAACATGTGGATCTGTATGCTTATCCCTCCAAGGATGTCGCAACGAAGCTTTACAAGATATATCTTGATTGGGTACATCCCTCGTTTCCGATCATCGGTACCGCCGCTTTTGGAGCACAATTCCAAGCTTTCTTCACAACCGCCTCTCTGCGACCCGGAAATCGGTGGCTGGCAATACTGAACCTGATCTTCGCCATTGCAGCCAAATACGCTTATCTCTCTGAGACTGAATGGCAAACGGACAAGGAGGCTCATCTTGTGTATTTCCTCAAGGCCAAAGCTTTGGGCCTAGATAATCAGCTGATGACTTTCCCCGACCTACAGCAGCTGCAGGTCGAAGGTCTGACTTCTCTGTACATGCTGACTCTAGGCCACGTCAACCGGTATGTATTCATAACATACTCGCCTGACTTGTTGGCATTGACTGACAATGCCTGGCAGTGCTTGGACCTTTTGTGGCAGTGCTATTCGTGGAGCTCTTGGCCTTGGGCTACACCTACGCAATGTTGGAGACAGCACCTCTGATGCTTCAAGGGAGATCAGGTACCGTGTGTGGTGGACTCTCTATACGCTTGATCTTCGTCTCAGTATAATGTCCGGGCGGCCTTCTTTCATCAACGATTGCCTTTGCACATCGCCTCTACCCGTTCCATTCGATGAGCAGGACTTTGGGAAAGATGAGGTGATTCGTCACCTTAGACGTTCGATTTACGGTAGCCCCCTTCCGCCAACGGAAACGACATCTGCAGCCCAGCCCGAGACAAGTGCAAAGAGTACGGGAATCGAAAAGCGAGACACGAACGAGGATAACTACTCACCCTGCGGGTCCTCGTACTTTCTTCATCTAGTTCAGTTAACCATGATCGCAAAAGAGTCGCTAGCTAAGCTCTACAATCCGAGCGCACTTCAATCCCCTTGGCAGAGCACCGAGCTCGTTGTACGCAGTCTCATGCTCAACCTTGATGCGTGGCTTATAAACCTCCCCAAGGAGTACGATTTCACTGTGACCCAGTCTTCGCATGTGTCTCAGGCAACCTCAAATCAGAGGCTTAGTCTGGCTTTACTATTCTACAGCACAAGGATGGGCATCACACGACCGTGTCTTCGTCGCGTGAATCTACCCAACCAGGAGGACAAAAAAATGCAAGAATTTGGCCAGAAGGTAGCAGAGGAATGCGTAGAATCAGCTTGCCACATGCTCAGGTTATTTCCTGAAGACATCAAAGCTGCAACGCTATATACAGCGTCGCCTTGGTGGTGCTTGTTGCATTTCCTAATGCAAGCCACAGCGGTGCTCGCCCTTGAACTTGCTTTTCAAGCTCAACATGTACCGGATAAGGCGCCGATGCTTTCAAAAGCGCTCGATAAAGCGTATGATTGGCTTTCTCTGATGTCAAGAACGCAGAAAGCCCCAGAAAGAGCCCGCAGACTCTGTGATCGGCTCCTGCTTCACCTCAAATCAAAGGAAGGCATCAAAGCCTCTGAGTCTCCCTCCGTTCAGCCCACCAGCCTCGAGTCACCAGCGGATACTCCTATCTCATTCCCTATCAAGACAACGGAAAGCGTGTCGGATCCAAGTGGGCCCACTGGAATGAAACTAGACTGTCAGCCATCAGCAGCGCTATTGACCGATGGATTGACGTACGCGCCTTCACACTTACTAGAATCAACAGGAGACCTTCCGATGCAGAGCGAAAACACCCTGGGGATTCCGAGCAACTACGAAGACCTCTTTCCATATGACACAAGCACTGGTCAGCTTACGGGCTCTCTTTTCCCGGCGGACTATGGACTGGATGTGGAGCCGAGTGAGTTCTATCAATTTTGATATCTCGTCACGGGTTCAGTACCGGTGTACAGCATCATCACAATGACAAACGTCTCAGGCAGCTATGCCTAAGAACGCCTACATATATCTCTGCTCTTCCTAGTCTGCAGGATTTCTGTGCTTCTGAAAGTTCATGTGCTTATCGGGCCGCGTCGACATCCATGCCAGGTTCTCAGAACAAGAGACTGTCCCTCAACCCAATGCTTATCCTTATTCATTTGTTCCTCGGCATTATAATACGAGGTAGAGTCTGCACATCTGTCTGCGGTCTAACTCATTTGCTATGTGAGGTTATGTGAGTTGATTGTTGACTATTATTCAGACCAGCTTAGGTAGTTCTATGTGAGACTGTTACCATGCAAGGAAGATTCTCAATTCTGACCAACAGCATTGCCCGATCAGGACTACATCCTTAATCTTCTCAATCAAACTTAGTTACGCTACAACGCATAACGCTGGTAGTCTGGATATGCGAGTAATAGCTGAGGTCCCCTTTCATAGTTCAATACCTGATGAGGTGATCTCCGTGTCTGTATCTGAGCCTAAATCTGCCCTCTGTAACATGGTGGAAGATAGATGGCGCTTTGTACTAGAGCCACACCTGATCGTACACATACCTTAGATTGAAAGGCAATTACACAATGTCGAGGCTGTTGTTATTCCATACCACATTTGATGCTCTCTCTCTAATATGCACCGCATAACTCATTTTTGTGGTGGATTAGTCATCCGGATACATGACTCCATCGAACAATAACAGCGCCTTGTTCATTTTCTTAACAATCATCACGTTTCGCCTCCTATCAAGTACTATTCTGTGGCTACATTCCAGCATGAGCTTAAGCTATTGATATCAACCTGACTTGCTTGCTGACTTAAATTGCTGCTGCGTCATATAACATGCAGTGCTATTAAATCCAAATCGATGCCGCGCCGCCTACTTCAATAGGTCATACAACCATCTGCGTCTAGCCCGTACCAGGTGCAAAGTATTGTTTCGATGATCTGCGATAGTTGAAACAGCTGTTTCGTGGAAAGCGACGTACGACTTGGCTCATCTGCAGCTAGAGACTCTTCATATAGCTCATGAACATGGATTTTAATCATCCCTCCATCCCCGCAACTGAGGCTGCCCTCGATACTCTGTCACTGCAGGATTCCATATACCCCGATCAGCCACCAAATGGGTCTTCGAACAGCTCGACGAAGAACAAAGAGTTGCCGCCCGTCAATGGGTGTTTATCGGTCTTCAAAGCCATCCTTGAATCTGGAGACATAATCATTGAGTACTCGGATCCAGAGATAGTGGCTACCTCTCCAGCCAAATCTGTCCTGCATAGCTGGCGAGTGTCCAGCAATGATCTCATGCGCAATAGCCCCTATTTCAGAGCTCTGTTGGATCCGCACAAGTTTTTGGAGGGCAAGAACTTCATGAGTCAAAAGATTCAAGCCCAACAATTGACGTCAGAGTCGCCGGCTGAGGGCGTCTCTCTTGGTGACAAGCAAGTTTCGAATTCGCATGAGCTGCCAATCGTCCGACTTCCAAACAACCATTTCTCCTCGCGCCTTGGGATTGATGCCGTTGAGCTCTTTCTCGAAGTCCTATCTTTTGACTCCTTTAAAGAGGAGCACCAGAGCGCCTTCAGCGCCAGACTCAAAGTGCAGCCTATATCTCTTGTCGCAAGATTAGTGGAGCTCGCCGATGCTTTCAACTCGCCACAGGCCATCAAGACCGCTCTGAAACAGTCAGGCTATGCCTTTGGCAAGGGCAAATTCCCTCTCACGAAGTTCGATTCATCCTTGTTGAAGCTCGCCGAGGATCGGATACGACAGACGATATTCGTGGCCCGGTGCCTCGATGAACACGCTATTTTCCAGGTGTATACCCATACACTCGTCGTTCTCGGATCAAAGTACTGGACGAACGGGGTCGAAGCCCATGAAACTCCCACTTTTCCCTGGCGATACTTCACCGGTGGGATAGAAGGTAGGCCATTGATCTCTCATTAACACCTTCCATAGTGACCGATATACTAAAAAATGACATGTAGAGGAGCTCTATTTCCGCCGCCAATGTGTCCTCAACACGATCACAGATCTGCAAGCCCATTTCCTCCGTGTCTACGGAGCCCTCGAAGGACAAGACGAAGCAACAGCAGTAGCGACCTCCACATCAGCCTCCTCATCATCCACAACATCCACCAGCACCAACTCACAACCTCCACCGCGACCCCCATTCTCTCTCCCAGCAACCTCCACAACCCTCCACCCCCGCCACTTCCAATGCCGCTACGGCTTCGCCAATTCCAGCGCCTGCGACGCCTTCCACCTCGGCCAAATGACACGCTTCTTCGCCCTCCGCACCAAAACCATCTTCCTAGGCTCCACCCTCATCGACGACCCAGACTTCCTTCTCGTGCTAGACGATGAAAACGATGGTTCCGAAACGGACCAAGCCAACAGCCCTAACCAGCACCACAACCCCCCATCACCTCAAACACAGCAACACCAACAACAACAACAACAACAACCAACAAACATAATCGCCCTCCTCGCCTCCCTCAAACAATGCCCAGACTACCAAATCGACGCAAATCACACAGGCTGCGGCATCCGCCGCCGCTTCCTGCCGCCGCTAGACTGCATCGAGCGATTCGTCGGCGACGGCCGCGGCCTGTTGGGCGTGGACTTGTTGTCTTCACGCTGGGACGCGGCCCAGTGGCCGTTGGCGGCGGGGTCGTGGGCGAACCGGGCGCGTCCGCGCGCTTTGGTGCTGGATGTGCATCTGTCTCGCATTAATGCTATCCCTGTGATGGCGCGACCGGGGTTTGGTGGTGGTGGGAGAGCGGAACGAGCGGCCAGGGTGGGCAGCTCGCAGGAGGAGAATGCGAGGTTGTTGTTTACGGCGCGGAGGAGGAATTGGGAGGCTTAGTTTTCTTCTTCCTTTCTTTCTTCTTCTTCTTTTGGGTGGTTCTTAGTTGATATTCTGGGGGTTGAGGGGAGGGTGCGATCGGTGTTGTTTGGATTTGTTTTGCGAGGGTTGGGAGTCGGGTTGGGTGGGGATGTACTAGAGGGCTAGAAGTTGTGAGCTCAGGTTTCTGAACGAGTGGGGAGCCAGAGTTTGTGTGCGTGGGATGCTGATTGTCCGATATTCTGGATGTGGTGGGAATCTTGGGATGACTTAGTGTTTGGATCTTGATTGGCCTGTAGTACATACCATATACAAGCAGATAAAATATCGCAAGGATGTATATAGATTAGAAGCTAGGGAAGAAGTTAGATAGACCATGGCCTAGAGCGCAGACGGAACATCGGTATGGTTGGCGTATCGATACTTGTTCTTGAGATTTTTCCCTTTGTTTAAGTCGCGAAGTATACCAACGGGTCACGGCGTCTTCTCTCCCAACCGGGCATGCGAATAGTGCTGAGTGGCCCAGTCAGCATCAGTCGTCAGGCTCACTGATTAGCTGATCAGGAAAGAATCGAAAGAAAGAAACCTTGAAGAGTCCTACGCATCCGTATTCGCGACAACCCATCGGAAAATGATAGTACATATTGTTCGTCTATTGTAACATGTATTTGATTTCTGATTGATGATTATGCTTCTTGTAGTGCCACAGGGTAGAATGCAAAAGAAAGACCGGAAACAGCATTTTCAAGGCGCTCAACTCCATATCCTTAGGTGCAATAGTGACGGTAACAAAGGTGGTGGTAGTAAGATATATATAAGTACGAGAAGTGAAAGGAGAGATAGATTATTTGGTAGAATGTTGTGGAGAAGGATGCGAAAGCATGGAAAAAACGAACGGAAGTGGTGGAAACAGATTGCGGGGAAGGTACGCCCTCAAGGCAATACCACCAAAGGAACGTGCAATATTTGGTAGCTCTTATCCGTGTCTGCCCTCAGGTGTAGAGTTCCGCGTTCCTGGATGGAGGTCTCGCGAAGTTGCAGTGCTTTGCCAGTGATCTGGAACAGTTTAGAGGCTAGTGGGTTGAGAGAGTCCAAGGGAAGCGGTGGTTCGGGCATGGGGATGCCGTTCTGCTGCTGCTCTTCCTCGTCTTCGTCGGCTTCGTCCGACCCTTGACCACTGACCGCGCTGAGTCGGCGGGAGATAGGCGACACCAAAGCAAAATGTGGTACAGCTTCGTCATCGTCTGATGAGTAGGGGCTCAACTGCTGCTGTTCTTCGCCGTGACCGGGAACGCCCGCACCAAAGAGGTCGTTTCTTTGAGAGACCAAGTGCCACGGCTCTCCACACACGAAGCCAGCCACAAAGTCCTGATTGGCGCGAGCAGCAGCCACACAGCTTTGACGGTAATCATTGGTGAAAGAATTGGCTGTTGCGGATGGTAGACACAAGACTAGTCCACGAGCCATAAGTGGTGGAGGCGGGAAGTCTTCCGGAATGGTCGCGGGGCTCAGAGACCGGAATTCAAAACCACGTCGCTCATACTGGGGAGACTCCAAAGGAAGCTCGGTTGAGTCTTCGGTGTGTTGAGTGATGGTCTGAGTCAAGGAGATGGTGGAAGCTTTGCGAGGAGGAAGGTCGAGGCCGCTAGTGTTGTCAACGGCATACTCACAGAGGTGCTGCGAGGTCACATTCCCGTCTTGATCACCGAAGGTATGGTTGTTGGTGGTATGTTCTGCTGTGATCTCGGTTCGAATGGTCTGCGCTGCATCTGCTACTGCTTCGCGAGCGGCAGCCTTCAGGGTGGGAATCAGAATGTCGGCTTCCTGGTTGTACACAGCCACTCCGGAGGCCCACGCCGTCGAAAGACCCGCCCACGAGGCTGGTTTGATTATTCCTTTCGTATATTTCTTGCGGATCATATCCACAGTCTCGTTCCGCACCTCTCTCGTCTCTGACTTCTGTCCTCCGACAATGTCCACCGTGGAATTCAGGATTCGACCGCCCTCCCAGATCAGGAAGCCATGTCTTCTTGCCAGGGCGACCAATTGGCGAACTGTCTCCTCCGACCAATCGTCAATGATATCTGCATAGACCTGGAGAATCGCGATATGCGGGCCCACTAGAGAGGCTAGGTGCAAGAGGGTGTCGGTGTTGGTGACAGTATGCGACGGCGAAACGCAGACAGGAAGTCCGTAAGGCAGATATGACTTAGACTTGACCAAAGTCTCCAAGTACGCGATGATCCGATTTCCGGGGTATGAAGAGGAATTTAACGCCGAGTCCATGATTGCTGGTGGAAACAGTTCGGAATGGAGAGATGCAGAGAGAGAGGAGGTGTTATGGTCGTGTGGTACCGTACGGGAAGGGGAAGTGACGGTTTGATAAGATAAATAAACGACAGCACAACAACAGCGAGACAGATAGATCGATTGGCAGTAGACAAACAGCCGGTCAGCCCGTCAATTCGGGACAGTGCAGACAACAAGCTAGTCGAGTCGCACAAGAGGGCGGAGACGGAAGAGAGGAGGGGGATGAGAGGGGAGAGAAGACGGGGAGGAGGAGAGGAGGAGGAGGAGGAGGAGGAGGAGGAGGAGGAGAATTAAGTTGGCGGTGCCTGTGTTTTTGCCTTGAACTTTCTGGCTTAGGGAGCTGGGCTGGGCCAACTTCCGTAGTCGTCGTAGCTTCGTCGCTCCCGTTGAGCTACGGAAGAAGAGCTTCGGGGCTAAGATGACTCCAACCCACTCGAGTCCCTTGACTGGTCGACTTGGTCGAGACAAAATGATTGACAATCGAGTCCGATCCCCACTTGGCCTGCCAATGACCGGACTAGTCACTCGACCTGATCAGTCGACAGGGGTTGGAGGACTTTTTTTTGAGGGGGGGGTGTTTAAACCTGGTCTGATCGGATAGAGGCTCAGATCTCAGACCGTTAGTTCATTGTGGATGACAACAAGGAAGAGAGAGCATGGGCAAAAGTACGACAACCAGTCAATTGATTGAAAAGGGCGGAAGGGAGGAATTAGGATCAAATTAAACACTGGACCATGCAGGAAGCCTCAAGCCCTCTCACCTGCAGCCGTGGATCTACTGCATGTAGTCTATGTATGAATGAATGGATGAATGGATGAATGAATGAATGGGAATGGATTGGGAGGAGTAAGTGGAGGGACTGAGAGTGAAGGAGGGGGGGGGGAGTGTGAAAAGACTGGAATGAGGGGATAAGTTACCGAATACCTTTTCCAATCCTTTTTCCCCGTCTGTCCGGTACCGGCTGGTTGGAGAGAGGCTTAGTTTGGACAATTATGAAGATCCTATAGACCCCCAGAGCGAGTGATTTAGCTCTGTATCACTTACAATAGGATATTGACTAGGTTTTGGGGATGCCATTTTGACTTCTCATTTCCGCTTAGTAAATCAAACCACCAACTTAAACCATGTTGAACTGAACGATACGGCAGCTGTACGAACTAAACTCATGTACATACTAGGAGTCGATACGGTAAAGTGCCGTGGAGCCCTGCATTGCCCCATTACCGAACAGGGGCCCAACCCGCTTTGTCGGAACGAGCCATCCGACTGGGTGGAAATATTGTTAAGTCCAGTCGGTACAATTTGCCCATATGGAGTCCCATATTCATCTTGCTTGTTTGGTCATTCCCCCCTCCTGAGTCCTTCCGCCCCTCACCACTCATTTTCTTTCATTTGCTCCACTAACATCTCCAAATCCCATCATTCCTCCCGTCGCTAAGAGCTTCCTTGGTTGAGATTGGAGGCTACTTGTCAAGTACCGTAGGACAATATTAGGCGTTCGAGACTTGGCATTTACTGAAGATATCTTACCCAACCTTGACAACCGGTCATCTGCGAGCAATTCTCTCTAGCCTCATCTTGGCGGTCGATCCTACATCCTACGACTCGGGGGCCAGAGAGCCTCGTTCAGTCTGTCCGTCAATCGAGCAACCATTGACAGCATAAGATCCATCTGTCCCGGATCCGAGGTTTCCCATATCATACTCTTCTGCCTATCGGCGCGCCCATCGATCTGGTAGAGCTCAGTGCCCTCAGTGCCCTCAGTGCCCCAGTGCCCCATGACCCGTCATCTGCCGGGATTTATTATGAGGAGTCCTAGTTTCCTCGATCTGTCTGAGCGCTCCCTTTCCCATTCAGACGCATTGACAATTTCCAAGGCCACGGTGCAGATTCCAAGACGGAAGTTCGGAATATGCATAGCCTTATAGATCATAGGCATGAAAGTGACCAGGATGCGCTCGCTCCATAGTCCGTCGGCATCCTCGAGCGCCCCAACATTATCGATAAGTTAGTGTCTTAGGCTAACTAATGATTCTGACGCCTAGCTCGTACGGATTCTTCGTCGGTAATCGAAAGGGGACGCTTACGGATACACTGGCCGACACTGGTCAAGCGAACTGGGGCGAGGAAAGATATTTGTCGATCAGCCCATCGTCGGGATTGTTTAGACGGATGCGCCCCGATCCTCCGTATCAACCCTTCCTCCCGGCGTAAGGTTCAGTATACTTAGCCTTTTGGCTGTTTGCCTTCACACTGCATGAAGAAATGAATAGTCTTCCACGGAATAATATTCCATATCCCCCGCGAGTTATGTTCTGATGCTTTCGTGGTCAGTTGTAGGTCTCTGTCGCTCATAGACATAGGTACTGTATTTCTGTGCTCGAACCTAGCCGATAAGCTATTGGGACCAGTCTAACGGTCCCCAACTTAACACCATTAGCTCCTGCTGATTGACATTGACAGCCTTCCCTTGAGTTTTGACTTAGCTTCCGATCCTATTCCGACCATGGTAGATCATTGCTAGGATATTTGAATGATGGGATCATTAGGAGGTTATCATTGAACAATGATCTTTAGCTTTCCCAAGTACGCACAGTCAGTAGACGCCGTGACGGCCCGGACGACTGATGATGCCTCAATGATTGCCTCAGGCAGTGGACAGGCCGCTCAGGGGCTGCACCCGATAAGGATTAGTGCCACCCAGCATTATTGTTCCCGACTTTGATTCTGGTCGACCGGCGAGAGCGCTGGGATCTCCTCCTCACTCCCTGAAAAAGAAATCGAGTCAATCTCCTTCTTTCCAAATCCCGTCTTTGCACTCTCCGTTGCGATACGGTTCCGGTGTCGTACACCTCTGTTGATTGCGTGGTCGTCGCCGCGCTTGCCAGTGGACTCACTTCAACGATTTTTTCCCCCGGAGCCTCGGACCCGTCGCCCTGGTCGATATTTCGACGCTCACGCCACTCACTTCTCCATCCTTTTATATCAGTTTCCACCGCAACCCCTTCCTACTCGTCCAACGGCGTTCCTCGCATTTGCAGTGCTTGCCGTCACCGTCACTCGCATACTTGCAGCAAATTGTCTCAAAGTATCCTAGACTCCGCACCCACCATGCCTGGAAAAGTACTCCCTGTGTTCACCCCGGCCGAGATCGAACTCCATAACAACGCCAAGTCATGCTACGTGACGTTGGGATCCAAGGTCTACGATGTCACCGAATTCGCGGACGGCCATCCCGGAGGTGAAGAACTCGTCCTTGAGTATGCTGGCAAAGACATAACCGAAGTCCTGCGCGACGAGTCATCCCACGTACACTCCGACTCGGCCTATGAGATCCTGGAAGAGTGCCATATCGGTTTTCTGGCTTCTGAATTCAATGGCAAAGCTCGGACAGTCGATGCATCACAAACCCAACAAGTGGCAAATGGGTCTGGCCCTGTCTATGCCTCGACCGGCATGTCCAGCGAAGAAGACCTGTCTGTCGATACCGACTACACCAGAGACTTCCAGACGCACAAGTTCCTCGACCTCAATAAGCCTCTTCTGAAACAGCTCTGGTTCAGTGGCTTCAGCAAAGAATTCTACCTTGAGCAGATTCATCGCCCGCGGCACTACAGAGGAGGGGAGTCTGCGCCCTTGTTCGGGAACTTCCTGGAGCCCTTCAGCAAGACGGCCTGGTATGTCGTCCCCATAATGTGGCTCCCGCCTGTTGCCTACGGCACTTTTGTCGGGTTCTCAGGGCTTGGAAATGCGTCTGCTGCTGCTGGCTACTGGCTCGGTGGGCTTTTCCTCTGGACCCTAATTGAGTACTTGATGCATCGTTTTCTATTCCACATCGATCGGTATGTCATTCCTGGTGGTACACGCTTATCATTTGCCCAGTGCTGATTTGTGTAGTTATCTTCCCGATAATCGCGTCGGCCTGACTCTTCATTTCTTGCTTCACGGCATTCATCACTACTTGCCTATGGACAAATACCGCCTGGTTATGCCTCCGGCCCTCTTCATTGTACTGGCAACGCCATTCTGGAAGCTTGCTCACGCTGTCTTCTTTTACAATTGGTATGCTGCCTTGACAGTGTACTGTGGCGGTGTCTTCGGTTACATCTGCTACGATATGACCCACTACTTTCTCCACCACCGCAAGTGAGTAGACGGCTACCCTTGGTATCTTGGATCGTTTCGCTGACCTGCCACTTTCTAGTCTTCCCATGTACTACAAGCAGCTCAAGAAGTATCACCTCCAGCATCACTTCGCAGACTTTGACAATGGCTTCGGTGTCACCAGTCGCTTCTGGGATCAGGTGTTCGGTACGGAGCTCGAGACTCCCGCGCCTAAGGACGTGAAGACTCAGTGAACATGCCGTTGTGGTTTGCTTCCAGGCTGGCCCTCTCCCACTGGGCTTGGAAGTGAGTCCATCGCACCTTCTCTGGATTTTGTGACGTACGAAATAATGCCGTGGTTGCGTATGCTATCCCCTAATGTTGTTGTGCTCAGGAGTGGGGTCCTTTTTCCCCATCGGTTTTTGCTTTGTGTACAGGCTTGCCATGGACCAGAGCATTGGAACCGTCTTTGTGAGGCGAATGACCATGGCTCGCAGGTCGAAAAGGCTGTGAACCAGAATTATTACTTAGATTTTCTACGATTGTACATGATAACCTAATACATAATTATCTACGTTCAACTTGCGGCAATTCTAATCTGATTCAAATCCAACAATTAGGAGTCGTTCTTTGTTTGACCCTTTAGTGTTATGCCCTTTTACCCGTCTGAACCATGGTTCGCTGGAAAAAATGTCAATAGGGAGCGGCAAACGCCAAGTCTCACGTGATATGCCGACATAGGCCAGCAGATCACTGTCCGTGGTGTCTTCGCCTCCTCAACCTTATCATCACCACAATTACTCCACAACTTCTTCCTTGCTACCTTTGTGAACTAATTACCGCTGGGTGGCTCCTAATTGAATCAAGTTTCGCCATACTGGAGCAGATCTTATCTGCAAGGATTTGTGAATACAAATAGAAGGGTTCGCTCAAGCCAAGGCCGATACACCCGTCGCGCTCTAACGAAACTCGAAAGTGACCTCAATCCTCTCTCCGCACGGTCTTTCATTCTTCACAAAACGTTGTTCTATCAAATCACACCCAGGGAACTACGTTTACAGAAGTCCAACTATAATTCGAAAACAAAATGTCAGGTCTTGACGTTGAGGCTCTCCTTGAGTCTACAGCTGCCCCGACGCCGCAGGAACCCCCACGGTCTCAGGACCGCGATGGCCACTCGACCAAGGCCGACAGCAGTGAGCGTCGCGACCGCGACCGCTCGCGGGAAAACAAGGATCGCAAGCGGCGAGACCGCAGCCGTGGCGACCGACGTCATTCACGCGACGCAGATGGAGACGAAGAAATGAAGAGCCCGAAAAGCGAACATGGCAGTGCTAACGGAAGCCATAGAAGCAGAAAGAGGAGCAGGAGCCGCGACAGTGACCGCCGTCGCTCCCGTCGTGACCGTGACCGTCATGGTGATGACTATCGCTCTTCCGGTGGCGATTTCTATCGCGGTGGTGGTCGGGCTCGCACCCGGTCCCGGTCCCCCTATGATGACCGGTACTACCGTCCCTCGGGCCGCTCCCGCCGTGATGAGCGGGACGAGGATAGACGGCCGTCACGCCGCGAGCGAGAGGGCGGTCGCAGACGCAGCCCCAGCCCGAGAAGCCGTGAGCGTTCGCCGGAACTGAACGAAGATGAGCGTGATAGACGCACCATCTTCGTGCAGCAGCTTGCCGCTCGTCTGAGGACGAAAGAACTTATCGCCTTTTTCGAGAAGGTTGGTCCTGTTAAGGAGGCCCAGATCGTTAAGGATCGTGTCAGTGGGCGGTCCAAAGGGTAAGCCATGTTTCCGGCGTTCTGTGTGGATCACGCGACACGTGCTAATTTGAACTGTTTGACAGTGTCGGTTATGTCGAGTTCAAGAACGAAGACTCCGTTGCGCCTGCTATCCAGCTTACAGGACAGAAACTTCTAGGAATTCCGATCATCGCACAGTTGACTGAAGCGGAAAAGAACCGTCAGGCCCGCAATCCTGAAGCCAGCAGTGGCAACAACCACGCCGCCCCCTTTCACAGGTTGTACGTGGGTAACATTCATTTCAGCATCACTGAAAGTGACCTCCAGAATGTCTTTGAGCCGTTCGGTGAACTCGAATTTGTTCAGTTGCAGAAGGACGAGACTGGTAGGAGCCGAGGTTATGGTTTCGTGCAGTTAGTATTATCCTCATCAATCTCGAGGTACGGTTTGCTAACATTCCGCGTTCAGGTTCCGTGACCCCAATCAGGCTCGCGAAGCCCTCGAGAAGATGAATGGCTTTGATCTTGCTGGTCGAGCCATCCGCGTTGGCCTTGGCAACGATAAGTTCACCCCTGATTCGAACGCACAACGCACGCAGGGCCAAGGTGGAAACCAACATAACTTCCAGGGCTCGCTGTTCTCGGGTCACGGTGGACGTGGTGTTCAAGCTGGCGGTACCAACAACTTCGACCGCGCTGGAGGCCGGGACTCCGAAAAGGGCGCCGGTGCGAGTGCTCTGGATGACACTGACGTTGCTGGTGTGAACTTCAACAACTACAGTAGGGACGCATTGATGAGGAAGCTTGCAAGAACAGATGAACCTTCTGAGCCAGCTGCCGATGATCAGCAGAAAGTGCTCCGGCCCAAGACTGAAGCCAAGCCGCTACCTGTTAATGTCAACATGGCCAGTCGATGCGTTATGCTACGCAATATGTTTGATCCCAATGAGTAAGTGCTATATATCATTCGCTTCTCGGCCAGCCTGCTGATAATCTCATAGGGAAGAGGGTGATGCCTGGGTGAAAGAGCTGGAGGATGACGTCCGCGCTGAGTGCGAAGAAAAATATGGTCATGTCGTTCACATTTCACTAGATCCCAACTCTCAAGGCGACATTTACCTGAAATTCGACCGAGTTCAGGGCGGCGAGAATGCCATCAAGGGTCTTAACGGACGTTTCTTCGGTGGCAGACAGATCACAGTTCAGCCCGTCGTCGATGCTGTCTACAGCAGTTTGTTCTCCCGAACCAAGGCCATCTAAAAGTTCTCGCTCCGACGTCTCCTACGTATATCTACCACCGAGCAGATATGCGGGTAGGTACTTTGATCTAATAATTACACCAGGTGCAACTTGTGACGGCAGGTCCACACTCTAAAACCTTGAACTGTCGAGCTTCGCTTCGGCATGGTGTTTGGCTTGGAATGACACTGCCCCTGGTAGGTGCCAGTCTCTAAACATCTTGCTTCTTACAGTGATTTGTCAAGCCTAAAGGCTTGATTTGGAAATGATTCTGTCTCTAGGGATTTGTATATTGCGTTAGCGCCCAACAATGTAACTCTCTTAACCCCTTACCCAAGTTCACCCTGTAGCTTCTATCCATGTTAAAATTGTAAGCTATGGGCAAGGGTCAGTACTATTCGAGAGTCGTGATCCATCTCGATGCCTCCCAACCTTCACTCATCCATCCGAATTCACTCAAGATCAGGTCTAGCCAGACAAAGTATGAGAAAGTACACAGTAGTTCGCCGTAACCATGGTTGTCACGTGATGATGGACGTATGCTTAACCGCAAGGGGAACGAATGTTTCGAACCTTGAAGTTCGGCTGAGGCAGGAGAGTCTGGAAGGGACTCTGTCACTCTATACGCAAATCTACTACCGATTCTAGAGGTATACCGATCCCATCGCCGCAGATGCGATACATGTATGAATGCCTTTCGAGTCGGGATTGATTCGATAACTCCGGGCATGTTTTTCTTCAGATTCCGACCATTATCATCTCCATAATTGCAAGTTTCAATCCCGGGCGCCCAGCCGTTAATCCGCCCGCCCACTCACACTCCCCGTCATCTTTCCCCCGCGAATGCCGATCGCCCACCCTTCTCTTCTTCGCTTCAACTTTTTTACTCTTTATCCTCTTATACGTTTGCAGCATTCGTCGTCTTTTCTGGTTGCCAATGCTCCGTCATTCATGATTGTGTATTCGGCCAAGCGAGTCTCTGTCCGAGCCCGGACTTTGGCCGACAGTTGTCGTAGGTTGCGCTGTTTGACCCCCATCTTTTCCTTATCTCCGATGGCTCTTCGCAGCCTCCACCAAGTTGCTGGCGCCTCAATGCCTTCTACAATGTCTGCACACACTGACTCGCTTCCACCTCAGTAGTTCTCTCGGGACTCTCTCGCCGTCATTTTGCGAGCCCCTACGTGTCCCCAACCGGGCCTAAGCGGCCCGAATTTCACGATTACTTTGTCACTCACCTGCCGTCGTCATCTCTACATCCCGATCCTCGAGGGCCGCTGACCCCTTTCCATAAACTGCCTCGCGCCGCGTCGGTGCCTCATACTGGCGATTCCACTCACTCGCCCACCACTATCCAGCCTCTTGTCGATCGAGATACCACTGTCGTTCGCATCCCGCTCCGCAACGCAAAGCACCACTTTGGTGCCCACACCTCCCGATGCCAGCGTCCGTCTAACGAGGACACATATCAAGCCGGAGTCATTGACATTCCCGCCTTTGCAAAGCGACCACCCGCATCCCTGACTATTAAAAGGTTAGCCGAGGGTAGTTCCGATTCTGCGCCCCGTGAAAACCGTGGCGCCGACAATGCGAGCGGAGATCCCCAAGTATTTTACTTTGGGATTTTCGACGGTCATGGCGGAGCGGAATGTAGCAACTTTCTGAAGGACACTCTGCACGAGGCTATTCAAGATACTGCGGCCGCGTTTGAGCTTCAGTCTAGTCTGCGGCGTGGGCCTCAAGGCCAGATCCCTAGAGGCGCAGATCCGTCTTCTGGCGAGTTGCCTATCTTCCAAGGAGGCAACTGCGAGCGCGCCACTAGGCTGGAGAAGATTCTCTTGCAAAACTGGCGAACCCTCGTTGGGGGCTACTTCAAGCGATTTGCTCCCGCTCACTTTGCGCATACGCGGAGGGAGAGTTCTTCGGGTGTAACCATCGAGGAGATCCTGGAGTACGCCTTTCTTCGTACCGACCTGGAGTTCGTCTCGGCGCAAGCAGCCAAGCAGGATGACGATCCCACGCGGGTCAGCCAACCTGTGTATCAAGACGACATATTGTATGGACCCGAACATGATCCGGTGTTGAGCATTGGTGGTGCCAATCGCTTCAAAGGGGGAAGTACAGCGAGTGTGGCTCTCATCTCCACACCCACGCCAGCTCCTTTCTGGCATCCAGGAGCTCCGTCTAGTCTTCTCGTTTCACACGTCGGAGACACGCGCATTCTACTATGCTCAACCGAAACTGGCCAGGCCATCCCCGTAACGTCCAACCACCATCCCTCATCGCCAATAGAAGCGAGCCGGCTCCGTCGCTATGCTACTACATTTATTACGGATTCCTTCGGTGAGGAGCGCATGAGCGGACTAGCTAATACTCGCGCCTTTGGAGATATGCAGTCCAAACGCATTGGCGTCTCGGCTGAACCAGAGATCCGTCGGGTCGAAATGGGACCGGCCGAGTATTCCTTCTTGGTGCTGATGTCGGACGGCATCAGCGGCACGCTACCGGACCAGGAGGTAGTAGACATTATCAAGGAAGCTAAGACGCCCGATCAGGGCGCTCGTGACGTTGTCAGCTTTGCAACTGAAGTGACGCGCGACGGGGACAATGCAACCTGCCTGGTTGTCCGCTTAGGCGGCTGGGAACGACGACTGGAAGGAGGCCTGGGCAGTATGGGCACGAAGGAGGCGCGCGACTGGCGGCGACAAGAAGCGACCGATCCTCGGCGGTCCCGACGATAATTATGGCAGTGCCAGGCTTTGATAGAGCGAAAGAAGATGGTCTTGTTTGTATATAGTCTTTTTTATCTGTTCCAATCCGTACGCTGCTAGGGTCCAGTTGAAGCAATTGGTCCGAAGGACGGATTTTGTTATGCTGCATCTTGTACATACACACGCAGACCTTCATTATACTATGTGTTTCCTTTTTTTTTCTTTTTTTATGAGCCTCGTCCATGCAAACTGTGTATCATACAGACCGCAAGGGAAAGAAATATTCCCCGAGACAGAATCCAGTCGCGCCTGGAGCGGAAAGGAATGTTTGTGGCCGCAAGCAGCATCAGTCGCCAGAGCAGTGCAGAAAATATAAGTATGACTTGACCTATTACTTATCATGAACAGCCGTTAGGCACATAAGCTCCAGGGAGCCTTCATATAAACTAAACTTCCAGCAGCTGTCCGGGGGGGTACCTTGAAAGCCAGCTGAAGTTGACCGACCGACGGCTTATCAGCGCAGCTTATCGACCGCGCCCGGAAGGCCAATTAATCAGTGCGGCGGCGACCCGACCTCATCGACCCTCTCCTGAACGAACAACTTTCCCCTCGACCCTCCACCCTTCTCATCCACCCTGTCATTATTTTGCTGCTTCGCATTTTAGGGTGCTGTTGCTCCTGAAGCTTGCTTTACCTTCGTCACTCTCTGACCAGTATCATTTCCCGCCCAACGCAAAATCACAAGGCGCGTTTTTACGACAAACAGGCCCGGTACGTGTGTGCTTCAGAGCTTTAACTCAGGAGATCAATATATGCACGAGCTTGCGGATCCATCCCCCTCGCCCTATTGTTTCAGACTTTATGATTTTCTCTCCGGAGCAATCGCCCGATAAACCTGCTAACATCTTCTCTATTTCCTTGCAGTCGCTGTTTCGGTTTCTTGTTCTATTCCCCTCCGGTCCTCCTACGGCACATTGATTGCGGTGCATCGTGGAATCTCCCGGGTCAAGCTTCTTTCGGTCTCACTCCTCCGTCCGTCGGCTAGCTTCGTCTCCTCGATCTCCTCTACAGAAACAGCCTCAGATTCAAGATGAGCCCTCGCACCAGAAGCCAGAAGGCCTCCGCTGAGCTGGAGGCCACGGATCCATCGCCCGCCGTCAATGGAACCCTTCAGTCTTCGTCGAAAAACGGCCCGGAAGCTGCCGCTAACGGAGACGTGCGAGAGAATGTCTTTCTCTTTGCGCCAAACTTGATCGGTGAGAACTTCCGTCTCCTCCGTGAAAGCGAATGGTCAGTATTCTGAGCTAACACATTTGGCGGGAACTAGGTTATGCGCGCGTGGTGTTGACAATGGCCTCGCTTTACTACATGCCTCTGCATCCGCGGACATGTTCCCTTCTCTACAGTGTTTCGTGTCTGCTGGACGCCCTGGATGGATACGCCGCCCGATACTTCAACCAGTCGACTACCTTCGGTGCCGTGTTGGACATGGTGACGGATCGGTGTACAACAGCGTGTCTCCTGGTGTTTCTCAGCTCGGCCTGGCCCCGGTGGTCGATTGTCTTCCAGAGTCTGATCGCTTTGGATATGGCTAGTCACTACATGCACATGTACGCGACGCTCAGCATGGGCGGTTCCAGCCAGAGTCATAAGAAGGTCGACTCCAGCCGCAGCTGGATCCTGTACCAGTACTATAACAGTCGGGTGAGTTGACCCGGTGCCATTCATTCCGAAGTAGCAGACTAATAGTGCTGTGTGACGTACAGACGGTTCTGTTCATTTGCTGCGCTCTCAATGAGCTGTTCTTCATCGGCCTCTATCTGCTCTCTTTCTCCTCGCCTACACTCTCCCCTTCCCTGCTGCTACCCAAGGCGGGAGGCCCAGCTGGCGACACGACTATTCCCCCTCCGGAGGGCTATTCCAGCCCTTGGAGTGCCGGTGCTCTCGAGTTGGCTCGTGCGAACAAGATCGACAGCTTCTGGCCCTGGGTTATCACCGGAATCTCCTTCCCGGTTATGGCTCTCAAGCAGTTCATCAACGTCGTGCAACTAGTCAAGGCCAGCAAGTGGCTGGCCGAAGGTGACATGGCTGCCCGGAAGGCCCTGCGGACTGGTAAGAACAACTAAGGGCTGGCCAGGTCGGGCGTCGGTGGTGTTTCCGGATGTTTCTCTTCTTCGAGTCAACCCATTTTAATGCCCTCGGGCTCACTTCTTCTCCGGATGCCTCCGGTCGGCCGGACGGTGGTCTTTACTGGACCGGTCATTTCTTCTCTGCTTTCTTCCGTGCATGGTTCTGGTGCTCTGGTCGGTTGTGTCAACTGGGGCGAATGGCCCGGGTTTCTTTCTGGTAGTTTCCGCATATGTGTTGGGAGGAAATTGTGGCATATGAGTCTGTGGAGGGACAATCTGTCTCTGGACAAAAGGGTGAATGATTCTCAGCGCATTGTTTACCTATTATCTAAACTGTTGCTTTCCTTTCTTGTATTCTTCTCTGTGTTTGTCATTCCTACAGCTTCTTCACCCCCATTCACGTCTTCTTTCGCTATTAATATTACCATCATTATCTTCGTGATGATTTCCTTCCTCATCATTCCAGATTCAGTCTATTTATACCCCGGACGAGAGCAGAGCAGGGTAAAATTACGGCCAGCAGCTCGCAAGCTACTAGCCGGTCTCGGCTAGTGCCGGCAATGACTCCGGTGTCGGCGCGGGGGAGGCTCCCACTTCCCCCCGCCAGATCGTATATTTATCCGCTCCTCTCTCAGTCTCGCTGTCTTTCTGTTCTGACTCAAACTCCCTAATTCTCTTCCCGTCTCTTGTTCATCATGTCTGCGTATAACATCGTCGTTTTCGCTGGTGACCACTGCGGTCCCGAGGTGAGAGATACTGTCCTGGAACCCCGCACTAGAGAGCTCATACACTGACGTATACGTGCTTGACAGGTCACTGCTGAGGCCATCAAGGTGAGTCAACCATCAATTGAGCTACGGAATAGCTTTTCTACTTCCTAATGAGCTCTAGAAGCTACGTGCCTTTCCACCTGATGCTAACCTCTTCCTTCTAGGTCCTCCGCATCATCGAGAAGAAGCGTGACGATATCACCCTCAACCTCCAGGATCATCTGCTGGGCGGAGTATGTATTGCTAGCACCTTGCGATGGTGATGGCCCAGCTGATAATTCATACAATTAGGCATCCATTGACGCCACTGGCTCTCCCCTGACAGACGAGGCCCTGAACGCGGCCAAGAACGCCGATGCCGTGCTCCTGGGAGCCATCGGTGGCCCTGTACGTAACCCCGCTCTTTCTCGAGTCAAGACCGCCTTGCTACCGATGGAGACTAATCCACGCTATACTATAGAAATGGGGTACAGGGGCCGTCCGGCCGGAGCAGGGTCTCCTGAAGCTCCGCAAGGAGATGGGCACGTTCGGCAACCTGCGGCCGTGCAACTTCGCGGCGCCGTCGCTGGTGGACCACTCGCCGCTGAAGGCGGAGGTGTGCCGGGGCGTGGACTTCAACATCATCCGGGAGCTGACGGGCGGGATCTACTTCGGGGAGCGCAAGGAGGACGACGGCAGCGGCTACGCGATGGACACGGAGCCGTACTCGCGCGCCGAGATCGAGCGCATCACCCGCCTGGCCGCCCACCTGGCCCTCCAGCACAACCCGCCGCTGCCCGTTTGGAGCTTGGACAAGGCCAACGTACTGGCCACCAGCCGCCTGTGGCGCAAGACTGTCTCCGAGATCATGGCCAACGAGTTCCCCCAACTCAAGATCGAGCACCAGCTCATCGACTCTGCCGCCATGATCATGGTCAAGAACCCCCGCCAGCTGAACGGCATCATCGTCACCAGCAACCTCTTCGGTGATATCATCAGCGACGAGGCAAGTGTCATCCCCGGCTCCTTGGGTCTCTTGCCTAGTGCTAGTCTCAGCGGTATCCCCGATGGAAAGAGCCGTGTCAACGGTATCTACGAGCCCATCCACGGTATGTTTTTGTTCCCTCTCCCTTAGTATCGGGTCATACATGGTTCTGACGGCTTCCAGGCTCCGCCCCCGACATTGCCGGAAAGGGCATCGTCAACCCCGTCGCAGCCATCCTCTCCGTCGCTATGATGATGCAGTACTCCTTCGGCCGCTTCGACGAGGCCCGCGCCATCGAGGCCGCCGTGCGCAACGTGATCGAGTCTGGTCTCCGCACTGGCGATATCGGCGGTAAGGCTACCACCAGCGAGGTCGGAGATGCCGTGGCCGCCGAGTTGGAGAAGTTGTTGTAAAGACCCAAACATAAAAAAGTGTTTTTGTTCTCAGCTGAGCTTGCTGTGTTTGCTTTGGGGGCAGTGATGCCGAATGAGATATGACCATAATAATACCAGACAGTTATCTTTCGTGTTTGTGTCGTCAATAGAGAGCGGAAGTGTTGTGGAAGTGATATTGCATTGTAGCATTGAATGATGGGAATCTCTCAATTAGACAGAATAGTTAAGGGTATCTACCGACCAACTCCGATGCAATGCGACGCAATCCAACACAACACAACTACTCGATTACCGAATGACCGGCTCGCCCATCCAATCCGGCTCCTCCAGACTGGTCACCACTCCCTTCACGGCGCGCTCGGCTTCAGCAACCGCATGGTCTCGTCCGCCGGCTCCTCCTCCCTCGCCCATCTCATCATGCGTACTTCCCCGTAGGGACCGGCGCGCACTGTGCCGTCGCACGCGCCCATCCGCCGACGCCGACGGGGCATTGCCCAGCCTTTTGCGCTCGTCGTCGCGCGCAAAGACCTGAAACCCACGCACATGCGTATCCTTGCCGTTCTGGTGGTTCTCGATCACGCGCATCTGAATCACCATGGCTTTGAGCACGTTCCCCGCATACGGGTCGTTGTCATCGTCGTCCTCGTCGTCCTCCTCATCTTCATAATCATAAACCCCTGCATCCTCATACAGGCTCTCCTCGTCTGTGCCCTGTCCGTCGTGATCAACCATCATCTCATCTTCTTCGTTCCCCAGATCCCTCCCTTTCCCTTTACTCCGACTTTTGGTCCCCTTCCGCGCCCTCAGAATACTCCTCTTGATACCCGTCCCATCCGTCCCCATCTGTCTCCTCCTCATCCTCCTGCCGGAGATCCCACCAGGACCAGGACCAGGGCCACCACCTCCTCTCCCCTCACCATACTTATGCACTGTATTCCTACCTCCGACTCCTTCCAGCTCCACATCCACCCACCCACAGGGCCCCTCCCCTTCCCACGTCGCAAACTCCACGAGATCATTCCCGCCCATGCCGGCTAGGAAGACCATCTTGGTGGGCGTGTAGCTCTCGTCCATCTCGAAGTCCAGGTACACGCGGATGCGCACCACGGCGACCAGCTTGAAGAAGTGCAGCGTCAGGGTGTGCGGTTGCGGGCCGTCGGATTGCCAGTACTGAGTCGGCGACGGGTGGCGGAGGGCGCTGACGCCGCAGCCGGGTTTGTGGGTCGAGACGGTCCACGAGGCGAGGGAGGAGATCTCGCGGAGGTTGGCTGGAAGCGGGGTGGGGGATTTGTCTTTTGGAGGTTTTGTTAGATTCACTTAGGATGTCTGGCTTGGGTCGTGAGGGTTATTGGGGAAGGGGTATGGGCATTAGGTAAGGAATCAGGGAGCAAACGTAACATCACGACAGACTAAGAGCAGAGCGTGTATAATGCACGTATATATGTATAAACCTCCAAGTAAAGCAGCAGAGTGAAATGAAGGGGCAACGTAAACAAGCTTACCTCTCTCGCCCAACATCTCCTCATCAGCATCAACACCCGCGTCCGCGAGCATATCCTCGTCCTCCTCATCAATGACTCCCTCCTCCTCTTCTTCATCCGCAACCCCCTCCTCATCCCCATTAATGCCAAGTTCCTCGTCTTCTTCAACTCCCGCCTCGCCATCATCATCGGAGAGCGCCAGGTCCGGGCCGGGCTCTAAACCGTGATGCCGATGGCGACGACGGAGGTGGTGAGGGTACTGGTGCTGCTGCATGGAGTCGTCGATATCTTCGTCTTCGTCTTCATCGCCCTCTTCGTCTTCTTCTGCTTCCTCTTCGTCGTCGTCCTCGTCCTGTTCCGCCTGATCGTGCGGCGGATGACGTTGGCGTGGCTCCCCGTGGCCCCGGCCGTGGACCCCTCGCCCGAAGAGCGAGAACAACGCCACTTGCGCCGCGGCGGCCGCCGCCGGGTATTGTCGCTGCTGCTGTTGGGCCTGTTGTGCTTGCTGGTGACTGTGCAGCGGGTGGTCTGGATCTATTGGTCCCGAGGAGGGGTGGAGCGTAGGGATGGGGAAGCCGCGTGATGGCGGGGTCGTGAATTGGGATGAGGGAGATTCATGGTGGTGGCCGAGACGGGTGCGGTGGAGGCTGCGGGCGGGCACCGGCGGTGGGTGTCGTTGTCGCTGTTGTTGTGGTTGTGGTTGTGGTTGTTGATATTGTAGATGCTGGGGCTCGGACGGGGAGGACGTGTCCGGGTTGTGGTTGCGGCGGAGGATATGGTGGTGGCGCGGCATGGTGTGGTTGTTCCTTTTGAGCTGGGTTGGGTCCGTCTGATAGAATGTCAATTATCGCTTAGCCATGACTGCCAATGGCTGGCTTGCGGGTCACTGCTGCTATTGTTTTTGTTGATATATTTGTGGCTCGAGGAAGAAAAGGTGAAGCTGCGATGGAAACCGCGTCGGGGCTATCAATCACGTGTGGCTTATCGGTTTATCGCAAAGCGATAAACAACTCGTTTGTCCTGGCTTGAGGAGTTCAAGGACGAGTGAACTCAAGGCATGTCCCCAGTCCTGGAATACTGTATAATATTAATATTACCTTATCGATAATGTGCATGCCTCAAGATAGTAATGAGCGGATTTGAAACTCCAAGATGCTGTGCCATACTTTCAAGTTGCAATTCTCGACTCAAAAATATATTCTATAAGCTCGCCCAGGCCGTGGCCTGACGAAGTATCTCGCTATTCAACAAATGTAGTATAATACAGAATCAATTACAAATAAAGTGGTCTAGTTTTCAACGTCCACGTAACCAAGCTTCTCACCCATTTTGATCCGCTGTCCCTTTTCAATGGTCCAATTCCATCCTCCCTCGCGTTTGCCCTCTTCCCAACCGGCATCGAACGACTTGCGCGTACCCATGGGCGCCTCAAACACCAGCACGATCGAACTTCCCAGCTGGAACCCTCCCATCTCCTCACCTCTCTGAAGAGGATGGCCTCCCAGGGTGCGGCTAGCGTGACGGTAGGTCGCTTCGACAAATCCCGGGTACTGCTCGCCGCGCGCTGCGGCCTCTGCTGCGGCCTTATCGGCAGCGGTATCCGTGGTCAGGCTGTTGGTCCGCAGTTCCGCATCAAAGTTGACCTTAATCGAGCCGACGTTAGTTGCTCCAACGGGCGTGTAACTGAAGAATCCCCACCGCCAACGGCCTAGCAGGGCGACACGCTCATTAAGAGTGAACAATCCCGGGAGATGGCGCTGGAGATATGGTGACACTGAGAACAATTCTCCTGCGAAGTGACGACGGCTCTCCACCACCCACGGCACAGGAGAATGGAAGCGGTGGTAGTCACCCGGAGCCAGGTAAATAACGACGTAGTACAGCGCGTGATTGGCGGCCGCCTTAGGGGCGTACCATGGAGTTCCATCACCACGCGCCAAATCAGCCTTCACCTCTTCTTCAGCACCAGCCTTGGAAGTGGTAGACGCATCCATCGAGGCCGACCGCTTTCGTGCACCACCCTGTTCGCCAGCAAGGAGAGTCGGTAGAGTGTAGGAGATGCCATTCATTTCGGCAAATTCCTCATCGGCCAGCATCTTCGCTTCGTTCTTTTGGCTCGGCTCGGTCTGGTGGTCGGCGAAAGTCTTGGCGTGGTCCGCATGGGTCGGCGTGGCAGATCCTAAAAGGGCGTCCAAACTGTAAGTGACACCCTTGACCTGCTCTACCTCACCACGCTCGATAAGTCCGAATTGCAGGATCCTTCCATCCGCAGGTGAGATGACAGCATGAGTATCTGGATCCAAAGGCCGAACACCGGGTTTCAGTTGACGGTAGAAGAACGCGGCCAAGTTCGGGTAGGTATGAAGGTCGGGCTCGGCCACCTCGTCGAGGTTGACGCCAAATATCCAGGAGTAGAGTTTAAAGCCGGGAACGCGAAGGTAGTAGGGCAGTTCGATTTCGTTGAAACGACCCCAGAGTCGAGACATAGCCTTAAGTGGCAAGGTGGACATTATCTGGACCTGCCATGGTCCGCTGAGTCGGTGTTTGGGACGGGGAGGGGCGTTCTGGAAGTCATAGGGCTCTCCAGCTGCCTCCCGTTCAGCTCGCTCCCTTTCAACACGCTGTGCCTTGTAGAACTGCAGTAACCCGAGCAGGCCAATGCCTAGACCCACGGGGATGGGGTACCATTCGACCTTGGTGTTGCGGAGTGCAAAACGGAGACGGGAGCCGAATGTGCTGCGACGAGACGGGTTTTCTTTCTGATTATAATCCTGGGACTGTTTCCAAGTTTTGGAAAAGTGACGAGCACCGGCCGGACGACGACCAGTGGCCTTCAACGACACTTCCATCAATCCAGCCCTCTCCACATGAGGGGAGACCAACACCTTCCGGCGAAGCAACGCAGAATAACTGGACAGGCACAGGGCCATAATGCGACTCTACTGGGTGAGAGTCATCCCAGAGGGGGCAATAACCGAGGCGAGACACGTGAGAACGCTTGTCTTGCACAAGTAAGGTGTGAAATGAGAATAAAACGGCGAAGTGCACAAGCAGCAATCTTCATTTCCCCCCCGGAGCGTGATCGGCAAGAAGAGGTTCTCACCGCCTGGCAGAATGGACGGCCTCCGCCGTTTGTTCTGTGTTACCTCTCTCTCGTCTTGTTGACAACCTGCTTCTCTATTTATTGCTGTTATTCGATTCTGTGCCGTGAACATCTGTCCTTCTCTCTACAGATTTCATTCATCCTGTGTACTCTTGAACTGGCTTCAAGGTGCAGGCCGGACCTGTTGCCTGTTTGAAGGAACATCGTTACGTATACTTCCGCGGCGGAAGACAGATTGCCTTATCGGAGCACTCCTAGAGTGGATCTGGTTGGTAGGCTGCTCGACGCGGAATCGTTCTACTAAAGGAAACAGCTCGTGATTATGCGCATGTCTGTGGCTCAACTGATACTCAGTTAGCATCAAAAATCTTCAGGATGGCTTCAACCACAGACACCCCCACCTCATCGTCGGACTCGCCAGAGAGCTTCAACCTGCATGTCTTGTGTCCGTCATTGCCTCCGCCGAACCGGTTCACCATCGAGGATGTGTCTCCATCTACCACTGTTGCAAACCTCAAGGCCCGCCTCGCACAGTCAATCCCAAGCCAGCCGTCTCCGGAAAGTCAGCGATTAATTTATCGCGGAAAACCCCTCCTGAATGATGCGGCTGCGATGAAAGATGTACTGGAACCGCCTAATGTAAGGAGCCTCAATTTCTTACTGTGCTTGCAAATGCTCTGGTGACAGTTGACTAACAGTTAATTCTCAAAGGCTACCGAATATTCGATCCATCTTGTCCTTCCCCCAACATCGGAGTCTGCGGCACCACGCTATTTTAGCTCTTCTGGCCCGCAGTCACCGCAGCCAGATAGTGGAATGAATTCCAGGCCTCCGAATCCGCTTAACACCAACCGGCAACCTGCTCCAGCCCGTGCGGCGCACAATGACTGGGAGGCCACACCCAGAAGTGAGCCAGTGCGCACAGGCACGCACGAAGCCGACGTCGGAGCGACACTGCGACGGAACATTGAGGCCCTGCGCCGAGAGATTGAGATACGAGAGCAAAGCTTAAGTGCCTTCTCCTCCAGCATGAACCCCGTACTTTCAATGTTGCGGCAGCGAGCAGCGTTGACGGACCCCTCGTCCTACCGCCCCGAGCTGTCCCGGACATCCTCATCCGAGACACTGGCAGCCACCGGTCTTCCAACCACAGGGTCCCCCTCCAATCCGCACATATCTGAAGAGGCTTCACTCCGTCTGCAGATCCTGATGCGTCAAGTTGAGTTTGCAGAATGTCAACTCAATCACGGAATTGCACCTCCCATGGACCACATCATCCGAATTCGGACACACCTATTCACCATACTGGATGCGCAGCGCCAGAACCCTCTTGCCGAGCGGGATGGCTCAATCGAAGGGCTGCTGTCCCGCGTCCTCAACATATACACACGCGCCGATCAGCTACGCCTGTCCGAGGCCAGATTCCCACGATCGCAGACCGCATCAACCAGTGCCATCAATACACCCGCATCTGGCCTGACTTCACTGTATCTGTTGTCATCGCCATCCGGATACGAAGGTATCATAACCACTTCCCCGGGAGCCGAAGAACTGCAAGCGACGCTCGACAGCCTTCGCGCACTGCACCTGCCGGACCGCGGTCCCATCCCAGACACTGCCCCCGTGCCCGAGTTCCGGCCCAACGCAAATGCAGTCGTCATGGAGAACGTAGTGCGCCAGGCCGTGCTCAACCAGCGCGGGGTCGGCAACAACGCGAACAACAACGGCCAGCTAGGCTTCGGGCGGATCATTAGACGGCTCTGGCAATTCCTCCGGCTGTACTTCTTCTGCTACATGTTCACCGAACCAGGCACCTGGGCGCGCGTGTTCTTCGTGACCCTGGCCGTGCTCTATGTACTGTCCATGGAAACCGGGGTCGATCAGCAACTGTACCGGACGCTCGTGGCTCCCGTGCAGCAGCACCTCGAAGGCCTGGTGCACTTCACTCCGCATGAGCCAGCGCAGGCCCAGCAAAGCCAGGGTGGCAGCACGGACGGTCAACGCGGTGTCGGAGCTCCAGCGACTGGTAACCCTCGCGCAGGGGTGGCGGGTGAAATGCGATTTCAGTTGCGCAGGGTGGAGCGGTCCGTGGCGTTGTTCATTGCGAGCTTGGTTCCCGGGGTCGGCGAGCGCCAGGTTGCGGTGCGCAACGCCGCGGAAGCAGCGCAGCGCGCGCGGGAGGAGGAGGAGCGCCGTCAACGTGAGGAAGCGCAGCAGCAGCCGCAGCCGCAGCAAGAATAGGAGACCCATGTTGTTGCAGAGGAGCGTGAGAGTGGAGGTCACACTACGATACCCCAGGCAGCCGAGAACTGACTCAAGCGTCAGCCATATTTCCATCGGACCCGCCTTTGATTTTTGCCTTACAGTGACATACATCGATGAATTTGGCCGTGCGTTTGAGCCTTTAGCCTGAGAAATGGATACGTTATTGAGTTGTAGCTTTGATGTGCATTGTAGTCTTTCCCTTTGGATTTATACTCCGCTCAGCCGTAGTATAATCACCGCAAGACTCCCTACCGGATATTCAAACAACCAACCTACCATCATGATATGCAAGCTCACAACTTCATCCCCCGTTCCCCCACCCCCTCAGAAACCACAGTATCCAATCCCGAAACCGGCGGAGCAGACTCAGCCGCCATAGGGCCCGTATCAAACCCTTCCTCGCCATTAAAATGCCTACCATCAGATCACACAAGTCAGCCCAACCCTCCACAATCAAAGAAAAATTCCAGCGAGGGAAAAGGAAAACAAACCACCCCCTCTCAGCCCCCTGACTCAAAAACCCACAATCGCCATTGCGCACACAATCCCACCCCCCCGCAACCCCCTTCCCCCCACGCCAATCCGTCTGTACTGTAATCCCAGCCCGAAGGATCGTCGTACCAGGCGCAAGAACCCACTCTTGCTTATCCTCGCCCCCAGAAACCCCAGCACCACTACTACCCCGACGCAAATCCCTACCTACCGAATCCACACCACATCCAGCCCCATCTTGCCCATTACCACGTTGCTGCCGCCACCGGCGGCGGCGGAAGGTACTCAACCCGGCCGTGAAAACAAAGAAATCCTCTTGGGACGAATCTTCCGGCATGAGGCCCGTCAACGCGCGACCCATGGCGATCAGCGGTGCAGCGTGCGAGCAGATGAGGATGGCCTTGCTGGAGCGGGGCTCGTGGGCGGGCTGGGCGGCCTCGAGGGCGGCGATCTCGGCGTCGACGTCTGCGATGAGGGCGGCTAGGGTTGTGGCGATGCGAGTGTGGAGGTTTGCGATGGTTTCGCCGGTTGGGGAGGGGGTGAGGTGGGGTTTATAGGGTTTATAGGTTTTGTTGGAGGGGGCGGAGGCGTCGTCTGGGTTGTTTGGGAGCGTAAGGTTGAGGGTTGGGAAGTAAGTGGATAGGGTTGGCGGTGTTGCGGGTGGCGGGTGCGTGAAGAAGGTGGTGTGGCCGAACCATTCTCTATTTCATGGGATTGAATTTTGTTAGTTGCTGTGTGTGCATGTGTAAGTGTATGGGGGAAGCAATTGGGTTCTGGGAGGAGCAGGACGAGCAGGAGCAGAAACAGGAGGCGGGTTTTCTGGTATACAGGAGCTCACCCTAGGCCAGGCTCGACGCGCACGGCGAAGTCCGCGTGGCGTTCGATCTGCTTATCGTTGTTTTTGGATGTGCTGCTATCATCTGAATACGTCCTCTGGTGGAGTTCCTTCAGAGCGTCAACGGAGGGCTGGATCGTCTGGAGACAGCGGTAGAATGGACTGCAGTAGACGCGGAAGGGTTTCGGGTGGAAGTCGTCGCTGGCGAGATGCGCGGCCAGCTCGTGAGACTGGCGCACGCCGTGCGAGGTAAGCGTGGGATCGGCTGGATTGCCAGTCGGTGTTGGGAATTGAGCATGGTAGGTGCCGGTCTTGTAGTCTATTGTCCAATTCAGCCGGTGCTGTATCGAAGGGTGGTTTTGGTTAGTGGAAGATGGTTGTTGAATGAGGAGAGTATGGTAAAACACACGCCATGACGGGTGAGGTAGATGGTGTCGAGAGGCATTGTGGTTTGCAATGGCCTCAATGGTGGAGTATATCGACAAGAGAAAGGAAGAATGTCAGGGGAGTCTTTATTTATCAGAGTCGAGACAAACTGCGGGGAAAATCCCGGGGTGGACCAGAATTGCGGACTGCACGAGCGGTCAGCGAACTCGGTGGAATGGGAATTGGCCTCGGTCCGAGCGCCAGACAGGAATAAAACACTCTGCTACGGGATACAAATCCTAGGTATCTACGAGTGGAAAAAATTGTTGAGATGACCGATGTATTCTTTGGAGTAAGCGAGATCACTCTAAATCAATAAACTATCTGTGGCGTTTCTGCCCGGGTATCGATTCCGCAACTCTCCGCCAAGACCAGCAACAGAGAGCACATCCCTCGCCCAAACACTCCAAATCATAATCCGATCATTTCAAAAACATCTCGTGACGGAATTTTCTAGTAGAAGAAACCGAGGAGCTTGCCAGCAACGTGCTTGCGGCGAGCCTCCTCGTGGTCCATGATACCGGCAGAGGTGGTCAGGACGACGAAACCGAACTGACGGGAGGGGAGGAGCTGGGTGGTCCACTTCTCGAGGTCACGGAGCTGGACGGGGTAGCGGGGGTTGATGACACCGGTCTTGTTGAGGCGACCGTTGAGCTGGATTACGATCTTGCCGGAGCGGTGGTCATCGACCTCCTCGAACTCGCCAATGTAGCCTGGAAAAGAAAAGAGATCAGTAATTTGTGGCGACGATTTAAAGGTTAGACCAAACACAGAAAAAGAAATGAGTTTCGGAAACTTGTAAGATCCTCGCCGGTTTCAATATATCGGGCACTTAAAGGGCGAGCGTTGTATGATATGCGAAACAGACCGCCTAGTTATCAACCCGAATTTCTGTGTACTACTGTCGTACCGGCGATTGGATCATACTCATTCCCGAAGCAAACTCATTTCCTGTCTTGTGTGCCGAGGTCTAATAGAACTAGAACGTACCGTGCTTCTGCATGACGGAGAGGAACTTGATGATGACCTTGGAAGAGGGGCGGATCAGAACCTGACGGCGACCGGACTTCTCGGCGTTGTTGATGGCGTTGAGCGCATCGTTGAGGACGGAAGTCTTGACCATTTTGGCGGTGAGATGGCGAGATTCTCAGATCGAGGGATACGAGAGGAAATGAGGTATCTGAATTCGAAGATCACTCCAACCTAGAATCCCTTCTCGGCACCGTTTCTGATGCCGGGAAAAGGGATTGTGCCGGAGTCCAATAGTCAGCCACCAGTAGTCCTCGAGCGCAAAGAGTGCCCCTGATGCAGTCCATAAAGGGTTCTTCAGCCCGTGCCGTATGAGGAGAAGCGTATCACGCCGGCCTTCCTGGTTGTTTTCATTGCGGTCGGTTGCTACACCTGCAAGTAAGAAAAACACACCGAAGAATCCGAGCGTGATTGCTCTCCCAGACTAGCTGAGAGGCTGCAGAACAGGGAGAGGCAACAGGTTGTACATACCTCGTTGATGTGTCGACGACGTCGGTTGAGATCAAGGGAAGGGGATGGTAGCGGACGCGGCCGAGAAAAGTGAAGAAGTTTTCACGGGGTGTGCGGGTGGGCCTTAGGGTTGTCGATCCGTGCCCTTATCCTTAGCACGTGACAGAGCTTAAGCCTTCAATGGAGGCCTCAGGCATCAGCAGAATCTGGCTCCTGGATCACCATTCTTCGACAAAAAGACAAGGTCGCAAAATCTGCATGTGAAAGCGGCATGATACAAATAGATCATGCACGACAGTTGCGAGTGCGTCATGGCTCATACACGAGTGAAAAGACTAGTTGTTCCAATGTGTCTTTATAGAGAGTGGTTTGATTTTCACGAAGCGAGTATCTCCTATCAAAATCTAGCATATACGCGACCGTGTCGATACATCGGCAGGTTTACGAGGGCCTGGATCATACGAATATAGGGGTGGGTTTATCATTCTATACATTTCTTCTTGATCCGATTCGGAATAGGTGAAGTAAGGGTAGGGTGACATTCGTGACAAGGGGGATGGGGTTACATGACTTCTTGGGGCATACATGATAATGCTAATAGGACCTCTGTCTAATTAAAAAGGGTGCGAGGGGCAAAGGAAATCGACAAGTGGATAGTAGTAATATAGGGGAGAAGAAGACCGAGAACATAAGGCCGATGGATGGTGCCAACATGCATTGCGAGATGTCATGGAAAGGAAAAGTCCGAAAAGCAGTCAACTGCACAGGACGGACATCCTGAACGCTGGGGCAGATTGGGTAAGGGGAGCAAAGGGGAGGGGGAGGGGGAGGGGATTGTGTGCGGAGGGTAGGGGGAGATGTTGGGGAAAGGCGAGTGGGTTGGTACAGGGTGCTCAAGGGATGTGGTTGAGTCGGCGACCGCAGATAGACCAGCCCTGTCCACAGTCTGATCGAACTGAGAGCACGGTGACTTAGGAATGAGCGATCTGGGAACGACTCGGAATCCTTCAAGGTGCAGGTCACCTCAGCGAATGGGGCCAGCGTCGCCACGGCGCTAGGTGCTTCAGGTGCGCCAGCAGTTGGCGGCGTCCTAAAGGGGTGGCATCTTGTCGAGTGAACGATCAAAGACAAACAGGTCAACTGATGATGATCACTTAAGCCATAGCAGCAGCGGTGGACATGTTGATCTGACGCTTGACTTGCTCACGGGTCCAGCGGGCAGTGTCAATGGTGCGAGGACCATATTCACGGTTCTGGCGGGTCTCGCGAACCAGAGCAGTGACCCAGTCGTTGCGGAAGTAGTTGGCGAATTCGCCGTTGGGGAAACCCTCGGCAAGGTCACTAGTAAACGGTCAGATTATAGGAGCCATGAGATGGGCTTGAATGTATGAAGCTTACCCAAGGACACCCATAGCAGCCCTCATCAAGCCTTCACTCCGGTTGATATCTTGGGAAACAGTGTGAAGCAGCTGGAAAATGTGGTCGACAAAGGGGGTAATGTGAGTGACTGATCAAGGGCGTTAGCAAAGGATGTGTCTAGATGTAGTAGATATGCTTACTCTGAGGCTTGCCCTTGTAAGCCAGAAGAATACCACCCCAAGCGTCCATGATACCCTCACGGAGGGAGATGATGTAATCGATCGCGTCAAGAGACACATCGTCGCTGGCGGTAACGGCCGCGGCTTGGTGGAGAACAGTTGCAACGACCTGCAGGTAAGTGTCGAACTGAGTGCCGATAGCCTGAGCGATATCTCCAAATGTCTCGAGGATAGCAGGCTTGAGTTGATTGCCGCAGGTCTAGATAACTAGTCAGTTGAATGCATTCCCGGTAATCAGAAGACTGAAAACTTACCCGCAAGACAGTGAGCAGAGCGTTCATGAAGCCGTCGCAGAAAGGCTGGATCTTCTCATTCAGGGCGCGGGCAATATCGCTGACCAAGCCAATAGCCATGGAGCACAGACCAGGCTCTTCCTGGTTGCTAAGGGCGTTGTACAGGGGCTGAGCGAAAGGCTCCATGTACTTGGCAAAGTCCTCCTCCATTGCGCTAGCGATGGCACCGACAGTGGCGAACACCACATCAGGAACACTCGACTTGGGAGGAACGGTAGAGAGCACGCGAAGCATGAGCTCCATAATGCGGTCGGCCTGGGGCTTGATCTCGGTCTCAAGGCGTTGAACAACGGCCTGTATGGTTAGCATACGACATATTTCAAGTTATGCTTAGAGCGAGCTTACAAGAATGACGCTGACAATGCTAGTCTGCATCTCTTCCAAAGTGATGCGGTCTTCGACACTGACCACCTGCTGCTGCATGCCGATGGTGTGGTCCAAGCGCTGAAGCATAACATCGGATAGGTTTCCAACCAAAGGAAGGCTGTCGATGGCGGCATTGTTAACGAAGGAGTTGAGAACCTCGTAACCGGCGGTGCGAAGCTGGTTGTCGGCATCATGTCTGCATGAAGGTTTAGCAACTGATTGATATAATTAATACGTGGGAACCATACCTCTCGGTAAGTGTGAGAAGCGACTTGACGCTCTCGCCAAAGTGCTTGGAAAGAGGGTTGGTCTGGGTACCGTAATCGCCAGCAAAGCGATCGGCAACGTTCATCAAAGCCCAACAGCAGGAGCTGGCAATCTTGGGGGAGCTGGCAAGACCGTTGAACAGGCACGAGATCAGGGGCTCGAGGTGCACCTCGGGATCAAGAGTCTCGGAGCAGTAGTCACAGACACGGCCCAGAGCGTAAGCGACCGAGTCGCGGACCTGGATGGAGCTGTCTGACATCATGCCGACCAGAACAGGGAGAGCCTGCTTGATCAAGGGCTCCAGAACCTTGGGGTCAGGGCCGTCCATGATGGCACCGAATGCGGCGACAGCAGCATCTCTGTGGCGCCAGTCCTCGTTACGGATGTTGCCCTCAATGAAAGCCAAGACAGGGGGGATGACATCGCCCTGGACGCACTGAGCGTAGAGCTGCAGGGCCTGGTAAGCGGCACGAGCAACGTTGTATTCATCGTCGCCTGCATCTTCATCCTGTCGGCACATAGCCTGCAACAGGACAGGAACGACCTCCTTGCAAGCAACACGGGCGAAGCCAAAGAATGGGCGGACCTCAGGGATACCCTCTGCTTGTGCCTGTAATCGTCGTTAGCTATGCCCATAGCCCTTCCCCATCGTAGGCGTTTCAATATCCAACGTACCGCCGCATTGTCGTCCTCAATAGCGATTTCCTCTTCGCAAACGGTGCACCAGAACTCGATAGCGAGCTTGGCAACATCCTCCTCCTCGTTCTTCATTCCCATGATGCTCAAGCCGAACAGGGCCTTCTCCATGTAGAAACGCATCTTGTCGTAGTAGGCACCCATGACACGGTTAAGACATCCGAAAGCGCCAGCCTGAACTCGGAGATCGTCGGCCTGAGTAGCCTCACAGACCACCTGCATGATGTAGTTCCGCTCACCCTCGTTCTCCATGTTCGAGCGCACAAAGTCAACGGAGTCGCTCAGGGCCTTGATGGCGGCGAAGCGGATGTCCATGTTCGGCTCCTCACGGCGAGCGCCCTGGACGACGGCGGTGAGGATGGCATTGGAGTGGGCGGCCAAGCTCTCGCGAAGCTCGGGGTCCTGGGATTCGCAGATGAAGCCGATGGTGACCAGGGAGGCCTGCTTCAATTGATCGGAGCCGGTCGCGACATTCTGAACCAAGATCTGCATGAGATCGGGCCATTCGTTCCGGGGGAGCTCGATGGCGGCGATGGAGACGATGACCTGGGCGGCGGACTGTCCGGCCCGGCCATCTTTCGAGCCGAGCGTCTTGAGGCCAAGTTCCTTGACTTGGGCCTTGATTTCTGGGGTAATTTGCTGTAGCCATTTAAGTTGGACCTCGCGGAGCTTAGCGAGGTCTTTGAATGTGAAAGCGTTCTTCAACGCAAGACCGGCGGCGGTTCTAATGTGGGACGGGGTGTTCTCATTTGCTAATTCTTGACCCAAGGTGAGAAGATATTGAGCCTATCGAGCCGATAAAAAGCAGACATTAGCAAAGCCGATGGCGGTGGCAGCACGATAGCTGGAATTCGTGGGATGGTAAGAACTTACGAAGTCGACCTCAGCCGCATGGGCGAGCTGCTGTTCGGCATTTGTACGTGCAGCCGCATCTATAATACACCAAGAAGAACAGCCATCAGCAAACCTTGCCACAACCTCGAAGGAATCCCACCGCTCATCGAGATGAGCCCGAATATAGGGAAAGGGAAGAGCAGAATATACCTGGCGAGAGGGTGCTCTCCAAAACCTGAGTGACGTTCATGTTGCCGTATGCGGAAAACAGCACCAGGGATCGCAAGCGAGAGCGAAAATCAAGAAGAGGGAGGGGAAACTAAAGACGAAGAGAGGAAAAAAAAAAAAAAGGAAAAAGATCGGGCCCGGAACAAATCGAGCGACGAGGTAGAAGAATCCCGGGGGTGGAAAGGGATCTCAAAAAGTCCACGAGAAAAGAGTGTTGGAGGTGGACGAGGAGAGGGTTGTTGAATGAATTCTTCGGCAGGACAAGAAGAAAGGTTGTTTTTGTGGATTATGACGAGGCATGCACCACTGGAGAGGTTCTTTCCGGAGGGGGTAACGGACGGGTACGGCGTGAGTAAGGTGACAGGACAGCACCGACGGTTGGAAACACGCTTTCAAACACAGCGCAGGAATATAGATCAAAGAAGAAAAGAGAAGAAAGAGAAGAAGAAAATCCCCAACTATTGTGTTCTGAAAACAGGAGGAGAGGGGAGAAGGGGGAGGAGTGTATGTGGTGGAAGAGGGGGATTGCGGAGAGTCGGGATGAGACTGTGTTGAAGCTGCAGTGATCCGAACTACTTACTCTCTGTGGATGAGGGGAGTTTCCTTTTTTTTTTTCTTTTGGTTAAGGAAGAATAAGAGAACAGGAAGAAAGAGAGAGAAGAAGGAATGGGGATGAGGATGGGTTGAGATGCTCTTGAAGAGGATAAGAGATGGATGGTCGGAAAGGGAAGCGGGAGGTGGAATCGATACTGCCCGTACCAATCGATTTCATCTTCTGCTTCGTTCCAGAGCGAAAAAGATCTTGAAATGGATGAGCACTGCAACCAATTTGGGAGCGCTGATTGGTTGGATACAGATGGCTTAGTCATTACACGTGACCTGAGACAGTCTGAGACCGACAGCCCTTTGAAGGAGAAGGAACAACCAGACGATTGGACCAGAGCCATATGCAGGAGTAAAAGAAGGTCAAAAGGTACCTATGTGATAGATACTTCCAGATATTAAGGTACATGTACATCTAGCTACCTAGCTAGCAGCCCTTCCATTCTCTCTCCTCTGTTAACCGCAGGAGGGGAACTCTTGTCTTTGTCGTCACCACTACTACACACCTGTATCATACACACCCGGAAATACCAATACCAGTTTTTACCTTCAGCTTGTTGCTTGCCAATCCTGCCAGTCTTCACTTCACTTCTTCTCACAGGGCGGGCTCCGAGCTCTCTCTCTTTTACTCCATTCTGCCCCTCCTTCTGCGCCCTGTCCATTTTCCCACCAGCCTTTCCCTTCCCTCAATCTTTTGCCCCCCTCCTCCTTCTCTCTGTTATTTTTTCCCCCCTTCCCTTTGCTTGTTTTGATTTTTCTGCTTTGAAGCACTTACCCACTCCCCACTCCCGTGTCCCCAGCGACCATCACCGAAAATCAACAAAATCTCCATCGCACAAACCAACAGCTGCTCTGCCTGGCTGGAGCCTGGTTGGCATTGTTGTTGTTTTGTTTTGGGGAGATCCACCATAACAGATCATCCCTTCCATGCCGATTCTTTGACTTTCTTTTTCTTCGTTCGCTTACATTGTACTATTGACTCTGCTGGTTGGATTCAGAGTGGGTGGATGTTCGAGAAACTTTTTGAGTTTTTGCATGTTTCGACAGGTCTCTCTTACAATTTGACAGACCAGACTAGACAGCGACAGTTTATGCTAAGGTTTGATGAGTGTCCTCTTTGGTGTAAATGAGAAATTCTAGAATTATACTTTTCCCTTTCCTTTTTCTGTTGTTGGGGAATTTTTTCTGCGGCTTGTAGATTCAGATGTGTCTCGGCCTGAGGGTCAGTGGAATCTGGCACGCTGGAAACCACAGGCTGAACACACGCCCTTCCCTAGCAATTGCTGGTGTTTATGTGGGCCTCTCTCTCCGGCAGAAGTGAGACAGTCCTTGAGACCACTCTCAGGTGTGTCTGATGGGAAGTGTTGAAGTGCTTGAATTCATTCGTCTTCCACATCCTCAATTTCCTCATCCAGGTCCTCCTCTTCTTCATCCTCATCCTCGTCATCGCCCATTTCCGCATCCAAATCTAAGACCTCATATCGTATCCCGTCGCCGTACAGGACACAGATCGCCCGGCGACCGCGGCGGCCATTGACGTCTATCCTCACGGGCCGAGCTTTGCCCTTGGCGCCGATGAAGCTATGTTTGATGATATCTAGGTCCTGGGAGCTTGGCGCAAGTATGTCCAAATCCATCGTAGCGGTCAGCTGTGCGCTTGTCTCGTCAGGTTCCTCACGGTACTCGATGGAGACGGAATTCAAAGTCTCTCCATCGCCATTCGAGGCTGGTGCATCCTGGAAGGGTAGGCTGAGTAGATAGGATGTTCCTTCTATGCTCCGGGATCAGTATATTGCAAAGCCAAGCAAGCCACCACGGGCGGATGACAGGGATAGGCTTACTCTCACTCGACCATAGAACCATCGCTGTGTCATCCTCCACAAACTGGACCTGCCGGATCTCCCCGCCCTTAAGATCGACGACGGCGATGGAGGTGCTTCGCGTAGAGCTCACTCCATTCTCGGACTCCAGGACCACACGGTAAAAGCAGACTGGTTGGTCACAGACCTCGGTTAGCTAATCTCACACATATGGGCAGAGAGGTATCCTACGTAGATGCTTGTTCTTGACTGATCTGGTCGCAACGTAGATTGTACATACGTCTTCGTTCTCCTCCGTAGCCTAGCTCCCGTCAGTAAAAGGCCACGCTCAAGGTTGGTGATCGTACCTCGTAACACATAGTGATATCAATGACATCCCGATCACAGTCCGGGTGGAGGATCAAGGGTGTTCGATGCAGAATACCTCTGCGCTGCGTCAAAGCAATCTGCCCAAACACCTTATCAAATTGCAACCCCAGACGTTTCGTCAAGTCGTTCATCTTTGGGGATTGCACTGCTTCAATTTCGCCGGAACCCTGACTCTGCTGTTCCAGCAATCCTCTGACAGTTTCGTAAAATGAGCGGTCCTGACCTGTGGGAGCCCATTTGTCTGAAGAATCCATTGGGACTGGTGGCCTCGGAACCCCCATCAAAGGTAATTGCCGGATGAAGCTGCGGAGCGCACTTTTTGTGAGAGCGCCTCGAATGTACTTCAGAGTCTGCGGGTATTCGACCATATCTGTCTTCTCCATCAACTCCTCGAGGGTCTGCGACATGGGTTCCGCTGATTGCATGTCAATCTCATGGCGAAGCCACCTAGAGAAAGCGTTGAACTGAGTCAATTCCTCATTGGCGTTAACGAGGATATGATGGGCCAGAAGATGGAGACAGTCGAGCGTCTCCACGATAGCGTTGAGGTCCGACGTCTCCAGCCCCAGCACCTCACTCAGCTTGTGGAACTTGGAAAGACCGACCAATCGACTAAGCAGCACTTGACATCTTTCCAAGGCGGGAAGGAGGCATTCATGGGTCAACCGTCGGACATTCTCGTAGCCAGACGATACGGCCTTCTCCCATCGCTTATGACCCTGTGACCAACCAGTCAATTAACCATTCACTCAGGGAGCGTCCCAGCTCAAAACAGCAACAACACACTCACCCTTTCACCGACAATTTCCACCAGAAACTCCTTCAGAGGCTCAAAACAGTCCCCCGTCACGACAAGATGGTACGCAGCCGTGACAAAATCACAATGACACTTTTCTTGCAGATCCTGATCAATGCTGCGCATGTACCGCGCCGGTAACTCCTGCGCATTCTTCCACTCGAGCTCGATCTGCCTCTGAACCTGAGCAATATACCGCAGCAGATTCTGTAGCTGCGTCGTCTTGTGTGCCAACAGCGAAAGATAGCGCCCGGACCGGGTGATGAAGCGCAGGTCGAGCGTGAGCAGATGCAACGGGCTCGGAGTACCATCCGGGGCTATAGCCAGAAGCGCATGAGTCGAGCTCAGCGGATGAGAGGCATGTCGGACTATCTGATAGGATCCGGAACTCCCAGGCGGAGCTGTCACCTGGAAAGAGCCAATCTCAAAACAGTCGAAGATACGCAGATGCACCGTGCCATCGTCAAACCCGACGAGCAGCACATCAACGGCGTCGCTGGTTTTTTTGGTCGATGAATGAAAGATAGCGTCAATCGACGCTCGAGAGCTGAACACATCGTCACTGCACTCCACGTTAGCCCCGTGAACTAGCCCCTTATGCCCCTGTCCCCCATGCTCATGACACAGGCCGGTAGTATAGCAGGAAGTACTTACTCGCTTCCCGTCGCAGGCAAGGTACTCAGCTTCGGCAAAGAAGACTCAACATCCAACAGCGCCAGCTCTCGCGGCAGATCCGCCTTAAGCAGAGCCGCCGCTCGGGACGGATGGGCATCAGGCGACAGCAGATCCTCGACGGTAACCTGCCCAGCGGCGTCGTGCAGATGCCGCTGCGCGACCTTCGTATCCGTGAAATTCACGCCCCAGCCCACACACGTCACCTTGACCGACTGACCGACGTCGTCCTCAGACTGCTGGTACGCAGGATAATGGTGGACTGTTTTGCCACTGTAGGCGCTGATAATACGGACGGTATTATCCGCACACGCGACTGCGAGTAAATGACCTGAGTGAAGAAGGAAGAAAAAGGAAATGTCAATATCACCCTTCGCGCAAACAAAGCACCGAGCCAGAGATTGTAGTGTGTGGAACATCCAGTCCCAAAGGCCCAGTAATATATTGGGGACAGAGATAGAAAGAGAAGGTCAGAATACATACCTGTGTTCTTCCACTTCAGCCCGCGAATCTCCCCCCCACCTTCATCCTCGTCAAGGTACGGATCGCCCTTGTAAGAGCCGCCAAAGACCTTTTGACCATTGAGTCGGCAGACGCGTAGTTCGTCGTCTTCTGTGACTACGGCAATCAGATCCATCGTCGGGCAGTACGCCAGCGCGCCTGCCTTGCATTTGGCCGGCAGGGACTTCTCCCCGACAGGCGTGAGCTGCGGCTCATAAGGGGATTGATAGCCATCGTTTTCAGCCATTTTGATGAAACTTCCTGACCTTAGTCCATTATAATGGTGAAAAAGTTGGTAACAACACGACGGCTGCGAAACTATCTAGGTGCCTTCCCCTTCTGAGCAACTGTTGTTGGTTGGGGATGGTGGATAACGGGCGCTCTTGGCGGAGCGGAAGAGATACTACTGTCGCCTTGGTGCCTGGCGATCCGCCCGGTACTGATTCCTGAATCCACCAGGACTATTTGCAGTAGTTCGCATAAACAATAATAACAGCAGGTACTAGGCTCACTTTTAAAGCTGGTAGGAGCAACCGGAACAGGAGCAGGGTCTTGTCCGTCTCCCTCATCGATCGCTGTTATTTGTACGCCAGCTACTTCCAATAACCGAAATATGCAGACATCAAGCATTGGATTATATTACTAGAATACTAAATTTATAAAGATAATACTGGGCCCAGAGATCTACATCTCTGCGCTGGCTCCCGATTCGATCATACCTTTGAGGTAACTCAATTCGGTCATCATCTCCCGCATGGCTGCGGACTGTCCCAACAGGGACGCTCTGCTCAATCGGTTGTTGACCGGATCAGACACAGCACGTTTCTCCGCATGCAGCACCTCCAGGTCATCTTTGAGATGATCCGGAAAATCCATTACAGTGGGATCAGGGCTATGTAGCAGACCAAGGCCTTTGACGGACTCAACTTCCCCAAAAAAGGCCGCGTGTCGCTTGGGGTTACTCCCCACGCGCCCTTCTTCATCGTCAATGCACAGATCAGACAAACTAAGATCAGATGGGGACAGTGAAATGGAAAGACGGGGCAGTGGAAGGTCTAGGAGTGGCGAATCGCCTGCAACGGAGGTAGCGGTGGATTTAGAGTTCACCGTGAGGTGGGGAGTGTCGGGGTCGCTCATATCTCCGCATACAGAGGTCTTCAAGTAATCCGCATAAGCTGAGGCGTGAGTATCGGGTAGCGGCGGCACGTCGTGATTGAATGGAGTCGGGCATGTCACGGACTCCGGGGAAAGAAGCTCCGTATCGGTACTCCATTCCGAGAAATGACTTCGTTCGCATACAGAGCTGCCTGCCATAGACTCTGTATCGGTGAAATCGGAAAAGTGACTAACCATAGCCTCCGTGTCGAATGCCTTTTCTCGGACATCGATTTCGCGCAATGCCTCATCCATGACCGAAGATGGCGAATTAGGTAGAGTCGGCAGTCGCTTTTCCCTCGGAGCCGAGGGCCTTGGTGTCATGGCAGAATCATCAGTGGTAGTGAAACCGATGGACGTTGCTAGCAAAGCAGATGATTCCCAGAGTGACCTGTCGACCGCATTGATATGCTTCTCACCACGTGCTTTTGCACGTGGGGTTGATTGCTCAGCGAAGGATTGCTGCTCCATTGAGTTTTGGGCTTGTCTGTCATGATTACTTGACGGCACTGATTGGCGGTCACCGGCGGCCGCCGGGGTCAAGTGATGGCCTGTGTGAGGTGTTTGTTTGTAGGCTTGATCATACCCGCTAGAAGGAGGACGCTCAATGATAATGTTGGGATGAGGGGTCGTATCGAAACGGCCCGCGGGAATGTGTGGGTGCGAGTGCAAGGGTCCCCGGTCTGGACTAGGCCTGGTAAGATCTGCTTCATGATGGTTCGAATCTCCAAGCTCAGGAGACGATACGTTCCACTGTCGAAATGCAGCAAGAAGTCCTCTTGATCTTGGAGGAGATACAGATCGCGCGGTCTTGAAGACGGGGCCCCTGAGACCTTCATTGACCTTGACCTTTGGTGTCGCGCTACTAGGCTGAGAAGCGCTTCTATTGGTAATGATGCCCAGCGGGGAAGTGCTGAATGACCAGGCTGGAGCCGGTTGCTCCAACAAGGGAGGAGAGGTTCGGAGGCGTGGAAGCTTTGGTCTAGGCTTGGGCGGTCGCCGAGGGTTGAGGTACTTGTCTTCAGGGTTCATAGTCTGCTGAACCACGCTTTGCGCACTTGGACTTCTCGAATGAGTCAGAGTCGGAACAGCATCAGGAAGAATGACAGGCACGTTGAGAACATTGACCGGCTGGCCTGGAAGGAATGGACAATGTGTGGTAATTGGTTCTGCTTCGTTATAAGATTCCATATCGTCGTCCAACAGGTACTACACACAGTTAGTGTTGTAGTTCTCGGGGGGAAGAGACAGGGAATTACGAACATAATACCAGTAGGTTCCTCCCATCTTAAGTCCACCCGAACGTGCTGGCATCATATTCGACGGTGAACCATCGCATACGATGTTCACAAAAGTATGACATCCCCTCCACTGTCCAGGACCAACACGTCTGTCTCGCTCCATGGCATAAGGTTTGGAGAAATTGTCCCATGAGCCCAACAGCTTGACTGACTTGACTTGCGGGTTGGTGCAGCTGCGCGCGGCAATCAGCAAGTGCGCGAAGAGTCACAGAACAATGAAAATAACTTACAGAAGGAACGTCATCAAAGTTGTCGAAGCCATGGCTGCGATATTTTGTAAATATAACTCTGAAAATCAAGAAGATCGAAAGACTTGGTGTCGGCTAGGCCAGTAACGATATGCTAAGCAAGTGTCGATTATAAAAAATGCAATGAACGTTATCCCAAGACCAGCTTGGAGCGAATTGAGTGTTTGCGAAAAGAAAAGGCAAAGGAGCGACGGTAGGTAGAAAGCCTAGTCAGGCTATGCCCTGCAATGGAATGTCAGGAGGATTAATCCCACTGGCTTTGCCTTGCGACGCAGACCCTTAGCGTGATATAAGAGTCGAAAAGCTGAGGGCTGCGGCTTAGAGTGACAGCTGTGCCATAACAATAACAACAAGGCGCAAGTGAGACGGCAGATCAGTGATTCAGTAGCCGCGGGGTTGCGGAAGTTAATTTTGGACGCTCCTAGCCGAGAGTTTCGGCAGGAAAGGCCAGACCAATGATGCTGGAGGGATGGCAAGTCGGAAGCGCCGACAGGGCAGACTACCTGGTCGAGGGACAGCAATGAGAGGCGGAGAAGCGTTTCTGAGCGCCTACTGCAGGAGCCGGATGTTTCGAGCAGTTGCTTCTCCCACACAGAGTTCAAACGTCGGTCCAGACGGGTCGGCGAGGGCGAGGAAGCTGAAATGAACCAAGGAGAGAGAGAGAGAGAGAGACAGCAGAACAAATACCGTCGACTTGATCGCGCGTGTGTACACTTGACCCAATGCGGGATCTTAACGTCAAGTCAACAATCACGAAGCGCAGTCAAAGGAAAATCAAGTTTTGGCAGCCGGATTGTCCTGTCGCAAGACAGCGCGCTTATCAAGACGGATCCACCAGGAGAAGATATAACCACGTCACGATAGGGATCGTCCCTGCAAGAAAATACTGTCGCGAGGGAGGAGAGTTCATGATGGCAGCAGCAGCAGCCGGCCGACAGAAAAAGGACGCTCGATGAGATCCGAACATGGCGAACATGGTTCCTGGGCGGTTGCGGCCCACTCGGGAGACCTTTTTCTGCTGGGATGAGGATGCTGATCCTTCCTGGTGAACCAGAGTGGGCTTCAAGGGACTCAGGTCCTGAACGGGTGGACACGACTGGATCTCGGGCGTTTAGCTAGGCTGTAAGCATGCTAGGCGTGCCTGTAATCGGTAGTCAGGACCGCAGTCGCAGCTTGCAAGGGTGGAGACCGATATAAGTCCGAAGAAGGGAAATTGATGGATCAGAAAGAGAGGAAAAGGAAAAAGGGAAAAGGGAAAGCAGCCAGCCACGAAGTTGATAGGAGTGGTTGACTGGAGCAGATTGCTTGGAGACGGCAGGCTGGTATCACGGGTGGAAATTAATCAAATCAAACAAGGCTCAACCAAAAGTAGTTGGTGGCTGGACATAAGCCACTTTAAGGCTGACCCTTCTTTTCCCTCTCCTCGGAACGATTGAACAACATTCAGTCTGTTGAACAACACATCTGAACTCTTGACAGATAGAATTAAGCTTCATCAATATTCCTCTCGTCTAGCCTTTCCCCGAGAAGTCAATTGCAGGAGGGGAGATTTTTAGCGAAGCGAAGCGACCAGAGTGATCACCAAACCCTCTTAGAAATTCGCACCGTACCCAGCACACCTACGAATACGCGCCGATCGACTTCTCCACACCACGTGAGTGGAGGCCCGCAGGCAGGTGGGAAGAGCAGACTGAACTGGATGAGATCTGTCGACTGTCGCTTGCTTCGCCCTTTCATTGTTCATGCACGACTCCTGCATATCTCCGACACCCTCCCCCTCGTCCCCATTGTATGATCTCGTTCCCTGAAGCGGCTGTCCACACTGCAGCCTAGACAGAAAAAAATAGCCTCATCAATTTCTCGTATTCAGTTCCTTCACTACTACCAATAGACTACTTGGCCTTGCAAGCTAGCTAACAATCCTGTGTATGGCACTAGGACGTGGCCGGTGAACCATCTCCATCTATCCATCCATCCCTCACGGACCAGCAGCGCGCCTGGAGACTAGACTAGACTAGACTAGACTAGATTAAAACCAGTCAGGGGTTTCGAACCCCCAGACAAGCCAATCAAGGGATCAAACTCGACAAATCATATTCCGATAATCCCAGTCACTAAGCGTGCTGTTGCTGCATGAGACTGCAGCCACTCAGTCTGTTTACCTCGCGGGTACTGGGCCAACTAGACATCGATCTCCAGGGAGACACACCCCCGGAGCAACAGATAGATTGAGAGGCCTGGGCTGTTCTGGGCTGGCTGTGTGTGTGCGCGCGCGCGCCCAAACCCCCATCATCCGCATTAGCTTGGTGCAAGTTCCTTGACGGTCGGCTTTGGGATTTAATTTCCATCTTCACACCAATCAATAATTGAAATTCGACAGCAAGAGGAGCATTTCAGCTGGACGGGAGTACCCGAGCAAAGCCGTGCAATGACACCGCCAATCATACCTACACAGTACACATCCCTCGGGCATACTACTACCCAGCCTACTAGGTATACGTAGAAATTAGGGACACTAGGGAAGAAATACCACAGCAAAGGGAATCAAGCATACACGGTTTTCAATTAAAATGGTCACCTGAATTGACCAGTCATGGCACCCTGCCAGGATAAGACTCCCAGATCCCGAACAAGGACGGCGGCAACTGGGCGCTTGCTGCAACGCGTTTCATCTAAGGAGCCCATTTTGGACGTGACATGATTGGCACAATGACCTGATTAAGGACCGAGCATATCCCGAAAAGCCGCTACTGAGGAGGCGCCTGCAGCAGAGTAAAGACGTGAAACAAGCAGAGAGACAAGGAGAAAGAAGGCAGCCCGATGTCGCAACAGCGGCGGGAGAAGGCATTGGTTATGAATAGCAACAACCATCCCGAAGCGAAAACAATCGCGATCAATGGTGCCCGTCCCGCTTATCAAACTTCCGATTCACTGCACCAAGCACGCACTTGAGGATGCCGTCCGCAGTCAGCGTTTGCCCCTTGTTGCCGCGCCACGGCACCGTGTCGACCATATCGCGGAGGTTCTTCTGATGTGTCATCTTATCCAGCTCATCGTCTAGATCCTGCAGATACTGTCGCGCCACGGGGTCGTCGCCGATCTGGAAGAACTGGATCCCGACCTGCCAGGGCACGGCCGAGATCTTGTCGAGTCGCTGGGCCACATTGACGATAGCACTCTCTGCGTCATCCGTGAACGCCCCATCGGTGATGGCGATGATGTTCAAGGGCTTGACAAGCTGGGCGGAGTCATCGAACCCATCGCTTGCAGCCACCTTTTTCTCCAGATCACGCATGTACGGAGTCAGAATGTCCATCAAGCGGCGTCCAAATGGCGTGGGACCCGAGGGATACACGCTGTTGAAGATCTCTCGGACATTGTCCGCCAGCGTGATGTTGTTGTACGATCCTGGTCCCCTTCGAACGGTATCCCTGCGGTGGTTGAGGAACCAGATATCGATGCCGTCCTTGTCGTACTGCGTGCAGATCGGAGCGATAGCGGCAATCGCATCTTCAGCCTCCCTCCAGCGATGCCCACGCATGGACGTGCTATCGTCAACGAGAAAAATTGTGTCGAACTCGCGGAGGAACGAATATGGCGAGTCGCCGGATGAGGTGCTCGAAGCTGTTGTGGGCACTGTGGGCATCGGCATCGGCTGCGGCTGCGCGGAATATGGTGGGGGCGACCATACGTTCTGACCGCTTGGTTGAGCAGTGTCTCCTGTGCTTGTGATGCTTCGAACAGGTTCGGACGGCATGCTTCGGGTGAGCGAGCATGAACTGGCGCGCGAACGCCTCTTCTCTCGTGAAGAATGTTGTCCCATACTGGCGTTGTTGAAGCTCTAATCACTCGGTATTGGATGACGATGAGTTGAGTCTCGGCGGGTAAGCTTGTCTCGCAGGTGTTGTAGAAGTGGCATGGGCGGATTTATAGATGGTCAGCTCGACTCTTGCCTTTGTCAAGTGAAGGGTGAGTTCCGGTAAAGAAGTGATCGATTCGTTGAGAAAGACTTAACCCATCGAGAGCGACTTCGACTTCTTATATGAGAGCCCATGAACAAAACAAATGTGGCGACCAAGTACGGAAGGTCAGTTATTCACCCAGTCTTTCCTCTTCATAAAGGTACCAAAGACACATGGAAGGCGCAGCCAAGGCAGACTGCATCCCACCCACAGGCTCTGATTCACTCCAGACCCGACTCATATCTCCCACAAGCCATCCACTCAGAAGAATCAGAATGGCCTCACGCCGTAGTACAAGCGTCTAACTTACAGTTCCAGCCCAGGGATGAAATTCCACGTGTAGACTAAAAACCATCCCCACCGTTTGATGGGAGGTGGATTCAGCCAACCAGTCCTAAGGACCACGGCCTAAGGCTTCCAGGCAGGAATGCTTCGCCCCCTCCTCCCAGTCCCGTGATTCCATCGCCAACCGGGCTGTCGGCATTTGACACTGCCCCAAAGGCAAGGTTTAAGCATCTTTAGTCAATATAGCTGCATCTACTCCGTACTAGTAGCTGGGTTGTGATATCTGCAGTTTGGGCAAGGTTTGTCAAACCTACAGGGCTGCATTGGAAGGTAAAAATGTGAGGGGTAATAGGGGGCTGTAAGGCTGATAAGGTAATGATGCTGATTGCATTGATTTCGTACTGCCCGGAGTTCCGAGTGCTGGGGATTGACGATGGTAGCTAGTGTAGTCAGTGAAGTGCACAGCCTACTCACTAGTCGCGGGTGACAGCGGATACCCGCACCACCGCAGTCGATAGTGGCACTGCCACCTTTTATACCATGGTTATGCAGTGAACTACTGGAATGAACGGACCGAGTTCTTATGGCTCTTGGTCTACAGAAAGTATAATTGAATTGTGTGTGTACATATGTCAGTGAGCCCGCCCGCCACTGGTAATTTATGCACTCATGTCAGACCAGACTAAAAAGTAATTGCCGTTCGTGACTAAATAGTAACATCGAATCGTACCAACCTTCAAGGCTGTGGGTTAACTTTATCTATGGACAAACGGCTTCTTCCTCATGATGCAATGTGGTGTGGACACAAAACAAAGGCATCTTAGGGTATGGTGGCCATCTGCATGAAAGTCTCAATGAGGTGCAGTGACCCTTTCGATTATACGTGCGTCGTCAGTTTGTCCAAGTACATCGAACGTCTCACCACCTTCCAAAATGTCTATCAGGGCCAGAGCTTGGTCAATGCCCATGCGGTTACCAATAAGCGCTAAACAATCCACCACCCATCTGCGTAAAGAATGGTCCTTCGGCTCGGTGGCACCAGCCAAGAATAAAGGCCACAGCAGAATCATCCCGCGAATGAAGCCATGTTCGAGGGCCACTGTATTGAATGTAGTGGCCTCGCCAGTGACGAGGTCAGCGCTAAAGTGATAAGGCACACTGGCGCATATATCGAGAGCGAGCTTTTTGGCCTGATCGCGGACCTGCGCGTGATGGCTAATAAGATCAGGTGAGAGAGTCATGCAAAGGTTCAGTCGATATGTATAGGTGAGGATATATTCGCTGATCATGATTCGAGCACAGCGGTATTGGTTCCACGCATGGGAAAGCCATAAATCTTGGTATACGTGATATCGGTTGTTGTACGACGTGAGACCCCAGTTGGATTGGGTAGGCCAAGGACTCTCGATAGTGGTGTAGAGAAATCGGGACGGCAGAGCCGCGAGCCATGTCATCAACTCGCCTTCGATGCTATACACCGTGGTCAGGATGTCTTGATTATCGGTGATGACTTTATCACGAATGTCCGCCCGAAGATTGGCCAGTCGGCCAGTTATACTGATCAGACGGTCGCTGTAAGCCTCGGTCTGCGGCCGCAGAAATTGGGCGACCCTCGTGCAGTCAAGGACTGATTGAGGCACTCGAGCCTCTCGTTGTAAGCAGCTAATTATCTTGACGAGCCTGTCAGCAAGATTGCGGATGAGAATAACACCAAACAAAGCGGGCAGAACATACTATCTGATATCGTAACTGCAAGAACAGCTTGAGTCCTTCCGCTTTCCGAAGTTGTTCCACGCCTCTCAGCTCCAAAAGTGCAGCGGCCCCGGCGATATGATTCGTCCAGTTATCGAGATTTTGCGGAGCTCTACTGGAGACAACCTGGTATACGATCAGACACGGTAGAAGCTTGGAGGGGCATCCTCGAGCCAACTCACCTCAAAAATCGCCAATAACAGGACTGCGGCCAGAGTCGAGTTATCCCTAGCCTCTTTCTCATCGGTGACAGCAGAAGTAAGAAGTTGCAATGCATGCCCGTACTCCTTCTCAGACGCGATCCGTAGCGGAACGGATCGCCTGGCACGGGAGAGCATAGCCATCCCAGTGGACGCCATGCTAGCCATCATAGCCTGCTGGCTGGGCGAGGTCCGCATGTCTAGGATGAACTCCGTCGCGGAATCCGATCTCATCCATACGCTTCCAATCCAAGCATTCTGACGCAAGAAAAAGCAGATGGCTTCGTTTCTACTTGGTTGGTACGAGGGTTGTAGGTCGAGAGAGCGTCGGGTGATGAGCTCCCGTTGTAGCTGTGCATTTTCATTGAAGTCCACTATGTCACTGGCCCCCGATGCGGCGCTGGGGCTGTTGGTAGTGCTATTACTCCTAGTGCGCCCAGCAGGGGTTCCAGACCGACCAGTCGGGCCGGACTTGCTGGCTGGTTTAGCCCTGCGCGCTGTGGCCCCGGTCCGTGCCTTCCGAACGACCTGTTGGCTCTCGTCTCGGAACATCAAGGACAGTTCATCTCGGTATCCGGGGCAGACCCGGTTGCCCTTGGCGCACTGAGAGCAGGTGGGCCGCGCCTGGTCACACCGGATCTTGCGAGAGCGGCATTCCCCGCAGCCTTTGCTTGGCTTGCCACAAAAGACCATGTTAAAGCAGGCGCAGCGTGCAGAAGTGGCTGGTCGGTCGTACTATGTCGGGGATCATAAGCGATAGACCCAGTCAGATAAGGAGAGCCGAGCCCAAGATAGTAAGCAGTGCGAGGACAGGCGGGTTCACTGTGCCTTCTAGGGGGACAAGTCTTGCCTGGGCTTCAAGATATAGAACGCACTAGCAGTAGAGCAGTCACAAGATGGCATAACACATCATCGAAATCTGAAGAGCCTCCACCTTTGGTTCTCATTGATGATGAATGGGGCACGGCCGTGGGAGATAGAGAGGAGTATTAGTCGCCGCGGGTGCCTTAGGCGTGACGGTTCGGACCCACGTGCGCCCTTGCTAACTTGATCGGGTATGCCTTGCGAGCAGCAGTGGCACAAGCTTGTCACAAGAAAGACACCACTTCCACGAATATTAGCTGCTATATATCTCTCTGATTCCTTGCGTGTCTGCCTAGCAGTGCCTCGCATCTATGTACTGAGTTTTGTATCTGGACCATATCATATTGTTCTGAGGCTGTGCATTTTGGTCTGATATAGATCGCTCCCATAATGGCTACAGTCAACTGGGCGCTAGATAATCAAGCTTCCATGCTAGTCACTTAGTTTAGGAAAGCTTACTCATACAGCCAAGGGCTAGAGAACTCGAAGTGCTATGGCTATGGCATGAACAGACACAACGCCAGTCCTCTAGTTTCATTGAAAGCGTACTGATCGGATATGCTTCTATCTACCGTTAACGGAATGGAATAATGGCTAGAATCGTGCAAAGAACGAGAGAAAGCCCGAAAAAAGCACCGAGCCGATGCACTAGAGCGACCATATTTGTACATTGCTACCAACCATTGATAAGATTCGTTGTGCCTTGACTATTATCTCAGCAAACTGATGTCGTGAATGATAATCGCGTCCATATCTCATCGACATCCTTGCACAGCAGTAATTAATGACACCCTGGGGCCATAAAAGAAGCCTAGTATGGATTCGAACCGTCACAGAATCAAAGGGGCATGAAAGTGGCCAGGAGTGTTGTTTCGAGATCCTTGCTTCGGCAGCAAAGGATAAGGTTGAGAATACACGGGGGGATAAGTAAAATGTAGACCGAGCAGTTGACTGCCACTTTTCTGTCTGGGGACAAACTCGGGTGCGTCAGGGCGAAGAGTGGAGTGTGGTGTCGCTCGTCCCTTGTTCTCGCCGCTTGCTTTTCTGTGAACCTGTTTCTGATTCCAAAGGCCCTCAACGGGTCCTGGGAACTGTGGTGTCAGAATTCCGAGCTGAAGAGGAGTTCCAGTCGGATAAGTGCATTGCGAATAGCTCTGCATCGGCGATGGAGGTGCGTTAGGGGCTGACGCGTAGTTTAGTGGCAAGACATGGCGCGGAGCGAGGCCGGGTGGCTCATAGATCTATGCGATGATTTGTCTTAATCATCTACGGAATCCAAGTAGACAATTAGAATAGCTGATGGATGAGCTTACTGGATGTTGTCCTGGAAAGCGGTATTGCTCCATTTGCAGTCTGTGCACATTGTCCATCTCCATCTGTGAATTGTATGTCTGCATCGGCAGTGGTCTCATGGCATTTGGTGGCATCAGACGTGGGATTGGCGGGCTGACAGGTCCATAAGGAAAGAAACTAGTCCCAGCACCTGACGGACAGTACGCAGGCGCAATAGGCATGACCTGCGGAGGGCCACCGTGATACACGGGGAACAGTTCCGGCCTACCCCTATGGTCAGTTCGGCGAGAGAACGATATCACTGCAGGGTCCATCTTTAAGAAGATATAATCAGTGATACTGTTTTGACCCTCCTTCACTTCTCAAGCGAAGGACCGAACCAGATGAATCGAGGAAAATCCCTTACCTGGCTGGGCGAAAGCTCTAGGGGCACATAATTCATGATTCGAAGTATCAGATCGATGAAAATAGACGAACGCAGGAAAGATTTGTGAAATGAGAAGATCACCAAGAATAACACGGCAAGTAAAGACGCCCAGAGGCTGGAGTACGCGAGCGACTACCAGAGCTTCAGGTGTTCTGAGGAAGGAAGGAACTTTCATCGAGGCGGGCTGACAGTGTAACGAAGAAGTCTACAGCCTGGTGAGAGAGAAAAACACACAATCCTTCACAAGTCAAACCTTTCCCTCAGGAATCATGTCTGTGCGAAGACCCTCTCTTGGAGTTGGCTGTCTGGGCCCGACTGGGCGTTCTTATCACTACATCTTTACATTACAGTGAAGAAGCAAATGTAGTACTCAGACAGTCCATGTTAAGACTATTTACATTTTCTTTAATTTTCCAATTTTTTTTTGGTTTTTTTTTTACTTTTTAAAATTTTTTTTTTTTTTTTCTCTTCGGCTTCAAGCAAGCAGAAGGAGAAGGAGGCTAGCCGAGGAAACCCTCAAGCTGCTCCAACAACACGCTGAGGGCTTCCTCAGCCGCCTCCTTCTCCTTCTGCTTGCTATCCGCCGAAGCGATAGCCTCCCCCCAGGCCCTCTCTGCAGCTCCGAGGAGCTGTGATCGCCGGGCCAGGGCGATCACCATCTAATAGTCATTCAGTCAGTCATTCAACTCTCACTGAAACCTTGGCTTGGATTGAACTTACCCTCGCGCACGTATCTCGCTGAGCTGCAGTGACCACTCTCTCCTTGTGTTTCTCAACAAAGTCTCTGACAACCCAGTCATACGTTCCATCAACTGCGTTGATGTGTTGAGTTTCCGTTTGAACTGCGACATGCTTCACGCGTATCGGAATCCGTGAAGGTGTAGAGACTCCCAAAGGAGAGCTTTCAGAAGTAGTGGGCACTTGGCTCGTGAGATAGGGGCTTCCACTGGAAGTTGTAATCACATGTCCTCGTCGAGTTCGAGATCCAGGGATCGATGATGTATGAGTACTGGCAGACGTACTGGTGGATGCCAGAGTCGGTCTCAAGTCGATCATGTTAGACGCGTTGGGCCCAGGGAGAGGCTTACAGCCAGGAGGAAGCTGCTCAGGAGGAATCTGAATTGGTTCGGAGATTGGTCCAGTGCGAGCCTTAGTATTGCGCAAAGAAGGTCTATTCCACGCAAGCCCTGCTGGTTTCATGACGCCGCCTAAGCTCTTGCTACTGACAGCTTTTCTGATCGGTTGGACAGTCACTGGAATCTTATGTGTAGTAGCTCTGTTCCTAGGGATTGGAGTCTCTCGCCCAGTACCAGCGCGGGTTTTGAAGATGTTTCGAATGCTAAAAGACTTTTTCTCATTGCGTGAGACTGGAGTCCGTACCCCTTCGCCGGCCGTGATTTTTGGAAGCGGAATTGTTCTAGGAACGACTTCAGCGAATGATTCCTCTCTTTGGATTCGTTTCGAAGACTTTGGCTTGGAGGAGCCCCCTTCCTGGATCGAGAACTCATACAACGGTTCCAATGACGACGATCGAACAGGGTGAGAGTGAAGAGCTGTGTAACGATCAACAACGGTGTGAGGTCCAATCGACGAGTAGCCGAAGTGAGAATGCTCAGGCCTATGGGTGTCATGCTTACGTTTATGGCTAGACATCGCGTCCTTTTGTCCTCTCTTTGGGGCTGAAGAAGAGGTCCGTAGCAGTTCATCTTTCTCCTGCGTTCTGGAAGGAGGATTTTCGGTCTCCAATTCCTGCGAGTAGTTCTGAATAGCCCCAGTAAAGCTTAACACGCTGGGATGGGTTGAAGCAGCCGATATCTCTGGATAGATATCAGCCTCCTCGTACGAAACTTGGGATCCGTTGATTGGGCTGGGATCCCCCCGAAGATTCCAGATCACGTCGCCCATGCTATTTTCAACATAATCACCAATGCCATCTTGACGCCTAAGAGATGATAGTGGCTGGTCAAGGTCATTCTGGTCCTCATAATCGGATTGCAGAGTAAAGGGATATCGAGCAGACTGTGATACTGTACCTCCCATTACCTCGTCTGCGGATGATGAGATTCTCAATTTAGTGCCATGAATGCGTTGTGCAGTTCTCTCAGCTACCGGTGTACGATACTCGCCAGTATAGATTGTGCGAGCCGGCTTTGGGGTCTCTTCCTCACTGGTATCCCAATCGTTATCAAGCACGGACTTGGAGAGACCATGTCCCTTTCTGTCATCAGGCTTGGGAGTAACTGTGGTACCACCAAATGCCTCTTCGGATGGCTGGCTACTGGGAACAGATGGGCTCATAACACCAGAGACGTCTCCAGTATAGAGCTCTCTGGATGTGGCGCCATGGGCACGAGCAGGCGAGGATGCACTGCGCCGCTGAACAGGCAAAGGGATTGCACTACGGTATGCACTAGAAGTCTGTGTTCGTCTCTCCAGTGGGGACGGTTCTGTCGGTGTTTTGATGTGGTGACTCGCTTTCGGAATCCGTGAAGGCTTGAAGCTTTCGGTGGACACCGACGCAGAGCGGGAAGCTGGATTGTAGCGGGTCTGAGGCAAAAAGTAATTTGGGTCATGTTCTATGCCCGTCAGTCTGGTTGCCATGCAAGAAATGGGTTATAGCTTCCCCACTCACCGTAATCAGTATTGTCGTGTGAATGTTTCTGTGTGCTCTCCATGGAGTAGCCCTTCATAAATGAGGCATTTCCGGATGCTTCTGTGAGTCGATTAAGTCAGCTTCAGGCACAGTCATGTAAACACACAAGAATGAGCGTCAAGAATGACTGTCCACTCTCTATCATAGGGGACATAGGAATAAGGGCTGCTTTGCAGTGCAGCTACCAAGCTCCCAAATGTACGATCACAACAGGCGGACAAGGAAAATTTAGATAGGCTTATGAGAGTGAGAAGCTTACCATTCATGCTTTGAAAAGCCGTGTTGCTGGTGGGCGCGGTATAGCGTCTTCCTGGAGTACGGGGGTCCTGAAAGGGATCTTGGACTGAGAGTTTGTCGGCAGCCATGGTGTCAGGATCTGACTTTCCGAGCTTTAAAGTACTTGTTCTTCTAGAAAAGCTTGGAGATGGAATGAATTTGTTGTCGTCTGGCGACGGGGAAGTGGTGGTGAAGGTTTTGAGCTCAATAGAGGGAGGGGGAGAAGCGTGTTGATGAGAAGAAGTTGGTGTTTGGGAAATAGGAGCTTCTGTGTGTTTATCACTTTCGCTTTGCTGCGTAGGGACGGTGCTAGTGTTCTCAGGCGTGTTCCCAGGCGCATAAACAAGCCAGTCCCAAAAGGCTAACAGGGAAGAGCGCATGCTACTTCTTCTGTTTGCAGTCACTGTCCTGCGGGACCTCTGCACAGAACCGTCGGAGGACAAAGTAGACAACTCTGCCTCACTGTTTGACGAGTGCCTGGAGTGTCTCTCGCCAGAATCAGAGGCTTGATTTGTCTAAATTCAGTCAGTATCAGCTATCAACAGCCACTTATCTTCTACATACATTTGTTGAAACTGGACGTAAGGTTGACCTGTCAGGCAAAGGTAGCTCTCCACGCTTTCGGGATCTGCCTATGCGTCTCAGACGATATCCCTAAGTCACTCTGTTAGTATTCGCTTGTCTTTCTTTTCGTTCTCCGGTGACTGACTTTAAAGTCTTTGATCCATCGGCTTTTTCTACTGAAAGCGCTGACACATGAATCTAGGGTTCGACGAAGCCTATTCTTCGCGGGGGATCTGGAAGGGCTGTTGGATGTGTTCTTCCCAACCCTAGTCCGCGGATCTGAGACTACCCTCAATATGCTTGGTCTAGAGCTAGACAGCCGTGCATCATGTGAATGCGGAGAACATGGCCGAGTGTGGCTCTCAGCTTCGGGAGTCTGACACACTGTCCAGTTCGGGGACAGAGGAGGAATGACCTGGCATACAGCGTCATTCTGCAGGTTCGGTGCGTTTACAGCCCCAGCGATAGATGGGAGTAAGCTGCCTTGAACGCCAGAAGCAGGTAGGCTTATGTGATGCTGAGCCCCGGCCCTATCGTATTCCTCTAGCTCTTCTAAGCTTGGTAGCACGAGAGTCGATACTGAATCGTTGTCTTCCAGCTCGGCTATTGGAACCATCCTATACGGCCTAAGCGGCATATGATGCACAACCTCTTCAGGCTCGCATAAAGAATAGGGGTCGAAACCTGGGGGCAAGCTGCTCATCTTGATAAGTTCTGTCAGATGCAAACCAAGACCTCACAAGTCTGTTCCAGTTTCTGGTTTTGATCTTCCTGGAAGCTAGAGACCTCTTGCGAGATTCTGGATGACTTATACCGATATCAGGGTTAGCATCTGCGATATACACATACAATTCCAAGAAACCACAAGAAACAAAACACAGAGGTCTGTCTTCAACAACACATATGAGGCAATACTCTTCGCTCTTAACGCATGCAGTCACATTCTGAGGTGTGAGGGTACTCACAAATCAATGCTTCACGTCGAACGAGGGTTATGCTTGGTATCTCTTCAACGAACGGTGTCAGGTTGGTATGATAGGATTCTTTTCAGAGAGTCTGGATGAGAAGGTAGAGGACGAGGAGATTAAAGAAGTCAAGGTGTTGAGATTACCAAGTGAGAGACAGGCTCGCCTCTCTTCACTGTGTTGTACCCAGAAACAGCCCGTTCCCCGATTAGGAAACGCTCGAGGTTCAAGCCTGGGCGCCTGAGGCACGAAACAGGCATTGCAGTGCAATTCAGAGCGTTTGCGTGAATTTAAAAGTGATATGTAGGTACCTTATGCTTTGTGTATGCTATGGGGATGTACAGCGGTGTGGCTCTTTGATTCCAACATCTCTCAGCCATAACGGAAGCCGTTCTCGAGGGGGCATACACACAGTAACCATGCATACAGCTCTAACTGGTTATAGTGTAACAGGTCGAGAAGAATGTACAAGATAAGTGGTAGTATCTATGGTATAGAAAGCCTGCCGGAAGCTTGATAGATACTGTCTTAGATGCTATTGGATTCTGCTCCAACATGATGCTTCATGATTTTCAACATAAGACGACCAACGCCGCTAAATAAATGTACTATCTACTTGCAATTGTCAGAGACACGACGACTAGTCTGCTGCTTAGTTTCGAAGTCTAAAGCCCGCGCTTTCTCTTCCCTGCCTGAAGAGGCAAACCAACGCCAGCCTGTCTGTACGTCCCAGGCGCATCGCTCGACCACTCACTGATCTCCCACTCAACCGTCGTCGACTGATCATCGCTAACGCCCACCCCACGTCTCATCTTCATCAAACGACCCAGCTGACTACCTTCAATCATCTCCTCAAACCACGGTATCCCACCCAAGGTCCCTTGCCTGTAGCTGCGCGAGAGACCCGACCCACCTCTTCCTGTGGCAGCAGGAATGACTACACGCGACGAGGTAGGCTGGTCACTGGACGCTGCCGCCGGAACAGCGACGACTTTGCCCTCTCGTTCTGGTTCCTGCTCTGGTTCCACGTCTTCCGCCTCCTCGTCCATATCTATCAACTCTCCTTCGACAACTCTCGGCACTTCCTCGACGTCGTCTTCATCCTCGTCCTCAACCTCCTCTCCTTCATCCGAGGACGGCGCCACCGGAGGAAGAAGATCCAAATCCTCTAGCATACGCTGATCTTCACCCAACAGACTTCCAACGGACACGCTCATGAAATCCGCCTCCTCCCTGGGATTCTCGCTCCAATACGTGAGCGGAGTGCCACAGAACCCGCAGAAGACACGCTGGGTGTGAGGCGCATGGTGCGGGGAGAAGATGCGCCGGATGCTTGCATGCGTTTCATCGGGGAAGTAGGATTGCGTGTGGGACTGATACCACGACAGGGGGACGCGAAGCCATGCCGTCAATGGTGAGCCATGGGATCTACCTGGGGCTAGTGTCAGCACTTATTTACATCAAGTCTCTCAAGAGATGATATCTGCGGAAACGCTGAAACACATATATCGAAGGGAAGACGGGAAGTAACCTACGGTTGTCTTCGCTGGAGTCAAAGTAAACCTGCGCATGATCGGTTACATTATCGGACAGACGAATGAGATACTGATTCCGGCCGCATTGACAGGATCCGCGCAGTGGTACAGGGTCGGTCATGGCTGCTTGCATTTGTTTTGCGGGCTGCCGATCGATAAGCTCTATCTGATTGTAGAAGCTTCCAAGGTGAAACCGTAGCGCGAGTATGAGGTCATAAATTCGGGGGAACAGGTCCGGAAGACCAGGTCAGTTGTTGCAGAGATTAGCAGTCAATGAGATGATGGTCAAGGCGAGGAAATGACACGAAGAACCGGTAGGTCGGACGTCGGGGAGAGGTAAAGAAATAGGCATGTGTTGAGGGGCTCTGGGAGGTGGCATGGTGAAGTCCACATTGGGATCTAGAAGCGACGTGAACTGTCGATGACGTTAATCGTCCGCCGCCCATCGAGAGTCCCGGACCAAAGCTGACCAGTTGGCGCCGAAGATTTAGCCCAAGGCGATCCAATCCAGGCCACAAGGCCGCCAGGCACCGTCCCGGAATTGTGCCTGAGGACATCAAATCCCGAATATTGGGCCTTTTCCTCGTCTGCTCCGTTGGTCCAGAGGTTCGATCTACCCCTGAACAATCACGAAAGACATCTGATATCCCTTCGAATAAATTGACCTCTCTTTGATTCTCTCCATTCTTGCTCAATCATCTTCGGTTTGTCAACCTCATCCCTGATCAAGTCTCTATACTTCTCCACGGGTAGTTCATCCGTTGCAAATGAGCCACAACCACAACCACCCTCCGTCTGTCACATGAAAATCCGTTTCACCCGCGTGCGCACACACAAGCGCATGATAATCACCTCCTCTCCACGGAACCAAAACAACAACAATCGCATTCTCTCCTCAGCTACTACAACAACAAATCCAAGACATCTGACATCTGAAACCCCTTCAAGCTGAAACAAGAAAGAAGCAGAAAGAAAAAAGAAACAAAAATAACCACAACCCGCATCCCCTTCCTTGCCCCGCAAACTCTCCCCCCCGCACTATGCCATCTGCACGCCCACCCGCCTCCCTGGCATCCAGCTCCTCCGAAACCTCGTACTCCCCCTTACCGAACAGCGCAACCGCGCCCCACGACGATCCCGAGGACCGGTCGCCCTCTACCACCCCGACCGGCACGTCCTCATCCAAACCCGCCGCGGGCGGCGCACAGGAGAAGGAGAAACCGCGGCTGACGGAGCAAGAGAAGAAGAACAACCACATCGCGTCGGAGCAGAAGCGTCGCGCTGCGATCCGCGAAGGATTCGACCGCTTGACGGAGCTGGTCCCTGGGCTCGAGGGCCAGGGCCGCAGTGAGAGTATCGTGCTGCGGAAGACGGTGGATTTCATTCAGCTCCAGCTCCAGGAGCGACAGGAGCTGATCGCGGAGATTGAGCGTCGTGGTGGGCACATCGATGAAGCCTTTCGAGTTTGAGAGGGTTGGTGTCAAAAGTGTATGAATGAACGTTTCTGATGAAGGTTACGACGGTGGGGCATGGAAGGGAATACGAAACAGCAGCTTCTATGGGAACGGTATCCTGGGATACGGGAGAGGGAAGCAGTCGGCACTATTGCTTTACCCGTCACCCTATATGACGCTACGGGCTGGCTTGACCGCGCAGCCTTTTCTGATCTGAGGTGACTTTTTCGGCGCGGAGCTTACTGGGATCTCTTCCCACCACACTCCTGCGGGATGGGATTGTATGGTGTCTGGCGTTAGGATTGACTTGAGGGTTCAGTATACGGAGACGAATCTCGACTTTGGGTATGGTCTTAATCATGCCTTGATCATGCGGACCGCATGCGAGACCGAGGATATTTCATTGACTTTTCTGAAGGTACTTAGCGAGGACATGTCTGCACAGTTGCAGGCCAACCGGTTGCAGAGAGCATTGTATGTCCTTAGCGGAATTGCTAGCAAACATCTTTACTCCATGAGCAAATGAACACAAATGGTTTCTTTATCAAAGCTCCCAGTACCCAGCATGATAGATCACATTTGGAAGGTATCTCAAATGTGACACAATTAGGGGGACACAGCAGCGTACGTGCATTGGGCCTGGAGTCGAATTGATAGACGATAGCGCCATCTGCCTTGATTCACCGCCTAACAACGATCCCGATTATCAAAAGCATCAAAATTCGTCCGAATGCGGCAACGCAACCAAATCCCTACATCCGTCTACTCTACCCAACCACAACTCTTTCTCTCAATCTCACCTTACTCACCCCTAAGAACAGCCCTCCAACTCCCTAAATCTCAAACCCAAAAGAAAGAAACCAAAAAAAAAAATGTCAGACAGCAAACAAGCGCTCCTAAACGACGCCTCGAGCGACCCGTCCGACCCACCACCAGCCTACGACGACACAACGACGCCGCCCAACCCAACGGGCACGCAAAAACGCAACCCGTTACCGCGGCCACCGCCCCTCCACCTCCCAGTCCTCAACAACCTACGCACGCAGCGCGTAATCCTCGCCTCCGCATCCCCGCGGCGCCGCCAGATCCTCTCGCAGCTGGGACTCCCCAACCTGGAGATCATCCCGTCGAACACACCGGAGGACTTCCCGAAGACGATGGAGCCATTCGAGTACGTGCTGGCGACGGCGACGGAGAAGGCACAGGCGGTGTACCGGCAGGAGATACTGAACGAGGCGCGCGGCGAGCCGGCGCTGATCCTGGCGGCGGACACAATCATCGTCGACACGGCGTCGGGCCGGATCCTGGAGAAGCCGCGGTCGGAGGCCGACCACTTCGCGATGCTGAAGGCGCTGCGCGACGCCGGCGACCATAAGGTGTACACGGCCATGTGCGCGATGGCGCCGCTGGTGAGCGCGCGTGACCCCGGGTATGCGCTGGAGACGGCGCTCGAGGAGACGAACGTCAAGTTCGATCAGGGCGTTACGGATGAGTTGCTCCTTGCGTACGTGCGTACGCGGGAAGGTGCGGATAAGGCTGGTGGTTATGGGTTGCAGGGGTTGGGGTCTATTCTTGTTGAGCGGATTGAGGGGAGTTGGGATAATGTTGTCGGGTTGCCGTTGCGCGCGGTCTTGCAGTTGATGGAGAGGATTATGGCTAAGGCTGATGATGATGAGCCGTTGTCGTCTGGTGGCGAGGAGGATTTGTTGGAGGATGAGGTTTAAGACCTTCATTACAAGACGCTCAAAGATTGGTTGGGTGGACGGGGGCAAGGGTTTATATATTCGAGATACCTCCATCATCTACTTCAAGAAAACCCATCATACCGTTGGATCTAGCGCTGGGCGTTTGGACAACAGTACCTGCCATTAGAACACAAAGAATTTCATTCGTACAAGAAACATTCACATGCACATACAAAACAGGACTATAATTTTATGCTCCAGGGCAGTAAGGATTCCACAGTACTGGCGTCTACCAGAACAGACGAAAATAAAGACAGCATATACAGAGGCAAAACGCCTGTCAACAGAACAAACAGCAAACAAGAAACGCCCCGAATTTATGCCTTCCACACCCTGCGGAGAGCCTCCGTGACACCGACATCGTTCGTCTCGAACTCGTACAGACCGACGGCTGTGCCGAGCGTGAAGGCACGCAGCAGCCACTTCATGAAGACGGTGGTCTTGGGCACACGGCGGGTGGGGAAGTAATCGGTGATAGAGGCGCTATTGGCGGTGTTAGCTTTTCCTAGTCGATTCGGATCCAGATAACCAGGAAATCAACATACTCAAAACCGATGTGAGAGTGAACGACGATAGCCGAGCAGATGACGGCGTCCATGACGGGACTCACGGAGCCGGCAGCGAAGGGAGCAATGCAGAGAGGGACGAGGGAAGCAGAGACGAGTCTATCGATTATCATCAGCGTGATGCGTGTGGTGTCCGGTAGTCGGGGTCAACGCACCTCTCGAAGGTCCAGTGGTAGCTACCGTGGACAGGGTGGGAGTGAGGGATGGGAGCAGGGTCGTTCACTATGATCGAGCAGAAGCCAATGTTAGAGAATCACATCATCGAGTGGTCCGTGGTCGTCCAATATGCGCGCTACGAAAGTTGAAGAAGGACTGGGATGAACCAGGAGCTCTTCTACCGCCATTCAAATACGTTCTCGGCGCATTGCAAGACGAGTTCGAGGGTGAGTAATTTAGTTGGACAACGTACTCGTTCCCTGGATAGACTCTGTATCATATAACCGTTAGCATCGCCATAGAATAAATTCCGATCAATTCCCCCATGTTCATCCCCCACAAAACTCAGCCACACCCCGCAATCTCCTTCCACACCCAACTACCACTCCCAAACCGTCATCTCAAGGGACCGCGGGCGACTCACGAGGCAGAGGGGGCAGGATCTGCTTGTTCGCAGAGGCGTGGAAGGCCACGACCTGCGACACGCCGGCGACATTCTTGGAGGCCCAAGGGGCGCGGAAGCAGGACTGCCGGAAGAGGGGGGACTGGCGCGCGATCGAAGCCATTGTGATGCTGGGAGAGGAGATTCGGTGGTGCAGCGAATACAAAAAGGAGGGTGAGAGGGACTTGGTGACCGCGATTCGACAAAAGCGCTACAGCAAGACAAGAAGTTGAAGTTGGAGACTCGAGGCTCAGGATGGAACCTCGGGAGTCCGATCGGGAAACGGTCATCACATTGTCGGATCCGTGATTGGTGCATTCCTCTCCGCCCAGCCGAAAATGGCCGACACCCGGCAATACCATCTCCAGCTGGTGGTGCTGAATGAGGTCGAAGATGGGTTTAAAAATGGTTGAACTCATTCATGACTATGCTTGGCCTGTCTGGGAGCATTCTGCAATGTATTCTGGCTAATTTGACGACCGAGTGTTGGTCAAATCTTCAAGATAACATTTGGAGGAAGTATAGATGTATTCATGCCTCAGGCGCAAACACATTCCCGTCTCCCGAATCTGCCGATTAAGGCAAGAACGGCTGCCTGATCTCATGTTGACACAATGTATTGTGTAGCGGCGTGATTGCACCTATATCCAAATCATGGGGACAAAACAACGAGATCATTCTGAAGAGCGTGATAATTTGCAGCGTGGTGAGGCCTTCAAAAACACAAGGCAAGAAAAGAAGGCTAAAAACACGATGCAC